CCTGAGGGAGGCGATGGGAAAGCCCACTGACTCTGAACTTCCCATTTACTGGCTCGGTGACTGGTGTGCTCCCACTCCCCAGAGCAATGTTTATAGGGCAGAGATGGCCCTGAGAAAGGAAAGGAGGAGCCAAGCCATAGTCACTTTGTCACGCTATTACTTATCCTCTGTATCTGGCAGATGCGTCCCCAGAGAATGTCCCCAGCACCCTGTGTTCCCCAGACCTGTGTCCAGGGGTATGGGGGTAAGGAGAGCCCCAGACAAGGCAGCGGCTTGGTGGAGCAGAGAGGACTCCCGCCCTGGAGGGGCTGGGGGTAGTGGCCGGGCTAGGGCACTGGGCAGGGGGCCCTGTGACAGCTTTCCCAGGGGTCAGTCTAAGAGCTTCTTATACACAGCTGTGGCACTCTATCCCAGCCTCCTGGGACCCGGGCCCCTGGGTCAGCCTTACACTGTATTTTCAGCTTCTTGAGTCTTCCTGAGACCCCTTGGTGGATTCTTTGCTCAGTAGCTGCTTGTCGGATCTCAGACATGCAGAGCCCAACCCGCAGATGCTCGTTTGTGCAGCGTGTTGCTCAAGCCCAGCTCCCTGGCTGCCTGTCCATTCCTCAACTCCCACCGCTATGACTTTATGCTTAATCCAACAGGAGACCTGATTTTTACATTGCTTTTCATAATTGTTATGCCTATCAACATTTTCTTCGAACTGTGGGGCTGAAACAAAACAGAAAGGAAGTAGCTCACAGACCAGATAATGAGTCAGCAATAGACATTGGCCTCAAAGTTCAAATTGCTATGTTTCAGGCCTCTTGGCTCTTCTGCAGCCCAGGCAGAGGGACTGCATGTGCAAAGGCCCTGAGGTAGAAGGGGCAAGCATGTCAGAAGAATAGCTGGAGCTGAGTTAGCCAGGGGAAGAGAAGGAACCAGAGAACCAGCCAAGGGCAAGCCTGGGTGGGGCCTCACTGGCCAGGCTGCAGGCCAGGGCCCTGGCTCCCAAAGCCATGGTGGCCACCAGAGGATTTGAGTAGGGATGTGGTTCTGCCCTTCTGGCGGCCATGTAGGAGGGGCAGGAGGGGAAGCAAGAGACAGTGATGGGCCATCACAGCCCCCCAGTGGGACTCAGATGAGGAGTCTGTGGCAGTGCCAGAGACGAGGTCAGACATTGGGTGAGTTTTGAAGAGAGGGAGGGGCATGGGAGGGCAGTGTTGGGATGAGAGTGGAAATCGGAGCTTGTTTGAGACCCACTGACCTTTTCAACAGCTAAGGGAGGTACCAGACCCCTGGTTGGCTGTGGGAGAGTGGGGCTCAGAGGGCAGGGCAGGGCAGGCTAGTTGAGGTCAGCCCAGGAGGCCGTGCAGGACAGAGAGGACTGGCCACACCCTGAGCCCTGGGCTGAAGCAAATGTGGCGGAAGTAGGGGGCAGAGGAGCAGCGGTGAGGCGAGGCGGGAGGGGGATGGGAGAGGGCGGAGAGCAGAGGTCAAGGACAAAGAATGAGCCTAGGTCAGTCTGGGGGACGGCTCACACATGGCCGGACAACAGTGCTTTGAGTGGTGCATGGACAGGGTATGACTGGACGTGTTTACAGAAGGTGGAGGAGAGAATGAGAGGTCCCTGAGGACCCGATGGTGGCCCTTCCCAGGGGGTCTGCCTCAAGGGCAGCAGGGATCTGGTGTGGGGTGCAGCCTGGAGGGACAGCCCTGCCCACAGGGAACAGGCTGGGAGAGCCGGGGTTGGCTTAGCGGAGCTCTAGGAGCACCAGGGGAGGTGAAAGCCTGCCGCTGAGGGACCCAGACTGGGAGGGGACCCCACATGCCCATATCCGCCCAGCTCAGCCCCTGTCCACCTCTCTCTACTGAGGGGACTGCTCCAGCCTCCTAAGAGAGCCCCCCTGCAGCTTGTGCATCCTGGGGTCCCTCCTACTCTGCCCTCAGGGTGGAGCCCAGCCTTCTCTGGGCCTCCCCTGCTCCCTGCCTCTGCCCCTCTACCTGTGACCAGGTAGGCCTCAACCTGGTCATCCATCTGGCAAGGACGGGGCAGCTGGGCTGTCGGACGGGGTCCGGGCTCCTTCCAGGAGGGTTTTTAACTCTGAATGCCATCTCTGCCCACTCAGGCTACCTAACAAAACCCCACAGACCAACAGACATTGATTTCTCACAGTTCGGGAAGCCAGATGGTCCAGATCAAGGTCCACACAGTTGGCTCCCAGTGTGGCCCACCCCCGGGCTGGCAGATAGCCGGCCACCTTCCTGCCATGTCCTCCTGTGGCCTTTCCTCCGTGTGCACTCATGGGCAGAGGGAGCGCACTCTCTGAGGCCTCTTCTCACAGGGGCACTGATGTGTGGGGTAGGGCCCACCTGCATGACCTCATCAAGCCCGGATCACCTCCTGGAGATGCCTCCTGGCACTGGCACACTGGGGGTTAGGGCTTCAACAGAGGAATTCTGGGGAGACACAGTCCAGTCCACAGCAAACCCAAAGCCCCTCCCCTCGGTCCCCCGTGACAGCCCCACTGGCATAACTCCACCCCAGGACTTGTGTGTCCCCCATCTAGGTGCTGAGGGAGCCAGAGCAGGGTTCTCTGGGGGCAGCCAGTGGGTGTGCACACTGGCCCTGCTCTACCTCTATGGCCTTGGGGTTCTCCTGGCCCCTCCTTAGCCAGCAGGTGGCCGGTTACCTGCTCTGCCAGCCACAGTCCCAGAGACTGCTGGCTGCACCCCCTCCTGCTGTGGGTCTCGTCAGACACGTAGCAGCAGACTGTCCCTCCCCGGGGACCAGCCCCACCCCATGGGGGAAAAGGCAGGCTGGTGCTGCCAACACCCTGAACCCAGGCGCCTGGCTGAGCCCAGCACGGAGAGGCTGCACCCTGAAAACAGCACTGTCCTATCCCAAACCCAAAGTACTGCCGGCCCCACGGCACAGGTCGATTTAATAAAGATTCTTTGGAAAAGCACATGTCAGTTGTAAAATGCAGCCAAATTAGGAAACATTGAAACGAGGTGGGGGTGGATTGTATCTCAGAATCGGAGATGTGGGGCAGCATTGCTCCTGTTGGTTTTCCAGGCGCGGCCCAAAGCCCCCCCAACCCGACCCCAGCACCCTGCTCAGTCGAGAGGCACCTGCACTCTGTGGACACTCAGCCCTGGCATTGTGCTCCTGAGGAAAAACATGCAGCCAGGGGTAATTCTGAGATGCCTCCGGTAGAAAGATGTGCTTTATCTCACAGGGATTCGCATGTGGGGAGGTTTGCGGCTCAGAGCCGATGGAGTGAGGGATTGGTGTTTCTGCTTTACAGGGGTGGGAAACTGAGAATCAGAGGGCTGAGGGCTGTGGTCAAGGGCACGCTGCACAAATTCGACAGAGGGGTCTCCAACCTGGGTGCCCCGACACTCAGCCTTCCCTGCTCCCAGCGCCACTGCCAGGCCAGGCTGTGTGGCTCGATGGCACCAGCCCCCAACGGCAGGGCCACTGAGGCTTGGCTGCACCCCCCAGGCTGGGCAGGCTCTGCACGGGGCAGAGACAGGAACTGCAGTGCAGCCGACTCCGGAACAGGCCCTGCCCTCCAGCTGGCACTTGGTGTCCAGCACCGCTGCTCAGGAGCACCACCTGTTCTCTGGAAAACTTCAAAGAGGAGGACTACTGCAGAACACTGCCCATGCCAGGGACAGAACCTGGCGGGGACAATCCTGTGCCCTCCAATGACACCTTGAGGAGGGCAGGGATGGTGGACACAGTGGCATGGGACAGGGGTCCCTGCTGTGCCCCAAGGAAGAGGTGGACAGTGGGGTTTGGGCCCCTGAGCATCACCACGGCCCTGCTGTGTCCTGTTACAGCCTGGGTGGACAGGGCTGCAGCACAGGAGCAGCCAGGGGAGCAGGGGTGCAGGTGTGTGTGTGTGTGTGTGTGTGTGTGTGTGTGTGCGCGCGCGCGCAGTCACCCACCATCCCCTTCTTGTGTCCCAAACCTGCAGTTGCATTTTGCAAACACTACAGCCTGTTCCCAGCGGTGCTCTCGGGGATGTGGGAGGGCCTTTGCTGGGGGGCAAAAGTACATTGTTGGGGGGACAGATGTAGAGAAGCAGCTTGGCGTTTGGTGCCTGGCATAGGGTGGGCAGGTAGAGACCACGGACACAGATGTGGGGCTTACAGACATTTTTCTGGGGCCCGGATGCTGCCTGGGCAGCCAGCAGGAACTGGTCTGACCTTCCCAACCAGGTGTGTCCGGGTACTCACCCGACAGCCGAGAGAACCTGGTCCAGGCCCACTCAGTCCACTCACCTCCCACCCCCCGTGGGGGGCCAGGGGCCCGGGCACAGGAGGGCACCCTCTAGATAGGCGCTGCTGGGTTCCCCTGGAGCTCCCCATACCTGCCCTTGTGGCCCTCAGTTGTATCTTATAGGAGTGGCCGTTACAGGCACTCCAGAAAGGGATTAAAAGGCCTCATAAATTGGTCTGGTGATTTGGGATCTGAAGTGCCAAAGGCTCATTCAGGGGCGTTTTATGCAGGAGGCACAGTTGAGCAGGGCAGTTGAAAGAGACAGATCACTGGAAAATTAAATGTGGGCTTTAACTGAGAAATAATCACTTTCTATGAAAGATAATGACTTCTCTGGAGGCTCATATAAAGATTTATCGGCCCCAGACATTAGTAGGGATCAGAGCCAAGGTGAGCAAGGTGCCGGCGGCAGCAATCTTGGTGTGGAAGTCTCACGGGCTCCGAGACCCAGATGCCAAAGCCCGCGCTCTGCACTCGTGGCGCCAGCTGAGATTCAGGGCGTTGCACATGGTGCTGACCTGAACCATGGATGCTCCCTTGGACCCTCGGACCTCGGACCCTGCTGTCGTAGGTGCAAGGCCTCTGGCGCAGGCATCTCCAGCACCTGCCCGCACCAAGGGAAAGTCACTCAGGAGGCCTTGGGTCAGCTGGGAGCACGGCCACCTCACGGCAACCAGAAAGGAGATAATTGAGTTTGAGGCAAATCTGCAGGGTTTTGATGTTGGAGATTTATTACCATGCCAAACGCGTGTGTGTAAAATACATAATTCCTCTCTCATGGCCTTGTAAATCCAAAAGAGTCAGCAATAAACAGAAAAAAAATTACAGACTAATCTGTTCAGAAAACGAGAAGGAAATCGATAAGAAAGCTGTAGCTCAGAATCTGTTTGGAAATCGTGTACACAGAGCGGGAACACAACCCCTGTCCCCCATCCAAGCCTCTCCTGGGTGGAATCAGCAAGAACTGTCTGAGCTGGTGCCTTCCTGAGCTGCAAAACAACTCAGTGTGTGACAAAGGTTGACCTGGCCAGCAGCCGACCTGCACACGCGGCTGCCCCAGAACTGGCGCCTGGGGGAGGGCTTCCTGGAGAGGGCCCCTCTCTGGAGCTAGAAGGTGGAGGGCGCAGGCAGACTTCAGGGCTCTCCCAGGCCAGCTTTGGGGACAGCTCCCATCTCCACTCCAAGTCACCAAAGTCTGGATCTTCCTAGGGCTCCACATAAGTGCAGTCAAGGGGAAGGGGATGAGCTCCTCTCTAAAAGCTGGGGATGCCTAAGGCTCTGGATGGGCGCAGCCAAGCCCTGGAGGGATCAGCACCCTGCCCCCACCCCTGAAGATGGCCCTCATTCCACAAGGGGCCACAATGGATGGCCACCAGGGCTCCGGTGTCAGTCTGTGGCCCACCTGCTGCCAAAAGACAGGCCAAGCTTGGCTGATGACCTTTGGCCCTTGAGCTGGTGGCTCCTCTAATCCTCGCAGGCCTGGGCCTTGGGCGCCAGCAGAGCTGGGGGGTGAGTCAGTGCAAACATGCCCCCCGCCCACCTCACCCATGCTTCCCCAGAACCTCTCTCTCCCGGCCATTGTGGATAATGCTCTCAGTCCTGGCTCATGCTCTCCGTGGCCTGCTGCCTGGCTCAGCCCTGGGAGTTGAACCCAAAGTTCAAAAAAATACCGAGCCCACTGCACTTGATGTCTCCCACCACACTGTCCTCGGCCTAGTGTCAGATGACCACCAGCACGGCCAGCTGTAGGTGACTACTCTGAATGGTGGCTCTGCCCTCAGGTGTCCAGGCTTCCAGAGTCTTCTGCACACGTGGGCACATGTGGGCACACACGAGTATAATGTCACAGGTGCCTGCATGTCACCACGGGGGCTGCACTGTCTCCTCAGGAGTCTCATCCTCCCGAGGCCGCCGGGTCAGCCTAGGGGACAGGCCAGCTCCTCTGTCAGCGGGCCGCCGGCTGGGCCAACTCCGAGACCACAGCTAGTGAGTCGCACAGGATCCTCCTAGTGAGCTGGCTGGAGACTAAATCGACCGCCTCGGCTCTCTCTGCACCGGGTGGGTCGATGCAGGGGCCCCTCTGCCTGGTGCCAGACAGCCCTGTGCCACCAGCCACCGGCAATACTGGAAGACCATCCCCGGCCATACAGGACACTCTGGATGGGGCTGGGGGCTGCAGCATCACCTGCCGTGCAGCATCACCTGCCCCCGCCCATGAGGGGGAGCCTAGCCAGCCAACCAGTTCAGACCACCCGCTGCCCATGGCCTGGGTTCCCCCATCAGACCTTGATCCACCCAACTTGTCCTCAAAGCTTCCACTGTGCGCACCTGCCCCCAGGAAAAGCCCTGACTCCTGGGACCCCAGAGACAGGGCCTCAGGCGGGGCCTTCTTAGACAAGGAGGGCACCTCTCCAGTTTTGATGGAGGCGTCCTCCTCTGGGGGGCCCCTAGGGAACATGGCATCTTCAGGTGGGGGAGGGAAGTCTTCTGAGTGGGGGCTGGTGGGGCTGGCCTCACTCTCTGCTGGGAAGGTGGGAGGCGGAGGAAGGAGGCTGGCATCCCTATGGGTAGAGGACTGGAGGTCGGCACTGCTGTAGGACAGCACGTCGTCGACAGGGGACAGGATCTCAGGCAAGACCCTGCTGGCCAGGGTGGGGCAGGCTTCCTCCAGGGCAGGGGAGTCTCCATCCCCACTATGCCCAGGAGCCCGGCCCTCAGGTGTCAGGGCTACCAGACTGCCAGGGTCCCCAGGAGGAGCCCGCAGGCTCACAGGGACCTTGGGTTCAGACCCGGCCTCCTGGGGTTTCTTGTCATTGGATGGACTCAGGTCAGCATTCCCGGGCTCCTGTGGGCGGCCAGCTGAGGCCTGCAGAAGCACAGGCTCTCCTCCTTTGGCAAAATCCACCTCTTCGGATGTCAAGGACCCCGAGGGAAAGGAAAGGGACAGATCTAAGTCACTGGAGGAAGAGGCTTTGGATGGGAGTGGATTTCGGGCAGCCTCGGGGGACTTCTGTTTGGCTCTCTCTGCATGTAATCCACTGATCATGCTCCCACTGGTTCCAGAAGCTTCCTGCTCCTTCCCAAGGTCCAAGGAAGGAAGTACAGAGCAGGACACCCCACCACTTTCCAGGTGGGATGAGCCTCCTGCCAGCGAGGAGCGCCCTAAGGCTGGGTCCGCACCAGGGCCTGGCTCCAGCAGGTTCTCCTCGTCCCAGACTTTGCTGGACGCCTCTGACAGCTCTGACCCTGACCTGGAAGAAGGCATACAATGGAGAGGCAGCAGCTGGCCCTCTTGCAGGAGGCCTGGACCTGGCTCTGGGCCTCCTGCCTCCATGGAGGAGCAGTGCAGGGCACTGGCCCCAGTGCCCCCCAGCCCCTCCCAGGCCACCTGCCCCCCACCTCCATGGAGCCCCTGGGTGTCTTGAGGAGAGAACTCCCCGGACCTGCCAGGTTCCCCGTCTGGGGCATCCCCAGCTGCCCAGTCCAACAGGGACGTGGAGCTCTCGGAAAGCTGCACCAGAGTGGCGGACACTTTCTGAAACTCTTGGAGAGAGGGGCAGGACAGCTCTTTCACAGGGGACGCGGTGTGGGACCGTGCAGAAGACCCTGAGCAGCTCCAGGGAGTGTACTTGGACTCAGACTCGGGGCCCAGGCCCAGGGGGCTGCCCTCACGCAGGCTGGGTGGTGCAGGAGCTGCAGAGAGAGGGGAGTTTGAGAGTAAGGGCTACCCCTAGGGTGCAGGGATAAGCGGCAGCCCATACCCCATGGCCTCGACCCAGTGGACCCAGACCAGAAAAGCCCAGACAGGCGGGAGAAATGTCCACAGCACCAGCGCAGTGAATCCCTGACTCTACACCGGTTAGCTCTGCCTGGACAGGGGATCTCCCTACGGTCACTCCCCTGCCACTTGGGGACCTGTGGTGGGAGGGTGGGGGTGTAGGCAGGGCTCCCCCGAAGGGCTTGGGGAGAAGGCTGGCTCTGCCTGAGGAACTGGTCTTGGACGACCCTTAGGTGGGGATTCGATGTTCCCTGTGCAAGGCAGGGGCCTCACCTGGAGCAGCAGTGAGCGGAGCAGCTTCCAGCTGAGGGAAGGGGTTGTAGGGGTCCTCCTGCCAACAGGGCTCTATCCTGAAAGCACATATGTGGGGATGTCCCAGGGGCTCCCTGGAGATGGCCCCATCCTTCCTCCCAGCTCAGGGCCTCTGCAGGTGCCTTGGGCCACCCCAAAAGCTTGACAACCGTGCCTGCCAGGCACCTGCCCCAGTGGGAAGTGACAGAGCACAGGACTCCCCAGGTGGGGGGCAGGGGGCCCCGTTTTTAGGGGTTCTGGCCTCAGTCCCCACTGGATTAGGTCTCTGAGGTGCTGTATCCAAGAGGCTCAGGGGCATGTGTTCCCTGGAAGGGCCCTACCTACAGCCCCCACCACTGGAACTTGGGCCGATCCACCAAGTGACATGTGTTTCCATAGAGGCGGTCAGACTCAGGAGGGCATGGAGAGTGCTGGGGGTGCACAGGGGACCCAGGCCAAGATGAGGGGCGCCAGGGGGGTAGTGAGGTTCTCTCAAGGAGAGGACCAGCATCTCCATGCCCCAGGGTCCTGTGCCCTGCCCCAGAGTCACAACCCCCACCCCAGGGTCACACCTCCTGTCAGAAGGTCATGCCCCCAACTCAGGGTCCCACCCGCTGAGCGAGGGTCGCTGGCCCAGCCAGTCCCCCCAAACCTCACACCTCTGTTCCCCCAACCACCAGCTTTCCATTTGGTGGGGATCCTCCATGGGGCTGCTGGAAAAATCCAGCCCCAATTTCGACCCTGTTGGGCTTGTGCTGCCTTCAACCACCTGCTGGAGAAAGACCACAGCCAGGGTATGTCCACTGCAGCCAGGACATCAGCCCGCACCCCTTAGCTGTGGATAAAGCTCCTATGCCCTGGTGGCTATGCTAACAAAGATCATCCCCTTAAAGATGGCCATGGAGCCTCCCACTTACCAGATACTCCTCCCTGCAGCGGGCTCCAGAGACCCCGCAAGGGTTGAATCCACCTGGGAAGGGCCAAACAGGCCCCATCCCATCAACACCCTCCCGTGGTGACAACCCACCCAAAGCCGCATGGTGGAGCCCCACAAAGCAAGGCCAGCCCCCCACCCCTGCAGAAGGTGCAGGGCCAAGCCTTGACTCACACTGGTTTTTGGGGGGCTGCAGGGAGCCCCTCTGCCCAGGGAACACTGGCCCTGGAGTTCCTGTGGGGGGCTTCCCTTCAGAGGCCAGGTCTCCTCCTTTGACGACAAGGAGCTGGGGTTAGGCTGCGGGTTTCCTACGAGCAAAGGGACTGTGAGCATTGACGGGCACAGAATGTGGGATATGGACGGCACAGCATCTGGGAACTCTGAAGCCATGTGAAAAAATCAGCCTCTGGAAATCGGCACAGCACCCAAACTGGCCCCCCATCATCCAGAGGGGAAGACCAAGGCAGGGAGGAGTGCCCCCAGCCAGCCCACCCCATGCTGCCTGGAGGTGGTGCTTGAGGTGCCTGCAGGAGGCCTTCCTGTGGGCAGGCCACTGCACCCAGACACGGAGGGAGGGGTCGGGGACTCCCCAGTTACACAGCTCAGGTGAGGCTCCCCAGCACGCAGGGCTGTCTGACCTCAAGCCCAATATGGCCCTAAGTGGCCAGGGCCCGCAAACAGAGTGACTGCCTTGCCCCTGTTACCTTGGCCCACGGGGCTGTGGCTCTTTGCCAGCTGGCCCCCAGTGTCAGGCCAGCCGCCGGCCACAAGCGTGTCCACTCCCCACACAGGCCTTGGAGGCAGCCGGTGACTGTCCGTAGCTGACGTGGCCTGGGGGGGTGTCCTGTCTTCCTGCCCGATGGGAAGTCTGCAAGGCAGTGAGCACAGAGGGGCTGTGACCCTGCTCAGGCTGTGCCCTCCCCAGGGGATGGGCCCTGACCAGGACACTCCACAGGTGGGACAGCATGTGTCACATCCAGAGCACAGCTGTGGTCGGTGGCCGAGTGGTTAGCACCACGGGTAAGGGAAAATGGGTCCTGGGTCTCCCCACTGGGCAGCTTCCCAAACAGGGGCTGTAGCTGGGGGCTGACTGGGGGGTGATGGGAGGGAGGGCCTGTCTGTCCCCCAGCACAGGGTGCTCTGTCAAGGTTTCTGCATGGGGATGGGCCCACCTGAGCTCTGGGAGGCACAGGGGTTGGATGCTCAGATGCCACACACCCAGACCTGCTGCCAGGCTCTGGGCACACAGATGGGCATCAAGAACCCCCTCCCTAGACACACAACATGCAAATTGCAGCCTCGAGGCGGCCGCGGGGGTACCAGGGGGCCAGGCCCCCTGATTGCTGGGCCAAGGGTCAGTGCTGGCAGGCACGCCTGCTGTACACCGCCACCACTCTCTGCTCAGCTTGCCTTGTTTTTATTCCTAGTCTCGCCCCAGGCGCTCAGGCTCACTACAACTGGGCACAGCTTGCCACACCCCCTGGGTGGCCCTGAGCGTCTCCCACATCCAGCGTGTGAACAGGATGTGGGGTCACAGGGAGCTCTGGAGCTCTGACCTCTCTGGGGTAAGGCCCAGTGGGTGCCTGTCCACCCAGGGCTACCCGGATGCAGACCCCCACTGGCCCCAGGAGCCAGGATGGTGAGGACGGAGCGCCGGGCTGCGCCTGAGCCCATCACTGCCCCCGCCCCCGCCAGAGCTTCCTCAGCAGAACAGGCCAAATAAAACTGGGACAGGAGCCCCCACAGGCTTATCGGCCCTCGCCGCACCCAGGGTCTCAGCCAGGAGCCCCGGGGGCTAAGTGAGGCCTGCCCACCACCCAGACTGGAATTACAGCCACCTGGGGGTCCCTGGGGGTGGCCCCATAGGGACGCCCCAGGCCTACCCTACGAGAGGCCTGCAGAGCTCCTCCTGTTCCTCCTGAACAGAGGAACAAAAGGACTCAGGAGATTCTCCATGGGGCTGTGGAGCTGCACCTCCAGCCAATAACCAAACATGTCTCTCCTGGCTAGGTGGTGGGGGTGGTTCTAGAAAATCTGAAATATTTCCTTATATGTAGACAGCTTCTCTGTTCCTTGACTTTCTTTTTTTTTTAATTTTTATTTATTTATGATAGGCACACAGTGAGAGAGAGAGAGGCAGAGACACAGGCAGAGGGAGAAGCAGGCTCCATGCACCGGGAGCCCGACGTGGGATTCGATCCCGGGTCTCCAGGATCATGCCCTGGGCCAAAGGCAGGCGCCAAACCACTGTGCCACCCAGGGATCCCTGTTCCTTGACTTTCTAACAGGGACGGTGCCTCACTGGTGTGATGGCAAATGCAAAAGAGGCTTTGCCCCCCAGGAGGACGTTGGCTCCTATGGTGGCCCCAGTCCACCGACTGCCTGCCTGGGCTTATGGCCCTGCCACACAGCCTTCAAACGAAGCTCTTGGGGACCAAGAGGGCACAGAGCCTGGAAGCCTCTTCAGACATCCTTGGGCCTGGCAATTGGTAGCAACATGAACGTGAATCTCAGTCCTTTCTGGGTTTATTTGAGAAGCACTCTTGCAGAGAAGCCAAGTGGGGCTTGTGGCCAGGCAGCTGAGTGGGTGATGAGCCCCTCATGGGGTGGAGGCGTGCAAAGGGCCCCACCACGTGGGAAGAGGGTGGCTGGGGGCGCTGGTGCTTCCAGAAGCAGGCAGGGGTCCCTGTGAAGGCCGCTCCTGGGTTGGGAGTTGGGGGATGAGCCCTTCCCGGAGTGGGGGCTGCCTCCCGCGTCCTCACCCCCAGGTGGCTGAAATTCCAGTCTGGGTGGTGGGCAGGCGGCCCTGGGGCTATTTTAGTTACAACAGGAGGGAAGAAGGCATTCCCAGTGTAGCTCGCTCTCTCCCACAGAAGGCTCTGGGGTCAGGTAGCACCAGTCACTGGACACCCCCTCCGCCCTCATGGTGACCCAGCCTAGGCAGGGCCCCTCTAGTCTGTCACAAGATGTCCTCGTGCTGCAAAACGAGGCCAGCCGCCACAGCCTGCAGAACAGCCCCACACCAGCCTGGGAAGGGGCTCCTGGTCGCTGGGTGGCCACACAGGTGTTGCCTGCCACCCTGGAGCAAGGCCAGTCTACTTGCTCTGTCTCACGCACCCCGTCCCCATTTAACAGATGAGGAACTGGGCTCAGAGAAGGGAGGACACCCCAGGGCTGCACCCTCACCAGCACAGCTAGGAATGAGCCAGGCCCTGTCTGTGCTCCTCCCGCTGGGCCAGGAAGCCCTGATGTCGGCCCATATCCCCACAGGCCAGCCAGTTGGAGAAGGGCCCCCTCGGGGTCCCCACTGCTGCCCTCTGCTCAGCAGGGCTGAGAGGTGAAGGGCCCGAAGCCACAAGGAAACAGTGGCCACTCGGCATAGGAAAGGCTTTTTTTGTTTGTTTTTGTTTTAGGAAAGGCTTTTAATGGCAGGCATCGCAGCCAGGGCTGCTGGTGGCGACTCACTGTTGGGCTCCTGGTCTCTCAGGGCTTCTCTGGAGGCCGTGGCTGGTGAGGTTGCGGGGCCCACGAGGTGTCGGGGGGCACAAGGAGCCCTGGGCCGGCCTCTTGGACTGTGGACTTGTTTTGGACCCCTCCATCGGAGCAGGCTTGACTCCGGGGCCAGAGCTCTGTGAGAAGCAGCGCAGGGGAGCCGTGTGAAACACATGTGCTTCGCCTGCTCTCAGGAGGAGTGCGGGGCGGGTAGGGTGAGGTCATTGGCAGCACGGGGCGTGGTGCCGAAGCAGCTGGAGGGATTGTCTAACCCCTGAGAAGCCCTGCATCCTGTGTGAACAGCCCCCAAACAGGTGCAGACATGAGAGCCAGGACTGGGGAGGCTTGGCCCAAGGCTGCTCTAGGTCACCTGTCCTACAGGTCTGCATGAGGCAGGGCACACACCACCCTGCTGCTCATCCCACAGAATCCAGTTCATTTCATCCTCACTCCGCTGGGTGAGGCCACTGGCATCCCCATGTCAACAGAGGAGATGTCCAGGCTGGGGATGTGTCCACACAGCCCCCTCCATGTGTCAGCTGGTGGGGATGGGGAGCTGGAGCAAGCACACCCTTGCTGCTTGGGGTTCCCCTTGGGGCTGCGCCCTCAGAGCCTGGCCACCCTTCCTCCCTGCCTCAGCCCCCACCAGCCCTGGACCCAGCCCCAGCTCTAGCCTGACACCCCTCCTTCCCACTGGGCTTCTCACCTCCACCTCTGGGCCTGGAGCACCTTCCCCTACCATCGGGGGTGGGCAGGTCTGGCCCCCCCTGAAGAGCCTGACAAGGGCCAAGGTGTCCAGGAAACCTCCCTGGCCCCCATAGCAGGTGGCCAGCTGCCCTCCTGCCCTCCAGTGGCACCATTTCCCAGGCCCTCCCCACTCTGAATCACAGGTGTATTGACGAGGGTTCTGTGCCATCCCATAGAGCAGCCAGGTGACTGGTCAAGCCTCCAGCCCAGTGAGTGCACCCACCTGAGGCACCCCGGTCCAGGCCTGGAACTCCTGCTGCAGATGCTTCACAGCCTTCCGCAGGGAGAGGATGTCCTTCTGGTGCTGCAGGAGCAGCATCCTCTCCTTGTGTGAGAACAGGTGAGTGTTTTGCAGGCACCGGATTTCTCTCTGAACCAGCCAGGGGAGACATCAGCGAACCCCCAGCCCCGCACAAAGGAATGCATTGAAGACAGACACATGATGAACGGGGAGAACGGGTGTCTTGGGGGGGGGCAGCCCAGCTCCAGAGGGTCTTCTCTGAGCCTGCCCACATGCCCCCACCCTTCTCATCCTGCTCAGCATGTTGGCACCCCTCTTGGGTTTGGCCAACAGGAGGCTTAGCAAGAGGCAGGAGGGAAGGTGGGGTGTTGGTCCCTGGGTCCCCCAACCTGGGTGGGGATGGGCAGGCTGCTCCTCTGCCCTCCCCAACGCCGCCTTCCCCCATGCAGCCCTCTCTCTCTGCAGGCTCTGGGCACTGTCCCCACCCTTTATTAAACTGTCCCCATCTGTCATCTGGTCCTCGCCTTGTCTCTGATGGCGCAACCTTCGGCAGGGCCATCTTGTCCAGAGTGGCCCCAGTGGACAGGGGCTCAGCCCCCAGTCCCCACCACAGTGGCTCCACCCGGCTCACTGCCTCCTTGCCGTGTGACAACTAGAGCCCTTTCAAAGCCCCCTTCATAGCTCACAGACTGGGGCATGCCCTACAGATGGTGTCGCATCTTTCTCTCTGGGTCTCCTCCCGTTGCCCCTCTGCCTGGAATCCCCACATCTGCTGCCGTGCCTCCCTAGCCCATACAGGGCAGGGGTCTTCTCTCAACCCAAAGTCCAGCAGCACCCCTCACTTCCCCTCTGAGGGTCCCTGAGCAAGCTAGCTGCCTACACTGAGCCTCAGTGTCTTCATGTGCATAAGCTGGTCCCATCACATAGCGCGCTGGGAGACTGACATGAGGTCACGAGTAGAGCAGCCCCTGGACACCAGGCTGGGAGCAGCGTGAGAGCCCCTCTGTGGTCCAGCACCTCCGCCCTGCTCAGTGCTGACTATGCTAAAGTCCCTGCAGCCTCGCAACAGACACTACTGTTACTTTCCCGAGCTTGAGCCTCCAATGTGCTATAGGAGGCAGGACTGCAGGGCTACACTGCACCCAGGCCATGCTGCTCCCTCTGACCCCTGGGCACTCCCCTTGCACCACAGGGTCCTGGGCTACATCGGACGGTGGTGATGCCTAGGAATCATCAAGGTGTGGTGCAGAAGGCTCACATTCCTGCCCAGCCACTGGGGTTGAGCTTGCCCTTACCTGCTCCTGCTCTAACCGGCTGAGGGCCTGCTGTTGTCTCTCTGCCAAGGCTGCCAGCAAGGCGGCGCTCCCCTTGCTGCCCAGACACCTGAGGGACAAGTCAGGACCCACGGCTCACCTCATGTCCAGCAAGGGGATGTGAAAACCTGCAGACACAGCCAGCCCTGGCCAGCCAGGTGGACCTGGGATGGCCCCCTCCCACTGCTCGGATAGGCTGGGGACCCCTGGGGACCTGGTGGCACCCAGGCTGTCACTCTTCCCGCCTACTCTTCATGACCACTTTCCAGAGACAGAGGGAGGGCAGCACCTGGCACCCTGGAGCTCCAGCCCACCCAGAGGTCCTTTGCGGGGGAAGGGGGGTAGGGGAGCGGGAGCCATTGTGGAACTGCAGGCCCAGAGCCTCGCACGATGTCCACTGCATAGAGGACCTTCACCAGCCTAGTCCACCACCTGGAGGACCTTCCCTGGCCTAGTCCACTGCCCTGTAGGACCTTCACCAGCCTAGTCCACTGCCCCTAAGACCTCTCGAGGAGCACCCTCTGTGGGAGGCCATGAGGGGCGCAGAGAAGCTATCGGTGCACCCAATATCAAGGGTCACTGACCAGCAAGCCCCAGGCTGGCGTGTACGTTGAGGGAGGTCTCTCCCCCTGTCCACTTGTAAGGACAAAGGGGCCCCCTGTGGGCGGTGGTGTCAGGCAGGGGCAAGGGCAGATGTTCCCGGGCCAAGGGAGACCCGGGCTGCAGGGCAGCACCTGCTATGCACCTGTCCCCCGACGGGCTGGCGGCGCAGAGGGCACTAGGCCTTGTTCGCGGTGCGTCACCGCCCTATCTAACTTTCGGCAAACATCGGTCACTAAACACCGGTCACTATCTGGCTCCATCTGTTCCTTGCTTCGCAGTCAGGCCCGGGGGCGGGGCCAGAGGGTGGGGGCGGGGTTCGGGGGCGGGGCCCGGCGGCGGGGGGCGGGACCGCGCGTGCGCTCACCGTCGTTGATGCTCCAACCAGGCCAGCTCGGTGCGCATCTTCTCCTCCAGAGTTTTCTCGCGCAGGCGCAGCAGCGCAGCCTGGTGCTGCGCGCGCAGCTTTTCCTCCCGCTGGCTCAGCTCGAGCATCTGGATCGTGAAGCGGCCGGGGCGTCCGGGGTTGGTGTTCCAGGGCCCCGCCAGCCTCCACTGGGGCGGGGCAGACCAAGCGGGCCGCTCCGGGACTAGCTTCGCTGGGTGGGAGGAGTGCCCAGCCCACGGGAGGCCACCGCCTCCAAGAAGCCCTCCCAGACTGCCCGCCTCACTCATCCCCTTGTGGTGCCTCCCTTCCTGGGGCGGGGTACCCCCCCTCCCGACTGTGAGCTCCCAGAGGCAGGGCAGGGTCCTCATCGTCTGGGTCTCCTGCCCAGCCCTGATCCAGCCTGAGCACTTGTTTGTGCCCAAGAGAGTTGGGGAAAGACTGGACCGCCTGACCTGCAATGTGCGCCCTGACAGGTGCAACCAGCCCTGCCTGAGCACTTTGTTGAGATGTCTGCTCTCACTCACCGACCCAGGAAGAGAAAGGGGCTTCGGTGGGTGTCCGTAGGAAGGATGGTGCCTGGCAGAGAGTGTCTCCCCCCGCCCCAGACCTGCAGCGGAGACCCCTTAGGTGCGGGCTCTAGGAGAGGTGGTTCTCAGCGCCTGATGGCTCCAGGCAGCTGAGGATCTAGGTCTGAAAGCTGCTGCCGGGAGCACCGGGACAGCTCAGTGGTTGAGCGTCTGCCTTCCACTCACGTCATGATCCCTCAGCTCCCTGCTCAGCAGGGAGTCTGCTCCTCCCTCTCCCTCTGCTGCTTCCCCTCACCCTCCGCTCATGTTCGCTCGCTCTCTATTTCATATAAATAAATAAAATTTAAAAAGATAAATAAAAGGGGCCAGCAGTGCCTCCCCTGAAGCCCCCTCCCCAGTGTTCCTCGCCCTGTACCTGGTGGGTGGGGTTGACCCGAGCATAGAGCCTGGCCTGCGGCAGCTGCAAAGACACTTGGTCTGGTCCCACTTCCTGCCTGGGCTCTGGGGACAGAAAGCAGTCTGTGGTTGGGCTATGTAGGGGTTCTGGACAGAGTGCTGGGTCGGGTAGGGGTTCCAGGGGGCTTTCAAAGGTAGAATGTCTGGGGTAGCTTAATACCCCGCATATACAGAGCTTCACGTGCCACATCTTTACTCCAGGAGGATTTGACCACCTCCTTTGTCCTGATGTGAGGTTGTGTGTGAACCCACTGATCATACACAGGACCAGACCCAAAGTAGAGAGGCCTGCAGGATGACGAGTCCTGTTGCCTCTCTTCTGTGGAAGGAGAGACAAGGAGTGACCTGTCTGAGGTCAGCACCAAGCAGATGGGGTGACAGCTGAACCCAAATTCTGGGTGTAAGCAGCCCTCTTGCCACTGACTGCTGCTCGCTGTCCTTCAGTGCTGGGTGGGATGGAAAAGAGACTCTGTAGTTTTAAAAAGTTCATTTGAGGACTTGTGCTTTCCACCAAGAGAGTAAAAGGAATCAGACTGTGGATTTACTGTCCTACTAAAAATAACTTTAGAATGCAACAAAACGGAAAAAATTATATATATACATGTACACATATATAAATGTTCACACACACACATATACAAAAGAACAATTTTCTGGATGCTGAACATCAGGCAAATGGCACAGACCCCTGATAGTCAGAGTTAACTGCCTTGAGAATGTTTCTAGGCTGCAGTGCAGGGAGGGGAAACTGAGGCAGAGCCCAGTAGATGCCTCAAGAAGAGGACATGGAGCTGGAAGTCTGGAGAGACCCAGGCAGCTAAAGTTTGTGGAAGAAGGACCAGGGAGGAGAGAGAAGCATGGGGAGAACCCAGAGATTCCGAGTGCTCCCCATGAGCCCTCATTGGGAACTGGTTGGCGAATGCATGAGGAAGCTACCCACTCTGGGGAGAGAGCGTCGGGAAGGAGTCCAAGGCCTGGGGTTATGCGCGTCTCTACTGGCCAGGCTGGAAAACCTCAAGATCTATGGGTCTTAGGGCCACAGACTGAGCCCTGCTTCACGGCCACCTAGCAATTGTCAAAGCAGCACCTGGAAGGATCCGACCTTCCGATCCGATCATTCTGCGTTCCATAATGAAACTCCCAATCGTGCGTGGGGGCTCGCACACAGAGCACCCAACAAGACAAAACCCAAACCATCCAGCAGGCATGCAAAGAAGCAAGAAAGCGTGACCTATAATGAGATTAACCTATCAAAACCGACCCAAATGGTAGAATGAACCAGAGAAGGACTTTGGAAGCATCTGTAACTGTATTCTCTACATTTAAGATGTCAAGTAGAATTGGGGATGACAGAAAAGTGTCCAGATGGAACTTTTAGAGACCAACACCCAAGTGCCTGAGACAAAAAAAAAAAAAAATACACTGGCTGGGACTAGTGACAGAGAGGATACCGCAGAGGATAACAGAGACACTGTAGCAGGAGCTCCCCAAGAGGACGCGCAGGAAGAAAACAAACACACGAGAAGAACCAAGCCTCCCAAGCACACATGCAGCTGCAGGTGATGAGCCATCCAGGCGAATGGAGGCCTGACGGCGAGGACACAGATGACACGGCGGCTGGACATTCATAAGCACAAGGAGGATGGTGAGCCCACAGGTGCAAGGCTCACAGCACACCCCAAGTACAAGAGACAGAAAGAGAAGCTACACCCATAGCAATCCTATGGAACACTCCAGAACGCCTACAGGAAAGCCACCAGAGGAGGAAGCGCCTCCCGTGCATGGGAAGAGGGAGTCAACCCCAGGTTTCTTGTCGCAAACGACACAAACCCAATGGCCAGGCAGAGTTGCTAACAGGAAGGAAATCCATCCACCTGAGTCTGCGTTCAGGGAAGGATATTTCAAAAGCAATGATAATGGAGCTCTGTGATGGAGTGTCTCCCTTTGGCTCAGGGTGTGATCCCGGGGTCCTGGGATCGAGTCCCACATGAGGCTTCCCGCAGGGATCCTGCTTCTGTCTCTGCCTGTGTCTCTGCCTCTCTTTGTGTGTGTCTCTTATAAATAACATCTTTAAAAAAAAAAAGGAAGAATGAAATGAATTTGTCCTCAGACTTTACAAAAGCTAAAAGGATTTGTCACCAGCTCCACCAGAACAGTTACAGCAGGTCCTTCAGGCAGAAGGATGGTGACGCCAGAGGCAAATCGGGTCTACTTGAACGGACGAGAGCCACCCCAGAAACAGGTGCACAGATACCTTGAAAGGTGACTGAGTGGAGTTCCTGAAATATTGGAGGTGGAAGGATGCAGACAGCAGGGGCAGAGCCCAGGAGAGAGAGGGACGGGAGAGCCTGTCCTACAGGAGGAGGTGGCGTGTCCCCAAATGCCAGGCTCCTCTGCCTGCCAGGGACGGTGCCTGCCAACTCTCACCTGCAGAAGCTGACTTGTCCTGCTGCGCCCAAAGCCCGTCCTGGGGACCCTGCAGGGCTGCAGCAGTCTCTCTGCTCAGTGCTGGGTGTGATCTGTGGGGAAAAGCACAGGTGTCGCAGCCCCAGCAGCCCTAGTTGCTGCCACTGGCTCCAGACAGCCTACCCGCCCTCTTCCACCTTGGGAGGTGGTGTGGCCAGCCCACCTGGGGCCCCACCTGGGTCTGGCTGTCACGGTACTTGGTGAGGTCCTCGGCTGCAGGTCTCTGCACACCTGTGGCTGCTCCCGCTCCAAAGCTGGATCTGGCCTGGCCTGGGTGGAATGTTTCTTCATCAGCTGCTGCAAGGACAGGAAGTTGGGGGATGTCATGGGGGCCCCAACCTCAGAAGTCTCCTTTGTCTGCCCTTCACAGGGAGCTGGCGGGCCCTCCCTGCCCCCCAGACATGGCTGGATGTGGGGGTGGGGCAGGGCGACAGGTGGGGCGAGGCTGGGGCTGGAGCATCCCAATGGGCGATCGAATGGCCTGTGGGGGCTGCAACAGCCACAAGTACCCAGCAGTTGTGATGCTGGTGACAAGGAGGGGAAGGAGAGAGATGGAACCCGGGGCGGTGTGTGTGGTGCCCGCATACAGGCATGTACGTGTGCATGTGTGTGCATGCACTCCCCCAGGCTGGGGTACCCTCCTGGGAAGGTACTGTGTACTGTGAGTGACTACATCCCAACAGTCCCCAAAGGTTTGCCACATCCAACCAGATCACAGATGTTGGCCTGGGTCTGGGTCCTGTCTGAACCCCGACCAACAAGCACAGGGCCTGGCAGAGGTGGTTCGGGGATGTGGGACCCCTTCCCCACAAGCAGGCGCTGACATGCCCAGGACACAGACAGGGAGGAGGCTCGGCACTCATCCAAGCCCTCTGCCCAGTGCCTCAGATGTCCTGCTTCTGCCTTAAACTAAGCTGGCCTTTGGCAGGTAGCTCTGCTGTCCTCCTCTGGGCACCAGTATAGCCCATGGTTCAGGTGGTGTGGCATCTGCCCCCCGCCAGCTTGACCTTCCGCAGAGGCAGAGGGCCCCACTCAGCCAGAGCGCCCAATCCCCCTGCGAGGGCCCCGGGCTTGGGCGGGCAGGTGGGCTAGCACTGTCCCTCTGCCCGTGAAGAGCCCCCGGGATGGGCTGGCTGACCTGTAGACAGTGTTTGAAGAGCAGCTGGTCCAGGGCCTTCTGTGTCTCCCAGACCTCCAGCTCTGCCCGCTGCCGCAGGAGGGCCAGCGCCTGCTCTTGCTCCTGCAGGTCCGGCTGCAGGGAGGGCCCAAGCCTCAGGATTCCAGGGCCCGCCCCTCACTGCTGCCCCCATCCTTCCTGGCTCCCCCAAAGCCCTGAGCCCAACCTCTGAGAATGGGACACTTCTGGGAGGGATGCCCTGAAGGCCCCCCTCATCCAGCTGGCTTGCTCCCATCGGGGCTGAGAAGGCCTGTGTCCTAAGGCTGCCTGTTCCTCGCACTGCAGGCCTCCCTCATTCTGCAGTTCCCCGCTTTGGAGCCTCTCTGCTCAGCCTCAGGGGCGAGGGGATGGGTCATAGCTGCCGTCAGCCTGACACAATGGGGGCAGGACACACCTGCAGTGACTTGAGAAAGCCCCGGGATTTCCGGGGGATGTTGGCAAGGTGCTGGAGACATTGACCTGTGGGAGCCACAGAGAAGGGGCAGCTGAGCAGCCTGGGGCACCCCTGCTCAGCCTTAGCACTTGCCTCGCAGGATGGTAGGGTGCCCCGACCCCGGGCACCACAGCCCCTTCCCCACACTTCCGGGGAGGCCGGGCCAGTACAGCCTAGGGCAGGAGGGGCCAGCTGGCTGCTACAACTCCTCCACCTCCCGGGGGCTCGGTCTGCCTGACCCGCAGCCATACCCACCCCCCTGAGCCACTCCACGTCTGCAGACACAGCGAGAGCCGAGCACGCATTCCCTGGGGGGCCCCGGGGAATAGAACACTAGCCCCTTGGAGCTTCAGCGGGAAGATGAGGTGCCCATCTCCCTGGCAGAGAGGTGACAGATGGCAGTTGTTGGCACTGTAATCATGCTCACGGGGGAGGGCCCCTGGGGGTCCCTGGGATTTCTGGGGTTGCCCCGAGAATGAGCACAGAAACCTCTGCCTCCCTGCCAGGTCAGGAAGTCCCCAAGGGCAGTGAAGGGGGTCTTCTTTCCCTTTGACGGCCCCCGAGGGTCCAGTGTGGGTTCTGCACACTGTAGGTGTTCCTGGCTCCTCTGGAGCTGCCCGTAGGGGTGGCCAGTGTGCCCCGTCCTTGGCCATCCTCCTATCTTCCCGGCCCGGCCCTGGTAGGGGCGGGCAGGGGGGTGCATGTGGGATGATCGGCACAGGTGCCAAGGCCCTCCTGATGGCTCTCAGGTGCCCGGCGATGGTAGTGAGTGTGCAGAGTGAATGCCGTCCCCCGAACTGTGCTCCTCTTCCAGAGCTTCTCCTGGTTCAGGCGGCAGGGGCCGAGGATGGCAGCAAAACCAGCTCCGGGGCATTTCCATGGCACCACCAAAACTCAGAAGCGCAACCCGGAGGGAGAAGTGGGGGCTCCGGCCACCTCGCAGGAGCTGAGCATGGGGCAGCCCTTCCCTCCCTGCCGGCCTCCACAGGGGACGGACCCCCGTCAGGGAGAATGGTTCCCAATGTCTCTTCTGAGCTGAAGTTCCCCTGGGAAGGACACATCCTCCTCTGCTTTTGCTTCATGGCTATTGAGAGAAGCTGGAGCCCGAGAAGATGCCCCGGCCCCGCAAAGCCCCACCAGCCCAGGTGCCCACTGACCATCCTGCGGGCACCCGGGAGGCCGGAAGCCTTAGCACAGGGTGTTCCTGTTACCTCTGGCCACAGCATACCAGCTCCCCAGACGGTCATCTGGGGGACACAGGCTCTGTAGTCCTGCACTTGTAGCTGTGACCCAGGAGAGAGCAGGCCGTCCCTGAGGTGGGCATGTTGTGACAAGCGTGTTCTCAGTTGGGTGGCTGGGCTCGGGGAACCAGGGCCTGAAGCCAGGAGAAGGCTGGCAGGTCACAGTGCCCAGGTCACAGCTAAACTTGTCCAGGCCACCCTGGCCGCCGGCCACACACTCACCCCTGATATTTACGCTTAAATGAAAGGGAAAGAAAACCTAACGTGCCAGCCTCAGGTCCCGCTGGCCTGATCAATGGCAGGACAGCCACGTGTGACTGATGGCTACCATCCTGGATAGCCCAGAACTTAGAACATTTCTCTCCTTCCAGAAGGTTCTGTGGGACACCAGGGTCTCTTGGGCAGTGCTAGGCTACATGTTAGTCTAGTGGACAGCACTGCCTGCAGCAGGTTAAAAGCCGCATCCGACCCCCTGTTCTGCCACTGATGAGCTTGGAGTGATGGTGCCTCTGCGAGCATCAGGCTCCTTCTCCACGAGCAGGGGCATGAGGACGGGACTCACCCCAGGTGCGCCAAGATGGGCGAGACCCCCACGTGGTGTCACAGGCTGCCTGGCTTGGGGCACTCGGGACCCTCAGGACATTACTCATGCTCCCGGCATACATTTCCCCAGCACACATACGCGGCAGGCCTTGACTGTAACTGCAGGGAGAGCCAGACCCTCAAGTCCTCACGGCCTACAGAGCCAGCTACGATCAGGATGAGTGGCAGGACCTGGCCCAGACCAGGTGTCACATGGGAGGCCTTCTGGAAGAGGTGTCGGACACAGGCCCAGCATGGGCACTCTGGGTGTGCACACTGCTGGATTTCTCTGGCTACTGGATATCCTGCTCTGAGCCACTCCAGGCAGGAGCAGCTCAGGTATCAAATGATTCTTGGGGAGGCTTCCCATGGCCTCAGGATAAAGAGATCCTGCAGGGAACTTGACACCTAGATAAGCCCTTCCCAGTAGAGAGTGAGGAGGGATGCGGGAAGGATGGAGAAGTTGGGGGAAGCCTGCACCCCATCATCCACCCTGCTCCCCGCCTCTTGCAGAAGCACCTGGAGGCAGAGCCGGCAGGAGGAGCAGGTTTTTCTGGAAGGCCTGGCACCTGGCACCAGGTTCAGCGTGTGGAAGCTGCCAGGGCCCCTGGCCAACTGCTCCTCCCAGACCAGAGTCAGAGGCTCCAGGAGGCAGCAGGGCCCTGGGACATTTCTCAAGCTGCCCCATGTCCTCTCTCTGAAAGGCACAATGGGTGTAGGTGGGAGCCCTGGGGACCCCGAGGTCCCATAGCAGGTGGCATGGGTCCCCCTAACTAACCTCTGTGTGAGGGGCACGTGCCAAAGGGGACAGCTCTGCAGGAAGGCCCGTCTTGCCCTAGTGCCCAGGCTACTCACTGACCGTCGCCCCCTGAGTGAGTCAGCGGGAAAGCTCCCCCTCAGTGGCAGGAGTCCACTATGTAGGGATTTTGTCCTTCCAACCAGTGACTGATGGTTCTCCCCCCGTGGGTGTGGGGAGGATCCCCTTCTCTGCCCTAGCTCTGCTTTCACGCCCCTCCCCATGGGCTCCAGGAACGGCTGCCTGACCCTGCAGATGTCGACTACCCCACGTGGGTACACACAATGCAGGGAACGTGAGTCTGTGTGTGTTTGTGGGGGGGGTGGTGCACGTGGACTGGGTGTCCACTGTGAGCAGCAGTGGCTGTCCTAAGGGCCAAGTGCTTCCTACCTCAACCCTAGGCTTCACGTCACCCCTTTGACTGTGGAGAGGGACAGGGGCCACCTGTGCTCTCCCAGCTTTCTGGGACATACAGCTGAGCCCAGGTTCTTGGCAGTGGGTCCAGGGAAGGTCTCCAGGCACCCAAGGCCCCAAGTGTGGAGGTGATGGACAGGGGGGGGGCCTGTACCCACTGTCCCCTACAGCTACTGAAGCAAGTGCCTCCCAGGTCTTCACCCCAACCTCGTTATAGGGACTGTCATGCTTACTCCTGCTGGAGCCTCACCATGGCCCCCACAGTGGACATCCCTCCCAAGAGCAAGGAGCCACTCCTGCTGCACACCCCTGTGGGGATGGTACATGGGGCTGAGGTGAGGGCTGAAGAAAGGGCTATCCCCTTGGGAGGGAAGGCCAGAGCCTGACAGGATCCTGGCCAGGAGGCAGCCACCCCTGTGCGACTAGGAATCTCCCTTGACCCTCACAGCAGCCAGCCATCCCCCTGCTCAGCCAACCTTCCAGAAGGACAGTCAGGGATGCACAAGTACTGGCACCTGCGTCCAACCCTGAATCCCAGCTCACCCCTGGGTGCCCTTGGGCCCTTCACTGCCCCTCTCCGGGCCACACTTTCTGGGACTGGAAACACGGTGGAAATCTCTTCCAGGAAGCCAGTCACTTGTGGCTCAGAACCTGACGTGCTGTGTGCTCTCTCTCTAGCATCTCCTGAAGCTTGACCCCACTGAAAACCCATGCCTGGGGGCAGGGCCTGATCCTTCGTCAGTACCAGGCACAGCAGGTGCCATGGGCACAAGTTGGAAAAACAGAGAGGGGTGCAAACAAATGAATTAGTGGGCTGCTAAAGCTGTTGGGGCTCTTCCTTGGGAGACGGGGAGAAGCAGGGTCAGCAGCGCCTCCACAGGCTAGAGAGTCCCCCAGAACAAGAGGAAGGGGAGGAGAGAGAGAGAGCCAGACCATGACATGAGCCCGGCAGGGGCCATTCCACACACATCCCCAGCCTCTCAGTCCTCTGGGCCTCCTACCGCAGAGCCGGGACCCTCCAGCTGCCCCTCCCTAAGCAGGTGCTGGGCGGAGCATCCTCACAGCCCCCCAGGCTCCTCAGCGCACCGGGCAGGGCTCCCCCTCCCGCCCCCACTCTGTGGCCTTGAGCAAGTCTCCTCACCTGAAACCCAGGAACCAAACCCTTCAGAAGCAAAAGGAAAGGCAGAAGCCTGGGCCAGCGGGTGCTCAGAGGAAGCGGTGGGGAGCAGGGCTGCCAGTGGCCCCCATGGGACGGAGTCTCGGTCACAGCAGAGGTGTGGCAAGAGCGATAACAAGCAGCTGGGTCCCGAAAGCCTCCAAAAAACTTTAATACTGAAGTATGGAAGCTCTCCACATAGAAAAGGATCTCTCTACACCCGTAGGACCTCACCGGAGCATCAGGCAGTGGAGGGGGTCCCCAGGGGACCCCCCCGGCCACCCGACCAGCCAGCCCAGGGCCTGTCCGCAGGCTCGCCCTTACCACAGCCTCTCATGGTCCAGGGCATGATGGAGCCCACCCCTCTGGCCGCCGGCATCTCCTCCAGCTGCAGGGAGCCACAGGTGGGGTCCAACACGGCTGGCACCCCGAGGGAGCTAGGGACACGCAAACACACGTGTGAGTGGAGTTGGCCACAGGGAACATCTGCGGGGTACGAGGTGCTGGGGGTTTTGGGGGGGGGCAGTGACCCGGGCTCCCTCGGCCTGAACGAAGAAGCTGCTCTCAGACCCACAGTGTCCAGGGTGGAAGCCAAGAACCAGAGGCCCAAGGGGGATGGCAGTGAGCCAGGAGGATGGCAGCGAGCACGTGGCACCCACAGATGCCAATACCCGCAGTGTCCCGAGCGGCATCAGTGAGGTGGCACCGTGGGGCTCTGCCCTGGGACCCGGAGGACCAGCAGCCCTCAGGAGCTGGGACCAGGACACCCTTCGCCTGGAAGCCCATGCCTGCTCTGGGTCTGTTCCCACGCCAGGCCCTTGGGGGGAGGACGGGCACTCTGGGAATGTGGGGCATCTCATCATTCCCTCTACCACCTGCTAAGGGGCACTGTTCACTGTCCATCAGGCCCAGCGCGGAGCAGGGTGGACGCAGCAACCCTAAGCCTTGCCACCACCTGCTCGTGACCCAAAATGCTGCTCTGTCCCACACCTCCAGGTACCCAAGGAGGCAGGGGCCACAGCAGGCTCAGGGACCTGCCCTTGCTCAGGCCACACTAACCCCTACCCTGAGGCTGGCCGGCACATTTCACTACCAGGATTAGGAGGAAGGCATGGGTCTGGGCCTTTCCAGAGAGAGCAGTCAGCCAAGAGAGCCACAGTGCCTGGTCAATGACAGCAGACACACAGCTCTGCCTCCCCAGAGTGCAGCTGCCACACATACACCCCCCTCCCCCACCCGCTCCCAGCGCACAGCGACTCAGGACCACCAGCATCACCAAGGACACACCAGCCAGCCATGGAGACTCGGACAAGTGCAGGGGGGGACATAGCCCTCCTCCAGCAGCCCCAGCTGTTTGCTGAGTACTTGCTACCTGACCGCTTGGCCCCCGCCCCTGCCGCCTTGGCCTTGCTGGGGAGACATTGGAGAAAAGGGCAAGCTCTGGGGAGGCGATGGATGGGCTGAACCCGGAAGACTCCAAGGTGACCACCAGGGTACAGGAGGGGACACAAGGGACCAGGCCGCTCTGGGGGGCTCATCTTACTCCCTCCTACCCAACCCTGAACTCGGAATGCCAGCCCCACCGGGCGGCTCTCCTCAAAGGCTTAGTCAAGGGATGCCAGCACAGTGGGTGGTTGATAAGCCGGTGTCCCCCCAGCTGTCTAGGGCAACGGTCACAAACATGCTCCATAAAGGGACAAGCAGCAAGTACCGGGCTTTGCAGACACAGTCTCTGCCTTTGTAGACATGAATCCACACCAGCAGGACGGCAGCCACGCTCGGGTAGAGGATGAGCGAGGCCATGTGCAGAACCACTTTATGCACAGAATTGGGCAGTGGCCCGAGGGGCTTGCTCACCTCGGGCCTAGACATTCTAAGGCAGTGGTTCTCACCCTATCACCCACAAGACTGGCCCTAAGACCCAGCCTCGTGTACTGGGTTCAGGGGGGCCAGGGTGAGCTGGGGACTCTGCATGTCTAATGGGTCCTCAGGGAATAGTTTGAGAATGCTGGACTAAGGAATGGGCTCTGGTGCCCAGCCCTATGGGTCTGAGTGTTGGCTTGACCCTCCCATGAGCTGTGTGATCCCGGCAATGTCACTGTGCCTTTCTGAGCCTCAGTTTTCCTGTCTGTAAAGTGGGAATGAGAACATATCTCACAGGGCGCTGATAGCACTGCCCGAGGTGCAGAGAGGCCACGGGTGGCAACGGCAGGCACACAGCTGGGGTGTACCCTCCATCACCCTTCCTTCCAGAGATGCTGGGGTGGACAGGCCCTGGGAGGGCAGGAGCTGGCTGGGTCCCCAACCAGAACTGAACCCCACAGCCCCAGCAGGGAGCCCTGGATCTGGGAGGGCACCGGCCTGGAGCAGCAGAGGGCTGGCCACAAGCTGGACCAGAGGGCCTTGACCTTCATCCTTGGACTCAGGCAGAGGTGAGGCCGCCAGAGCAATGAGCGGCAGCTGCTATTCTAGGAGAGACAGGCCAGGCAGTTTCCCTGGACATGCCAAGGGGCCCTGATCCCTGACCGGCAAGGCTGCTGGGTCATCCAGGGCACGACTCCGCACAGCCTGGACAGGGCCAGGGGATGGGGAGGACGCAGCGCCCGGGGTGGGGGGTGCCGTGGGCAGCGGGGCGGGGCCCTGTTGGCCGTCCAACAGTGGAGTGCGCAGGTGTTGGGTGTCCTCCGGGAGCCCAAGCAATGGGTTGACCTCGGGATCCTCCCCTCCCTGACCTCTCCTCCCAGTGGACATAGGGGTGGTGGAGAACCAGAGGTCCAGCCTGATGCTGCCCCCTGCTGGCAGCTATGGGTCTGCTCCTCCATGCGGCCTATGCGGCCTGAGGAAAGGGCCTGTGTGAGGGGGGCCCCAAAGGCCTCAGGCTGTGCTGGGGGGAAACTCAGCCCATGGGACTGGGCAGGAGGACTCGTCAATCACACAGGAAAGTGTGGCCGACGGTGTCTGGCTGGGGCGGGGAGCCAACATAGAGGAGTGTGCGGAGCGGGTGCATCCCAGGGGCTGTCCCCCCATCAGCAGGGACCTTGGGTCAGGGGCCCACTGCAGCCCAGCCAGAGCAGAGTCTCAGAGCCACTGTGCAGCCTGGGGTCCCTCGCCCTGCCCTGGCCTGGCCTAGCCAGTGGCATCACCAGAGCCATCACCAGAGCCAGCAGGCCCTGATCCCGGTCTGGGGCCTTCTCATGGCCCGGTCAAAAGCGATGCCCCCCAGCAGCCTGGCTGCACCCAGACCCCAGAGCCCAGAGGCCTCCTGTGCATGGGCTGTGCGCCACTGGCATGGCTGGGGTGTATAGAAGGCATGCAAGCTCACCTCCCGATGAAGGAGCCGAGGGCCGGGAATGAAGCCGTGTTTCTTGCCAGCCTGTTATCCAGCTCCAAACACCCGTCCTCAATGAAACCTTTGGAGAGATGGACACCAGGGCTCATTCCCCAGGAGCTGGAAGGAGGGGAGGAGCTGCTTGCGGGTGCAGGGGTTACTGAGGGAGAGGCACCCCCAGTTCTCATGGCAGGAAGGGCCTGGAGAGCCATGTCCACTCTCTTGCCCCTCTTTAGAGGTGGCAGCCATGTAAGCCTCAGGGCTAGGCCTCACCCTCCTCCCACCAGGGCCATGGTCCTGACAAGGTCTGGCTGGGCTTGGCCAGGACTGTCACCTACATCCTCTCTAGTGGCCCAGACACCTGCTGTGGTATTGTCATCGTTATTTTCCTTTTAGGGGCAGGGGGAAGTGGGGTCCCCTTGGCCACTGGTGGGGCTGGTGGTCATGCCCAGGCCCTACCTCGGGGCCTGCTGTTGTAATGGCCCCTTGGGCTCACACTCTGCCGCCGCTCCCAGTCGGGACTCCATGGCAGCGTCTGGCCACCTGGGAAGCAGGTGGGTGAGACCAGTGGCCTGGCCCGCATGTCCGTCCAGTCCCAGGGGGCCTCTCTGCTCCCATTGGGCACCAGAGCTCCAAGGCAGACTGGGTCTGCAGGCGTGGGGTCAGCGGGCACCATGATGGGGTGTGAGGATGACAGGTCTGAGACTGGGTCCCCAACAGTGTCCGGTGCCTCTGACTTGTGCAGCTTGGCCGTCAGGATGTCAATCCGTTGCTTCAAGACATTGGCCATGGTCTCCAGTGCCTGTAGCCGGGCCTGCTTGTACCGGAAGTGCAGGGGCCCCGGCATGCCCAGGCGTTCGCTCTCCTCGGGGTCCAGGTAGATGCATACCCCAGGGCGCGGGTAGCGGGTGGTCAGGTCCTGGAGCTTCAGGGGGCCCAAGGAGGAACGGGCCGACATCAGTACGGGGGTGCCCTCCCAGCCGTCCTGGGGGCCGCCTGTCTCTAGGGTCTCAGTGCGATTCAAGGCTCTGTTCAAACACAGGCAGAAGCTGCAGGGAGACAGGGCGGAGATGGTCAGGTCCAGTGCATGTGTCCTCTGTGGCATGTTTGAAACACACGTGTGCAGGGGTGAGCCCAGTGCAGCCTCTGGGACGGAGTGTGTCCATTCTCAGGGACTGTCTCTGAACAGAGAGATGGCTATAGGGCCTCGTACAACAACAGGCCTGAGAAAGACTGAGTTCTAGGGGTAGAGTACCCAGGAGCTTAGGCGGCAAAGGAAAAGACAGATTGATCAAAGTATTTCAAAATGCACAACTGGTGTGCATCGAAGGCCCAGTCAACCGAGGGAGAAGGCAGCCTCTGGGAGGGGGAGTGTTGTCACAAACCACATATCTCATAGGGGTCAATGTCCAGACGGGTGAGGAGCCCAAAATTCAACGACAAAAACATCACTTTCCATAAAAAAGGAAATCCCAGCACCTGCCATGACACGGATGGATGTGGCGGACATGGGGCTGAGGGAGGTGAGCTGGGCGCAGGGGGATAGATTGTGTATGAGCGGAAGCTCCCAGGAGGCCCCGGAGGAGTCGGACCCACAGACACAGCGGGGGGGGGGGGCGGTGAGGTGTGTGTGTGTCATGGGGTCAGAGTCCAGTCTGGGAAGACGACCACATCCTGGGGATGGATGGAGGGGACGGCCACACGACGGTGTGAGTGAAGTGACAGCCCTGAGATGGTAAATTCTATGTTATGTGTATTTCTTTACAGTTCCTTTAAAATGTGGAGGGAAAGGGGAAATATGGAAGCAAGAGGGAGGATCTACAGCCTGCCCTGTCTGGGGAGGAAGCCAGGGGCATCAGTGCAGGGCAGCCAGGAGCACCCCCACTGGCCCCTCTGCGGAGGGAGGGCGCTGGCTGCCATCTCAGCCCGAGCGTGGGGATTCCGGGACATGTGAGGGGCTCCAGCCTGCACATCCGCCCCCCGGCCCATCCCCTCCCTGGGGTGTTACCAGGGAGTTTAAAAAGTTAAAGAGTAGGGCAGCCCAGGTGGCTCAGCGGTTTAGCGCCACCTTCAGCCCAGGGCGTGATCCTGGAGACCCGGGATCAAGTCGCATGTCCGGCTCCCTGCATGGAGCCTGCTTCTCCCTCTGCTTGTGTCTCTGTCTCTCTCTCATCCTATTTCCCCTTTAGGGGCAGGGGGAAGTGGGTCCCCCTCTCTGTGTCTCTCACGAATAAATTAAAAAAAATCTTAAAAAAAAAAAGTTGAACAGCAGGTGGCCTCCCAGGTGCTCTGTGGACCTGGTGTCTCCAGGAGCACCCCAGGCAGAGTGGGGGCCGTCCCCTGACCCCACCCATCAAGATGATGCCCTGGCTTGATTAAAATACGTGGCATTGAACACAAACCAGAAACAAAGGAGAGATAAAACCAGGAGTGTTGGAGAGCTGGCAGAACAGAGAAACCGGGATCCTCCTCCGCTGCCGGTGGGGACTCAGCCAGTGAGGAAAACCACCTGCCAGTTCCTCGAAAAGGGAAACCGGACCAAGGTGCCGGTGGTTCCACCCCTGGGCACGTAACAGGAGACACGGAACAGGTGTTCCAATGGTTTGTTCACCACCGCCCAAACGTCCTTCCCCCGACCAGTGCGTGAACTACCCATGGGGTGTCCTACAGTGGGGTATTATGTGGCCACAGAGAAGGAAGGACGTCCTGGCATGCGTGACCTCAGGGATGAACCCAGAAAACATGCTCCAAGAGGGAAACCAGACCCCGCAGACTCCATCTGCACAGATGCCTCTGTAAAGGCCAAAAGCAGACGCGCTGCTGGAGGCTGCAGGGAGGTTCAGGGAGAGCTGCCAACAGGTTCGGGGTCTGCTTTTAGGGTGCGGAAATGTTCCATGACCAGAGAGGCGGTGGCCACAAACCCCTGTGGAAATGCACCCCCCATGGGACGTGGGAACCGGCACCCGTGATCACCAGCTCGGGGGGGTGGGGAGGCCGCCTGGCCAGAGGAGCCCCTGCCCCCTGCCTACCTACCTGCCTGGAGCCTCCTGGTCCCCCAGCACCATGCCCGATGTCACCTTGCTCCACTCCAGGACAGGGGACCCCAGGCTCCCGGGGGCTTCTAGGCCCTAGAGCAGAGGAGGACACAGTCAGAACCCTGCCCGGCCACAGGACCCTGGCCCCCATGTCTCAGCTGCACAACTAGCCCTGACCTCTGGATGGTCTCAGGCTGGATCCCTGGCAGTCCCCTCTGTAGGGCTGGGGCTGAGGCAACGGGGTCCCTCTGCAACCCCACCAGACCCAGGGAGGCAGGCACTGGGGGGTGCTGGGGCACGGTGGCAGAGCTGGCTGGCTCCTCGGCCTCACCACACCCATTGCCTACCCTGGACTGTGCACAATGTGGGAAGAAGGTCACAATGCCGGGGGTTGTCTGGGAGACCACAGGGACGGCCTTGCTGAGGACGGCCTCCCTCTGTTTCCTGTAGACGTCCTGCAGCCTCTGGTTCCTCAGCTCAAGGGCCCGCACAGCCGAGGCTTTCTCCTTCATGGCCTGCTGCCGCCGGGCCAGCGACTTTTGGTGCATGAACTCCCGCAGCACCTCAGAGCTGTAGGGGTGGCCCAGGACCCCCTGGGGCTTCTGGCAGGGTGGCGGCACCCGTACCTCTTTCTCCTTCCTCGGCCAGCCCCGCTTGACTCCCGAGGGAGGCAGGAGGGGTCGTCTGCCCTTGCCTGAGGTGCCAGTGCTCTGCATGAAGGAGGCACTCCAGGCCCGCTGGGCAAGAGGGCTCAGTGGTCTCCGGGCGGGGGTATCCCAGTCTTCATAAGCAGTCCAAGTCCCCTGGGGCCTGGAGGTCTGCCCAGCGGAGGCACTCCAGGGCCGCTGACGGAAGGAGGTCAGCCTTTCAGGGGGGCTCCCAGACCTCAGGAAGGAGGGGTTCCATCCTTGGGCCTCCCCGGTCCTCTGGAGCCTGGAGGCCTGCCCGGCAGAGGCACTCCAGGGACGCCGGGGGAAGGAGGTCAGCCTTTCAGGGGGGCTCCCAGGCGTGAAACCTCTCTGAAAGGAGAGGTTCCATCCTTGGGCAGTTCCAGTCTTCTGGGGATAGGACTCCCACCCAGCCAGGGTGTTCCGGTGATGCCCACTGGGGAAGCAGCCAGCCCTCTCTAAGGAGGAGTGCTTCCCCTCCATCCCAGCTTGAGGACTCTTGGAAAAGGGGCCCCGCACATCCGAGATGCTCCAGGGACCCTGCTGTTTCCTCCCTGCCAGGTTCTGCAGCCACAGCTTTGACCTCCCCAGCTCTGGCCCTGCCCTGGGGTGGCGGCTCTGGGCCAGCTCCAGCCCAGTCTGGATTTGCTGGCGGAGGTCTCTAAGGACAGCCAGGGCATTTTGGATGGTCACAGGCTGATCATAAGAAGCCAGGCTGGGTGCGTTGGCAGACACCTGCAGGTCACCGCGGAGAAAGGCTGGACTAGGCATCCGGGGGCGGACAGGGGAGCTCTTGGCAGCCCCCACTTTCCTGTTGTCCCCTGCAAAGACAGGCAGTCACGAGGGTCAGGAGCTGCAGGGCCCCAGAAGGAAAAGAGCCAGCTCTCTGCCTGCCCACAGAGGCACCCTTGGCCCAGTGCTGAGGGAGATCCCCCCTTGGCCCTTACATGCATCATGGATTTGCAGGAGGTCAGGTGCCACATATGGGTGACTCGAGGCTGTGCCTAGGCCCCTGGCACAGAGCCACACACTTTGGACATGGTGAAAACAGCAAGAATGGGGTTGACATGCGTCTGCTAGAGGGGCCCCTGCCGTTCCCATCCTGCACTCCCTGTGTTGGCAAAGCCTAGAGGGCCGTGCCCTGCCTCCCAGGAGCCTAAAACTCCTTGAAAACTCCTAAACTCCTCATCTCTCAGGAAAGAAATCCTTCTCTTAGGCTTTTAAATATAATGATTTCTGTAAGTCCCATCTGACAGCAGATGTAGAAGGCGTTCAACAGGCCCCTGGGGAGAGGCCGCTCCTGTACCCAACGCCACCTCCTTCTCTCTCGCCACCCACCGCCAGATGCCCCAGCAGAGCAGGGAAAAGCCCAGGCAGAGGCACCAGCTACCTAGTTCTGCAGTGGGGGCCTGGTCTCTTGAGGGCTTGCTCTGGAGCCTGGGGAGGGCAAGAGGAGGCCCAAGCAGAGCCCTCACCAGAGCTGGTCCTTTCCTCCAGGTGTGAATACCAACCAACTCAGAATCTTAAACAAAGAAAATGCACACACACAGCTGAGCGGCTGGGCCTTCCGGGTGAGGAGGCTGTGGGTGCCAGGCAGCCCCCAAGCCTGGTGCACATGCTCTAGAGGAGCTGGGGTGAGCCTTCGCTACCTGCCAGCAAGAGACAGGGCTGAGTCCCAGGATGACTCCATGAGGTGACCTGACCTCTCAGACCCTTGGAAGCTGGGGTAATAAAGCTTGGGCCTTGCCTTGGGGCGAAAGGGAGGCCAACTCCACAGCTAACTGCCGCACCCAGCCGAGCCGGAGGAAAGTATTTGGTCTTGTACGCTGGTGAGGCTCCATGGCAAAGGGGATGCGGCACCTACGGGGGTGTGCGGGCCGGCACGACCAGGGATCCCAGAGAGCACAACGCAAACCTGCTGCCTCCCAACCAGGAGTGAGATTTTGTTCACAGATGTTGTCACATAGGAAACATCATTATCATTATCAAAGCTCTACTTCATAAATCCCAGGTTACGCTCGCCCAATGCCGACATCAGCCCTGCCATTATTACAACCTGGGGCGCTGGCAAAGGTCCGAGGCAGTCGCCAGCCTCTAGCTCACACGCACACACACGAATACACGGACATGCACATACACATACACACACACAGACATACACACATGCACACTCACATGCACACAGACATGCACATATACACAGACACGTGCTCACATGCACATGCACGCACACAGACATGCACACAGACACACAGACACGTGCACACACAGACACACACGCACATACATACATACAGACATCCACGCATACAGACACGTGCACACACACAGACATGCAAACAGACACATGCACACAGAAACACAGAAACACACATACATACATGCACACAGAGACACATGCACACACATATACACAGACACACGCATAGACATGCACACACACAGACGTGCACACACAGACATGTACACACACATGAATACACATGCATACATACAGACACACAAGTCCACACACATATGCATATACACACATACACATAGACACAGATACACAGACACACATACATACAGTCACATGCATGCACATGCATCTGCACACACACACACACCCATCTGTACACGCACGTGGCATCTCTCCTCGGGGCCAGCCCTGGGCAGGAAACCAGATCTCCTGGGCCAAGACCTGTCCTGCGTCTCATAAAGGAGGCGTTCTTGCTAGCAAGGGTACAGCAGAGACCCTGCAGAGCTGATCCCCGGGGGTCAGGCAGCCAATAGGGTCAGGGTCCTCTCTAGCACACAGGAGGAGACCCGTCCCCGGCCCCAGACCTGGAGATAATCACAGGCCTGGAGCTGTGGCCCCAGGAAAGGGAAGGGGCCACACAAAGCCACACACTTCGTAGCCCACTCCTGTAGGAAGGACCTCAGTCAGTCCCCAAGCTGAGGCCTCTGTGGGACACGACCAAAGCTACACCACCCTGCAATCTTGCCCTCGGTACAGCCACACCCCTCCAGGACCTGTCCCCAAGACCACCCCTCCACAAGCTGCACCTCTCTGGGGGGGCCCTTGAGGCCACGTCCTCCCACGCCAGGCCCTGGGACACCTGAGGTCAAGAGCATGGTCCCAGGAGTTGTAGACCCAGTCTGGCTCTGCCTGTTTCGAGAGACAGGCTTCGGGGCCAGTGACTCTACGGAGAGTCCCCATCTGTGAGCACTGCCCCACAGGACCACCAGCATGATAAGTGGTCACTCTTGCTGCAGGAGTTGGGCTGGGAGGGGTCAGGCTGCTGCTGGCTCCAGGCAGAGTCACAGGCCAGGGCTGAGGCTGGCACTGCCCAGGGGCCATATCTGGAACTTGAATGGCATGGGGGTGAGGGACTGGGGGCTGGGCTCCTCCGCTGCTGAACTGCACAAAACTGGCAGCGCCACTTCCTCCCAGGGGCACCACGCAGGGACCCCCCACCCTGGGCAAGGGGGCTCCCCGCTGGCCTGGCCCCTCCCCATTGGCCCTTCCATCACTAGCCACTCATTCCCTGTTAGCTTGCCAGAGGGGTCTCGGTCAATAAATGGGTCCTGATGGGCACATTTTTCCTTCCGCTGAACAGTTTAATGGCAATTAATTTTTTTACGAGAGGATTTTTAATCTGTGGAAATGGATGAAGTCCCCAAGTGCCCTGTCAGAGTTCCAGGGCCAACCTAATCTATAATAAAAAATGCAAAGTGAGGTGGTATAATCTGAAATTAAATATTGGGCTTCATTTTCCTTCGGCCCGGATGGATGAATATTTTATAACTATTGCGATTTAATTTTTTGTTAACTACGGCAGATTCCTAATTCATCCAATTCCCAAGTCCTGTGGCTCTGACCTCTGACCCCAAGCTCATCTCTCCTTAGCCCAGCTGTGCCTTGGTCACTGACAGAAACTAATGGTCAAGTCCGTCAGGGTGACACAGTGCTTACGATGATGGATGCAGCCCATGGCACGCCCTCTGACCCAGTGTCAGGCAGAAAGCAGGTCATTTGTCAAGAGGGCCGTTAAAATAAAGCAAACCAAAAAGCCGAAGGGTGGGAGGAGACAATGATGCAGAAAACTGTTATACCCAGGAGGGCTTTTCCGTGGGCTTCTGGAACGTTCTCCATGGCTCCCAGCACCCCTCACTGTCAGGCTCAGGCGGAGGTTTTCCCACCTCTCCTGTGGCCTCTTACCTTACTGAACAGAGGTGTCGGCCTGGCAGCCCATGGCTGCCCACCTCCCTTGAGGGTCCCTAAAGCCAGCGTGCAGAAGGAAGATGTTCATTCATCCCACTGGAGCCAGTGCTGCCCCCAGCTGAGGTGGCAGGTCTGATGGTGCAGAGCAGAAAGAGGGGCGCTGGGCGTGGGCAGGGCACATATCCCTGGGCCCCCTCGGCCTGGAGCTGGCCTCTGTGGGCCTCAGTGTCCCCATTTACACAATGGGAGTAAGCCCAGCTGCGCTGGGGGTCAGCTATGTGGAACACTGAGTCCAGGGGGTGTGGGGCACACACAGAGCCAGCACCAAGTGCAGCCACTCTGCACCGACCACCCAGAACAGTCAAGCCCCAGAGGGATACTGCCTCCCTCCCGGCCACACCAAACTGGGGCCCTCCTGGGGGCTGCTGAATCCTGTGCGAGGGCAGGGCTGCAAAGCTATCCAGACTGGATGGCTGAGGATCTGCGGAGGAAGCCGATGCCCCGACGCCCTGCCCAGGCCCCACAGGAGAGACACCTGAAGTAGAAATTCATCTGTGGCCTCAGGCCCACCACCATCTCCATGTATTCGTCTGACTCTCCCAGTACATGGTCGGCCCACAGGCACTGCTGCGTGAGGGCTCCAAGTCCCCGGAGGGCTGGGAGACAGTGGACACGTTGCAAGGTCTCTCCTGCCACGGGGGGGCTCAGGTGGAAGCTGGTGTCCCACACTCACTGCCTGGAGTCTAATCCCAAAGCAGGCAGGGAAGGAAGCTTCTCCCTCTACCAGATCCCACCCACCCTGTGGAGCGTGGAGCAGACGTGTCCACCAGCCACCTCACAGCCGCCCACCATCACCCACACCTGTTCAAACATGCGTGCAGACTATAAATGTGTGTGGAAGCATGGCGAGTGGCCCTGTGCACTCAGAGACTCAGTCTAGGGGTGTGGGGAAGACAGCCCACAACACAGGGCTCTGTGGACGTTCACTTCATCACAGGGGGCGTCCCCTGCACAAGCGGGGACACCCCACCGCACCCCGGGGACAACCAGGGTCTATGGTCACTCGAGATGCGGGCACCAACGCCGCTCCTCCTCCGTGCATGGCCGAGTCCCCACTCAGACCCAGCCCCTGCCAACCCCAGAGCCCTGTGCCCACAGCACACAGGCCTCTGCTGGCAGCCAGCTGTCCCCAGCACCGAAAGCCATGTGCCCACCTGGTGAGCTGGGGTCACAGACTCTCACTCCCAGGCCATGTTGTGACCCCAAGTAGGCAGACCTTACCTTTGTCTTTGGCAGCTCTTCTGGGGGTGGGTGCTATGAGGGCCTTCTCCCTTTTGCAAGGACTACTTTTCATCCTTTTGGCTTTCTCCCGTGGAACTTCAGGGAGAGGAGAGAAAGAGGGACGGTGAGCAGGGACGTATGCAAGGATGGCCATGCTCATATTCCCGGGCTCCCATGGGGCACCACGCCGGTCCCGCCGGCTCCCTGGGCCTGGGCAAGAGTTGGCTGCTGCGTGCAGGACCAGAGGGGTGCACCTGACTGCCTGCCCCCCCTTGGTGGTCTGCCTGCAGCCACCCTTGGGGAGCCCTCTGCCCCAGCAGGCCTGGGATGCCACACCCTCCACCTGGGTCTCCCCCGCCCACGTCAGGCTGGCCTGCAGCCCTCGTGTTTGTTGAGTTAATCAAGGCCTGAAGGGGCTGTCACGGACAGGTGGCTGGACAGGGGCTCCATGGGGTTGCTGGTTGAGAGCTAGGGCCATGGGGGCTTTGCGTGGTAGGGTCTACCCTGGCTGGACAGGTGGGGACATGGAGATAAGCGGTGGAGATTGTCCAAGTCCCATTGTAAGCACAGTGGCCGCTAGGAGTGGACCAGCTTCTTCAGGGCCAGTGTGGCCACCTCTCCCTATGCCGTTTGGCTTCAGTGTGTCGTCCACGGCTGGGGTTGGGTTTCGTCCTCCGGGGAGCGCCAAGGAGCCAGTCAGTCAGTGACATGTGCACAGGGCAGGGGCGCTTGGGAAAAAGCTGGCCCCAAAGGACTGTGCAGGTTCTGTCCTTAACACCCAGAACCTGCTGGCAGGAAGCACGTCTGGCACCCAAGCCCACAGAAATGCTAGTTCTGTAAGATCTACTCACACGAGGCCCTAGAGGAGTCAGACCCACAGACCTAGGGGGCAGGGGAGGGGACAGGTCCCTATGTCACAGGGGCTCGGTGTGGAAAGATGACTATGCTCTGGGGATGGACAGGGGGATGGCTGCACAACAAGGTGGATGCCCTTGATGGCTCTGGACTGTGCACTTACAAGAGGTTAAGATGGTAAATCTTATGTGTATCTTGCCATAATTAAAAAAAAAAAAAAGACCTGGCCCTGCCCCACGCCTGCTTCCAGAGAGACATGACAAGAGCTGGTGACTGATGACAGCAGATGCTGAGTCCCTGAGGGACCAATGGCCAAGTTCTGACCTTGGTGAGAAGCCAGAGGGGCCTCTGTGGGGTGGGGGTGGTTGGGGAGCTGGGGCCGTTGGGGTCCCCGCGGATGGAGGGGGAGAAAGGGTGATCGCTGTGAGCCTGAGCCAGCCTGGGTACCAGGCCGTGGGGAGCTACTGTAGCTATGGGCAGGCCACAGTGGACCTGTCCCCCTGGCTTTGACCTACAGGCCCCTTGGCCCTGGCCTCACATATCCAGCTGGGATGGGCTAGTGCCCAGGGGGTCCCAAATCATATATTGGCTAACCTCCACCCCACCCTGGCCACCCTGGTGCCCCTGCACCCATCCCAGGCCTCTGTGCTAAGGAGCCCAGGAGCCTTGGGCATCCCAGGGCAGCTGGACTTCTGCCCCTGAACCCGTCTCCCTGCCCCACTCTGGGGCCTCCAAAACCTTGCTGGAATGAGGCTGCCTGTCTGCAATAGAGGGATGTCCCTCTCCCTGCTCCCCACTCCCCATCCTGCACACAGCACCAGTGACCAAATCCCAAACCCGCTGGGGGGCCCTGCTCAAAACCCTCCAAGGTGGTTCCTGGTTCCCATGGCCAGCAGTGCAATCCAGACTCTTTAAATTAAATGCTCCTGGCCCCTGGCCTCCCAGAGGGGTCCTGTCTGTCCCTCCATCCTCACCCCTGCTATCTGTCAAATGGGAGTGAGCCAAAACCTTCTCTTGGCCCCTGGAGCCTTCCCACTTGCAAGAAGTCTGCATACCTAGTACGGACCCCCCAGCATCTCTCAGGCAAGGTTGGGCCATCTTTGGGACAGGCTGGCAGTGCCTCCTGTCTGCACGATGGACCCTGAAGCCCGGGGAGGGCTTAGCCATCCTCTGTGGCTGATAGGTGACCATGCAGGCTAGATGTCACCTAGTCTGTGCAGGAGACCCCTGCACTTTGAGCCCTGGCCTGCCTCGCAGCACCTGCCTGCATTCCTTCCCTGGGTGGATGCAGAGCTTTGGAGACCGTGTTCCAGAGGGTGGCAGGCTGGGTCCCCATCTATGCTTGGCCCCTCTGTGGCGGGGGCCCCTTTAGTGTCCTCATCTGGGCGGGATAATAATAGAGCCAGTCCCCCAGGGAGGGAGAGAGGTCGCAGGATCCAGGACTGTGCTGCCCTGACGACCTCCCGCATGTCCAGGCGGGGCTGCCAGGATGGCCAGCCGGGCTGCCCCTCACCTGAGGCCTGGCGCTGGGGAATCCCCGAGGGCTCTCGCCCCCGGCCAGGGATTGCCTTGTCTTCTACTCCACACAGAGCCACACTCAGGGTGCCTAAGCCTGCAGAGGAGAGACAGGGGGGCATCGTGAGGACGGGTCTCATGGAGAATATTCAGGACAAAGTCCCCATTCGGCAGCTACTCAACAGTCTTCAGAGCACCTTTGGCGGAGGACCTGAGCTTGAGGGTGTCCCATGGGGCCGCAGAGGGGGTCGTCAGCTTCCTGGCCTTCCTCTGGGGGTCTGCCTTGGGGGCTCCACAGAGGCGTGAGGTGCTGGACCGTGTGGAGGTGCCCAGGGAGGTGCAGCTGGCCTGCCACTGTGCCTGGGCCCGGATCCTGTCCCTCAGCTGCTCCAGCCTCGGGTTGCTCTCTCTGGCTGGCCGCCAGGGCCCCAGCACCTTGGGGGGCTTCTCCTTCCAGGGTCCAGGGGGAGATGTGCAGGACTCATGGCCCCCAGAGGAGCCAGACAGGCGGCCCGATGACACCGAGCTGTCCCCATCCTTGGCCTCATCGGCTTCGGACCACACTGGGTAGCTGCAGGCCTTCCCCTGGGGGCCTGGCTGCTCGATGTAGTCGGACCAGGCCACATGGGTAGCTCCCCGCAGGTCACCTGGCTGATGGGAGGGCCTGGGCCACCTCAGGGCAGCCATGGCCTCATCCTCAGACACAGGCGGACAGAGTCCAGATTCCCTGGGGAGAGAGAAGTGGACCAGCCAGTCTGGTGAGGAGTCTCGGCCGTGCTGAGCAGAGCATTTCAGGCTGGGCGCTGTGCCCCCTACCCGGCCCAGGAGCCCGCCCTGCTCCCTCACTTTCCTGTGTCAGAATGCCCACAACTGTATGCCCACAACAGAATGCCCACAACTGTATGTCCAGTCAGCTGGACAGTCCCTTGAGTTGCCGCCTGGAGACTTTGAGGCAGGCACCTGATCGGCCCAGTTTACAGATGGGGAAATGGGCTCTGGAGAAGGCAGGCAGCAGGAGCAGTCTGGCCCCCAAGTTCTCCACCCTCATGCTGGCCCGGCCGCCCACCTGGGGAAGGAGGCTGCCCCTCACAGTGCCCTCACCTGGCCTAGTGCATGGATATAGACACCTAAGTCACGGACACTACCCGGGCTTGGCTGTAGCCCTTCAGATGGCAGATCTGCCCGGGGCCCTGAGGGGGAGTGGACAGCACCTCTGGATATTTTTGGGGTGGGACTGGTTCATTTCTCCGAGGCCGGCGGGCAGCATCCCTGTGACCAAGGTCAACATGGCCACAGCGCCAGGTGGAGGGCAGAGCCCAGTGAGCCCACCTGCCCTGGGTCAGCTGGTGCTGTCACAGAGCAGCCTGCTGGCCTACAGCCTGGCATCCATCCCCCATCAGGCTGGGCTTGCCACTGCCTGCTCCAGGGCTGGCCTCCGCCCGTCCCCTGGCCCACAAAGGAAACCCTCAGGATGGTGGGGGAAACTGGGCTGGCATGGTGTGCTGCCAGGCCCCGGGCTGGATGCAGCCTGGGGGGCCTTCCTAACCAGCTGCCCTTCAGCAGGGTGGGAGAGAATGCTGGGTGGCCTGTGACAGCATAATAACCCTTGTCACTCAGCGACAGAGCTCCTGCCGGGGCCATGGGCAGGCGCACGCCTCCTCCCAGGGCACTGGAGCCAGTAGCTGTGTGTGGGTGGTGAGCGCACTGACCAGGACTAGGGGCCCTGGCGCAGGAGCCAGGAGCCAGGAGCCAGACCGAGACATGGCCCCAGCAGCCAGATGAGAGGCTCCGTGCTCCAGCTTGACACTGCCCAGGAACCACTGCCCAGGCCACTACCCCCGGCTTCTCAGGGTTGGTCAGAGAAGCAGGCCGTGGCTGCTCAGCTCTCCCTGCTGCATGCTCGGGACACCATGTTGCCCACAGACGTAGTAGCTGACAATGCCTGAGCCCCAGGAGCCCCAGGCCTGCTTCCTTGGCCCTGCAGTTCCAGGAGAGCACCCCAGGCTGTCCCACCTGCAGTGGGCCTCCCGTTGCCTTCTCACCGACCCTGGCTGGGCAGTGTGGGGTGGGTAGGACATGCACTGTGAAGTCAGCTGGTTCTGAGCTTGGCATGGTCCCCTGAGGAGGAGAGCTGGTTCAAATCCCCACTCTGCCCCTAGTCGGCTGAGTAACCTTGGGTGACTGGAGACCCCACCCTGCCCCTGCCTCTGGGTATTGTGAGCTTCTGGTGAGTTCACTTCAGCAGGAGGGCACTAAGCAGTGCGGCCCATGTTCATGGGCAGTGGGACGGCCAAACTGGCCATGGACACTTAGTTTTCAGGATGCCCCAGAGAGAGGGGTTCTGCAACCAAAGACCTCATTTCAGGCAGGATGGAGAGCCTCCTTGAAGCTTCTTCTAAGAGCCTGTCCTGGAAAGCCAGGGGTGCCTGTAGACGGCTGCCACCAGACATGGCACGAGGCAGGGCTCTGAGCCCCACAGGGCCCTGGTCACAGTGGCCACGGCCCTAAGTTCAGTCACCAGCAGGAGAGAGGAGCCACTGCAGGTTCAGGCCCACCTGGAAGGTGAGGTGCTCCCTCTTCTAATCCATCCAGCCTCTCCTGTAGCAGGGACATGGGTGCCTCAGGCCACAGAGCCAGCAGGACCCCAAGTCCAGCCTTGGGCTCCAGGGCCCTTGGCCACACCAGGGAGCCTGGACTGATGACCTGCCTCTGCAGCTCGGTCCCCCTGCTGGTGGCTCCAAGGCCACCACTCAGCTCAGCTTCGTCCGCCTGGCTGGGAGTCCCGCCCTGCCCTGGCCTGCTTGCTCCTGGTGAGCCCAAATCGAAGCAGGTCCCGCCCCTGGCTCTCTTTACAATGTCTGCGTGTTAGGGAGGGGTTGGTGTCACAGAGGGCTGACCTGGGGTGGCACAGGGAGCCCCAGGAATTTGGGAGAATGGCAAGGCACACGCATGTTCCTGGGACATGTGGGGGATACACGGGACCTGCACACAGCCTCTGCTCCACAGGTCCTGGGGGACAGCTCCAGGCAGGGGGTGACCACGGTGTCCTCCACACCACCTTTAGAGGCTAGACAGCCAAGGAGACTCCCACAGGCAGTCAGCCTCCTCTCGCTCACATAGAGCCCCTCTACGCTGGAGCAGAAGCCCCCCAGCCTCACCGAAGGACCCCACTGTCACTGTGGCCCCAGGACCTTTCTTGAAGGGCCCCCCTCATCAGCTGAGGTCCTGGGGGGTGCTCTCCCCAGCAACTTCCTGACTTTCTGGCCCTGCTCTCTAAAGGGCAGAGGAAGAGGGTCATTCTGAGCAGCATTGGTGGGAACCAAGTGCCCCTCTCTCCTGGAAGACGGCCTGGTGGTCCCTGCTTTGCAGGAGCAGGAAAACTGTGTACAAAGCCGTGGCCATCTGCAGCCAACCCATAAAAGCAAAATCATGAAACCAGTGCATGTGACATTGTGAAAAACCCCAGCATCACGCCGCCCTCCCCCTCCTCCTGCCCTGCCAGCCACTGCCCTTCTCCGTGGGACTGTTTCACCCCACTGGGGGGCCGGAGCGGCTCTGAATCAGGAGACATGCTAGCCTGCCCGGGTCTCTCCCTGCCCAGGACCAGCTCTCCATGGATGCCTGGCCTGCAACTGCCCACTCGGCTCCAGTTCCCCAGCACCTGCTGGGGCGACCACATCTCTGTGAGCTGGGCCACGGCTGGGCCCCAGCAGCTCTGCTAACCCCATTCAGACCCCGGGCCTCCCCTGGCTACAGCCCGCACTCCCATCCTCATCACCGCCTGACTCAACCCTGGCTCACTATCTATCAATGCCACCATGCTGTGCCCTGGTCCCCATTCTCTGCCTTGCCCGCGGTGGGGGAGGGGGACTGAGGGGCAGGGGAGCACCCTGTAAGAGCCCCTAACACAGCAGCATCCAATGTGATTTTATCTCCCTGCCCACAGCCCTATTGGAGAAGCTGGCTCCATGTTCAGGGTCCCGGGGTCAGAAGCAGCAGGGTTGGGAAGGCCACAGTGGGGGGTGAGGGGGTTCTTCTTGGCCTAAGGCTTCGTGTGAAGAGCAGAGCTCCTGCATGTCCCCTCAGCTGGCACTCACACACGTGGTGGGGAATCTAGCCCCTTGGTGTACCAGGTGCCCACCGCTGACCTCAGACAAGTCATTTGCTCATCAGTAAAGTAGGCAAAGCACTAGCAGTCCCCACTTGAGGTGTTTTTTTTTGAGGGAGGCACAGGAACCACAAATGCTCACCTGGGGCAGGGCACAGGCAAAGAAAGGAAAGCCAGTGCTCCTCTGCCTCATTTGGGCCCCCTTGAGCCTGGACCACCACCCAGGCCCCCACCCACTGTCCCCATCCATGAGACGCCTGCACAGTGCAGCCAGGAAGTGACAGCTCAGCAGGCTTCTGGCCCTTGCCCCAAGGGCAGGGGGAGGCCCGGTGTGCCTACCCGCAGCTCCCACAGCCCACTGCTCTGTGCCCACCCCGCTACTGTCCTGGCCCAGGCACCTGCCAGGCTGCACTGGGTGGAGGGTAGGGTGGGCGGAACAGGGTGGGGCTCCTCTGGGAGCCAGCAGCAGCTTCTCACCGGCTCGTCCCCAGGGAAGCGAGTCCTAAGCAGACCTGAGCAGGCTTGAGGGACAGTCAGCAGATCGTGAAGGAGAAAGGCCCACCATGCCCATAGGCCCTGGGCCCCAGGGTTTGAGATCAGAGACGTGGCCAGCCACCATAGCTGGCACAGGACTGGCTGTGGATGTGACACCCTCTAGCCACCCGCTCAGATACACCCAGTCAGAGTCTCCAGCTGCACACGCCCTGGCCCCAAGCCCCCGAGCAGCAGGGGCCTGGAGAGGTGGGGTGTAGGGACTTGGAGGTGCAAAAGAAAGCACTTCGGAGGTTGACTCAGGCTGGACCACATCTGGGGAAATGACATGCAATTGACAAGCATCTGGCATACAGGGCCTCGCGGCACGAAAGCACACATCTTCCCTGTTAGAGACCGCACACAGACACACACACATGCATGCACGCGCATGCACACTGCCCAGGTCTGCAGAGTGGGGCGAGCAGGGCAGGCCAGCCTGGGTTGCTGAGGGCCTTGTGAGGGGGTCTGGCCAGGGCGGTGCCCCCAGCCTCTACCACCCACTTTGCTGCAACACCCCCAGTGTCTCCACCAGCTGCTCCCCAGAGCTGATGAGCTCCTTGCAGCTGGTGAGGCCCCCAGGGTGGCAGATGTGAGGGCGGGGACGAGGTGACACAAGGCCAGCGATTTGGGAAGACGGTTGTTGGGAGGAGGGCGCCACGGGGGAGGGCAGCTGGAAGCACCAGTGGGCGAGGCGGGGCAGAGATAAATGGCCAGGCCTCCAGCGGTGGGCTCTGTGGGTGGAGGTGGCTGTGGGCGCAACTGAAATGAAGTGAAGCCGCACCTTCACGGCCTCTCAGCTCCACAAACCACCCCAGATACATGGCCAAGACCCGTGGTGCCACAGCCCACGAAACCTGCCACCCAGGGGACCCCAGGGCCACCATCCACTCTTGCCAAGGACTCATGGCCACGCCCACGGAGCCAGCAGGGAGCTCTGCCCTCCCCCAGGACTGCCACCTCCTCATCCCCAACCCTCCCTGCCCCGAACGACTACCCAACTACCCGCAAACCTGCTCGGCCTCCTCCAAGGCCAGTCAGTCATGGAGCCGGCCACCACTGGGGCACCCTGCCTGGGGCCAGGCCCTGCGCCCAGCCCAGTGCATTCCCCAGGTGACCTGGGGCTCCTCCCCCCAGCCTGCGAAGAAGGCATTGTAACCTTGCCCACAGTCACACAACACAGAGCAGAGACTTGCCCTTGGCGCCACCTCCTCCAAACCGGGAGCACCAGGGCAGGCCGGCAGACACAGACATGCCCAGAGGCCAAAAGCATCTTCAAACAGCTCAAAACAGTCAACTGGGGGCCACGGCTTTGTGGGGCACGGCAGGGGTCTCCTTCCACCTGCTGAGCCTTCCAGCAGGACAGGACAGCCTGAGGGGCCTGTTGCCTGAGGAGTTGGCTGGATCCCGGCTGAGCGGCCTTATGGTCAGATCACGGCCTTGCCGGGTGGGACCAGTGCAGAACCGCCCATCAGCCCCATTCAGGAGCTGGGAGAGTATTTACCCCCATTGTCCACATGGGGAAACTGAGGGACAATTCATAGGTGAGAATCTAGCACTGATACCAGAGCCCAGAGGCAGGGCAGCCCAATGGGTGGGGCTCGCGGGCATCATACTCCCAGGGGCAGCCTGGCTTTGCCCTGAGACTCCCCTAAGCCCTCAGAGGGACCCCCAGACAGGAAGACCCCTCCTCAGGAAAGCAGGACAGAAGAAGGATGGCTACCACGTCCATGGAAGAAGGAGAGGTGAACATGCTTCCCACCCTGCCTGTGCCCCCACAGAGCCCTCTCCCCAGGGCAAGGGGCAGGCCAGGTGGGGCTCAGGTAGGGCCCCCCAGGGTACTCACCAGCTGAAGGCCATAGACTACGCTGTCTGTGGGAGGGCGCCAGGCAGCAGCCGCTGGCCAAACACAGGCACTCGGGCACCTGCACCCCCAGGTGTGCAGGAGGTAGGGCAGGAGGCTGACAGGCCCGCCCTGATGTTGCCAGAGAAACCCAGGCGTCCATCAGTGTAGGCTCCTCCTCCAGGCCAGCTTCCTGGAGTCCATGGGGACCGAGACTCACAGGCACATCCAGCTCACTTGGGCAGGGGACACACATCTGGGGCACACTCATCCCCCCTGGGCCCCGTGACAGGGGGCAGGGCAGGAGGCAGGAAGGGGGCTCCCTAGTGTGGTCCAGGACCACTCCCTCTCAGCCCTCCACCCCTACTTTCTCTCTGCCCCCCGGGACCCTCCAGCAACCCCCGGCAGCGCAGCCTGGCAGCTAGAGCCCCCTGGCCCCTCTAGAGACAATGTTGGGGGGCACCTGAAACAATCCACAGCTTGGAGACAATGGGGAGCAGCCCATAGGGGGAAATGGGAGGAGGCAGGGCAGCAGGGCAGCTAGGAAGTCCAGCGACCAAACTCAAAATCTGAAAGTCTCCTGCCTCCTTGGAGTCAGAGTGGGACCCTTGGCAGCGGAGGTTCAGGAGGGTCTTGGGGGTCCCCGGCAGCACCTGGACACTCACATGGGTCCTTGGGGTCTTGTCTGTGGCTAAGATCTGTGGCCTCACGCACAGTCTTTTTCTGAGGTTTTCAACTACGGGTCCTGGTCAATGTGTCTCGGAGGCTGTGCTACGTACACCACCTGCCCAGCTCCAAACTCACACCTGCAGGGGCCGGGGGAGCCTGGGAGTCCTGGGAGCAGGCAGCCCACCCAATGCAGGTCAGCGTCCTCCCCGGTGCAGCCCAGGTCAGCTATGGGGGTGATGCCAGCAGGTGGTGCCCTCTCTGTTATGGCCAGGGGAGCTGCCCCCACATTCCTTGTGTCCCTACCACCACCTTACCCCAGGAAGTAGGTCTTTCCCTCCCAAAAAAAATCTACTAGAGTCTCTCTTTTTTGTTTATTTTTATTTTTTAAAAGATTTTATTTATTTATTCATGAGAGACACAGAGACAGAGGCAGAGACATAGGCTCCCTGCAGGGAGCCCAATGTGGGACACATCCCGGGAATCTGGGATCATGCCCTGAGCCAAAGGCAAATGGTCAACCGCTGAGCCACCCAGGTATCCCTCCTAGAAGTCTCTTCCAGAAGATTCCTCTTGGAGTTCAGGAAATTTGGGTTTGAGGCCAGAGAACCTCAGAGCTCAGGGTTACACCTGCCTTCCCCAGAAGTGGTATGGAGGCAGCAGCTCCTCAGCCCCGGGGCATTGCTTGGCACAGATCCAGGCATCCAGCAAGGCCACCTTGGCCCAGAGCTGGGACTGCCCAGCAAGACCACACTGGAGGCAGCTGCACCCTGAGGCCAGAGGGTCAAGAAGGTGGAGACCCTGCAGCCAGCAGCCTGGTGTGGAGCTGGGTGCGCTGGCAGGGCCCCTCCGCCTAGAGATATCTGGCACCCAGAGGCGGGTGGGTTCAGGGATGTCAGTTCTGGTACAGATGGGTTGACCCTGCCCACTAATGTCAGAGAAACAGAGGAAGTCCACGTGGCCTGAGGTTTGTCACATGACCCGAGTGAAGACACAACCCTGTTCAAAAGGAAGTTCTAGGGAACAGCTGGGACCCGAGACCGATGCCTGGCCTGGCACTCAGCATAGTGTGGCAAATGGCAAGCATGAGCTGAGTCTGCACCCCCCCAACCCCGCCTGGGCACAAGGCCACGGCTCCACAAGGCCTGCAGAAGACGGAACATCAGAAGCCCACACAGACAGAATCATGCTTGAGCCAGTGGCCGGGGCCCTGTGGGCCCTCCACTGCCCTCACACTGGGCCACAGAGGGGAGCTGGTACGCCAGGCCAGCTGGGGGGAGGGCGCACTGAGCTGGGCCACCGGGTAGCTCAGTGTCAGACAGCAGCAGGCACAAACAGCAGGTCACTCTCCTTCCGGGATGCAACAGGGCTGGAGGCTGTGGAGATAGGACAGCCCCCCAGGGGAAGAGCTTTGCACCTGGTCCCCCTTTGTGTGCAAGAGAGATGGTGGAAGGGTAGTGGCAAGCGCCCCATGCCCCTCGCGGGTTAGGGACCTAAAAAGGGAAGGATGTCTGGGTATGGGCCCACAGGGTGGGTGCGGGGCGTGAAGGTCTCCCCTGCCCTCAATTTCCTGCCTACCAGTGAGCACCCACTCAGAAGCCACATGAAGCCACTCAGGCATAGCAGCGCCCACCAGCTGGGGTCATGGGCTGCCTCGGCGCTGGACTGATGGGCAGTGACCACACTGGCAGAGATGGAGGCCACCTGTGAGCTCTCAGGGACCAAGGTCAGTTCAGCTCACACAGTGCTGAGCCTCCTGCTTCAGAAGGGCAGAACTTCCTCCTCACAGGAGTGTGTTCAGGGCATGGGCTGGCCCGTACTGCCCGCGGGGTCCCCCTGGGGTGACAGGACCTCTGACCCTGCCATATGGGACCCCCCCCTACAACATTGCATCAAACTAGGGACCCGCTTTCTTCAGAGCAGGTGGGGGGTGGCCCTGTCCACAGCTGCCCTGGCGGCACTCAGTCCAGCTAGGCTGCCACCTCCAGGGAGGGCACAGCCGCAGGTGTGAGCCGGGTCGGACCCTGCGAGAAGAGGGTGCTTCGCTCAGGAGCTCCTCATGGGGCTGCGTCCCCAGTGGGAAGAACTGTTGGGTCTGGGGACCAAGGGCTGGAAGCAGGGTCTCACCACTCACCCAGACCCCCACGGGCCTGGCTACCTGGCAGCACTGCTTCTCCCCTACAACCCGACAAGCACTGGTCCCTGATGCGTCATGCACCCCAAACTCTGCTTTGGCCTCTCCTTCTGGGGAACCAGCCCTGCAACAAGTGGGGCCAAGATCAAACTGGTCACTCTTAGGGACAGGTGGTCTGTGGACTCGAAACCTTTGGGGCTGGCCAGACCCTGAGAAGACCCCTCCATTCTTCTGCTTGGGGGTGGAGGTGGAAGGAGCCAGCCCCGTGAGCACCCCACTCCCTGGCTTCCTGCCTCTGTCAGGCAGGGGGCCCTCATGCAGACTTCCTGCTCTGGGGGCACCTCAGAGTCCAGCACCCGCTCTCTGATGCACCTGAGGGTGGCCCCCTCTCCCATCTGCTGCACCTTTATGAGCTCGTGACTCCACAGAGAAGCTTGTTACTGTCGTAACAGTCCTTCCAAGGGGATCAAAAGTAAATGCAGGGCAGCCCCGGTGGCGCAGCGGTTTGGGGCCGCCTGCAGCCTGGGGTGTAATCCTGGAGACCTGGGATCGAGTCCCACATCGGGCTCCCTGCATGGAGCCTGCTTCTTCCTCTGCCTGTGTCTCTGCCTCTCTCTCTGTGCTAAGGAATAAATAAATAAATAATCTTTTTTTTTTTTAAAGTAAATGCACGTGGTGGGTTTGACTCCAGTGAGTCGTTTCCCTAATTTCCCAATCAGCCTGGCTCTGAGCTCTGACCAGTCCTGCAGGGAGAGGAAGCCTGGGGTCCTGTGTCCAGGGAGGGAGGCTGAGGACCTGTCTCTTCCTCCTTCCTGCTGCCTCCCTTCTTGGCTGTTCTGGACCAGATGCTCAGACGCTCTTTGGGGAAATGTCTGTGCTCCCACCTGGGGAGGTTTGTGATTTGAAGGACCAGGGTGATAGGATTCCAGATGTTTGGGGACTGAGGATTCCCGAGGGCCTCACGTGGATGCCCCAGGTGGAGGAGGGCATGCAGGATCCTGGCGCCCAACATCTCCAGCATCTGCCCCCAACCCCCACCCCACTGGAGGATTTGGAAATGAGGGGAAGGACCCGCTGTCCTCTTCCTGGGGCACCTGGAAAGAATCAAGCTGTGAAAACAGCCCGGCCCTGAGGCTACAGGGGGCTGGAGAGAAGGTGGCCTGGCTGAGCTCTGGCAGAGCCAGTGGGAGGAGGGCCCCCCTCCCCCGCAGGATGCAGGGTTTCCATGGCAACCACAGCTGCCTAGGCTGGGAACCGCTGGGCGGAGGCTCAGGGAACAGACCCCCGTGTGCAAGGGTGAAGGTGGGTGGGGACCAGGAGGAGGTGTGGTTCCCCTCCCCTGCTCTCCCTGGGCTTCCTCGCCACTGCTGGACACAGATGGACATTGCAGGGGGACCCCTCTCGGTGGCCTTCCCGGTGGCCTGCGGCAAGTCCAGGCATAGGTGTTGCTGGCACAGGCAGGGGTGCCTGGTGCTTCTTGAGACGACCTGCGGCCATGGCCCTGGGTCCAACTGTGCCCTGGAGAGCTGGCCGCCTCCAGGCTCTGCCCCAAGGCCCAGGTCCTCCACAGCTTCCCAGCACTGCGTCCTTGTGCCAGGGGAACTGGGCACAGCATCCTGCCCTCTGCCTCCCCTGAGCACCCCCTTACTGAGTAGTGGCCATGGGTCCTCTGTGTGCCCCTCTGCTGCCTCAGCTCCAGGACTCAGCACTGGAGCACACCCCTCTGGCCTGCCGGCTGCCTGAGGCATAGGTACGGGTGACCGCTTGTGAGGGCAGAGAAAGGGCAGAAACCAAGGTCCTTCTTCCTCCACACCTGGCAGTAGGTGAGGCCTTCAGGGGGTTTGGCTCCCACGGAGGCAGGTGTGAGTGTGCATGGGGGGCTTCTGCAGGAGCAAGCAGGCCCCATGGGACCAGGCTTCCTCCAGGCCCTGTGACCACACCCCAGCTGTGGCAGGTGGCACGCAGGTGGTGGGCACCCGGTGCTCAAGGCCAGGGCTGGGGAATGAGGAAGAGGAGGGGAGGGGGCACCAAGGAAGCCCCTCTTCTGGGCCCAGGACCCTGGGGATTCCTCCGGTTCTGGCCACCCTCCCAGGTTCCCAGCTAGCAGGCCGGCCCAGTCCCTCAGTCCGGTGGCCTCAGAGGCCCCCAGGCCCCCTCTGGTCCTGCTGCCAAATGGAGCACCTGTGCCAGAGACACAGGCAAACCCCGAGCCCACTGGCCCCACACACAAAGTCTGTGCCCAGGGATCCCTGGGTGGCGCAGCGGTTTGGCACCTGCCTTTGGCCCAGGGCGTGATCCTGGAGACCCGGGATCGAATCCCATGTCAGGCTCCTGGTGCATGGAGCCTGCTTCTCCCTCTGCTTGTGTCTCTGCCTCTCTCTCTCTCTCTGTGACTATCATAAATAAATAAAAATTAAAAAAAAAAAAACAAAGTCTGTGCCCGAGGAGGCAGGAGGGGGTCAGACCAGGGGTCAGGCCAGGGAGGCTGGAGGTCAGAGCCAGAGCAAGCTTCATGGCGACAGCTGTCCCTTGCAGACTGTGTGATGTGTCCTAGGCCCATGCCAAGAGCTTTGCGGGCAGGACTTTATCCTCCAGCCTCCGTTTGAAAGAAGAGAGACTCCAGGTGGGGCTGGGGCCCCTGCTTGTCAGTAGCTGAGCTAGGCCTGGGCCTGCTTCCTGGCTTGTCCCCTGCTCTGGTGGCCATATGGGCTGGGCCTGCAGTGTCCCAAGCCCCACACCATCCCTGCATTCTGAACAGCCAGGGTCCCCAAGGAGAGAGGTTTTCTCACGGACCCATGAGTGTCTGTATGGCAGCCCTGCTGAAGGAGTTGCAGGAAGGGATAGGGGCCCTACTGGCTTCCACGAGACAAAGGGGAAAAGGAGGGAGCAGCGGGGTGTCCACTGCGAGGGCCTGGTTGAGGAGCCAGGTCAGGTCCAGGGATGAATGTCACACAGCCCCACCCCAGTCGTGTCTACGCAAACCTTTCTGAGATGCCTGGGTGGCGCTCACGAGATAATGTTACGTGACCACAAGGCCACAAATCTACGAGCCTTACGTGACTCGACTCACGTGACAACCATTGTAAGTAAACACAGGGGAGTGAGTGTAGTGTGGAAAATGGGTTCCCCAGAAGACACTGCCCACCCCCCAGAGCTGTAAGCATGACCTGCTTTGGGAAGAAGGGTCTTTGCAGATGGCATTACATAAGGAACCCCAAGGGGAGACCGTTCTGAAGTTGGTGGCACCGCATTGATGGCCAGTCCTTCCAGAGGAGAAGGGGACGGGCCTGCTGAGGTCAGAGCAGAGGTGGAGGGGCGCCCAGGGCCCTAGGCGCTAGTCAAGCAGAGGGGACACTCTCCTGGAGCCTCGGGAGGAAGGGTGGCCCGCGATGTCTCGAGTGTTGCAGCCTGTTCAGAACTAGAGAGAACACGGTGCTCATTTAATCCTCCCCGTGTGTGGTCGCTCATTGGCACAGTAGCCCCAGGAGATAAGCACAGACGACCTTGCCCCATCTCAGGAGGGTTTGGTGAGCACTTGCTGTACCTCACTCACTTCCTCCCACATTCACCACCCCGTGGCCACCTGGGATGAGCGCCAGAGAGTCAGGGAGCCTGCCAAGGTCGCAGGGCAGGAGGATTGGGGGTGGACATGACACAGGCATGTCAGCGGCAGTCCTGGAATGGGGAGCTAAGGGCAGAGACCCCGAAAAAGGGGTTTGCCATTGGTGGCTTCCTTGGATTTCTTTGGGGCAGGAAGTTGGCTTTCCTAATTCTGTACAATTTGGGCTCATGTGAAGACTCCCCCTCCCAGCACACACCACAGTGGGAACCCCAGACTCTCCCCTGCAAGTGTCAGCCTCCCTCTCTCGCTATCTCTCTGTCTCTGTGTGCCTGTGTCTCCCTATCTCTCTGCATCACCCATCTACCAGGCCCACCAGGCGGGGCGGCGGGTGTGCAGACAGGCAGGGCAGGGCTTCTACCACGGAAGCTGAGGCTAAGCCCTCCCAGACCAACCTGCTGTGGTCCAGCCTCATGGGGCCCCAGGGGTGTGAGCAGGCTGCAGCCACCAGCCAGGGAAACAGGAATGCTGGGTGGCCAGGTGTTGGGGATGATGTGGCTGGTGGCTGGCTTCCCTTGGACCTCCAGCTATTTCCTGGGCCCACAGTCTCCCAGGGAGGCACTCAGCCCCCGAAAGCAGGTGGGCAGACCGTTTCCTGCCAGCTCCCTGAGTCATGTGCTCGTGGATCCATTCACCTGCCCCGCAGACACCACTGTCCAAGGACTTTTGAGGCCCTGAGGAAATGGCTGTGGGGTGACCCATGGGGGCCTCGCAGGCTATGGGGGGCCTCACCCTGCAACCTTACAGGAGAATAAGTTACTTCCCAGAGTAACGAGGTTATCCAGGATGCAGTAAACCTGAGTGATCTTACTTAAGAAGGTTCATGCACTCACGGTTCCTCTCTCTTTCTCTGTCTCCCTCCCGTCCTTGTCCACCTTTTCCCTACTCAGTTGGGGATGCATGGCACAGGTTGGGCCAGGAGTCTTCACGTCTGCTTTGGGCTTGGCTGCTGTGCTGGTGGCTCTGGTAGTGCTCCCAGCCCCCACCGGGCCCTGCAGGAGCAGCTCCGCTGGAGAGGTGGGAGTGCAGGGGGGTAGGGAGGGAGGGAGGGAGGGAGGACACAGGCCAGGAGCTGCCATGCTGGCCAAGGGGACACCCCAGTCTACCCCTGGCCTCAGTACATGCCTGGGTGGGCCTTAGAAGTTGCATGCCCTGCTGGAGCTCATGGGCCCATCTTTTGTCCCTAGGATGTCTCCAGGCAGCCTGGCTGCCACCTCCTGCTGGACTCGCCTTCATCCCGGGCCCAGGGGACCTTGAGAGTCCACCACATCTCCCCATTTCCAGAGGCTCAAAAGAACCCTGCAACTGTCCCCTGTCTCTCCTGCCAGGCCTGTCCAGGGGATAGATCAAGAGAGGAGTGAGTCAGGAAACCAAGGTTGACGTCAGCTCCCTGGCAGCCCAGTCTGGAGACCTGGGACACCAGGGCTCCATCTGTTCACCTTACAACATGATGGGCGTGCCGATGAGGCTGGATGCCAGGGAAGGCTGAGTAGGGAAGGGCAGGCATGTGGCAGGTGCCTTCAGGTAGAGGTGACACCGTTGACTTCCTACAGGGCTCTGGGCGTGCTGGCACTAAACCCTGGTCCTCTGAAAGCAGCGTGTCGGCCCTCCAGAGGTGGTGCCTCCTGGACCCGGCCCAGCACCATTGTCTGTGTCTACGTGTCACATTCCTTCCAAGGATGTATCTGGTCTGGAAATTGCTTTTCTTTTTTTTTTTAATTTTTATTTCTTTATGATAGTCAGAGAGAGAGAGAGAGAGAGAGAGAGAGAGAGAGAGAGAGAGGCAGAGACACAGGCAGAGGGAGAAGCAGGCTCCATGCACCGGGAGCCCGATGTGGGATTCGATCCCGGGTCTCCAGGATCGCGCCCTGGGCCAAAGGCAGGCGCTAAACCGCTGCGCCACCCAGGGATCCCTGGAAATTGCTTTTCTTCCCTCTAAGGCTCCTCTGGGAATAAGGCCCATTAGGGATGGATGGAGGGGGCGTGCTTGCGGTCTCCCATCGGAGCCCTGTGTCGGCTGGTGCACCAATGTCCCGAAGTGGGGAGGCAGTTAGTTACATGGCAGAATATGAAGAGGTGCTTCCACCCTCCTGCCCCCGGGGAGGCTGGGAGGAGGGAGAAGCAGCTGGGGAGGGAGAGCAGAGTGAATGGAGGAAGGCCGGGTGCAGCGCCAGTAGGCCGCAGTGGTGATGGAAGGCTGGTACCCTCCAGGAGCTCCTCCTGGCCCAGAGTGTCAACCAGGAGCCCCCTGCTCTCCGAGGACCAGGGATGTGCTCGTTCTCACAGGTCGGGGCTGTGTGGGCAATGTACGTTGGGCCTGTCACTTGGTGCCAGTCCTCATCATGCTCTACGTCCCTGCATGGGTTCTCTGGGCAGGAGGGAGTCGAGTCTCCATGACACATCTCCATCAGTGCAGGTGCTGTCCCGATCCAGCCAGGACCCAAGACCACCAGCAGGGCCCAGTGGGGACCAGGCACAATGCACAGGCAGACTGGCCCCAACACTGGCCCTCCCTGAGTTCTTACTGCGTACCAGGAACGGAGACCAGCACTATCCAGACCCCAAGAGCCTTCAGGGTCCCTGTGGGATGGAGTCACTGAACCCTATCCACGGGTGGCAGAACCAAGGCTCAGAGAGGGAGAGCAGCTTGCAGCAGGTCACCCGGTGCCAAGGGCAGGGGTGGCCCCTGTCCCGCCTGGCCTGCCAGCCTGAGCCGTTGGCCTGCTCACCGCACTGCACCCCCAGAAGGTTCCAGTTCCTCCTGGGAAGCTCTGATATAAAGCGGAGACTCTTCCAGCCCAGGGACCCCAGCTCCCTAGGCTCCCTGTTTCCAGAAAGGAAAACAAGATGCTTTCCCCGTGGTGACAGCTATAGGGCCACATGCGTTTCTCTTTTATTCTGTCATTCATATCATGTCACCATGAGGGCTTTCTTGGCACCAGTCACCTGGCCACAGACCCAGGGAACCTGTGGGGGCTAGCAGCTGTCGCCTCCGGGGACACTGAGCTCAGTTCTGGCAGAGGCAGGGCCCCAGGCAGCCCTGCCCTTACAATGAGGCTGGTGCTGGGGGCACCCAAGGTTGGAGGCCTGGGGCTGTGGCAGATAAGGGAGGCAGCCCTGCCCACTACTACCCCCCCCGCCCCCCAGGAGCCAGCAGGCAGGGCATTGCGGCCACAGCAGGGAGCAAGGCCCTGCCCAGCTCCTGTGGTCACAGGGGAGGGCGAGTAGGATGAGCTGCCAGGCCGCCAGCGCTTCGGGCGCAGATGGTTCTCATTCCCGCTGCCTCTCTTCTGTAGGAAAAACAAACTAGCCCAGGGCCAAAAGGCCCTTTTTTATCTTCTGTTTATTTTTGTTGCCATTTGCCTTTGCCTGTGGGCTGCATTCTGCTGAGGGTCCGGTGTGGAGGCCCTGGCATTTCCCTGACCTTGGGGCAGCTCCCCCAGGAGGGGCCGCAGAGCTCTGGAGGCAGGGAGCCCACTTCCTGCTCCCGGAGCTGGCACTGTCCCGTCAGGCCTCAGTGACTTTGCCAGGGTTTGGAGTCTTCTGGCGGCACCAGGACTGAGAACCGCAGGAAGGAACTGGGTGAGACCCAGGTGTGCCCTGAGGGCCTGCCATGTGCCCATTCCTAGGTCAGGCACTGCCCTGGAAAAGTGTCCTAAGGCCCGGCGGAGCCACGAGTGGGTGGCCAGGAGGCCGCAGGGTCAGGTCTCAGCCATCAGGGCTCCCAGGCGTTCACAGAGGAGGAGACATCGGGCGCTGGGGTGCTGGGTATGGGCTGGTGGCTGGGGCGGGGGGGTGGGCCCAGTGTCCTTCCAGGTCCTCAGAGCCGTCCAGACTGCACACATAAGGCCAAGGTTGGGAGGGTGAGGGGGTGACCCCAGGTTTCCGGGGTGAGAAACAGTGGGGGGCTGCCCAGTCCGGCCACACAGGCCCTGGTAAGTGTCCATCCCCTGGCTCCCTGGGTGCTCCCAAACCAGGGAGTCCACACGGGGCACAGAGCGGGCAGTTTGTCGCCAGGTCCCCAGGTGTCCCTAAAGGAGGCAGGGGGTCATCTCCCATGGCCAGCACCCCTCCCCCCACCACCAGCCTGGAGAAGGAGTGGGCAGTTGGGGCTGGACAGCAGGATGGCGGGAAGGCAGCGGATGACCGAGGGGGGCTGGCCGCCTGCCAAATCAAGGCAGGGAGCCTCAAACGGTCCCTGGAGCGGGTGGGCAGGCGCCCGCGGGTCCCAGGAGAGGCCGCGGCCCAGCCGCCAAGCCAGCACCAGCTCGGCCCTCGGCCCTCGGCGCGGGCGGGGGGCGGGGGCGGGGGCGCGGGCGGGGGCGCGGGCGGGGGCGGGGGCGGGGGGCGCGCTGGCTCCGAGGCCCCGCCCCCTCCCCGCGCGGGCGGCGGTGACATCACGGCCACGGCGGGAGGGGCGGCGCCCCGCGCGCATCACTTCCTCGGCGCCTCCCGCGGGCGGGTGGACCGACCGACGGACGGACTGACGGTGCCGGCCGACGGCGACCGGCGCAGGGCGGCGCGAGCGGGGGAGTGCGCGGCCGCGGCCCTGGGCGACCCCGGCCCCATGGCCGGCCCGGCCCCGTCCGCCGCCGACGAGCTGCCCGGCCCCGCGCGGCGCCTCTACTCCAGGTCGGCTGGGCGGCCCGGCGGGGGCCTGCGGGGACGTGCGGGGGCCGGCGGGGTGCGCGGGGACGGGCGAGAGGCGGCGGGCCCCGAACAAAGGCTGCGGCGGGCGCACGACGTGGCGGGGACGCGCCCTCCCTGCGGGCCGGCGGCCGAGGCGCGGGGGAGGAGGCGTGCGGGGCGGGGGAGCCAGGATGGGGCCGGGCATGCAGGGGGGTGGGCGCGGAGGGCGGGGGCCCTGGGGCTCCCAGGGCTTGTGCCCTCTGAGGCCAGGACTGGTGGGGGTCAGGGTGGTTGGCTGGGATGGGCTGCTGCTGGCTGGACCCCCCTCACCCGCACAGTGCCTTGGGACAGGGGGCGGGAGACCTACAGCTGTGCGCCTGACAGCTGGGTGGCCTGGCACAGCAGGTGTGTGGAGGGGGGCTGCCAGGAGCTTCCCCTGAGCTGGGCACCACCACCCCACTGCCCTGGTCTGGGTTCTCAGGAGGCAGCATGGCTGAAGGGATCGGGCTTCATCATGGGTGGGGCCTTGCCCCCCCACCCCCCGCGGACCCACCAGGAATCTGGGGTTGGGGAGGTGCCGCAGGTTCGCATCCAGGCTGCAGAGCCAGCCAGCCAGGTGAGGTGTGTGCCTGCCTGAAAACACACCTGCCTCGGGGCAGATTCATGGATGATGCCAGCGGTCCATGCTTTGTGCTCCACACTCATCAGGGATGACAGGGCGGCCCTGCCCACCTGCAGTGCATGCCTGCTTGGTGACTCCCAGCCTGTCCAGGGTGTTCCACACGGTGATGCCATGTGCTGGCCCCGGGCAGACACAAGGTCCTCTGAGGGGAACAGACTGTGCCAGGGACTGCACGGGCCCAGTCCAGCAGTCAGCACCAGTGCTGGGCAGGGGCCACTCGCTGGTGGCAACTCCCACAGGCAGGCCTGGCTGCCTCTAGGGAGCCTGACCTGTCCCCAGCTCGCACGGACACCATCATCCTGGGACCTGGCAGCCTCCCCAGCTGCTGAGCCTTCCGAGGGCCTGGCCTTGCCTAAAAGGATCCTCCAGCCCCAGCTGGGCAGAGTGTCAGCAGCAAACCTCTGCTGGGCGCCACCCCCCCACCCCCCCCCACCCCCCGGCAGAGTGAGGCCCTAGTGGCGAGTGAAAAGGAGGCCTTGCCACTCCTCCCACCTCGGTCTCTGTGTGACTGGCCAGAGACACAGCCTCCATTGTGTGGTCCCAGGATTGAGTGCCGAGCCCTGGCTGCTGGGCCCCATGGGGGCGGGGGTGTGCGGGTGGGTTTGCTGGCAGCTGACACTGGCAGCCCGCCCTGAGGATCTCCCCCCAGCACCCCTGTGGGAATGGCAGGACTTGATTGGGCAGCTCCCGGCCATGTGTGTGCACATGTGCGTCGGGGTTTTAGTCCTGGGAGACCTTGCACCGCTGAGCATGGGGGCCGCATCATGTTCATGTCCACATCCAGCATCTTGGCTTGGGAGTCTGGGGTCGGGGCCCAGCAATAACACGCCACACAGGACCCTAGCCTGGGGGAGCTGTCCTGGGCAGGGACAGGCTCTGAGGGGATACCGGAGATGCCCTGGGCCCAGCCTGACATCCTTGCAAGCTGAGACCTGAGTTGAGCTCAAAGGGGCAAGCCTGACATAGATTTGGGGTGCATGGCCCTAAGCCCTCCTGTGGCCTATAAGGACACCCCTAGGGAGTTTGTGTAGCCACAGCTCCAGGTGGGCAGGGCAGTGCCTGCTCAGAGCTGGCTTTGGGAGGCTGGCAGGCAGGGATGGGAGTCGGGGAGCCATGTGTGAGGGCATCCTGGATGGGTGGGGGCCTTTAGCTAGGGAGGAGGGAACTGCTTCCTCAGTCCAGCATCCTTGGGCCACAGTGGCTCGGGGCTGGAGGAAGGTGTCAGAGGGTCATCGGGCCAGAGAGCCCACCTGTGGCAGGGCAGCTGAGGGGTGCAGGGAGCCCGGCCTGTGGATGCCCCATGACAGGATCTACTTGGTTCGACCACTCTGCCAATGGCTGTTTGGGGGGACCTCTGGGCTGGGCCTAGCGTCCTGGCTCTCTTCCCATGCCAGATTCCTGCCTGGTGACATAGGGGTCTGGGGGACATGGGCTTGGAATGCACTCTGAGAGGGACTTGAGCCTGAGTGTGCCCATGGGCCCAACAAGTCCCCAGATGGGGCCCTGGGGAGGATATTGGGTCAGGGAGACAGAGGCAGGTGAGGCAGTTAGTGCCCAGAATTCTGCTCTATGCCCCTGGGCCCACTTGCCAGGAGCGGGGGTTTGGGAGGGAGGGGCCTACGGGCCTGGGGGAAGTGGTACAGGGGGTGGGCAGGTGGCCAAGAGGTCCCTAAAAGTGAGGAGGCCCTGGGTGGTCCTCTCCCTGTTCCCTTCAGGTAAGCACCTGAGTGTTCTAGAACTGGGGAGGCACCCCCACTGTGGGGTGACATGTTAGAGGAGTGCCCCAGACATAAGGCGGCCAGACAGGGGTGTCCTCAGGAACAGGTCGGGCACCCTGCCATCCACCTATCCCCACGCACCTCCTTCCACAGGTGCCTGCAGGCACTGGCCCTGGTAGGGCCTCTGGGGAATAATGGCCTGGCCCCAGGGCTCCCTGGAAAGAAAACCCTCAGGTGCTTTCCTGAGCGAGGTGACACTCATGTCCCTCCACAGCAATACCTGTCCCACTGTGCTCCCCGCCCTGTGCTGTCCCGAAATTTCCATGTGGGAGTCAGGGTGGCTCTGGTTTGGGGGCAGTGGGATGGGGTGAGCTGGGGACCTGGAGCATCTGCTCAATGGCCCAGTCTGGGGGTGACATCCCTGGAGAGGAAGGACAGTGGATCCATTTAGCAGAGAATGGGGCCAAGGGGGATACATGTGGTGGGAGCTGGGGGCCTGGCCTGGAGACCCATGGTGCGTAGTGCTGGAGGACTGTGTAGGGTCTGTGGGATAGACAAGTGGGGACAGGGGCCCTGAAGGAGAGCAGAGCAGTTTGGTCCAAGTGAGACTGGGCTGATGGCTTCTTCTGGGATGCTGTCTTGCATGCCAAGGCCAGGCTAAAAGGGTGTGGGCTTAATGTGGTGGCCAGAATAGTAAGGCTGGCCCCTGGGGAGTCGATAACCATTTTATTAACCGGTAAGCCTGTGGGCAAGCAGCAGGAGCTTGGCAGACAGTATCCTGCATCCTGGCCACTGTGGTCTGGCCACTGGAAGAGCTGGCCTGGTGGCCCTTGCAAGGAAGGGCACATTGGGCAGTCACAGCATGAGGGTGGATCGGTGCAGGGAGATTTGGTCCCCCTGGGGCAGGACCTCCACGGAACAGTCCCAGAGGTGTGGGGTCTAATCTCTGCTGGGCTGGTGGAGGACTGCAGGTCACCCGCGAGGCATCCATGTAGCCTGGATGACAGATCCCAGGTGGGAAGGCTGTCCCTCCCAGGGTAAGGGTGGTGAGGCTGCTGCGGCCCTGAGATCTCTGGCCAGCTCAGCCCAGGCCTGCAGAGGGTCCCATGCCCCCAGGATAGGGCTCTTGGTGGCCCTTGGGGTAGACAGGCCATCTGGAGGCTCCAGGCAGCCCTGCAGGGGGGACGTGGAGGCAGTGGGCAGGAAGGCCAGCTCCACAAACCAGCACTGGAGTGAGTGGTCCAGGGTGGCTGCAGACCAGCATGTCCTTGGGGTACACGGGCAATGCCAGGAGATAGGACCAATACCCACAGGTCTGCAGGGGCGGTGTGGGGAGACAGAGGCCCCAGAATCTTCTTCACTAAGCTGGGTCCTGGGCCTGGCCAGGCTGGGCACGTCTCAGGGGAGACAGGAGAGGGTAGGGAGAGGGTAGCCTGCAGTTCAGGCGGGTCCTGGGAGGCAGAGTAGGGGGCCTAGTGTTGATGTGAGGGTGCAGGGTTGGGGGCCCAGCTTGTTAATAGGAGCTGGATAAAAAGGAGGTGATGCAGGCCCTGCCCTGTACCTGAGCTGTCCTGAGGAGTGGACAGGCGTCCTGAGGGGTAGACAGGCAGCATTGGAGAAGCCTCAGGGCAGGGAGGAGGGTGCTTGGTCGGGACACTCTTGGGAATAGGGCCTGGTGAGGCTGGCAGCCTGGGACCAGGTCCTCCCACCTGTGCTCACCTGCCAGGCCCCCCTTGCCCCCCCCCCAGTGGCCAGGGCCTACAGAGCTGAAGCTGGCGCTGGCCCTGGCACCTGCCTTGACTTTGTATCTCTGGAATGGCCTTTGCCCTGGGCCTCGCACTCGCCCTTTGACTCGGGTTCCTCCATATGCTCTGCTCCGACTCTGGGTAGCTTCGGGGACCAGGGCCCACCCTGGCTCCCCAGTTCACTCTGATCTCAGAGCTGCACACCCTCCTCTTCCCAGGGTCCAGAGCCTTGGAGGCCTCTGCTGCCCCAGTGCCCGTTGCCAAGCCAGGCAAGTGGCCTGGCAGAGAGTCTCCACCCCGCGCCCCACCCCCCCTGCAACCCAGACCTGCCCTGTCTGCTGACGATGCTAATCCCCGGCTCTGAGCTGCCCTGATCCCTTGATCCACCTCAGTTGCTGGAGGCCCCAGACACCCTGCCTAAGGACCTGGGGTCTCTTGGAAGCCAGAGCCTTTGGCCCACCACTCTGGGGTGGGTGGAGGCAGGGGACCACGAGGCGGGCACATCCCCAGGGCCAGCAGCCCGGGTGGGGCAGTTGTCGGCAGGCCTGGAGGGAGGCCTGGAGCCCCAAGATGCCGGCTGCCTCCACGGAGACCCAGCCTGTGGCCCTGAGCTTGGCAGAGAAGGCTGTCTGCAAGGTGGTGTATGGCGCCCCCCGTCCCCGCCCCCTGCTACTGCCCGTGGGCCTGGAGCTGTGGCTGCATGTGCAGAAGATGCGCAACCTGCGGAGGAAGAGGTGCGGTGGGCAGTGGGGCAGGGGCCGTGGAGGTCAGGGTCTGGAGGGTCTCGGGCCAAGTGGAGGACACCTGCCTACCACCTCCTCACATTACTGGGCCCATGTGGGACCTGCCCGTATGTGATTCAGGATGCTGTGTTGGGCACCCCCTCACTGTGCCCCTGGGCCCTTGACACAACCTCTCCCACGGTGGTGATAAGGACACACGTCTAGGCAGGAACGCTGGGCTGGGGAGGCCACTCCCCCAGTCGTGTCTGTCAGCCAGCAGGGTGTGCTGGGCTTGGGACCCAGCAACGTCAGACTCCAGGCCCCCGTCCTCCCAAGTCACTTGGGAGGAGAGATCACTCAGCCGCATCAGAGAGCTAGTGCCAGCTGGGTGGGGACGAGCCGGCCTTAGTTAAGGAGCCGTCTGCACGGTGGTGGCCAGGCCAGGGGATGGCTGCTGGGGGCTCCTGCCATATGGCATCCGATGTACCTTCCCAGAGTGTGGTGGGTAGGAGGCCGAGACCCTGGCCCCCAGCCTTCCGAGAAGCCACCCAGGCTCTGCTTGAGTCTGGAGGGTGCAGGGCAGCGCCAGGTCCTGGAGCCCACTCTCCCCTGGGGAGTCCAGGCTGGGCCAGGGGCACTGTGATGGAGACCTCCCACAGAGAGCCCTGAGCCTGTGTGGTGTGGGGCTGTTTGGTACGCGGTCTTGTTGGAAATGTGTAAAGTGCCCATTTTCTTGACGATGCGGGAGTCAAGTGGACAGGGCACTCTGGTTTGTATCAGCAGGCTATGTGGGCAAAACAGCCGAGAAGTATGGCTGTGGGCAGATTTGTTTGTTGAGAGGATATGTGTGATTCTCCTCCAGTAACTGCTGGTCACTAGGGGGACATGGCCAATTTGGTGTGGACACCTTGAATTACCCTGCAGGCTTTCCCTGGACCCCGGTGACTGGGGTTGGCCCTTGGCCATGCAGAATGTGTCTCTCACTTTTCCAGGGCCATGTATGTGGCCACTGGGCCCCTCCTGCCACCTGCCTGGGTGCCCTGCAGCCTGGAGCCCCACTCTTCCCACCCTAGGGCAGGGAAATGTGCCAGGCCTTGAGGCTGGAACCACAGGACCAGCTGGAATAGGGCAGAGGAGGAGACCGAGGTTCTAGGTGGTGATGTGTCCTACCCGGGACCCCACAGCAGGGAGAGCTGGAACCAGGGCCAGCCTGATCAAGTGACTGCCCACACAAGGCTCTTCTGACAGCCCTGTCCTTGGGGCAGCTCACCCAAGGCCCAGGGGTCATGGGGCCCGCAGTGAGCAGGGCCCAGGTAACAGCTGGGGGGCTTGGACCCCACCTTGGGGGCTAGAAGAGCCTAAGGGTAAGGGGCTGCTTCTCTGAGGCCCCTGCCCAAAGGTCGGGAGAGGAAGCCTCCAGCAAGGGCACTAGTTGTCCCATGGAACTCCGGGCTCTTGCAGTTGGGCTGGGTTCAGGGCCAGGAACCTGGAGCAGTTTCCCACGGGTCCAGGGGTCGTCCATCCGGGATGGGCCCTGTCATGTCCTCCTGCAGTAGCGCCATGGGGATGGGGAGACCTGGGAGGTGGCCAGCTGAGCACTTCTCAGCCCGTGGGGCTGGCTGACCCTTGGCTCCCACACAGCCATGCCCCCGAAGGATGGGAGGTGAGGACAGATGATGGCTGAGCCCCCAGCTGCCCACAGAGACCTTGGAGGGCGGGGCCCATCCTAGGACATGGGATGCAGTCAGCTCCTGCCCATGTGGCCTTGACCAGTTTTCTCTGAATCTCCCAAGGCCTCGGCTGTCCTGGGTGAGAATCAGGGCCTGCCACGGGCTGCTGTGGCTGCTCTGGAGGAGGGACGTGGCCCCAGGCCTGGGGGGCCCTCATCCAGGTGCCCAAGACTTCTTGAAGGCTGTGGCCACCGTAGCCTGAGGGTCTTGCTATGGTCACAGACTCATGCCTCTTCCTGGGCTGAGCCCTGGGAGCGTGAGGGGTATGCAGTGCAGCTGGGGCACAAGTGAGCCCACCTGGGGACAGGCACAGCACTGGAGCTGGCACTTGCTTCCAGGCAGTCCTCCAAAGATATTTCCGACTGTGTGCATGGGGATGGAGGGGGGCACTGCCCCCCGAGGGCCTCGTGGTCCCGGTGACACCTGGGCAGGGAGCACAGAGGCCCCGTAGGACCACGCAGAGGTGGGCGGTGACATGTGTCCCCTGTGCGCAGGATGGAGGCCTCGTGCCTGGAGCTTGCCCTGGAGGGGGAGCGTCTCTGCAAGGCTGGGGATTTCAAGGCGGGCGCGGCCTTCTTTGAGGCAGCGGTGCAGGTGGGCACCGAGGATCTGAAGACGCTGAGTGCCATCTACAGCCAGCTAGGCAATGCCTACTTCTACCTGAAGGAGTACGGCCGGGCGCTGGAGTACCACAGGCATGACCTGCTGCTGGCCCGGTGAGGTGCCCTGTGTGCGTTTGGGGAGCTCAGGGTGCCCAGGACCCCGGGGCGGTGGGGGAGGACCACACAGTGCCCCCGGCATCGTGTGTTGTCTGTCGGCCCGTGTTCCCAGTGTGTCCGCCTGCCCAACTCTGGAACCCCATGCACACCTGTGTGTGGGCTCCATAGGCCTCACTGTTCTCTGGCCTCTGGGCCTGGGCCCGAGCTGCTCTTGCCCTGGAACACGCTCTGCTCCTTCTGCACGTGGGCAGTGGGTGCCCCACAGGCCCTTCCCTGGCCAGCAAGCCCCTGACGGCCTCTGACACCCAGCCAGCCTGTCAGAAGTTATTCACACCACCGGGCCCCATGGCTCTCCTGGGTTCCATCCAGGCACCTCCCCAGGCCCTGACAGTGGCAGGCTGGGCCCAGCAGAAAAGTGACCCTCCCCTGTTCAAGCCGGGCTCCCAACCCGAGGGGCCCTCCCCACCCACCCCAGGACCCCAGCCCAGCATGGCCCCCATTGGCCCAGGGCTGGTCCTGCCAGGCCTCCCCTACCCTCACCTGGGCTCCCTGCAGCCCGCAGCATCCTGAGCCTGGCCTTTGGCCTGGCCGCACACTGCCCCCTGCCCTCCAGGACCATCGGTGACCGCATGGGGGAGGCCAAGGCCAGTGGAAACCTGGGGAACACACTCAAGGTCCTGGGCCGCTTTGACGAGGCCGTCGTCTGCTGCCAGCGGCACCTGGACATCGCCCAGGAGCAGGGGGACAAGGTGGGTCAGCGGCTTCCAGGGCAGCTGCCCCTCCCAACCCCATGACCCGGGGCCTCATGGGAGGAAGATGGAAGAGTGATCCCTGACACACTGCAGGGCTGAGTCCCTAGCTCCCCATCCCCCTTGTCAACTCTTCCTCTCACCGACCTCCCAGTCTGGCTCCAGAGGGAGGCAGGGTGGCGTGGCAGCTGGGGATAGAGTCACTCTGGGCCTAGCTCTGTGCCGGACCTTAGGCTGTCCCACTCGGTGACCTCCCTCCATGACCCTGTGACATAAGCACAGACGAGGAAACATGATGGCTTGCCCCACGTCATATCTCATGGCAACTGGGCCCAGCTGGGAGCCCCCTCCTTCCCCTGGCACCACACAGAGGCCTGGCCACCCTGACGGTAGAGACTGAGGGCTGTGGGTGCCAGATCTGGCTGCACCTCCTCTGCTGAGTCAGTCCCAGGGTCGTTTGGTTGCCTCATCCTCTGTCCACAGAATGGCAGTCACGTGCCAGCACCCCCACCCCTCCTTGGGGCCCCAGGCCTACCTCAGCATCCACACTTGCCTTTGGGGCTGTGTCTGTGGGTCCCCCCAATGTCGGTGCTGCCCTCAGGTCGGGGAGGCAAGGGCCCTGTACAACATCGGCAACGTCTACCACGCCAAGGGCAAGCAGCTGTCCTGGAATGCTGCCCAGGACCCCGGGCACCTGCCACCTGACGTCCGGGAGCCACTGCGCAGAGCCTCCGAGTTCTATGAGTGAGTGGGGCGGACAGGGGCACCTGCAGAACCAGCGGACCGGGCTTTGTCCACGCTCTCCTGGCGCTTCCTGGGCCACCGCCGCTGGCCCAGGCCCAGAGCACCCATGTCCGCCCCATCACCTCTCCACAAAGCCCGCGTGGTGCTGGCCAGTTGACTCTCCTTCCCCACCCCCCCACTGGCCCTGTCCTCAGGGCCTGCGGGGAGTGCACCAAGCCTCCTGCCGCTTCCCCATGCGTCAGTCCCCCACCCAGTGCAGAGAAGCAGGGAAAGCACCAAGCAGAAGCCATGGGTGGTGTTTAGAAAGCACATGGCTGGAAGGGGGGCAGGGACATCGGCCAAGCCTTGTGCGTGGGAGAACGTTGCCCCTGAAAACCAGAGTGGGGCAGGCGAGCCCCGGATGCACGCCTTGGAGCTCACGGTACCTGCTGGCAGTGGCACCAGAGCTGGGGGGCCCACCCTGAGCGGCCCTCATTCTGGGGCACACTCCTGGGAGGAACTGAGCAGAGGCCACCTGTCCGTCACCCTCTAGGCTAGATGGGTGGGTCACAGGGCCCCTGCTTCCCGGGCATTGAGAGGGACACAGCTCAGATGGATGCGACCCCCAGGAGGAATCTGTCCCTGGTGAAGGAGTTGGGTGACCGGGCGGCCCAGGGCAGAGCCTACGGCAACCTAGGCAACACCCACTACCTGCTGGGCAGCTTCATGGAGGCCACAGCCTTCCACAAGGAGGTGAGTGCACTGTGGGGCCCCCAGCCACTGTGTCTGTGCGTCTCATCCACATGGGGTCCCGCGGCTACTCTGTAACCACCCAGCCTTGGGTCTGTATCCTCAGCGCCTGGCCATTGCTAAGGAATTCGGAGATAAGGCAGCCGAGAGGAGGGCCTACAGCAACCTGGGGAACGCCCACATCTTCCTGGGGCGCTTTGATGTGGCCGCCGAGTACTACAAGTAGGCAGGCCTGCCCCCCAACCCCTGCCCACCTCCCCACCCACACCCACCCCTGCCCACCCCCACCTGCCCAGCCCGGGGGCCAGGTGGGGGGGTTCTGGCCTGTGTCCTGGGGCTATCAAGGGCAGAAAGCACCACAGCCCCTTCCCTTGGTAAGTGCTGGCAGAGGCCGCTGTGTTCCGGGGACACAGTTGGCCACAGCTCGGGGCTTTCTGGTGCTAGCTGTGGGGGGGAACCCCCAAAGTGTCTTTACTCCCCATGATAGCTCTGGGTGCGCGTATGATCCTTGTACGGACTCAGAAGGTCATGACCATGTGGGCTCCTGGGAGTCCCTGACCTGTGCCCGGGGAGCCCTGTGAACCATCTGCAGAGCGGTGGCCACCATGTAGAGACTGGGTCATCGGCCCCAGGTCCCGGGCTGAGCCTTACCATCCTGAATCAGGAGCCCGGGCTGGGCTGTGTTGTCCCCCAGCCCTCTATGGAGACTCTGGTGGGATCCTGGGGCTGAGGTCACAGAGCAGGTGGGCTGCATCTGCATCGCCCACTGCCCTCAGATGAGGGCCATGCACAGTGCCACGCCCCCTACATTTGGGACTGACCCTCTGTCCTCTCCGCAGGAAGACACTGCAGCTGTCCCGGCAGCTCAAGGACCAGGCAGTGGAGGCACAGGCATGCTACAGCCTGGGCAACACGTACACGCTGCTGCAGGACTACGAGCGCGCAGCTGAGTACCACCTGCGGCACCTGCTCATCGCCCAGGAACTGGCCGACAGGTTAATGGGGGGTGGGGGTCAGGCCTGGCCCACAGGCCTCCAGACAGTCCTTGAGCTGCAAACTGCTTTCAGCGAGGCCCTGCCCTGCTGCTGAGCACCAGGAGGCCTCTCCGAGCGGGACGGCCTGCCTGGCCTCAGCCTCCCTCTGCTATTGGGCCATGCTGTCCCGAGTGGGACCGCATGAGACCAGGTGGGTGCCGGCTGGCCACCTGTGGTGACTGTCAGGGTAGGCTGGTTGGGGATCAGCCCCCTGAGCACCCCGTGTCTGCATAGCCTCAGTCTCTCAGGAGACACAGAAGTATCCTACATGCACGGGTGTGGGGTGGGTGGCCAGGGCAGGGGCAAAGGGGCTGCTGGCAGGCTACTCTATTGGGAGGCTCCAAGTGGCTGGCCCTTGCTCTGGCAGGCAATGGCGCTCTGGAACTAGATGGTGACGGCTGTGGATCAGAAGTACACACAGAGCTGAGCATGTGCCCAAATGGTTAAACTTATGTTTTGTGATTTTTCACCTTAATTGAAAGATTGATGACCTGAGGGACTGCCCCTACCTCCTGCCCCCACACCCAAGGGTAGAGGAGAGCCTCACTGGCTGGTAGGGGACAAGCGAGACCCGCAGGAGCCCCAGGCCTGCCGGCTCTGCTCCTGTCACAATGGGCCCGAAAACCGGGGGCTGGTGGGTGGGCTGGCGGGCCTGGGGGCTACAGATGTGAACTCAGTGTCCCACCCTGGCAGAGTGGGTGAGGGCCGGGCGTGCTGGAGTTTGGGGAATGCCTACGTGTCCATGGGGAGCCCGGCGCAGGCCCTAACTTTCGCCAAGAAGCACTTGGAGATCTCCCAGGAGGTAAGCCAGGCCCGCCCTCCTGCCCTCCCCAGCCAGTGCCTTAGCGGCCCTTGGAGGTCTCCAGGCGCTGCCTGGCCCACTTTGGACCAGGCTAGGTGCCTCCGTGCACTCTGGGCTCCTGCCGGCACTCCTCCTCATCCTCTCCAGGCTGTTGCACCCTGGCCCTGCCCTCAGAGGCCTAGTGGCTGCTTCTCTGCCATAGCCAGGGGGTGCGACAGGGGAGGGGGCCCTGTTTGCACCCCTAGAGTGTTAGCATTCCCTGTGGGCCGGCCCTCGACCACGTCCTTTGTCCCCAATGGAACTGGGCCGGGCCAAGGTGGAAATGACCTGCCACAGGCAGCCCAGGGCACGAAGGCATGGCCGCCCCTGGGGGCCCCTCCTCTGCAACTCCCTAGCTGGACATCTCCTTAGGGATGGGACAGGGTCTCTGAGGGCCTGTCCACCCAGGATCCTCCCACTATGGTCAGCGCAGCCCCTGATCACAGGGCCATTACAGGTGGCCTCCTGTGTCCTGGGTCTTTATCTCAGCCCTACACTCCTTGGGCCCCAGTGGCACCTCCTTCCAGCACATGCCTAGTGCCTGCCCTGACCCACCATAGCCCCAGGCCTGAGTGGGCAAGACCCATAGGAGCCCAAGTGGTAGGGGGAACAGGGAAGCTTGGGTCAGAAGAGTCCCCCTGGGGCCACCAGCAGGGCTGGCCCCCATGTTCCCCCTTACCCGCGCCCCCAGAGCTCCACTGGAGGTCCAGCCACGCCCCCCCCCCGCTAGTTCTTGGGCAGTGCACTTCACCCCTCTGTGACAGGGTCCTCCTGTTGAGCCTCTGCTCTGAGCTAGGGGCCTGCAGAGTGCATGGGTGGCTCAAGAGACTGGGAAAGGTGGAGTCTGGGGCAGGCCACCCACCTTTGGGCGGGTGCTCAGGAAGGAGTGCCCCACGTGGCACAAGGCTGGCTGCCTGAGGCCCCAGGTGCTCCCGGGGTGTGAAGGGGGCCCATGTGGCCCCCCTCACCCAGGGACAAACACCCAGCCTCCACCCCTGAGGCGTAGTGAGGCCCAGTTTCCTTGGAGGCTGGAGGCTCAGTGGCTGTCCACAGGAGCCTCCCAGCCCACCTGCCCACTAACCTGGCCCTGCTTGGCTCTAGATTGGGGACCGCAATGGGGAGCTCACCGCCCGCATGAACGTGGCGCAGCTACAGCTGGTGCTGGGCCGGCTGACCAGCCCAGCGGCCACAGAGAAGCCGGACCTGGCTGGCTACGAGGCCCAAGGTGAGCCCCCAGGCTGGGTGGGCAGGGGCGTGGCAGGAGAACCACCCAGAGTATGTGGGCCTTAGGGCAGTGCTGGTCTCTGGCAGTCTACAAGGAGGTGGGCTCTGCCCCCCGACAGGAGAATCTCTGACAGAGCTGCCCAGTAAAGGTGGTAAGCCCCCTTCCCTGGGGGTGTCTGCCTCTGCCCCACTTCTCCGCCCTGCCCTGGAGCTCCCCGTGGGGGTGGAGGGTGACTGGGTGTCCAGGGTTCTCAGGGCACAGAGGGAGGGGCTTGTTCCCCCAGGGCAAGTTAGGAATCAGGACTGGAAAGTACAGGGGGCAGGGACAGTGTGGGAAACATGTGGCCTGGACGTGAGGCCTCCAGGCCAGGGCTTCATGGTTGCTGGGGCAGTGAGGGCCCATAGTCACCCTGAGCCCCCCAGTTTATCACCCCGTGACACTGTGGCCCGCATGAGGAGGAGGAGAGGGCCACTTGCTGCCCCTGACTTAGTGCTCCACCCGCTCCAGGCTGAGGGCTGGGCCTAGGGGCCGCAGTAGCCAGAGAGGCCTAGAGACCTGCTTGTGCTCAGGGTGCTAATCAGGTGAGGCCCGGGAGGAGCCAAGGCAGCTATAATGACCTCATTCACGGGCCGCTGGTTGCCCCATACAGTCAACATTGTCAGGCACACAGGGGCACGCAAGGACAGAATGTTCCTTGTAGAGCAAATGGATAAAAAGTACGGGGCCTGGGGAGGGGTGGGCACCCTGAGCTGGCTTCCCAAATTGCTGTAGGTGGGTGGGGTGGGGCAGGCTCCGCTTGGGGGCTAGTTGCCCCCTCCCTGCCTGCATGGACCCCGACCTCTGGTTCTTGAGTTTGGGGTTCTCAGTCTGGCCCGAATCCCCTCGTGGCTGTGTTCCTCAGGGGTGCCTGCCCTGCCCCCGCCCCAGGAGCCCTCCAGGCCTGCTGAGGATGAGGCTGGGGAGGACGAGGCCAGGGAAGTAGCTCTGGGCTACAGCGGGGCTTCTGTGGGTTTCTAGGAATGGCCTGTCCTGGGAAATGGGGCACATGAGTCACCCCCTGCCCCCGGACTGAGGACAGAAGCGAGGATACGAGGTTTCTGGGATCTTCAGCCACCTTTGTTTTGGGGTGCTGTGGCTGAAGGGGATGGGATGGAGGAGAGCTCAAGGGGCGGGACTTTCCTGAGCCTGGGTGGCTCTGCTTGGAGCCCCTGGCCTTGCACACCTCGGCCTTGGCCTTGGAGGAGCCCAGCAGCAAGGGGGGGCAGGGCTGGCCTGGGCTTCTGGATAGGCTCCCATGGGGCTCTCCTGCCATCCTCCTTCGGAGCTGAGGAAAGGCGGGTACATCACGAGAACAAGGCGGCTCTGTCCACCCCCACACCCAGACCCTTCCCAGCCAGGGCTCCCGGAAGCCCCCTCCCTGCCAGGCTGCCCGCAGATGCTGGGCTGCCGGCTGTCCTCCGGAGCCACCCACTCAGGCCCATGGAGGCTGGTGTGGGGGCCCCAGGCCACCTATGCAACTGCTGGAGGCAGCGAGGCGCCCTGAGTCTGGGCGGCCCTTCAGGAGACCCCCGCCCAGGTGAGCCTCACTTACTGGGTGTACACAGAGTGGGGTGGTGGCCTGGCCCAGTGTCCAGAAACGAGCCTGGAAACTGACCCTCACGGCGCGGGGGAGGGTATGGGGGGGCACTTGTATGTGCACAGCCTGTCAGTCTGGGGGAGAGGTGAAGGGGGCCAGGGGAGCCCTGGGAGACGTGTTAGTGGGGCTCACATCCTGGGGCCCTGGGAGGAGGCCCAGGCCTCCAGAGGATGAGCGCACCTTCAGCGAGGAGGGTGGGGCCGTGGTGGGTGGGGCCTGGCTGGCTAGCCCAAGGCCGGACCCAGAAGGGTTTTCCCCCTGTCCTGATAAAGACAAGGGCCCTTTCTGCGGCTGGAGAACCCAGAACCTGGCTATGGCTCAGTTTGCAGGTAGATCTCACCAGCCTTGCAACCCTCATCCCAGCAGAGGCCCCAGAAGGAGTCTGGGTGGGTGGGGGCCCTCCCTGCCACTGCTGCCTGGGCCTGGGTCAGTCCTTCCAGGTCTCCTGTTAACTAGCTGACCTGGTGATCTGCCCCAGCTGTGCCCCATTGTCCCCATCTGGGAACTGGGCCCACTGCTTGTCCTGAGGATAGTGCCTGGCAGGGATAAGGGCACTCCCTGGGAGTAGACACCTCACCGTCCATCCACACTTGGCATTTATCCTGCAGTCTGTTCACAGGCCAGGCACTGCGACACACGGACTGTCCTCATGTCTGTCCCTTCTCTGGCCGCTCCTGCCTCAACCTCCTAGAGCTTGCCAAGTGGGCCTGACTTCCCACATCCTGACCCTGGCTCTGCCCCTCCATGCCCTGTGACCTTGGCTGGTGATCACTTTTCTTGAGCCCCAGCATCCACAGTCCTGGGAGGGCAGTCAGACATGACAGTGCCTGGAAGCCCTGGACAGGGACCCATAGATAAGTGCCAGGAAACACTACCTGCTGGTCATCAGGGAGTGGGTCCAGCGAAGGTGGCCAGAGATGACAAGTGTGCAGTGAACCTTAGTGAACAGATAAGAGGCTACGGCTGTTTGGGAGGAAAGAATGGCCATGAGGCTGGGTGCAAGTGTGCGTGGCCATGTGGGGGCCACTCCCCGTGAGCTCAGGCTGCAGATGAAACACCACAGACCAGGCGGCTTAACGATATGGATGTTTACTTCCCACAGTTCTGGAGGCCGGAGGCCCGAGAGCAGAGGGCCAGCATGATGGGGTCCCGGTTTACAGATGGAGTGGGGGGCCTGTGGTTGGTGGGAGCTCTGTGGTGTTTTCTCATAAGGGCACTCACCTCGACACTGGGGCCACCCTCGTGACCTGGGGTCACCCCAATAACCTCTCAAGGCTGCACTTCCTGGTATCAGTGCGTTGGAGTTTGGGTCTTCAGCCTGGGACATGGGGGACACAATCGTTCGTTCAGTAGTGGTGACTTGTGAGCAAGGACTTGAAGGGGAGGAGGGAGTGAGCCTGAACTTAGATGGAAGACAGCTCTGCAGAATCCCTGGGGCCTGCACAAGCCCAGCTGGGAGGAGCTTTGGGAGGGCTGAGCCCCTCCCTGTGTCAGTCCCCCCTTCGCCCCCCCCACAGGGTGAGCAGAGGAAGAAGATCCCACTCAGGCCCTGTGGTGTGTCTCTGGGGCAAAGGGAGGAACAGGGAGGCAGGCTCAGATCCCAGCAAGGTGAGAAGGTTGCATTCTGGATTTGTTCCGAAGGCAGAGCAGCTGCTGGGATTCTGGACGTTGGGATGGATAGTAGGAGGAGCTGGAAGGACACAGCCAAGCAGTTAGGAAGCCAGGTTGCCCGCCCAGGTGTGCGGGGCTGCACATAGGAGGGGCCGGGGGGCGCATCGCGAGCCTGCTGGGAACAGAAGCAATGATAATGACGAGGGAGCCGGTCAGACTCGCAGGAGTGGGGTGATGCTCAAGGAAGTTTCCAGACCTCACCCTCACTCTCGGGGTGGGCAGGACGGGAAGCCCGCTAGCGTTGCTCTGGCTTGAATGCTGCGGTGAAGGCAGCATACCATCCAGACAGAGGGTGCATTTAGCCAGGCTCAGGGGGCCCTGGGGGGACCCGCCCTGGAGCCGGACACATGCTGTGCGTCACAGGGGCGTTTCAGCCTCCACCACAGCCTGGGCCGGACCGTCCAGCCAGGCGGGGCCCAACGGACCCGGTGGGGAAATTGAATATGCCCCTGGGTGTGAGGGGGCAGCCAGCCTGCCCATGGGGGGAGATGGAGCTGACCTGTCACCGGCTGTGGTGAGTAAAGGGCCAGCACATAGGCCTGCCGGTCCCGACAGGGCCACCCCACTGCCCCCGAACTACTCCCAGGGCTGGGTGATGCCCAGGCCCCGACTGGAGTTGGATGATCCCACAGTTTCCTCAGAGCTGCCAGTCTGCTCCAGGGGGTGCTGGGCTGCGGGGAGCCCTGCTCCAGCTCCTTTGGCCTCACAGCACAGAGTCAGGCTGTGTGCCCAGAGGCTGCTGGCCAGGGGCTGTTTGCAGTGGGCAGAGGCAGGCCTGGCACTGACCACCTCAGCCGAAGGGAAGGGGGGGCCCTGCTTGGGGGGCGGTAGGAGGGACGGACAGCCCCAGGTCCCGGACCCTCAGGGCCACTGATGCTTCCTGGAGCTGGCCACCTGGGACAGCAGCCACCGACGTCCCTTCTCCGATCATCATTGCTTTTCCACCCAAGGCCTCTGGAGAGTGGGGAGCAGTGGGTAGCATTCTCAGAACCTGGAGGTCAGGACAGGGACTAGGGCTCGGCTGCCCGCACCATCGCCTTGGACACCTGCCCAGCTCTTAGGAAGCCTGGGGCATCTGGTTTGGGCTAGTCTGAACACCTGTGCTCCTGAACCAGCCCCTCTTCCCCTTGGGGACCAGGTGTCAGGCAGCAGGTGTGGCCCAGGGTGGGGTTGGGGTGCACACCCCATACTGTCTGCTGCAGGCGTCTGTAGGGCGGCTTAGTGTCACATGTGGAGCTCGGTGTAGTGCAGGGGTGGCCACAGAAGGCAAGCCTTCCTCATGATGCAGCCTGTGGGTGTGCACAATGTGCCAGGCGCTGTAAAATGCTTCCATGGGTTCCTGCTGCATGGCCAGCTGCACACTTGCAGGTCCCGTGTGATGGGTGGGTCATGGGTTCAAGGTCCGGTGGTGCCAAGACAGGACCCCGGAGCATCTGCCAGCACCAGAAGCCTCGCACATGCCCTCTTATACCCAGCACGTGTCTGCAGCAGGAGGGGCGCTTAGCTCCAGGGAGGACCTGGCTGCCCCCATGCGTGTAGGTGAAGGGGTGAACTGAGTGCAGCTGATCGGGGTGTGAGGCCCCATCTGCATGGAGGTAGGGAAAGCATTCCAGGAGAGGACGTCACTGAGGCCAGTGGGGAAGCCAGGCCTGGGTTAGGAGTTCAGACACGACCTGTGGGGAGCACCAAGGCCAGGCCTGGCTGCCTGTCCACCCCAGGGGTACAGGGTCATGAGGACATTGCACACTGAGTCTGCCTCCATGGGGGACAGTGAAGTGGGAGGTTCACCTGCCAGCCCACCTCCTGGCCAGGGGTCAGTGCCAGGCTGATCAGGCCCACTGTCTTTCAGGTGCCAGGCCCAAGAGGACACAGAGGCTGAGTGCAGAGACCTGGGGCCTGCTGAGGCTCCCCCTGGAGCGGGTGAGTGGGCTGAGGGCGGACGGCTGGGGCCCCAGGGCTAGAGGGCAGCCGTCCGCAGTTAGAGGCTGAGCACGGGCATTGGGTTCATGAGGCCGGCACAGGGCTTGCAGGGCTGCCCCCACCCACCCTGTTCTTGTCTGTGTCCCATCCCCGCCACCAGTGACCAAGGCACCCTCCAGAGCCGGAGACGCTGGACCGGCCATCGGCCCCCAGAGAAGCCCCCACAGGCCCTGTCCCCTCCCACTTCATCCCAGGGTCCCACCAGCCACATTCCCAGTGTCCTGGCCGGCCCCCACTCCTGTCTGCTACCTGCCCCCTCAGACTCTGCCTCATGGGGAAGCCAAGCTGTTACAAATGGACCAGCAAGGTCTTGGCAAACCCCTCACCAAAGCCAGGCAGGGTAGGGCTCCGGGTCCACTCTGTACCTGCCAGAGGTGGGTGCTGTGTAGCCCCAGGGGATGAGCTAACCTCTCTGAGCTTCTGGTTCCTCCGATGTGGACTGGTTTCAGGCACAGGTGCCCATCGGGAAGTCTGTTGAGGGACAAGGCTTGGGGCTGCCGTGGTCACTCATTGTTCCATGTGGGGTCAGCTGTCTAGCTCTTCCAGGCCCCGGCCCTGCCTCTCCTTCCCCCCAGGCCCTGTCTTCGTCTGGCACCCAAGTGCCCAGGTGTGTGTCTGTGGGTCAGGGCCGCTGCATCTGCCAGCCTCCCTGGGGTCCTGGGACGGGGAGCATCGGTTCGGGATTACTGGCCACTCCCGCCCATGCCTGGCCTTCCTCCCCCTCCCCAGGAGCAGAATGGAGACAGCCACCAGGTGGGGGAGTGGCGGGGGCCGGGCAGGGACATGCTCCCTCTCCCCATGAGGAGCAGGAAGTACCAGGAGGGGCTGGAGGCTGCCGAGAGGCCCCGAGAGGGCGGCCACTCCCCGCTGGACAGCGCGGACGTCCGGGTGCAGGTGCCTCGCACGGTAGGCGACCTCTCCTGGGATGCCATCCCGTGCAGCAGACCTGGGCCAGGTCAGGCCACCCCCAGGGGCAGAGGCCACACGGCCCTGTGTCATCCCCAGGCCCACTGAGTGCAGGACACAGAGCACTTGGTGCAGACACAGCGTTCCATCAGTTGCATCCAGTCTTGGTGAGGCCCAGGCCACAGAGAAACTGGACCGGAGGCCTTGTGGGTGGAGGTCTGCGGGGCAGCCTTGGGGGAGCCTTGGGGGAGCACAGGCCCCGGGCCTGGCCAGTTGCCCTGGTACAGGCTGATGGGGGACAGAGGGATGGGCCTCCTGCTGCCCGGCCAGTGTCCCTCTGTGTCCAGGAGGCAGGGTTGGCCTGTCTGGGCTGCTGGAAGCCATCAGGGTTTAGAAGGCAGCGGAGCCCAGGTTCAGAGGTCAGCCCAGAACACCCCACCCCATGCACTGGGCTCCAAATCTCTGGGAATTACTCTAAAAATAGTTTCCTCCAACGGCTTAATCAGCACCTTCCAGCATGGGCACGCGCTGGGTATGCCTAGCCCCACACGGCTGCTGTGTGCCTGTCTCCCCCGCCAGGCTTGGAGGGCCTCTGCCAGCCCTCACACTGCCCCTCAGCCTGCCAGCCAGAGTCATGTCCGTGGAGTGAGGGGTGAGCACGGTGGGGCCACTGTCACCATCACATGGGGGTTTGGGGTCTAAGATGGTGTGGTTGGCGTGGTCGAGGGCCCTGGGCCCTCCTCCCGGGCAGGACTTGGGGGGTGGGGCTGGGTCAGCCCCAAAGGTCAGCATCCACCTAGAAAGGATCTAGCAGGGGGCCCCTCAAACACTAGGGAGCTGCAGCAGGCTTTGGGACACGAAGGCCCTTTCCAGCTGGTGACTTGGCCCCCAACTGGTGACCTGGCCCTGGCCAGGTCCCTGTTGTCACCATGGTGGGGCGGGGGTGGGGGGCTTCTAGCAAATATGCTCAGGCTTGCCACGAGTACTGCATTCAGAGGAGCCCTAGGAGGGGAAAGTGAGGCATGGGGCAGCACAGAAGCTAGCCTGAGGGCACCCAGCTAGGAATGGTGCAGCCGGGGGTCCCAGCGCAGCCCCTTGGAGAGCGCCACCAGGCTCCAGGCCATGTGTGCCTCTGGAGGGAATTTTGGTGGCAGAGCCCAAGCCTGGGCGCACTGGGGGGCTGGAGCCCAGTGCCAGGCTAGTCCCCTGCCCCGCAGACACTGGCCCGGCTCCCTGCGGCCAGACCTCCCACCACCCAGGGCTCTGCGCAACAGGAAGGTCCTGGGGATGTCTCCATGCCGTCCGTCCTCCCCTCCTGGCTGGTCCCCTGGATGCTCTGGGTGGGGAAAGCACCCCACAGCGAGCAGCACGGGGTGGGGGGTGGGCCACGAGGGCCCTGGGGCTGCCAGCAGTTCTGGCTGCGTGGGGAGTGGCCGCGAGGCCCATGCCCGTGGGAAAGGCCGGCTCTTTCTGGCTTTTCGCCCGGCCCAGGAGGCCCCAGCCTCGGGAGTCGGGGCTGAAAGGAGAGGTGGCTTTCCCCGGGAGGACCGGCTCTGGAAGGAAGGCGGCCCGTCAGCCAACTACAGCTTTCCACATAGGTTCCGTCCCCCTGGCCCTCTGACAGGGCCCCCCCAGGGCGGGCGGGAGTCCTTGTCCTGGAAATAATCTGAGTGTTTACAGAGCGTGTGCGCATGTGTGTGTGCGCGCGCTGCGCGCACGTGTCTACATGTGCGCGCTAGAACCCGGGCGAGCAAGTGAGCGCCGTGGGGGGGTCAGGGGCCAGGGCGGGGCTGGCGCTCCCCCAGGGCCTATTTAAGCGCTGAGCTAACGGGGGCAGCACAGGCGCCACACGGTCGTGAACAGCACACAGGGAGCGGCAGATCCAGCGTGAGTGTGGGGTCCCCGCTGCGGAGGCTCAGGGAACACGGGGCCTGCATGACGCTGGCAGGGGGCAGAGCCCAGCTGCCCTCCTGGGGCTAGGGCTGTCACCCCTGCAGCAGCCCAGCTGCCCATCTTGTCCACTGCAGGACCACCCACCCTGGCCAGCAGGCAGGAGGGCTGCACAGGGGCAGCCCCGGGCCAGGGGGTGCAGGGAGTTTGCGAGCCCCTGGCTGGAAGTCCAGCAGGAAGGGCTTGGAGAATCTGGGATAGAAGGAGCCAGAGTTGGGGGCAAAGGAGAGGTGGAAGCCTGACCTGCGAGGCCCCAGGTGGCCTTGCTGTCCAGAGCTCCCCCTGTGCTCCTGTGGCCTCAGCCCCAAATCCCCCAGACCAGGGAGGCTGTGGCCCTTCTCAGGTGGCGGCAGATGGCTGTGCTCCTGGAACCCAAACTCAGCCCAGGGCGGGTGGGAGGAGTGCCGGGAGCCCAGGGTGACCGCCCTTCCAGGAGCAGCCTGGCTCTGTTCAGCTGGCCACAGGCCACCCGGGGTCCCCTGTAGTGGGCTGGAGCCTACCCCACACCCTCCTGGGGACGCAGGGCCCCTCTGCCCTTGACACCAGTTTTCCTTTCGCTCTGGGCTCCATGGGGTCTTGGGCCAGGACGTGGGACAGCACAGCCGCGAGTTGAGGCTTCCTGAACTATCTCCAGCCTTGGCTCCAGGCCTGCCCTGGTGGGACAGGGGTGTAGTCTGTCCTGTGAGCTCCGGCCAGCTGGCGTGGCTCATGCATGAGCTGTGCTGTTACCACCTGCTCTTGGCCTTTGGGGAGCCCAAGGCAGGCGTGTTTGTGGGGGTGTCCCCCACCCGCCCCTTGGAGGCATGCAGCCTCCCCTGCCTCAGGACCCTCCTCCACAGTGGGCTCTGAGGTTGTCAGCCAGCACCCAGTAGTGACATCTTGCTGTCGTGGTCTCTCCATGAGCCCAGCTCTGAGTGACCCCAGGAGCACCCCCCCAGCTGACAGGTGGACAGGCCAGGGCTGGGTGGGGGACACTAGCGTCAGAGGGGAGGTGCCTGCAGCCAGGGTGGCCTCTGGAAGCCATCCCCTTCATCAGTCAGCCCTCTGGGCCCTGGACCGGATGCGGATGGGGTGAGGCTGCTGGGGGGACCCACCCTGACCCTGCCCTTCTGGGGGCTCCAAGAGACCACCACCTCCAGTCTCCCCTGTGTAGATGTATAAACTGAGGCCCAGAGTGGGAGTGGGTTTGCCCAAGGTCACATGGCCCCTTGGGACTCAGGCAGGCCCAGTGGCCTGCTCACCTACTTCTCATTCCCCCGTCCCCTCCCCGACCCCATCAGCAGGGCTTGCCTAGACCTAGCAGGTTGCCCAGGTCAGCCCTCCCCAGCCCCCCAGAGCAGACCTTGGGCACCTCACTAGCACATGCAGGGGGAGGCTGGGGGATGTGAACACCTTCTCTTTAGCCTGAACACCCCACACCAGGATCACAGCCTCTACAGGCTCTGTCTGTCTTCTGGGCCTGCCCACAGGTCTGGTACCAATCTCCAGAAGGGGTGGGACTGGGGTGGAACAGAGGAGCCCTCACCTACCCCAGCTGTGGTTCCTTGCTTTTGATGATGTGACCTGATGGTGCTGGCCACACCAGGGCCACTATCACCACTGCCAGGGTCCCAGCACAGGCCAGTGTCCTGTGTAAAGTAGCCAGTGAGGCTTCCTGCCTGCCGAGGGCCTGGTCACTCACACATTCAGCAGACACTGGTGAGTGCTGTGCTGGGTGCCAGGCCCCAGAGGTGTAGGCACAGGAGGGGCTCACTGCAGGGCGCTGACAGTGTGGGACAGTCCCCCCCCGGTGGGGGCGGGGGGCTGGTGACCCGCATGGGGCCCCTGTGGCCAGATGCAAGCCAGTGTGGACACTCCCCCAGAGTATCCCTCGGGCACCATCCTCCGATGAGGAGTGCTTCTTTGACCTGCTGAGCAAGTTCCAGAGCAGCCGAATGGATGACCAGCGCTGTCCCCTGGAGGAGGGCCAACCTGGGGCTGCAGAGGCCACAGCCGCCCCCACCCCGGAGGAGAGGGTCGGTGAGTGCCCCCGGGGACACGCTGCACGTGCTGCACTCCATCCCCACTCCCAGCCCCCAGCCTGGTGGCCCCGGGAGCCCTCACTCCTGAGGGGCAGGGAGACCAGCTGCAGAGGTGCCCCCTGTCACCACAAGCTCCCTGTCCCCCGCCTCGCCCAGAGCCGCATCCTGAGAAGCGTGTAATCATCCCCGTCCTCCGGAACAAGCAGTGTCAGGGTGCGTCATGGGCGCAGAGCGGGCGTGGGAAGCCAGGCCTCCCTCCTGTCACTTCAGCACCCCCTGGGGGGGGAGGGGGGCCTGCAGCAGGGACAGCCGAGGCCAGCTCCCAACACTGCTGGGAGCCCCACGCCCCGGAGAGTGTGGAGGGAAGGCCTGGCTCAGGCCTAATCAAGCCCGTGGGCCCCCGGCCTTGCCCTGCAGCCCAGCCCTCGCTGACGGCCTCCCCGCAGACCGAGGAGCTGCTGGACCTCATTGCCAGCTCCCAGAGCCGCCGGCTGGACGACCAGCGTGCCAGTGTGGGCAGCCTGCCTGGGCTGCGTGTCACCCACAGCAACCTGGGCCGTCTGCGTGGGGATGGGGACCCCCAGGAGCCGGGGGATGAGTTCTTCAACATGCTCATCAAGTGCCAGGTGGGCCTGCGGCTGGGGAAGCTGGGTGCTCATCCCGCCCACCCCGGCCCCAGGGGGCTCCAGCTCGTCTCTGTCAGGCTGACTCAGCCGGTGTGGCCGGGTGCCTGCGGTTGCTCAGACCTGAGGCCCTGCTCCCAGGGCCCCAAAGGCCACCCAGACATACTCAGGCTGGCTGCTCCTTACAGGCAGGGGGGCCAGTTAGGGGGCACCAGGCCCCCTAGGGTGTGGCCTTGGCCCAGACAGCACCCCCAAGCCGGGAGGGCAGGAGGGCTCTCCTCGTCGTGGGGTCCGGCTGCCTGCCCCTCTAGGCAGGACAAGATGGTGGACGGGATGTTAGGGATCCTGTGAAAGGCTGCAGGAAGGGCAGCTCCATGGCTGGCCTGGGACAGTGTGGTTTCCAGATGTGACGTTCGTTCCCACAGAGCAGAGGGAAGCGCAGCCCTGGGCGAGTCCAAAAATCCTCAAAACTGGCCCACCCCTGCACCTCTGACCCCGCTGCCTGCATGGTCCAGCAACTGCACCAGCTCCCAGTCCTTCTGCTCCAGACCCTGCACAGAAGCCCAAATGCCCCCACAGCTCCCACCCAGCCCCAGCCCCCTGGCCTGATGGGGTGCTCTGCAGAGCTCTGTGCCCCAGCTCCCGAGCTCCTGAACACTTAACTGTCGGTGATCTTAGGCACAGTGCTGGTCTTGGGTAGGCCCCGCAGCCCCATGCCCGGCAGGTCACTCAGCCCTCACCCCAGGGGGCCCAGCCAGAGGCCTCGGAGTCAAGGCATTACCTGCGGAGCTAGTCTTACCGGTAGATGCCGAGGCGGCCTGACCAGCCCTCCTGAGCTGGCGCCGCCCAGGTCAGCAGCCCCTGCCCAGGTGTTGTCCCCGAGACCGCTGACCACCGGGCCCTCCGACACCACCAACCCACGTGTCTGTCTACCCAGTCCTCCAGGATCGATGACCAGCGCTGCCCGCCTCCTGACGTGCTGCCCCGAGGCCCCACCATGCCCGACGAGGATTTCTTCAGCCTCATTCAGAGGGTGCAGGCCAAGCGGATGGATGAGCAGCGGGTGGACCTTGCTGGGAGCCCAGAGCAGGAGGCAGATGGGAGCCCTGAGCCCCAGCAGCAGTACCAGCCTGGTGCCAGCTGACTCCATAGCCTCAGCCAGGCTGGCCCCACCCCAACTCCTGGACTTGGGGCCAGGGGGCTTACACCTGTGATGCCCACGGCCCCTCGAGAAGCCCATTCCTCTGGAGGCCATGGCTGGGTGCAGGCTCTGCACCCTCTGGCCCTTCCCACTGTGCAGATGCTAGGCACGGCCCTCACGCTGTTCCCTCCCAGGGTGGTAGGCTCAGGCAGGGCTGCCCTGGGCATGCGGGCTCACCCCAGTCCTGGACCCGCCCCCTCCCCGCCCTGGGTCCGGCCTGCTGCTTGTTGGTCCCCAAACCCTCAAAGGCCTCTCTCCGCCCTGCCCAGCTCCATCTCTCCGTAGCGCCCAGCAGATGTGAAGACAGCTGCCTCCCCTGTGCCCCCGAGGGCTGTTCTAAAGCCTTTGCTGTGGTGTCTGCCAGCGACACGGACGTTTTTGTCCTCCCAAAGGGCGTCCCAGGGGTGACGGAGCAGACATGCTGGCCCTGCCCCCTCACCCCTCCTCGGGCCGCAGCATCAGAAAGCCTGGAGCCTGACGAGGCCATGCTGCCAGGCCAGGGCCAGGTCGCCATGCCCTGGGCACTCAGCCCCCAGCCCCAGCCGGCACCCAGCCCTGAGCAGGGAGAAGGCAAGGGTGGGGCTGAGCTGGGACACCCCTCGGCTCCAGCCCCAAAGCCCAGAGACACAGCGGCCTGGTTCTGGACACCAGCCAGCAGCAAAGTCAGCACCCTGACCACGCCAGGAGTGAACAGCAGGAATGGGCCCCCAGGTGAGCACCCAGCCCTCCACTGGGCAGATGACATCACTGCCTTCTTGTGGGGAGGGTCCGGTGCCCACACGCCCACGTTGGCCTGCGGGCCAGGGTAGGAGGCCAGCGCTCCAGGGACTGTGGCCACAGCTCTCGTGCAGGCCTCTGCCTTGGCCAGCCGCCAGCCCCTCCAGTGAGTTCCTGGCCCCACAGCACAGCCCCTAGGGCATGAGGGGCGCCTCCTCCCCAGGGGGCACCCAGCTGGGCTCCTCGGTCTTTCTCAGTGGCTCTCCAAGTATGGAGAGGCTGCTGGACCCCCATCCACCTGCAGTGCAGCCTGGGGCCCAGGGGCCATGCCCCGAAGGGTGTGGGTGGGGGCCCAGGTGCGGGGTCAGATGCACAACACAGGCTTCTTCTTGGCCGCCCCACATACTTGAATGTACATGCATATTTATTGCTCACATGTGTTTGCCATGCTGTCAGTGGGTCCTTTCCAACCCAAGGTACATTTTTTTGTTTTTTTCCCAAAAAAATAAAGTCTGCCAAGTGAATGCTGTGTCAGAACTAACGCTAAGGATGAGGGGAGGTTGGTCTTTTGGGGGGGCCCCAGGTGACAGATCTTATGTGGGTAAGTGAGCCTGCACTGTGCAAAGGGCCTGGGGCCACCACCCTGCTCCAAGCACACAGCAAGGTGATGTAGCCAGTGATGCTAGCACCTGCAATGGCACCAGCCAGCCACTTGGTGGCAGGTTGGGACCCTTGTTCACCTGGCTGTGGCGTCTATCCTGACTGGGCAGTCGCACATGGTCCAGGTGCCCACCACTCGCCTTTCCAGTCCCAAGTCCTCCCCAGTTAGAGCTGTGGCCCACCCACCCAGGACGTGCTTGGGGCCACAGAGCAAAGGAGGTGCAGAGTGCCCGTGACCTCACACCCTGAGCCCTGCTGGCTGAGGAGAGCAATGGAGCCATCTTCAAAGAGGGGAAGTTGGTGTGGGGAGGACACCCCCAAGCAGAGACCCCCAACCCCAGAGCTGTGTCCCCAGAGGCATGGTGCAGCATCTGGGAACTGGGCGAGGCAGGAGGCGTCACTTCACTCCTTGTGACCGGCTGCATGGTAGGGTGGTAGTGGGGGAGACCCCTGAGGTGAGGGTGGCACGAGGAGGACAAGACAGGTGGGAAGGGAGTCTGCAGGGAGGAGCTGCAGTCAGGGCACACCTGCCCAGGGAGGCCCTCCAGGGTTCCCCACCCACCGGTTCTTGGCGCTCTGAGAAGCCTCCACAGCAAGTACCACGGGGTGCCACGCTCCTTCTTGGTGGTTGCCCTGGGAAGCCACAGTGTGAGCCATCCTTGCCGCTCTGAGGGCAGGGGCTGCCCCTCACTGGCTGGCACCTGGCCATGGGGTGCACTCAAGGGCAAAGCTATGACTGTCTCTAGGGCCTGGCCCTGCGCAGGGCCGTCCCTCCAGGGTCAGCAGGGCCTGGATGTCCAGCATCAGGATCAGGAACTGTAAGTCGTGGTCTTACACCCCAGGCCTGGTTCCCTACCTGCACCATTGCGTCAGCAGGACCCCAACCCCCAGGGGACAGGGAGTCAGCGGCAAGGGCCCAGCCCTGCCTCCTGGGGCCATGGGGAGGGGCAGGCTCAGCCTCCAGGCCGACAGCCTCTGCCAGCAGCTCCGGAGGCTCCGGGGGAGATAATAGATGGTTGTTTGCCAGGGGACAGACAGGGGGTAATCGAGTCACCGCACACGCTGCCAACACCCCCGAGAACGTGTTGCAGCTCAGGGCACCGACGCAGGGCAGCTGTCAGCTGGCATCCTGCTGGATCCTCGAGGCCATGGCTGGTGATGAATGGTGAAGGTCACACTAGGGAAATACACGTGCTCCCATAAACACAGGAACATCCTGAGGAGGCCATCAAACAAGGCTGGGAGACAAACCACACGCCCTGTGGGGGCAGGGGGGAGGGCACCACATGGGGCACTTAGCGCCCGTGAGTCCCACCCCTGCCCCATCATGGCCACCTGCCCCGCAGCGGCCACAGCAAGCAGCCCAATGCACCGACTCTGAGGCCGGCCACCAAGGGTCAGGGCTGAGGTGGGCACTGGGGCCAGTCTGTCTGGGTGTCGGGGTGGCAGGTGGTGCAGGAGGAAGGAGGATCTGTAGGACCTCCCCGTGTCTGGCCAGAGGACCAGGACCCGTGGTGGGTGCTGCGCCCACCCCCAAAAGGACAGTGGCTGAGTGGCCATCCCTTCTGGCAGAGCACATCCGAGCCACCCCCACCCGTTCCAAGCCTTGTCTTCCCGCCCTTACACCTGACAGGCCGCCACCATTAGTGTCTTCATGTGATGGGAAGGCAGCTTCAGAGGAGCTAAGGGACCTGCCCAGGGCCCCTGGTCACAGCCAGGAGGGGCTCAGGCTCCCAGCAGCCTCTTCCCACAGACACAGCCGGCAAGTCTGGGCTGGTCCTCTGTGCGGAGGGGCAGCGGAGGACCAAGGTCCTGCAGCACCCGCAGGTGATTCCTGGGACTCACTGATTCCAGAACCAGGGACAACAAGAAGGCCCCAGACCCACTATCTCCAGGTGATGTGTTTATTGATAGAAAACAGGCCAGCCTGGAAGGGTCCCAGTCCGAAGCATCTTCTGGAAGGCAGGAGATGGGGTCAGCTGGGCTCGGTCTTGCCAGGATGAGTGGGATCCTGGTCCTCACCCCCTTCTGGGTGGGAGGGGATTTGGGGTTCCCTGCAGCTGCTAAAACCAGCTCTAAGGCCCCGTCGCCAGCCACTCGGCACACCTTCTCCCCTCTGGCTGCCAGGATTTCTTCAATATTCCTGAGAGAGAAGGAGGTGTTGTGACACTCCCAGCCCTTGGTCCTTCAAGGGCACCCCAGGGCGCCCAGGCCAGGCTGGAGCCAGGAAAGCAGGTCCCCACACTGGCGGCCCCCACAGGCTGACCCTTCAGAGCCCCCAGAGGCAGCTGCTATCTGTCCCCAACCCATTCTCAAGTAGAACAGCCACTAAGAAGCCCGCGTGAACTCCGGACCACGGCCCCAATTGCTGTCCACAGGAGGGGTGCACACTGCCCCCCACAGCTTCAATCTGGCCTGAGAAGGCAAATGATGCACCAGAACCCTGCCTGGACTCTGGCACCCCACATGGGGACAGAGCCGCCACAGTGGACAAGGGTCACTGGTGCAGGAGTCAGGCCAGTGTGGGGGGCCCTGGGGCCCAACATGGCCACTGGCTGTGATGGTAGAAGGCGGCTGCCAAGCAGGACCACAGGGGCCTGGTCCCAGCCCTGCCCGGCATCTGTGGGTTCCCCAAAACTCAAACATAACAACCCCTGCTGCACCGGGAAGGCTGTGGGGAAGGCAGGCTCCTTGAGCCTCCCGACAGGAAGGGCCCCCCCCCGAAGAGGGATGGGGCCCGACCCCCGCAGGCCTGTCCCCTCACCCTCCCCAGGGGGCCTCACCTCTTGCCATCCAGGTCTGAGAACCAGCCCAGGTTGTCGGCGATGACGTGGTGCTTCTGGCAGCCGGGGCAGGTCACGATGACCACGCCCCGGTGATAGGCCAGTTTGGAGATGCGCTTGGAGGACCGGCTCCCACACACCTGAGGGACACCGGCAGCCCAGGTGACGCCTGGACCCGCCCCCGGGAAGACCCCGCCCCCTCTGGGGAGTGACTCCACCCCGGGGCAGGGCCTGCTCTTCCTGAGACAACCCACCCGTGTTCCAGCCCCGCCCCTTGGTAGCCCCACCCCTCTCCCGAGAAGGCCCCGCCCCAGCCATAGCCCCACCCCTCTCCCGGAAAGTCCCCGCCCCAGCCATAGCCCCACCCCTCTCCCGGAAAGTCCCCGCCCCGGCCATAGCCCCACCCCTCTCCCGGGAAGGCCCCGCCCCGGCCATAGCCCCACCCCTCTCCCGGGAAGGCCCCGCCCCCAGTTATAGCCCCACCCCTCTCCCGGAATGGCCCCCGCCCCAGCCATAGCCCCACCCCTCTCCCGAAAAGTCCCCGCCCCCAGCCATAGCCCCACCCCTCTCCCGAAAAGTCCCCGCCCCCAGCCATAGCCCCACCCCTCTCCCGGGAAGGCCCCGCCCCCAGCCATAGCCCCACCCCTCTCCCGGGAAGGCCCCGCCCCGGCCATAGCCCCACCCCTCTCCCGGGAAGGCCCCGCCCCCAGTTATAGCCCCACCCCTCTCCCGGAAAGGCCCCGCCCCGGCCGTAGCCCCACCCCTCTCCCGGAAAGGCCCCGCCCCCAGCTATAGCCCCACCCCCTCCCGGAAAAGCCACGCCCCCGGGCAGCCCCACCCCTCCATACTGTCAGCGTACGCGGCACCGCTGCCCGCTGCGCCGGCCAACCCGAATGCGGAACCAGCTTCGCACCCGTTGCGCGCTCACCTTACAAGTGTAGACAAGCTGGTAGTGTGCGGCCCCGGGCGCCGGCTCCGAGCTGAAGCACCGCCAGCCCCAGAGCCCCGCCCCGGCCCGCCTTCTCCCCGCGGCCTCCGGGCCGCCCCTGCGTCCCCACAGCCACCTCAGGGCGGGTTCCCGGGGGCGCAACGCGGCTCAGTAGCGGCAGCACGCGGCTCAGCGCAGCCCGCAGCATCCCGCCCTCCGACCTCGGCCGCGCCGCCCCGCCCCGCCCCGCCCCGCGCCGCCGAAGCCGCCCCGCCGCCATCTTGGAAGCGGGCACGGGACGTAATCGGCCCTTTCCGGCTGCGGTCCGCCGACTGGCCGGCTGTGTTCTGCTGCCCCCTGGAGGCGGGAGGTGCGCGCGCGGCCGGGGGTGCACATGGGAGCGAAGTCAGCGGAGGCGGCGGTGGCGGGACCGCGGTGGTTTATTATGCATTTCTGACACTGCTGCCCGCTCCGCACCGCGCACACCGAGCACGCCCTGCCGGCGCGCCGGGCCGGCTAGGAGCCCTCGGTGTCCGTGTTGTCGCTGCCCGTGGTGTTCTCCCAGTCCACCTCGCCCTGCCTCGAGCAGTGCTGCATCTTCCGGAGGGCGCGCTTCCTGCAGGGGCGAGCGCGTGTCCGCGGGGCCGCCCACCCCGGACAGCCCGCCCCCTGCCCCGCCCGCCCGGCCCGGGGCTGCACCTGCGGTAGTTCTCGAAGCTCTCCTTGAGGCGTCTCCGCTCCTTCTCTGGGGGCTCCCCGCCGCTCAGGCCTGCGCCCTGGGGGCGGAGCGAGGCTCAGGCCCCGGGGGCGGGGGGCGGACCCGGACCCACAGCCGGCTCCTAGGGTGCCCTCAGCGCAGCACCCCCGCACGGAGCACTGGCCTTCCGCCGCTGCCCCGCCCTGGCCCCGCTCTGCAGGCTGCTCCGTGCCACAAGGGGCACTAGGCTCCTTGTTCCAAACAATGCCCCCCAGGAGCCAATGGCAGAGACCCTTGCCTTCATCCCCAGGCATCCAGGCTGCACAGACCCCCTTCCTGGGCTCAGTCACCCCGAGGCATGTGTCAGGGGTGCCTAGGGCAGTGGGGACCCCAGGGAAGCCTTACGTTGGTGGTCAGTGGAAGCTGCTCCTCCTGCAGGGCCACAAACGATTGCTGTGGGCTGTCCTTGTTGGCCGGGCCTCCTAGAATGGAGAGTTGGGCCTGTGAGTCCTCCCCAGCTGCGGGGACCACACTTAGCATGGCCAACCCTGGCCACCGCCCCTCCCCTGAAGCTGGGGCCAGTCCTGCAACATCCCCTGGGTCCTTACTTGAACCCTAAAAGGGGACTGGGGTCAGGGACTCCCCCTAGGCAGCCAGAGGCTGCCAGAAGCCCACCAGGCACTGCCCCACCATCCAACTCAGCTCCTGGGTCGGGGCTGGGGCCCTGCAGCAGTTGGCAGCTGAATGTTCCAAGCTGCCAGCTCCCCAGAATTTGCCAGGGCCTGGACAGGCCCAGGGCTCAGGGCCCTCAGACAGAAGGTGCTCTGATGGGTTGGCTCCCCTAAGCTGGCCAGGAGAGGGGCTGGACGTCCAGTCTCCACTGACATCATGGGGGGCTAGCACCTTCCCTTCCTCAGCCTCCGACCCTGAAGCCTGCCCCAGTTCCTTCAAGGGGCCATGCCACCCCTGGGTTAGGGCTCCCAGGGCCTCCCCCTACCACTCATTGCCTGCGGGGTCCTGCCTGCTTGTCCCCACGTTGGGGCTCTGTGGCCTGAAGCTCAGCCCCCTGCCTCTGCACTGGCTGTTCCTCTTTTGCTTCCTTTGGAGGCTGGCAGCAGGCCTGACACAGAGGAGGACTGAATGGCTTTCCATGCCACCTTCAGAGTGAGCCCTTCGATCCCTTGTCACCCCTCAGCACCCCCCAGGCCATGTTCCTGCCACCTCTGTGCCTGGCCCTGAGACGGCCCTGCTTTCCCCACGTTGCACCTCCGACACTCACTGTTGGACTTCCCCTGCCCCCTGCCCAAGAGGAAGCTCAGGGAGAGCAGGATGCCTCAGCCCTGTATTCCTGGGCCCAGGGTGGGCTCTCAGCATCAGAGCTGGGGCACAGGCCCCACACACCTAGCTCGTTTGTTCATTGGGGAGCCTGAGGGCTCCTTGTCTCTCTCCAAGCCTCAATGTCCCCATCTGTAAAGTGGGGTTGTGAGAGATCTGTGGGACAGGGCTATGCCCAGTCCAAGTATGGGGACAAGGAGGCCTCGGCTATCTCGTCCCTGAAAAGCTGCTCTGCTCCTCACCTTTGTCCGAGAGCTGGACGGCTTCCAGGTCCAGGGGGAGCGAGAGCTTCCGGGAGAGAAACGGGCATCAACGACCTGGCAGGAAGTCCCTGCTCCAAGGACCAGGAGGCGGGCCAGCTGGGGCCCAGCTCCCAAAGGGGACTGGGGGGACAGTGGTCTGGCAGAGACTGTGGCCTGGAGCCCACCCTGGGGGGCGTACTCACCTCCTGAGAGTTCCTGGGTGAGCTGTCATCCAGGTCAGAGCTCTGTGGTCACAGAGAGGAATCAATCAGCAAACAGGAAACCCAGCCACCCCCAGGGTCAGCGTAAGGTGGGGCACAGTGAGGGGTCCCAGGCCAGAACACCCCTCCCTCCTCCTCATGACACCCAAAGTGGCCTGCCAGGCCCTGAGATGTGCCACACCCCCACACTCCCCAGGAGGAGAAAGGGGCCTGGGAAAGGCTTGGGACCTCCCCGGACCCCCCCGCGGAGCAGTCTCCAAGCCAGGCCTGGCCCTGGGCTAACCAGCGTCCCTGCCTCTGGGCTCTGGTGTCTCGGGGACACGCTGGCATCTGAGGACCTATCCCATGTTCTACTGTGGCTGCATCTCTGACCAGTGGGCGCTGCAAAGGTCCGCAGCCCTTGGGAGGCCCACCAGCACGAGCGTGTCCAGCTGCTGCCGCTTGAGCCTGCCCTCCAGAGCTAGCAGCTGGCCCTCGCGCTGAAACAGTTGCAGCTGCAGCTCGTCTGCCTTCTCTGCCAGCTCCCGGACCTGCTTCCGCAACGTGTCCTTCTCCTGCAGGCTCCGCGAGTGCTGTGCATGCAGCTCCTCCCGTGTGGCAATGGCCTGTGTGGACAGGATGGCTCAGGGTGGGTTGGGTGGCTGCTGGAGACCCCCAGGACCACCCCCACCTCTTAGCACAACAGTTGAGAGCTTCCTGCAGGGAGTCTGCTTCTCCCTCTGCCTGTGTAGTGCTTGAGGGTTTGTGTAGTAATAACAGCTCCCAATGGGAGATGGAGATGAAACCTCCAGCTCTGATCTCCGAGCCCTCCACCCCACCGCACATCCAGCCCGCGCTTCTGCCCTCCACGGCACTTAGCGGTGTGATCGGGAATATGGCTGTTGGCAGCTGTGTTACATCCTTCATCACAGCTGTCCCTCTGGGGGACACGGCACACCGACCAGAGCACACCTGATGCAGCTCTGACCCATAGCCGGAGTCAGTCAGCTGCCTATGTGCCCAGGCCTGGAGCAGGGTGGCAGCTGCAAGCAGCCGGCCCCTGCCTGGAGGCCAACCCAGCCCTAGACCCGTCGGCCCTCAATGGCCAGAACTTGAGGAATCACTGAGAATTGCCTTCCTTTCCTGCTGCCCACCAGGGACACCCAGAGAGAAGCCTACCCGTTCACCTGGGCTGCCGGGCCCCAGCATCCCTGGCTGGCGGCCTGCCTTTGGCGGCACAGCACCCTCCCTTCCTCTGCCTCCCCCAGGGAAGGTGGGAGCACTGCTTCCCTGCCCTTCCCTGCCTGTGGCCTCCAGGCAGCTCCCTGGCAACAGGGACCAGGCACCACACCCTGGCACCACGACCCTAGCACCGTGCTTTCTCTGCACACCGTCATCCCCACCAGAGGCATTCAGATGGGTAACTGCAAGGCTAGAGGCTCTGAGCAGGCTTCCAGTCCTTCCAGAGTGTTGCCAAAGCACCGACTGACACTGATCAGAAAAACCCTGGTGCTGACGAGAAAGAGGCAGCTTCTGCCTCCAGTTCCCAGGAGCACAGCCAGCCAAAGTGACAAGGGTTTGGGGTTTTTTGTTTGTTTTGTTTTTTAAATATTTTATTTATTTATTCATGAGAGACACAGAAAGAGAGGCAGAGACAAGCAGAGGGAGAAGCAGACTCTCTGCAGGGAGCCCTCAACTGCTGAGCCACCTAGGTGTCCCGCCCAAGAGTTTTTTAAGTCAAAAAAGCTATTTTAAGGGTGCTTGGGTGGCTCTGTCAGTGGAGTGTCTGCCTTCAGCTCAGGTCATGATCCTGAGGTCCTGGAATGGAGTCCCGTGTTGGGCTCCTTGCTTGGCAGGGAGCCTGCTCCTCCCTCTCCTCCCCTCTCTTGCTGTTTCTCTATCAGATAAATAAATAAAATCTTTTTAAAAATTTCTCCTCAGGTTGTGATCTCAGGGTTGTGAGATCGAGCCCCACTCAGCGGGGAGTCTGCTTGAGGTTCCCTTTCCCTTTGACCCTCCCCACCATGTGCATGTGCTCCCCCCCCACCTCTCCATCTCAAATAAATACATCTTAAAAAAAAAAAAAACCCAGAAACCCAAAATGCTGTTTGCCAAACAAGACGGCTTCCATTTTTGTAAGACAAAAATGAAACTGTATGTGCACTAGAAAGAATCTGAAGGCACGACCTGCCGGCAGGGCAGTTTTTCTGGCAGTGGGCTGGGGTGGCAGGGGGTGGGAAGGGGTTACCCTCATGATTGTTCACGTTTTTTTCAACGAGCTGATGACAGCCCTCCTGCAACAGGGCGAGGCACCACAGTTGTGGGAATCCCCCCACCCCACCTGTGCCCTCACCCTGGGCTGCTCCTCGCCAGCAGGAGGCAGGAAGCGGCGAGGTGCCTACCTGGTCCCTCTCGATGGCAACCTCCTCCATCTGCTGCAGGATGGCCTCGATGCGGTCCTTGTACATCTTGGAGTCCTTCCGTAGGGCTAGGCACTGCAGCTCGAACATCTCCTTCTCCTCCATGCACTACGGGAGCCAGCAGCTAGCCCCCACCGCCCATTCTGGCCCCTGTTCAGGCCCAGCTGACAGGGAGGCTGCTTGAGTCTCTGGGTCCCTGCCAACCCAAAGCCCGGGCCTGCCCATCCTGTAGGAGTGCAGGCCAGGAGTGGGGTGGGAGGCCAAGGCCCCGCACCTCCAGGAAGGGGTGAGGCAGGGCTGTGGATCCCAGGGGCTGCGTGAACACAGGGTGGTCCCTCAGCCCACCCAGCCTGGCTTGGCCCAGGCTCGTGTCCACTGGCCCCAGCTGCGTACCCGGGCACGCAGGGCCTCCCCCTGCCGCAGGTCCTTGCGCAGAGAGAGGATGGTACTGGCTTGCTCCTGCTGGCCACGCAGTGCCTGCCGCCAATCCTCCTCCAGCACCTGGATGTAGGGGCTGCTCCTGTCTGGTTTCCCCTCCTGTGGGTGGTGAAGGGGAGAGTGGCAGGAAGGCAGCTAGACTCGAGGGGGCCCTGCTCTTGGCACCAGCATCCTGCCAGATCTCTCCAGCTCCCAAAAGTGCTTATCCCATCCGCACAGGAACCCACCCCTGGCCCCTGCCCTGGGCCCGCCCCACCCACGCGAGGCCCCCCCACTCCTGCCCTGGGCTCCCCTCACCTGCACTGTGGCCTCCAGCTCCTGTACGCGGGCCTGCAACAACGTCTTCTCCTGCTGCAGCTCCCACAGCAGCTCCTGGCTGGGCCGCTGCTCCATGGCATGCCTGAGCTTCAGCGTGTGCCTGCGCTCCACCCTGCAGTCGTCTTCTGCCTTCATGAGGCTGTGCTTAAGCCGCTCAATCTGTGAGGAGACACCATCAGCCGCCAGCCTCGCCCCGCACCTCTCCACCCCCAACCCGGCCTCAGGTGCCAGGACACCTCCAGCTGCAGGTCGCGGCTGCGCATGAGCGCAGCCCCCTTCTCCTCAATCTGGCGGGCCAAGCGCATGGCCAGGTCATAGTTCTCATCCTTGCAGCGCTTGAGCTCGTGGCTGCCAGCTTCGCACTCCTCCTTGAGCCGCTGCACGCGCTCCTGGTGCTTGCGAAGCAGGCTGTCCTTCACCCGCAGCTCCTTGATGAGGTCGTCCTTGGAGCTGAGCAGCTGGCTCAGATCCTGTACCTTCCTCTGCAGCTTCAGCACCTCGCTCATCAGCAGCTGCGTCAGGCCTGACTCCCCGGATGCGTCTGCAGATGGCCAGGCCGCGTCAGAGGATCCCCTTCCCTGCTGCACCCCTTCCTGGGCCTCAGCCTTGAGGACCCACTCCGAGGCACACAGGGCCCAGCGCTGATGCTCCCCATGGAGGAAGCGGGCTGACCTCCTGACTTAACATCCCCACTGTCTTCCCGCCCTCCAGGACAGCAGCAATGAGACCAGGTACCTACCCTCCCTTTTCCTGTTATAAGGGCCGGTGGGCACCCAGTCCTTCCGGGAGCCAGGGCTTTGGTGGGGTCAGATGGAGGGGTTTTGTGCCCTCCTTGCATGGGTCCTCCTTTTCTCCACCAGAGAGAAGGCGCAGCATAGGGCCCCGCTGTTGGCACTCCCATGCAACCCTCACACTTCCTTTTGCCCCCAGTTTATCCATTAGGAGCTCAGCCATCCGGCCTGCCCGTGGGGCCCCCTGCCTCACCGATGATCATGGAGAAGACGCGGGTGGGCTCCTTGCCCGTGACCTTCTTGTAGAGCTGGGGGTAGTACAGCTCCAGGCTCTCAAGGAAGGCCACATAGCCCTTGTGACCGGTCCGCTGCAGGATGTCCAGGAGCACTCCTGAAACCCACAGGGCCAGGCTGGGGCTGGCTGGGCTTGTGCACTGAGCTCCTATAGGCCCAGCCAAGGTCAAGATCTACCTGCTGCCCACCCACCCTTGCCCTCCCAGGGGTGTCTGCTGTGCATGGAGGCACCACGGCTCCCAGCAGACAGGACAGGGTGTGGGGTGCTGGGGAGCGCCCATTCCTGTGCCCAAAGCTCCCGGCTGAGGCAGCACTGACCCACTTTCCGCTTGCGGATGACCAGGTTGGGGTCACTGAGCACCTGCTCCTCATCATCGGGGTTCAGCACCTTGCATTGTCTCAGGTAGGGCGTGATGCGCGAGGGGTCGATGACGGAGATGAGCTTCACTCGGAAGCTCTCCAGGGTACTCCAGCACTGGTCTTCGTTCTCATAGTCTGACATGGTGGCGGCCACTGCTGCGATTGGTGGGAGAGCAGCTGGCAGGGACAGTTGCACGCTGGGCCCAGGGGAGTCTAGGACAGGTAGGTGTGAAGCCTCACCCGCCCTGGCCCTCCCTCCTCTGCGCTGGTGCTCTCACCGGGGCACCAGCTCAGCCAGGGCGGCCCTCCCGGCCTTCTCTAGACCCTGCAGCCACTCCCTCAGCAGGTGACCTGGGCTTTCTCTGTCCAAGTAACCCTGATAAGTGTGAGGGAAGATGTGGAGGCGCTTCAGGGACTGGCGGCATCTGAGAATACCCACCCCCCCAACTGTGGCCTTGTTCTTGCCTCTGCACCCTCATCCCTAAAGCGTGAGGCTGGTAGACCACCACCTCCTACCCACTGGCAGGTACAGGGAGGTAGGCGCCCAGGCTGGGGAGGCATGCCTGGGGCATTGACCTGCCCACATACACACCAGCCTGTGTGCTGTAGGACTTCCTCCTTCTTGGACATGGCTCCTGCTCAGGGCCTAGCCCCACCGCCTCCTCTCTTTCCGGCAGCTGGCTGGTGGTGCAACAGTGGCCCAGGCACCGGTTGGCTCAGGAAGGGCAGCTGTGGACCGCTGCACCAGGAGGGGCCCAGCTGCATAGGCATGGCCAGCACGCACGCCGCTCCTGCGCCCTCTGCAGACTCCCAGGGCCCAGGCACCAGCCACCTCTGGGCTCCTCTCCCTGTTCCTGGGCACGCAGGGTGCCAGCTCCCTGACCAGGGCCATCCGTGTTGGGACTACCCACTGCTGCTCCCTTCCACTGGCAGGCACGGGCCACGCTTGAGGCCTGGGCCAAACCAGGAGCCTCCTCCCAGTGGTGGGGACAGAGACCCTGACTTGCCACCTCAGACTGCCCTCAGCCAGCGTAGGAACTGTGGGCGGAGGTTTGCTGCCCAGAGGAGCTAGGGCCATACTCCCAGAGAGACAGACGGCAGCAGGCAGGGCCTCTGGAGGAGCTTCCTGAACTTCCTGCAGCCCTTGGCCACACCATCCAGCCAGAGAGACACCAGCAACTCAGTGGATGGCCCTTGGAACGTTCAGCCCGCTTCCTGCCTTTCCCACCTACATCCACAGGTCCCACACCTGACCCCCTGCCACTAGCTGAACAAGCAGGTATCAGGTGGCTGTGAAGGACAGGGCAGGAGTGGAGGCCCTGGGTGCTCTTCTGGGGTATGTGCCCCAGGAGCCCTGAGCAGAGAGATGGGTGTCTCCCTGGCCACCCTGAGAGGGCAGCCGACCAGCCTACCTCAGGGTCCTCGAGAGGCACCTGTGCAGTGGACACTGGTCAGCCCAGGCTGGCCTGATCTGATGAACAGGAGGTGCTGCTGGCAGCCCAGTGGAGCTCAGGAGGAAAAGCTGTGCACTTCCTGATGGTGCTGCTCAGCTCCACAGAGCCGGGCAGGTCCTCCCAGAGGGAGTGGGTCCTTGGGCCTGCCTTCTGATTCGCCCGCCTGGCAGGGCCCAAGAGGCGGGGCAGAGGGAAGTGGAAGTCCTGCACAGAGGCCTGGAGGCCCAGCCCTGGCATCCACTAAGTGGAAGTGTGAGCAAGGACCCTCCCCGGAGCTGGATGAGGCCAATGCACTGTCTAGTCCGCTCTGGCCTGAACGCAGGCTTCTGGAGGCTTCTCCACCAGGGGCTGGCTGGGAACCTGCAGCGTGGGCCCTCTGCAAAGTGCAGGAGATCCCAGGGCTTCAGGCCCAACTCTGGGATTTCAGCCAGATGCCCACACACACAGTAGGCCAGCCGGGCCTTGATCACATGAGGGCTGGTGTAGCATCCAGAAGGCATGTGGCTGGAGACCCCACTGTGGCCTGTCCGTGCTTGCCCCACATGGCCACCAGCCCCTGCTACACTGCACACCCTATCCCTTCCTGGGAGTGTCTCCATTTAGCAACCTCTTTACTGGGACACTCGGGACTGTGACAGCAGGCTCCCAGGCCACTCATCATGGCCCCGCAAACCAGTTTCAGAAGGGCTGTTGACCAGCCATGAGCTGGACCCAATAGCCAGGATAGCAGGCCTCCAGACCAGGGTCTGCCAGGAAACCCCCAGGCCAAGGCCTCACTGGCGCAGCTGGGCCGGTTGGTCCAAGTTGTTGGCTGCCAGGCTGAGGCAATTGCTAGGGAAAGGCCAGGATGGTCCTGAGCAGGGCTCCCGGCCCCACCTTCCCATGGCAGTTGCCTCTTGCCTGACAGGCTCCCCGCCTGTAGGCTCTCGGACCTCTGACCCTGGGTGGATGGAGGGCTGCCATCACGCCTCCAGAACAGCCAGTCCTGGGCCCTCCAGGAGCTATGACCAGCAGTGTTTCCCTGCTCTGCAAAAGCAAATTAATAAAGGGTGTCTCCCTCACGGGGGTGTTGGTAAGAATTCAATGACAGAAATGTTCTGTTCTCTGTATCAAAAGCCAGAAATCAATAACAAAAGGCTAACTGGAGAATCCCTAAACGTTTGAAAATAAGAGACCTCTAAATAGCCATAGGTCTAAAGGAGCCCCCAAGGAAAGCAGAAACGAGCTGAAAAAGCACCAGGTGCAAACTGAAAAGCTAAGAGCTTGTGCACGAGGCTGCATGGTGGTGGGTCAGCCCCTGGTGGGTGGGTACAGCACCCCAGGGCATGCTCACACTTGGAGAGCACAGGCATGAAGCCTCTAGAACCAAGCACCTCAAAAGGCTGCACACCAAAGCCAAGGCTGTGCACCGTGTCCCTCAGAGCGCGAAGGGTGCTGGGGCTTGGCCTCCCACCAAGAAGTAGCTGCTTGGGAGGAAGGCGATGTCCGCCTGGGGCCGCTGCGTGACTTGTGGGCAGGCAGGCAGCCGCTGGTTCCAGATGCCTGCCTGGGTCGGCGGTGTGGTCAGGAAGGCAGTGAGGCAGGTCCACCCTATTCCCTGTGGCCCCACCAAGGCAGCAGCTGCCTGGTAGCTCTCGGCAGGCCCTGGGGCTCGAGCCACAAGCGTGTTCTGTGCAAAGGTCACTCCCCATGTCCTACACTGTGGCCCGGAGCTCAGGGGGCTCCTCAGACCTCAGGGCCCAGCCATCCGGGTCCTGGCACGGTCAGGGGAGCCCCAACCCTCTGCCCAGTCTCTTAAGGCAACAGGAATCTGGGGCTTGCCTTTTAATAAAAAAATAAGCCATTCACTTTATTCCTTCAAACATTCCTTCCGATTTGTGCTGGAGGACCAGCTAAGCCCCAGTGGCTTCATGGTCACACGGCGAAGCCTCCCCCAGCCTCCAACTGCTTTAGGCTGCTTCCTCCGGGAGGGTTGGAGCTGGGCTCCACAGGCAGGTGGGCTCACTCGGGTCCAGCATGGCTCCCGCCTCCTGGAACACACAGATGCCCAGATGTTGGGGACACCCTGACCCCAGCCAGACCCCAGAGACGGTGCCGTAGGATAGGAACCAAAGGTGGCATTAGGACTCCTCCGAGGGCGCAGAACCAGGTCTGGCTGCCCACCTGCAGTCCATGCAGGGGGCCATGCTGAGGGCAGGCCCTAGAGCCTGGGTGGGCTTCTGATGCCCGCCCCCCCGCCCCCAGCATCCCCTCTGTGGACCCTCTCAGGGCGCAACCCCACTACACTCGCAGGAGCTGGCTCCCACCTCTGGCTCCCAGACGTCTTCCCCCACATGGGATCTCTGCACCATGAACTCAACTAATCCGTACTGAGGGCCTACTCGATGCCTGCTCTCTGGGCACTGAGGACCCGGCAGCAAAAACCAAATCATATCACTGCCCTTAAGGGCTCACATTTATGGCAGACATGCATGTAAACCATGTCGGGTGTAGAAGAGACAGTGCTAGCAAGACAGACATTGACAGTGGTACTGCCCCAAGAGAACAGTCAGAGAGAGCATCTCTGAACAGCCACACACTGAGCAGACATGATTGGGAAAAGGGAACAAGCCTTACAGACATGGACGAAGGCCAGGCAGAGGGGACAGCAGTGCAAAGGCCCCAAGGCACACGTGGGTCAGCAAGAAGGAAGCACCAGAGCCCGGAGTGTGGAACCCAGTGGGCGAGGAGGTAGCTAGGGGAGAGGGATTACATGGCCCTCCCCACAAACGGCTCCCATAGGCCTGTATAACCCTCCCCATCACACTTGATGTGAGCTCCTAAGGGCGATGATAGTCTGCCCCACATCTGGAAAGCTGTGGGCTCTTGTGTGCCCAGAACATAGGCACAGGGAAGGCCCATGGTATAGGGGTACCTGCACCCACCCCTGCCCCTCCTTACCCTGCTGCTCACACCAGCCGCCGCCTCTTCCGGGCATGCCAGGCATGCCGGGTTCTGCGCACATCAAGGGTGTCACAACCGTCCAGGCTCTGCCCAGAGTCTGGGGCTCCCTAAAACAAAAGCCAGGCAGAGGGCACAGGAGTGAGTCCCCACTAGGACAGATAGGGAGAGCAGTGGCAGCAAGCAGTCACGCCAGGGGGTAAGCTACATGCTGACAGCACAGTGCAGGGTCAGGCTGCTCCCCACACCTTGTCCTTGCAGACAGTGTGGCTCACAGAGGACCAGAGGCCCCAGCACATGCAGGGGCCACCCGTGGGCTCTTGCTTCCCTCCACCCCAACATAGGGGCTCCATTGCCCTTGAGGACACTCCAGAGCAGCCTCCTACACTCCGGTCTTCCCAGTCAGGCCAGCAGGGCAGTGGCCGAGAACACAGGCAGGTGGCAGCGGAGAGCCCGCACATAGGGGACAGGAAGCTCTTTCCCCCCACAGCCCCCCAGCCACAAACCCTGCCTCCTGCTGTCCCAACGGTGCAAAGGGGAGCCCCAACTGGGAAGCCTGTAGGAGACCCCACAACCTCCCAGATCTGGCACATGACTAAGTGGCCAAGCTCTCCCATGGCCCCAGGAACAGGTCAGAGGATGCCTTGCCAGGAGCCCCGTAGCCCCGTGGTACACATGGCCACAAGGACACAGGGACACCTGCCTGCACATGTCAGGCTTCTTGCCAGTGAGTAAGGATAGTTTTGCCCCCACAGGTTGGAAAGCTCTTCTGGGGCAGCTACTGCCAGAGCCAACAGCTAAAGATCTCGGGGTCCCCAGATAAACAGGGACAAATGCAGTGCCACCTTTGTGGAGCTTGTGCCCCACCACAGGAGCCCGTGTGTGCATGGGATGCATGGGACCCAAGATCACCCACTCCCTCCCTCAAGCAAGGCCACGAGTGAAGAGGTTCCTCTTTGTTTCCCACAGTGGCCTCAAAGGAGGCCACATCCGTACAGACTGAGCAGGCCCAGAGCCAGCTTCCTCCTCAGCAAACCGTGGCCAGCCCTGGGGGCTGGAGCTCCCACCACAGCTGGGTGTGTGGACATGGCTGATGGCCACAGGGAAGCAGGGCAGGGGGCCCGTGCCTACCTGAACAGGGATGGTAGCTGCTGGTCCTGCCTGAGGACCACATGTGAGCTCCAGCTCCCCTAGGTCATCCTCACTCTCAGGGTCAGCCCTTGTGGCCACTGACAGGGTAGTGGGGACGCCGTGGGGGGACAGGGTGGCCAGGAGTGCAGGGAGGGTGAAGGCAGCCAGGAACCGCGCCTTCAGCAGCAGGTAGGCCGGGCTGTCCTGGAGCTGCCTCCGCACCTGTCCCAGTGAGGCCTGCAGGGCTCCAGCTGCCCCACTGGGCATGAGGGATGTAGCTCTCTGCTCTAAGGTCTTCTTGTGGAGCAAGAGTCCAGACAGGGCCCGAAGGCTGCACAGGGCAGGTGGCTGGTAGGGTAGCCTGCTCCCCAGCGGAGGCACGCACACCCCCTGCTTTCCCCGCAGCCACTCCCGCACAGCTGCCTCGCTCTCCTGGGACAGGAGGTCCAGGTCTAGGGCACCCTTCTCAGGCCTAGGCCGCGGTGGGGGTGGCCTCTCCAGGCCCAGAGGCCCTGGGAGTCCCCCTGGCCTTGGGGACCCTGGTGTCTCTCCTGGGCCACTCTCAGCTTGCATAGGTGGCTGGCTGGATCTGCAGGGCTTTGCTTCAGGGTGGTCAGCCAGGAGTGTGGCTTGGGAGGGTATCCTGGGCATAGCTATCTCTCGGGCCACTTGTGCCTCTCCAGGGAAGGCAGGTCCCCCAGAGGCATGGGCCACATCACCACCCATTTCCACAGAATTTTGGGACTGGCAGAGCACTGGAATGGTCAAGAGGTCTGTCCTGGAGGGAGGATCTGAGTCTGTGTCCACGTTGGCCGGGGCTGCCAAGGGTGGCTCAGCCCAGAGGGCCTGGGGCCCCGGCCTACCTGCATCCCAGGCAGGGTGGGTGACAGAGTCACTGACAGTCCCTTGGGGTCAGAGGTCCCCCCTGCTGGGCCTCGAAGGCCCACCACAGCTGGCACTGAGAGCAGCCCCTGAGCCGTGAACACCCAGGTGACAGGCAGGGGAGTGGTAGCCACCACGTGCGGCCCCTCCTTGTGCATGCCCAGAGCTGGCGTCAGGCTGAGGGGCTGGACAGGCAGCTGAGTGGGGCTGGGGGCTGCAGGGAGAAAGAGTGGTGCCTCAGGCAGGCCCTGCTTCCGAGACGTGGCAGGGGCCTGGGACTGTCCCAGACCATCTTGATGGCCATTCACAGAGACCTGGCTGGGGCCCAGCACCGGAGCTCTGGAGGCAGCAGGAACAGCCTCTGTGGAGGCCAGGGTGCGGGCCACGACTGGCAGGGTGGAGGGCCGCTCGTCCTTGGCTGACGTCCTCAGCCCAGTCACTGCAGGGGCTCCAGGCCCAGAGAGCACCATGTCTGTGACAGCCAGGCCCGAGGTGGAGGGGTGGTGGGGGGTCTGTGGTAGACTGGGCTGGAGGATCAGTGGTGAGGACAGCAGCAGCGGTGGGAGAGCCACAGTGCCCTCGGTGGCCTTCTGGGCCCGGGCCTCCCGAAGTCGCTTCTCCCGGAGCAGCTCGGAGACGGTCTTGGGCTTGGGCCGGGGGCCACTCGGAGCTGGCAGGGGCGCCTGTGCACTGGACTTGGCACGGCAGGGCTGCCAGCTCCTGCTCCCCTTGTGGCCGGTGCTCTGCTTTGCAGGATCTCGTGATGGCAGGCTGCAGAAGCTGCGGCCTGCAGGAGAGACAGAGCTTACGTGAAGAACTCCATATATGTGGACCGGACATGGGCTTCCCCCACGTACCATCAGGAGGCCCCTGTGGAAGGCGGGTGGCTGCTGGGAGCATGGAGTGGGAGCCCTGGCGTCTGAGCTCCCAGACCTCCCTGAGCTCTGGCTGTGGCCAGGGCACTGGGTGCTGGGCAGCAGGGCCCATCGCATACCACACATCAGCACCGCACCTTCAATGTCCCCAAGACAAGGACGGCTGGGCAACACCGCCCACCTCACGTTGTCTCCCAGGCCCCAGTTCCTCGCATGATGCTGCTGGTGTGGGGACGCTGGTGGCGGCCAGCAGATGCCCCTCCCTGATGCCTGGGACTGGCTCATGTGCCAGGTAGGTAGGAGCCTAAGGAGCTGCCTCTGTCCCCTCCTGTCAGCCACGCTACTGTCCTTGCTTTGGGATGCAGAGGAGACCTGGCACCAGGGCCACAGTGCTGCTCAGAGCCCGAAATTCAACACCCATGGAAGGTTTGCTCCCTTCCCACTACAGGAGATGATCAACACAGAAGCAGAGAGGCAGACAATACCTGTGGCGTTCTGTGTACTTGAAGACATCTGAAAAGTAAGTGTAAGCGCTTCAGGGAAGTACCCAGGGTCCAGACCCACTTCTCTACCCCCAGGGAAGCCTTCCTTCTGCCCTCACCTGCAGCAGAAACAGGGCCCCAAGCACCAGAGCCTCCCTCCCTCCCACCCACATCCACCTACAAGTACCACTGGGTGAGCTCATCACAGTGTGGTCAGGGCTGCATGGGGTGGAGAGAGAGACAGGAGCTTGGCTCTCCAGGCAGGAGGCCTCAGGGGCTCCGGGGCCTGGATGGGGCACCACAGGGCTGACCTGGTTGGTCCGCCTTTAGCTGTGATTGGACTTGAGGACATGGGCTCTCACAGACAGAGCCCACACCTGGCATCCCACCCCAGCAGGGCCAGTGCCTAGAGCAGCAGATGCCCAAGGGCTCAGAGGCCTCCACGCAGCACAGGCTGTGGGACCAGGCAGGCCTGAGTGCCAGCTCTGGCTCTGCCTCCCCTGGACTTGTCACAGAGCCTCGGGGCTCCAGGCAAATGGGCAGACACCAGGACATCTCAGAGCCAGCAGGGCTGTTCTCAGGAGCTGACCCAGCCCCTAGGACACCTGAGAATGCCTCCAGTCTCTGGAAAGGGTTGGCATTGCCTTACTCCCCACCTGGGCAGCTGCCGTCCACCCCAGCACTGGCCCTGCCATGTCAGGAATGGGAGGGAGCCTGTGCCCAGCGCTCACCCCTACTTCTCACCTGTAGGAGCCCAGGCCCTGGGTCCTGAGCACTAGTCTGGAGCAGGGCAGATGACTGGGCCTTCCTCTCTCGAACAACCTCCATGCAGCCAGTGGTGTCGATCTGGAACAGCTTGAGGGACACATGTGACACATGCATGACATACTTGTGACAAGAGCCCATCCCCCTTCCCTGCCAAGGACTGAGATGATGAGGGTGTCTGCAACCAAACTGCACCAGCTCTGAGCACGGCCCCCAGGGTAGGTCCAGAGTCCAGTACAGCCCCTCAATGCCACGACCCCTTCACTTGACCCAGCTGGCCTCAGGGCCCGGGGGCATCGGAGCAGTGCTCCCACTGCACCTGGGTCTCTTTCCTGAAGTTTTGTTTATGCACTGGGGCTCCAGGCACCCCGTCCCTTTTCAAGATGGGGTTTAATGGTTGCTGGAACGCGACTCCAGCACTGTCCCTTCCATGGTGACTTGCCTGTTAAACGTCACAAGCCACTGAAAAACCCATTCCCAGGGCCCAAAGCTTCAGAATGTTAGACTTTAACAAGTGAATCCACCACAAACTTCAAAATTCACCGGGTGAAACAAAGTACAAGAAAAGAAACTTCTGCATCACGGGCTTCTCACCTGGATAAAGAGAGTGAACACGGGGGTGCTGGTCAGCTGGGCATCCTGCAGCTGCTTCCTGAGGCCATCGGCTGAAGGAACAAGGGCTCACGTGCAAGGTGGTTCTGGCTGCTGGCCCTGACTGGCCTCAGCCCTGACCCCCCCCCCCCCCCCCCCCCCCCGGAAAACACGACCAGCTCTCCAGAAACCCAAATGCAGATATCATGCACCTGAGCCCTGAGAAGACCCTTGCTAAGGCCTGAATGGCTGTTTGCTTGCCAGGCCATCCCCTGGGTGCTAAGCATATTGGGAGACAAAACCCAACCAGCCCTCCAAATGGATGCTCTTTAGAAAGATGAGACAGGCACACGGGTCCCTTCCCTCCCTGTGCATTTCCTCCCCAGCAGGGTCACCCATCTGCTCTGTGTCTTCCCCCACTCCAGTCCCCACAGGAGCTCTCAAAGGAGCCCTAGGGCAGTACCTTGAGTGTGCACTGTGACAGGCCTCTGGGAAGTGCAGGGCAGGACATCACCCACCCACGAGCTCATGGCCATCAGGAGCTGGTACTCAAGGAGCCTCCTCTGCAGGGCCTGTCCCCGCCACCGCCGCCTGTTCCTGGTTGTCCTGTGCCACAGCTGCCGTACACGGGGCCTGGCCACACTGCTATCACCGGGGCTGGCCCCCAGGGATGAGCTGAGCAGGCATGACTGCCTCAGTTTCTCCTATATAAGGAAGAAAGGCACTTGGGCTTCCCAGCCAGGCTTGGCTCTGGGGCTGTCCGTGCCCCACCCTTACTACTCCACACTCCTTCCCTGTACTGGCAAAAGGGGGACCAGGCCGAGAGGGCAGTGGCTATGGGGGCTGTGGCAGGCAGCAGTTGGGGGCCGGCTCCTACCACCATCTGACGCCAGCAGGCTCTGTTGGTTCTGAGCACCTGCAGCAGATGACTCCCACTATTGCAAATGTGAGGCTGGACACATGGGGAACCCTGGCACGGGGCCTGCAGGGGCAGCACACACAGCCTTATGCCCAGGTTCCAAAGCAGGGTGGTGGGAAGTGCCCTGAAGTGCCCTCGGGCAGGTCCCTAAGGCCTGGCACAAACAAACCTGGCTGGCTTGGCTGCAGCCAGCACTAACAAGGTCCCCGACCACCAGCAGGCCCCTGAACTAATGGTACCACATGCTCATAAATCCCATGGGCAGCAGCCTCTGGACCGGTGCCCAAGGGCCTGACAAGTCACAGATATGGCAGAGGAGCCATGCAGCCCAAGAGCCGGCACATGTAGTCTGCCCCGACAGCCCGCTGTCTCCTCAGGTGCCACAGAGTGGAGTCTCCAACTGCTCCCAGGACTCAGTAGCCTGTGTGCTGCAACCCCGCACGCAGCCGGAGCCAGGCATGCCCCAGGGCCCTGACACCTCAGACACCAACCAGGACAGGCACACACAGGGCTGCAGGACAGGAGACCCTCCTGCTTGCCACCCCTGCCTCACCACCGCTCAGGGACAGACTGGTCAGAAACAGCTCTGAGTCCAGGAGCCTGCCCAGTAGAGGCCTCAACAGCTCTCCTGCATGGCTGGTAAAGCAGACCAGTGGGGAAACGAGGCTGCTGCCCTACACACCATTCACGAGGTGTGAACACTGTACAGAGCCAGGACATGGTGTCTGAGGCCCCTCCATGCCCAGGAAAGCCTGCTGTGCCTCAGCACCAGTCTTGCTGACCCTCGAGTAGCAATGTGGGATGCAATGGGGCCTGTGGCCCTACCTTGTTGGCTGGCTCCTCTGAGCTCAAGGGATGAGTGTCCACCAAGTCTGGGTGCCCGATGCCTCCTGCACTGGTGCTGTGGGTCCTGGAGGGGGTGTGTACCCTGCCCACCTCCTCTGTGGGAGCCGAGGCTGTGGGGTGAATGGCCCCGCTGCCATCCTGAGCCTTGCTGGAGCCTTGGGGAGGGCTGGAAGGTGAAGCATGGTGTCCTGGCCAGCCCCGGCCCCCCGCTCCACACGGCTCACTGGCACTCTGCCTGGCAGGCACCCACAGGTCCATGTCCGGCACAGTGTGCTGTGTGGATGGTGGTGCCTGGCCACCTGCCTCAGTCTCTGGGGCTTCCTCTGGCTCTGAGTCCTCGCTGTTCCCGCTGCCGCCCTCGCCACTGATGTCCTCACTGCTGGTGTCCCCGCTGCTGGAGCTCCACCGCACACGGCGAAGGGGACGCCGCCTCCTCCTCCCCCGATTCTGCTTCTTCTGTGGGAAAGGGCTATATGGAGGCCTTGGCTGCCCAGGGCTTGTGGACCAGGGATAAGGGGCAGGCAGGCTGGCCCTCTGAGGAGAGACCCTGAGCAGTCTGGGACATGGCGTGCTGAGAGAACAGTCCCCCTGGCCGTTCTGAGGTGATAACAGCTCCCTGATAGAGCTCAGGGGCTCTCTACCCTTGGCCTCTGGGAAGAAAAGATGCCAGGACCAGAAACCAGACGTCCCTCTTCCTCTCCCTGCCCGGTGGTGATGCTGGCCCCATAGGTGATAGGGCCTTTGGACTGACTTTTAGTAAAGCCTCACCCTGACCATGATCTTCCACTTGCTCAGACACTGGGAGCCCGTCCGATGAGGTAGTTCAGAAGCTATTTTTGCCCAGTGACCTACAAAACAAAACAACGTGGGGGCTGCTTCCCAGAATCTGTGACAACGTATTTGCCAGCTTGGACAACGGACTCTTCTCGAAGACACGCTCTCCCGTAAAAGACAGACACCATGTGCCATCGGAGTGTGTGCTCACCAGCACACCACTCCCTGCATCTAAGAAGCTCAGGGATAGCAGGGTGATCGGCCCTTTAGCAAAAATCTAGAGAACACACAACTGAGGCGAGGAAACACACTCTGCGCTTATGTAAATGTAAATCATCTCCTCTGTCCTGACAGTACAGGCAGGAGGACACTGGGGCCTTCTTTATAGGATTGTGTGACCAGTGCAGCAGTCTGAACTCTGTGTGCACCTGAACTTGGCTAAGCCGCGTCTAAGGATCTGCTGTGGATAAGAGCAGATGCAGAGACCAAGCTCTTGGCTCATTCCAGCTTGGGGACAGAAATGAGAAATGGAAACATCTGTCAACAGATGTGTGGCTGAGTAAGCTCTGTCCTCTTCCTCAGGGAGATGGGACACAGCTGGCGATGCCAGGAGGTCACAAGACACATAAAGACAGAACATTCATAATGGATAGCAGAACGCTGCATCATAAAGTGGAAAAGAGCAGACTCGGTGAACTCACACCAAGAGACTCAATTTTAAAAAGCTTCCCTAGAAAGGCGCCCAGAGAGCGGACCAGGCAGGTGCGCGTGGCTGGTGGCAGCCTTCTCGAGGAGAGGAGTCACGGCCCTCCTGAACTTTTTTTTTTTTTTCTGAAGATTTTTTATTTATTTATACATGAGAGACACAGAGAGAGAGAGGCAGAGACACAAGCAGAGGGAGAAGCAGGCTCCATGCAGGGAGCCTGATGTGGGACTCGATCCCCAGTCTCTAGGATCACACCCTAGGCTGGAGGTGGCGCTAAACCACTAGGCCACTGGGGCTGCCCCCTCCTGAACTTTCCATCCCCACTGTGCGTCAGTGTGCAAGGGGGAAAAGTGGGGACAGGGAGACAGCTGGGGTCGCCACAAGCTGTGCCTCCCAGGGTCTCAGGGCTGACAGAGGCCCAGGACTTACCAACACCGTACTTCTCGATCAGCTCAACCAGCTTCTCCTCCTCACTTGCATTCCATCTCCCCTTTTTCAAGCTGAAGTGTAGCCGTCTGAGATACCTGCAAACAGCAAGGACACGGGGGCATTTCAGGCGCCAGAACGCCCTCCCTCAGCCATCCTGGCTCCAGCAAGGGCTTTGAGACCCAGCACTAAAAGCTCAGGTGATGAACAAGGAATAGATTAACTGGACTTCATCAAAATGAAAACCTTTTCAACACGTCTCACAGGATGCCATCGAGAAAGGGAACATGCAGCCCCCAGACTGGCAGATGTGGCCTCTGATAAGGAACTCTTAGCCAGAACACGTATCAACTCACAAACCCGTGACACAAGAGCGTGCAGGTGCCTGTGTGGCCCAGCTTTCCGCTGTGGGGGTGCAGTGATGCTGGACGACACGGCTGTCCCCCAGCTAACTCCCAAGGAAGCACCACACTGCTTCCACAGCACCTGCAGCATGTGCCCTCTGCACCCTCGTCAACAGCTGCCTGCCCTCTCGTGCAGTTTTTTTATTTTTTAATTAATTAATTAATTAATTTATTATAGTCAGAGAGAGAGAGAGAAAGAGAGAGAGAGAGAGAGAGAGAGAGAGAGAGAGGCAGAGACGTAGGCAGAGGGAGAAGCAGGCTCCATGCACCGGGAGCCTGATGTGGGACTCGATCCCGGGTCTCCAGGATCGCGCCCTGGGCCAAAGGCAGGCGCCAAACCGCTGTGCCACCCAGGGATCCCTCTCGTGCAGTTTTAAAGCAAATGTCCTGATGCAAGTGAAATGGGATCTCACTGTCACTCTGATCGTGTTTTTGCAATGACTAATGACACTGAGCACCGTTTTTGTGTGCTCTCTGGAGAAACGACTATTTAAGCCTTTGTCCCTTTCCGGAACTGTGTGCTGTGGTTGGCAAAGGGTGTTTCTCTGGGTGGTGGTCACAATGTCCTGAAGTTGGGGGGATGGGCTGCACGCTCCCTGAGGACAATAATCCCCCCAGAACACCACTTTTCACGTGAATGTGCCATATGGCACATGGATTAAGTTGTTAGAAACCGTAAAAAAAAATAAATAAAAAATAAAAAAAAACAAGAAAAGGAGATCACCAAAGCAGCCTTCCAAGGATCTTGCTGTCAGATCAACAGGGTCAAGGAAATAAGCCTTGAGCCCAGTGGGTCAGGGGCCACCTCAGGTTAAGCTCGGACAAAAGTCTGGTTCTAAAAACCATGGACGTCCTGCTTCCTGTGCAGTCACCGGCACATAGGGCTCCCACGGCCACCCTAGCTTCCACCAGCAGACCACCCGGGGCCATGGGCTGCTTGCCTACCGAGAAGTGACCCCAGCAAGGCCTCCCTCACCCAGCGAGGTCCAACTCACCGATCTCGGCACTGGGCATCGCTCCTACCTGGCACCTCTTCCCGGATTTTAAACCAATCCTGCTCCCCATATTTGGCAACTGCTTGAAGCAACTTCTGCAGGAGAGAAAGCAAACAAGCAAGGCCTCTGCAGGCAGCTATAACCTCCGCAGCCCGCAAGAGCCCATTTCAGAAGGGACGGTGGGCACCTAGGCTCACATCCCGGGATGGCTCTCCTCGGCTTCCACGGCCATACACTCACCGCATCTTCCTCTGGGGCCCAGAACCCCTTCTTCAGGCTGGGGTCCAAGCTCTTGGTCCACCGATAGATGAGTTGCATGGAATCTCTCCCTTCCATGTAGTAGACAACTGGAGACAGAGGAACCTGGTGGGCACTGTGCTTCCTGGGTCATCCGGCAAGGGGCTGCATGACCTGACTTCCCCTCCAGCCCCTTGTGCCTGTAAGGACTGAGTTGCATCCGCCTATGAGGGGCCTCAAGCTGGGCGGCATGCAAGCTGCGGCAGGAGCACAGGTGGCAGGACCTACACGGGCACTCACTTCTCCGGTAGGGGATGTGGCTGCCGACACGCATCTCCTGGACGAGCTGGGTGAGCAGGCGGTCCTCCTCCCGAGTCCATTCCTTGCGCTTCAGAGCCTTGTTGTGCTGCTGGTACTTTTGCAGGCACTGGAAGGCACTGCGGTTGGTCTTCCCAAGACCCAAACCAAAACAAAGTGGGTGTTACTGGGCGGGCACCGCCTGCAGAGGGACGGCCAGGGTGCAGGTCATTTGTGCCTTGCAGGCCATGCATTTTTGTGAACCAATGACCTAGTTACTCCTACCAGACCCTGCAGGCACAGTGGAAAGCATGATGGCAGATGACGGCGAAGCACCAGTTTGCAGCTTCACCAGATGTGTATCCAGAAAATTCTGTAATGCTTCATTTATGTGACCTCAAGGTGACACTGGACTACTGGATGGCAAACGCCAGCTCAGCAGCCTGTGAGAGGAGCCTCCCTGCAGAGCTCATGCCTCTGACGACATGGGGGATGCAGTGCTGCCCTAATTTTGGGGCCCTGACCGGTCTCTCTGAAGCCTCCATGGAGGGCAGCTGAGAGGAGCCTGCATGTTGGGGAGCAGGGGGCCAGTTCTTGTGGTGCCCACATCTCTGAGGAGGCCATCCTAGGAGAGCTCTGGAGCAACCGTATTCCAGGTTCCACAGGTGCTCCAGTTCAGCATGTAAACCGCCAGTCTACACAGCAGAAGCTTTTGCCTGAGCATGTCCCCCATCACCCCCTTACTCCCCTTTTCCCAAAAGCTAATTAACTTTTAAACACTCTTTTTTCCTAAAGAAGACTCTCAAGTTAGAGAGAACATGACATGTATGGTTGGATGTAAGCAGTCTGCTGGCCTACGAGGTCTGGGTTTGGTGATGCCCTTTCAGACTCAACACCAAAAGCATGGTCCTTGAAAGAAGGGATCAGCTGGGCTGTGCTAAAAATGAAACCTCCTGCTCAGTGGAGACATCAGGGGAACGAGACTACAAGCTGCACACACAAGATGCATCTGATAAAGGCCTGTCATTCCAAATACACAGGAGGTTCCTTAAAACTCAGCAACAAGACAATCTGATTTAAAAAATAAACCAGAAACCTCAACAGACTCTTAACCAAAAACGACCTGCAGATAAGAAATAAACCACCACGTGTTTGTCACCAGAGATGCAAAAGTAAACGAGACACCACCACACGTCTGGGAGAATGGCCCGAATCTGGAGCCCAGATGCCGTTGCATGCTGGCAAGGACCCTCATTTGTGGCTGGGGGCTCACAGCCCAGGGCGGCCACTCCAGAGGACAGGAGTAAACACCCTCTTAGCATACAACCACTCCTTGATATTTCCCCAAAGGAGCTGAAAAGTCACATCCACACAAACACCCTCACACAGATGTTGACAGGAGCTGCAGTAAGGACTGCCAAATCCCAAAATGATCAAGAGGCCCTGCAGCAAGTGGGTGGACTAAGCGAGGTCCATCCAGATAATGCGCTGTTATAGTGCTCAAGAGAAATGAGCGGTCAGGCCGAGAAAAGGCACAAAGAGGAGTAAGTCGTCCATACAGGCTGCAGGCAGCAGGGCCCCAGCCCCGTGACATCATGGAAGAGGCACCGCTGTGGAGGCTGCGAACTGTCTGTGTGAGACTGCCCCGGTGGACACATCCCCCACACTGCCCAAACCCAGAGTGCACCGTGACACAGCCCCGACGTCCATGCTGGGCTCTGGGTGCCCACACGCCAACACACATCCAGCCTGTTAAACAAAGCACCATTCTGGTAAGGGATGATGATGGGGGTGGAGCAAGGGATAGAAGGGGAGCCTCTGCATCTTCCTCTGTTTTACTAGGAACCCAAACTGCCCTCAACCAAAAACCTTAAAACCCAAGAAACTAAGGAAATAAAGACTAAAAACAACCTTAAAAGCACAACTCAGGGGATGCCTGGGTGGCTCAGCAGTTGAGCATCTGCCTTCGGCCCAGGTCGTGACCCCAGGGTCCTGGGATCGAGTCTCACATTGGGCTCCTCGAGGGGAGCCTGCTTCTCCCTTTGTGGGTGTTCTCTCCGTCTCTCGTGAATAAATAAAATCTTAATTTTTTTTTAGAAAAAGCACAACTCAGGAAGTGTGTAAAGCATACGTGTATGGAACAGGTTACCTGGCTGCTCAGGATAAGCAGTACATCTCCTGCTTCTTTTTTTTTTTTTTTAATTTAATTAATTAATTTATTTATGATTGTCACAGAGAGAGAGAGAGAGGCAGAGACACAGGCAGAGGAAGAAGCAGGCTCCCTGCACCAGGAGCCCGACGTGGGACTCGATCCCGGGTCTCCAGGATCGCGCCCTGGGCCAAAGGCAGGCGCCAAACCACTGCGCCACCCAGGGATCCCACATCTGCTTCTTTGCAAGGGGGGGGGGCGTGCCTTTCTGACATTGGCGGGGCGCTCCAGCCCAGCGCGCTACAGATGAGCTCGGCAGGACAGACCACAGACCGTTAGCCAGGTATGCGCTGAACCCTGTGCCCTCGGGGTCTGTGCGGCCTCCGCACAGCTTTAATCAGGTTTGGTTCAGTGGCTACGATCATGTGTCTGTCTACAGAAGCAGTCAATCCAAACACCTGGACTTCATGGACGACCTTCTTAGGTCGTAAGCCAGTAAAGCTCAAAGCCAGCACAACATGGAGGATTCTTGAGACACCTAACTGCCTAAGACCCTCCCTACAGAGGGCCGAAGCGGTGGCCAGAGTCCCAGCTCATGGCGAATTGTTCTTGAGAGGCAGGCCTTCAACACCTTCGCAGTGGAGACAGAGGCTGAGCGGAGCCCTTGGTCCTTACCTCAGAAATGAGGAAAACAGAAGAGCCCAGAGAAAACTGGGAAGAGTGTTCCCCTCAAACCCCATCAGACCAACCCCTGGGCTTCACGGGAATAAGGAAGGATCCAGAAGGAAGCCAAAAACAGGCCCTGGGAAGGAGGGGGAAGGTGGGTGAGCACTCAGAGACAGATGGGGGCTGAGGAGCCAGAAGCTTCCGGAGATTCAGCCCAGGGGGCTGGAGAGGCTACTCTTCTCCTTGTGGGCCACACCCTCAAAAGCAGCACGTTGATGAACCTTGGCAGCTCCCAGGGCTGTGGCATGACAGGCACCCCGCGGCGACCCCAAGCCCGCCCAGTCTCCCAGCCGTGGACCCGACCCTGCCTGGTCTCGGGGGCCCCTCCGGTCCTTACCCCTAGCTCCTTGGCAATCGTCTGCCACTGCAGGTGGCCATGCTTGGCGGCGATAGCCTTTAGCTGGTCTACCTCCTGCCCACTCCACTCCTGCTTGTTGATGCTTGGGTGCTCAAAGTTCTGCCAGAATTTCCGGATCTCCTCTGCGCTGCGGCTGCCCTCAAACTGCACCCACAGAGAAACAACCCAACCTGAAAGGACTGTCGTGCTCTGGTGGCTGGTGGCCTGGAGCCCCAGGAGAAGCAGGGTTTGGCTGCAAGCACATGCCTGAACCCTCACACCCTTCTGTCTCAGGAAAGGCACCTCAGGCCAGCAGGATGGGCCCCGTAAAGCCTCTCCACACCGCTGGATAGGCACCTGCCCAAGGCTTCACGGCAGATCTGGTGGCCACTGGGGACGTGGCCTAACTGCCTGACGCTGATTTGCTCATTCTAAGCCGCCAGCCCAGCACTGCCCCAACTTACATTAACGTTGGAAATCTTCTCCCAATCGTGGTTGTCAAGCCTGTTCCCCAGCAAGGCCTCCTCTGGGAGCTTCCTGGAGGAAGGGACACGCTGCCAGCGTCATGCCTGGCCTTCCACGCCTCTCCCAGGCCACACCATCCCCGTAAGACCCAGCTCACCGGATGTCTTGGGCCTCTGTCTCCGCCTCCCTGCTCTGCTTCTCCAGGACCTGCCTCTCTGCCTCGCTTGTCACCCTACTCTGTTTCTGGTGCAAGTACTCAAGCCTATGGGCAAGCAGAGGCACCAGGGTTATCTGTGTCACCCCTGGGGGGCAGGGGGTGGGGTCTTGGGGCCAGTTCGGCTTCCCCATGCACACAGGCATGCGCGTCACTCCACGGAACGAAGCTCCACATCAGGGGGCCCACGCCAGAGCCTGGCTCCAACTCCAAGCCTGCCTTACAGGCAGGAGGCTACCCGGCTTCCCACCCACAGGAAGCAATGAGCTCCCCCTCTGGGTGCTGCTGGCGACATGTCATCAACTAGTGTGGCTATGGGTACAAGGACACACAGTAACAAACCCCAGCTCGGCGTCCCAGCTGCCAGCCTTGGCCTGGCATGCAGTGAGATGTACTGTGGGTAGCCTGGCAACAGGGCTACTTAAGCCTGCAGTCGCACCTCCTGAAGGCCAGGGAGAAGGACACCATCACGGAAGCAAACCCTGACCCGCCCATCAGCCGTGAGACCATGGGCAGCCCCAGGGAGCCCTGGCCCAGCCAACAGGCACTGTGAGTTGATCACATGGTGTCACTGCATCACAACACAAAAAGGTCTCGAGAACGGCCCATTTCAGACCAGCGAAACTGCCCGAGCTGCGTGAGTGAAGACGACCATTCAGCCTGCCTGGTTCTTGCACGCAGGATCTCGAGCTCAGCTGCCTCGCTGGGGACAAGTTCCGGGACCGGCGCCTCTCCCACTGCGACCAGGGGGTTGTGGCCACATCGGAGCATCTGCCCATCAAAAAGCGTCTGGCCTGGACACCCTCCCACCCCCGCCAGCTCCCCGGGGAGGCTGACATCTGAGGCCATGCTCAGACTTACTTCAACAGCTTCGGCTGAAGCAGGCGCTGCAGGCGGTCGCTCACCACTGACCTTCGGAGCAGAGCCTTCTCCCAGTTTTTCCCTAACGACAGACAATGACCTCAGCAGTGCCTTCCCTGACTTCCATTCGAAGAAGTGGTGGGCACACGACCAGTCCAGGGCCGCAGCACTGGCGGGGGGACCAGGCTACAGGCACAAGGGCCGCTGTCCAGCAAGGACGCCCTGGCCCACGCTCACAGCTGGGCCCCTGGGGCTGGGAGTACAAGGATGGAAAGACAGACCGGATAGTGAACTGTGTGGATCACAGCCCTAACATGGCGTGGGATAGGCAGGGGTTTCGAGTGGCCAGTCCCAGTGGTCAAGGCCTGAAGGGGGAGGCACCTGGGGAGAGGCAGGGCTGTGGTGCTGAGGCCCAGGTGCTTACACTTAGTCACCAGGAGCTCCTCAAAAGCCTTGATGCCCTGGGCGGCCTTCTCTCGTGTCTCCTCGTTGGCAGGAGGCCCCTGCCAGATAAAGTGGTGTCACAATGTGGACAGAACCCAGGTATGCTCACCTCACAGGCCGAGCATGTTGCTCTGAGGCCCCACTAGGACTCTGGAGCCCTTCCCCTTGGCCTCCTTGAGCAGCTCAGCCTCAAGGGAGTCCGGGCACTGGACACCTGGGCCCAGGGCTACTGCCTGGTGACTGGCTGAGGGCCACGACCCAACCGGCATGGGGTGGGCTCAGCAGTTCCCTGGGACCTTGCAACCAGGCCGCCATGATTCTGCCAAGCTGCCCCAACCTTGGCACCACCTCTTACAGAAATGCCCCCAGGCTTACTTGTGGAGCTGAGATCACCTTGCCACGTTCCAGGGCCCAAGACCCTGACTTTCACCATTGGCAACAGTGGAGAGTTTGAAAGAGGCTAGAGAACATTACCCTGAACAATCCAAGGGAAGCCACAACACCCCCAGCAGGTGAGGAGACGAGAGACCCTTCCCACACAGCCTGACCTTCTCCCCAATGAGGAGAGCGGAGAGACAGTTACTCACCACTCCAGTCACTCTATCCTTGAAGTAGGGCTTCATGAAGTGCCCTATGTACAGGTTCGGGGGCAGGATCTTGCCGTCCTTCACTTTGGGGCCTTTGGACCCTGCCAGGTCACTCATGATCTCTTCCTGTGGCAGATACAGAGGGTCCACTGGGGCCAGGCAGTAGTGACTGCCCTTGTGGAGAAGGGGAACCAGGCAGCCAGGGAGCAGACTTAGCTCAAAGCCATGGCACTGGGGTGTCCGGCCATGAGGGTTCTGAGGGCCAGGCCCTGTCCTACCTGCTGCTCCCGGTTCTGGGCCAGCAGGAGGCTGACCTCCGCCAGCCTCTCCTGGATGACCTCCTGGTAGACCATGTTCAACTGCAGGCAGGTCTCTGGGTCTTCAGGGAGGTTCTTCTCCTTGGGGTCATCCTCACCATTGCTGGCCTCACCCCACCTCTCCTCTTCCTGGTTGCAGGTGAGAAATGGCAGATGAGAAAGAAGGCATGCAAACACCATCCCTCTTGTGACTCAGGGCAGCACAACGAGCGTGAGTTCACGCTCCGGTCCCTGGAACAGCAGGAGACCACCCCGACATAGAGCATGTGCACGTTCCACATCTTAAAACAGAAAACAAGCTTCTGAAGGCACCTCTGGGATTAGAAAGGATAAGGAGGTGAGTGCTTTTCACTTTCCACAATAAATGCTTCTGTGGAACTAAAGGCTCTGAATGGGCTTGTGTGCCCTCATCCCTGGCAGGGGCAGTGAACACTAACACGGGTGCAGAGGACCACTGTGGTGTCAACAAAATTGAAGACTAGGAATAATCCACAGGTCCATTAGGTGTGGAACTATGTAAATCTAAGCCAGGGGGACTACCTGGCAATCAAGAAGAGGCATTTCTGTACCTATTGCCTCATTGAAAGAACAAAAATCCAATCATAAAGATTCTCTAAGTTAACATGAAATTCTAAAATAAGCAAATAGCAGCAATAAAAACTGGCGTGACTTGAGTACTACCTGCTAGGCACCGTCTTAGGTGATCACACACATGGGCTGAACTACCTGTCCTGTGACTACCCCACTGCACCCTGCAAACTGAACACAGACAGGCAAGCTGCAAAGGGCCAGACTCCAGCAGTACGCTCAAAGCCTTCCACCTGTGATGTCATACCCAGATCTGTGCGCATTAGGAGGAGCTCAGGAAAGCCAGGAGACATACACCCCAAGCTATAGACAATGGTTATTTCTAGGGAGAATGTTAATTTTGGTGACAGACGCTCTGTGATATGTCACCTCCACTAACAAGCACATGGAAAACCCAAATGAGCTCAAAGCACCCCCCTTGGTCTTGGGCCCACTGGCAGGGTGGGGTCTGCCTTAGCAGGCACAGACAGTTCAGGCCAGTAGTTACCGAGACAGGGGAATCAGCAGCATCCGAGTCCTCCTCTGGCAGTGAATCTGTGAGAATGCAAGCACATCGTGTGGATGACCAGTGACGGGATGCCACACCCACCAAAGGGATGACCAGCAGGTGCAGCACAGGGTCGTTTCCTGATGGTCAGAGGTGGGTGGGGGCTGAAACTGGACCTTCCCTTCCCATCAGCCAGTGTCTGAGCACTCACTGACCGGACAGGTCAGGCCCTGAACCAAGGGCAGGGTCAGCCAGAGAGGGAAGGTGGACCATGCTGGAGGCCAATACAAAGCTCAGATTACAGGTGAAAGGCAAGCCCTGGTGTAGCCCAGAACACTGAGAAACAGCCTCAGGACTGCTCCCCAGGGCCGAAAAGAGGCAGGTAGGCAGGAGGCCCAGTTTCTCATAGTTTCATAGTTTCTGACCACACAGGCAGGCCTCCAATCAGATCTCTGGCGAGGGCCCTGAGGGCCCAGGGAGCACCAAGGACAGCCCCGGGGCAGGGGTGGGTGGGGAACGGGACTCTCAGCTGTCTAGTGTGGTGGTGACTGACAAGCAGAGCTCTGGAACCTTCCGACTCCTGAGGACAGCATACTCACACCCAACCAGCAGGTTGGCCAGCTAAGGAGGAGCACTAACAGGCCATCCCCGGGAGTAAAGGCAGAGGTCGGTGTGGGCGAGCACTGGGCTGGTACGGAGGCCAGATGGATGGGTTCCAGCCGTGGCCCGTGGAAGCTTACCTGCATCAGAATCCAAAGCAAGACCAGACTCGGAAACACCCACACCAATGCTCGAGGAACTGGGATCCAAAATCCTCTCAAGCTCTGCAATCTCCTTTGCTATCTTCTCTCTTTCAGCATCTACGTCCATGACTCCTACTGGTCAACGGGACAGATGACAGGATTTCAGGGACCCATCATCCACACACGCATACCCGTGGGTGGGTGGGGGGCGACAGAAGCCTGACCAAAGCAGGCGGTCCTGCTCAGGGAGCCCTGGGGCCCTGACCTGACACCCCCCACACCGCTCCAAACACCCGCTATCTGCTCCACCAGGTGCTGAAGCCACGTGAACGTGCCTGCCCGCTCCCAGGCAGGCTGTGAGCAGGATGGAGGCAGAGTGATGGGCATGGAACGGACGCGCCCCAATGCCGGCCAGTCACCGGTGCAGACACGGCTCTGCGTGGTAGCCCAGTCACCAGAACAAGGACGAGGCCCAGGCCGAGAAAAACCTGAACCCAGGGCTACCAGCGGCTGCGGGCCGGTCCCGGGGATGGTGGGCCGGGCCCCGCACCTACAAGGGCTCCCGGAGCGGCTGACACCCAGCCCGACCTGGTATCTTAGCAGCGCCAGTCGGGAAGGCCGCAGAACAGAGGAGGCTCGTGAGGCCTCGGCCCGGACCGGGAGCCGGACGCCCAGCCGGAGAAGCTCCCCCACCCCCGCCGCAGCCCCGGCGCTGGTGCACGCTGCGAGCGAGCCGAACCGGCCGAGAGCCGGTTGCCCCCGCCGCCCGTCCTCCCGCCCGGCCCCCGGCCCGGCCCCCTTCCGGACAACCTCCCCGACACCGACTCCGCGGCTCTCACCCGCCGCCAGCGCCGCCGCCAGCGCCGCCGCCCCCTACACTTCCGGCGGCCTCAAGACCGGAAGTCGCGCCCCGCGGCCGCAGCGCGAGGCACGCCGGGACGGGACCAGCGTCGGGCGCTTGCTGCCCCCGCGCGCCGGCCGCGGGGTTGGGGGGCTGTGGGGTCGGCCGTGCGAGGCCTCCTCCTTGCGGAATCCCGCTTGCTCCTCTCTACCTGTGCTAACTACATCGGGCTGTTGCTGCGGCCAGGCCCCAGGGCGGGCGGCGCGCAGGACCGGAGGCCCCCCCCAGCCCCGCGCGCACCTCGGGGCCCATCCGGGGCCTCCCCGGGCCGGGCGGAGCCAGCCTCCGGTTGCACGTCCTCGGGGCGTGTGCGGAGCTGGGGCAGGGCAGGGCAGGGCAGGGGGCGCTAGTCCCCTCCCCGAGTGCCGGGCGTCTCCGGGGTGGGGGGTATGCTGTCTGGAAACCCGGAGTGCGCCTCCCCTAGTGGACAGAGCAGGCGGAGCTGGCAGGCCGAGGCGTGGGGAGAACCAATTGCAGGACCGGACTGGCCGCGAGGCGCTGTAAATCCAGAGCCCGAGCTGCACGTCCCCCCAGTTTGAATCTTTTATCGCGGAACACCAAGCACACGCGGGAGACGGAGCAGTAAGAGCCCGAGCGTGCATCCAGCTCCTTACTTCATCTAGACCCTTCTGGCGCCCGCAGCCTCTTCCGCAAGCCCCTGTGGAGGTGGTAGGGGTCTAGCGGGCTCAAGAGCAGGGGCAGGAGCAGGTGGAACGCATCAGGGGCGCTACGAGCCACCCCCTTAAGATGCTGCGCCTGCAGCTGTGGCCAGAGGCATCCTCTCCGGGAGTCCCGCCCCTGCTTTCTAGCTCACTGGCTGGCCCTGTCTGCTGGCCCAGAAGAGAACCGCATCCTAGCACTTCCTGCAGAGCCCAGACTGCTTCTTACCAGCAGGCTGGAGCAAGAGGTGAGGGTACCCTGAAGGACATGTCTGGCAGGGATTTCTGGAAAGCTCGTACCTGTAGCTAGGATCAGAGAGTTTAGCAGTCTAAATGTCTTAAAATTCAACCATGTGAAAGAATGCTGCAATACTAGACTCCAATCTGTCCCAACTCCAAAACACGCAGCTCCGACCCCTAGTGCACTGGCCACTGTGATCAGGCCCACGCAGCAGTGGTCAGTCTCCCCTTGACCCCCAGGGCATGGGACTAAGGCTTAACCTGTCAGCACAAATGACCTCTTGTGACAAGATGGAGGCCCTGAAGTCAGAGGCCAGTACTGAGTCTCAAGCATGAAGAACTGGTTAAGTCAGAAAGAAAGGGGCAGTTCGTAGACATTTTATAATTTATTAAGTAGAAAAGCTGTCCATTGGAACAGGAAGGTAAAAGGGAAATTTATTAAAAAAAAAAAAATCTACAGAAAAATCGCCAAGAAGGCACATAGTGTAGGTTATGACTTCCCTATGTGGGAAAGCATTTGGAAAGGCACCCTGGCAGACCTTGTGCCAGCACAGGAAGGCCTGCACACTCTATAAATTCCTCGATTCTAAACTTCATTGTATAAACCACCCCTGGCAACATATATCAGAACTCTCCAGCCCAAGCAGTTTTTAAAACCTAAAGGCCCACAGGTGTGTTTAGATGATTGCACAGAGCGGACAGCCTGTGGGACCTGGGGCTCATGTGGGGCAGTGGCGCTCAGGTCTCCCAAGGAAGGCACCACCCATGGGGCCACAGGATGGACTCCGAGCCAGCTAGGGACTAAATGAGGTCACAGAGGCACCAGGACCTTCTGAGGCTTCCTATGACTACAGCTCACCTACTTTCTCTCTTTCAAAATTAAGGACAATTGACTTATAATTAACATTCTAAAATGACAACGGAAAACATTATAAAACTGGTTTTCAGGTTTAGTAACTTCAAAAAATCACTGGCTTTTATAGAAACGTCTTCCGATAGAGCATCAGTCTGTGACGTAGTGGGAGCTCACCCAGAAGGGTTGCAGAGGAGCCAGGCGCGGCTCTCACACGTGGCCTGCTTGTCCTTGCAGTCGGCTGCTAGTGCTGTCGGGTTATGAAATTAGTATGTCATGATAAATATCTTTACTACGGGTGAGGACGACACATTTAAAGATGCAATGGCACTTCCAAATCCAGAGCACAGGGACGTCTGAGTGTGAGTGGTGCTGCAACCTGGAAGCACCTCAGTGCTATCAAGACTCCTCCTCTTCATCTTTAATTTCAGAAATTCTGTCTATAGATTTAAGGATTTCAGCTACAAGATTCAATGTTTCAGCTCCAGAAATCAGCTGCCTGAAACGGAAACACAGACATTACGGACCCGAGGCTATGACTGTCCAATGGCCCCAACAGGAGAGGGGCCCAGCCCGTGGCAGGCAGATGGGATGCTCGGGGAGGTCGGCACCAGCCATCTCGGGGGAGGGGGGGGTCCTCCTATGAACTCATTTGCTTCTTACGACAGGATGTAAACTGTTATTTCTCTCTGTTCAGAACTGAGATGTTTGGCAGGTGTGGGAGTAGGGACCGTGATCCATCTGAGGTGAGGGCTAGGTAAAAATGTGATTACTATGCGGATGGTTTGAGGGCCTGCTGGTCCCGCACACAATGTGTGGTCTAGAGATTAATGGGACCATTGAGTGCACTCCTGCCCCTAGAGCCCTGTCTGCTGTGAGCTGTGTCCCGGTTTCAAACACCAAGCTGAGGACTGCCCCTACTTCTGTACCCTGAGCCCACTGGCCATCTTTGCCTCACCCCATCCCATGCCCCGGCACCCTCAGCTCCCCCACACTCACTTTATTGAGGCGTGGGCATTATTCATGACGACACGGAGGTTCTGCAAGGCCACATCGGTGTTCTGCTTTACCACCATCAGGCTGGCGCCCTGGCCAGACCGCAGGGCTTCATTCTCACGCTTGAAGTTTGAGACCTGTGCCTGGGGGTGGGCAAGAGCAGTAAAGCACTTTGGTAGCTGAATGGGAGAGTGTCTGGAAGGCAAGGCGGCTAAAGCCAACCTCAGCAGCCTCAGCAGAGCAGCAAGTAGATGGGGTTGGCCTCTCCTGAGAGGGCTCTTGGGGCCCACGGGACTCCCTGGTCCTTCAGTCCACCCTCTGCACAATGTGCAGAAATGGGAAAGCCGTGCCAGGGTCCACACTGTTCTGGACAATCTGGTACATGCCCACCGCCCTTACGTGGAGCAGAGGAAATGGGGCCAGGAGGACCAGGCTGCTTCCTTCATCTGAGTCAGGGTAGGAGCTGCAGCTGCTAGGGAGGCCCCTGGAACCTGTGCACGTGCTGTCCAATCACCTGTAGCAAGTTGATCTCTTGCTTCAGCTTCATGACATGATTTTCTGCCTTCACAGCCCGTTTCTGCCACCAAAAAAAAAAAAAAGGCATCAGCACAGTATACCATGGTGAGCCCCCAATGCAGGATGAAGCCAGCCCTTAGCCCCCACCCCAGGGCCCATTATGAGAGATCCATCCTCACACCAGCCTCTGCGGGCTGATATCGGAGGAGCCAGCCACACCCAGTGCATCACAATGCCCCCCCGCCCTCAGACACCCCCCTCTCCCCGCACCGTCATCAGCTCCAGGTTCTGCTCCACCTGCTGGACTACTGACTCCAGATCATGGTAGTCGCTTTCCTCCTTGATCATCTTGGCCTCCAGCTTCCGCTCTAGTGTCCTCACCCTTGGGACAGAAAACACCCAATTTTTAATACTCCTGCACCTTACTCTCAAAATACACCCAAGAGGCAGTTAAGTGGGGCAGGGTAGCTAACACCACAAGGGCACTGGGCCTCGAGACTGACTGCTCTCTGGTTCTCAGCCAGCGTGGTGGGTTTGGGCCTAGTGTTTGAAATAAACTTTCGCTCAGAACACAAGACACATACAATGAAAGCCAAGCTCGGTTCCACCCTGATCACTTCGTTACTGACGGAAGACTGACTTGAGTGTTAGCAGGTGTTTTGAAGTGCAGCGCTGACTCAGAGCCTACGTACATTTCTGTTTGAGTGTCAGAGAAGCTCTGCACCTCAGTGAGCTTTCTTCTCAGCTTAGAATTTTCATCTTTCAGCTGTAGAAAAAGAAAATCCTATTAGAAACTGTATCTCAGGCAGCCCTGGTGGTGCAGCGGTTTAGTGCCGCCTGCAGGCCGGGGCCTGATCCTGGAGACCCTAGGATCGAGTCCCACGTCAGACTCTCTGCATGGTGCCTGCTTCTCCCTCTGCCTCTGTCTCTACCTCTCTCTCTGTGTCTCTATGCATAAATAAATAAAATCTTAAAAAAAAAAAAAAAAGAAACTGTATCTCACTAAAAAGGAGTCTGCACCTCTGCAAATTGGCTCTGGAACTGATGAAAGAATATTCTGGAAAGTCAACATACTGTTCACTTACAGAAGAGAACCATGAATAGAATACTCTCCCCTTAAAAGCCTATGATCACGGAGGCCGGTTTTACTCCTCTTTTAGGTGATAATCATTTCTAAAAAAAAACTTCTTCTACTCCGAACACAGCGAGATGTCCCTGAGCTGATGCCTGGAGTGGGTCCTTTCCCGAAGGGTGGCCCTCGAGGGACCTGAGAGGGGCTGCACCTCGCTGCCCCACACAGGGCTCTTCTGGTGGCACACCATGTACGGAATCTGCCAACTCAGGGGACTGCCACATGGAACTCTAGCAGACCATCTTGTCCCTGGAGCCAAGACCCCAGGCCCCCAAGGCCATTTAGAGGCTCCGGGTTGTCTGCTCAGACATGAGGTGCTGGCCAGGCACAGATGCAGAGCCGTCTCACTTACTGCTTCATAGCTTATCTGCAGTGTCCGGAGATGCCTGTCCCCCAGAGACTCTCCGTGAGCTACGAAGTCTGCACTGGGGCTCCCCGCTGGAGAGGTGTGAGAGTCAGAGTTGCTCAGTGTCCACGGAGGCAGGGTCTCGGGCCCCACCAGCTCCGATGGGGTGGAGAAAAAGGAGACATATGTGCTGCAAGGTGACGTGCTGGTGGCGACCCCTGAGGAGTGGGTCTGTTCCACAGTGGATGGCAAGTAGGCCCCATTCCATCCATCGTCCTCATCCTCGTCTTCATCCTCATCCAGAAGGTCACCGGCCCCCGTAGGGTCTTCAAAAAACGGCTGCTGATATTCCAGGCCATACCCCACAGTCTGGGAAGTTGGGGAGTTGCGGCTGAGTCCCAGTGAGTGTCTTGTGGGTTCCTAAAGAAAACAGAGGCACAGTTCAGACTCAGTAACCGCTAGCGGCCTATCTTCCAAGGTGCTCAATAGTGGAACAAAAGGCCCTGTCCTGTCTAGCAGGGAGGAGGAGGGCTCCCAGCAGCTTCTCTACCCAACTTTCCCAGCAGCATGAGGGGCGGGCTCCCTTTCTCCCCCAGCTCCTGCCATGTCTCCCACGATGGAAGAGAGAGGTCCTCTGGATGTTTTTCTGTGAATAGACATTGCAGATGATGCCTTGGATCTACCTTTGAATAAATCCTGTTGTTGGCTGTATCCTCTCCTGACAGGGTGAGGTTCTTGGTTTTCAGAAACTCTTTAAAGGAGAATGGATTGGCCTCTGTAAGATCTTCAAGTTTATCACCTGAAACAGGATCATACAACACAATTGCAAAACGTCTCCTGAAAATCATTAAAAAGGAAGCTCCACTTTAATTTTTCTAGAACACAAGAAAACAAAAACAAAAAAAATTTTTTTTCTAGAACATGACCACATCTAAAATCAGGACTTCACCCTTATTGCTCGCACTGATGCTAGGAAACGAAAAACCTAGCCAATAAAAGAGATGTACTTCCACACTCTGAATTCTCTTTCCTGGGGCACCTGGCTGGCTCAGTCAGTAGAGCGACTTGGGCTTGTGAGTTCCAGCCCGGTAACAGGGGTATAGTTTCCTTATGAATTCTCCTTCCCGTTCCCAACCCCTTGGTTCCCCCACCTTGCTGCCCATGGAGACCACCCTCCGGATCTTTGGGAGGACAATGGGCCTCTACTCCCATACAAACGGAGTTAGTTGGCTTGGGGCACAATATGTGTTAGGGGCCGTCAGAGTTCTAATGGTACAGCCACATCGGGAATCAGTGCTCCACCTCTGTCCTTTCCCTGCTCACCCATCCATCCTTCCAGCTCTCCTGGTTCCTAACCAGTAAAACTGTGGCCCTTTCAGTCCACAGCCATCGAAGCCCAGGTGCCAGCCTCGTGTAAAGCGGACTCCTGTTGTCTGGGCCTGTGAAGGCTCCTCAGACCCCTCTACTGTTACTTTCCATGTTGTGTCCTGCATGTCCCAGGTTCTCCCATCCCCATACCCTCTTTCTACTCTAGGGTCAAGAGTCCATCCTTCGGACTCCACCCCACTTGGCAGACGAATTATATGCTGTCAAACTGACACCCCAGCACAGGGCACGTGCTTGGTACTAGGTGTTGGGGAGAGGGAAAGAGAGGACTGCTCAACCACCATACCTCCGAAATGTGTCTCTTGGGCTCCAGGAGGACCTTGCTTAGTACATTTCCCCTTTCCGTAGCCAAAATCTGCAAAGAGACATCACTGCTTGACCATGATCATGGAGGCCTCTGTGACAACTTTTTTCCAACACGGGGGTCTCTACTGCCATGATTCTCACAGGCTGGGGAACTTTTCAAACCCGAGGCCCCAGGCTCCTGCCCATGGAGACGGTATGGCTTCCGTGGGCCCTGGCGTCTGTGATTCAGAAAAAGCTCCCTGTCGGATTTGAGGAGCAGTGTTCGGTAGCGCAGGCCCTCCTGTGTCTTGAGATACCTCCTGAATACCCTCACAGGTGGCCACTCTCCTGAGACCCTGACACAACCACCGAGCTCTCCCTACGCCCTGTCTGCAGGGCAGCCTGAATGCTCCAGGGAGAGCAGGATGAACTAGCCCAGCCGCTGCCAGGGTCTCCTGGAAGGAGGTGGTCTGCGGGGCTTCTGCTGGGCACTTACCAGCCTACAGTGAGTGTCTGTACTTGGGGGGGGGAGCGCCCCAAGGCCACACTTAAGTCGCTGGGTCAGGGGGGACTTAAGGCCACAGCAAGCAGCCTACAGGCCCAGCCAGCTCGGGGCTCCCTGAGGCTTGTCTCTCACCTGTGTCTCCCACGGAAGCTAGCACCGGGCTGGGCACATAGCACATAAACGTCGGCCGAATGCCGAAGAAGTGGGAGTCCAGGTCCCTGCCATGGGGGCGCTCACAGTCTAGCTGGGGGAGACAAGACCGGCGCTCATAGAACGCTGGAGCTGCAATAACAACGAGAGCGATTGGCCGCGCTCTTCGCGGCCCGCCTCACCTGCAGCCCGGCCCGGCGAGGCGGGGGCGGCCCCGGGGTCCGGCGGGCTCGGCCCCGCCGCCCCGCCCGGCCGCTCACCGTCCGGAATGACGAGGCTCCGGGCTCGCGACAGCGGAGGGACGCCCGGGCGACGCGCGTAGCCCGCCATCGCCGCGGGCCCGGCGGCGCCGGCCCTCCCTAGCCCGGCAGCAGCGGCTCCATGGCCCCGGCTCCACCCCGGCCGCGGCCCGAGTCGCCCGCGCCCGTCGCCCGCAGCCCGGCCGCCGCTCCCAGCCTCTCGCCGCGGCTTCCGCTCCCGGCACCGGAAGCGCGCGACCGAGCGCTGTGGACTGACGCCGCAGGGGCGGGGCTTCGAGGGCGGGGTCGGAAGTGACGACAGAAGCAGGGGGCGGAGGCCCAAGATGGCGGCTATGGTACTGGCGGCGGCGCGGGTGCTGCTTCGCGGCTCGGGCTCGTGGCGCTGCTCGCGGCTGAGGTGAGCCGGGGGCGCGCCGGGGGCCGGGGCGGCGCGCGTCCGCCCGAACGCTCAGTCTCTGGCTTCCCCACGCCCAGACGCGGCGCCGCGGGTTGGGGCTGGGGCTTCGGGACCCCAGCCTCGTCTCCGAAGCGCTGGGGGCGCTTCCCTGCCGGGACCCCCGGGCCCGGGCTCCGAGCCTCATCCGCCTGTCTGTCCTCTCCCAGTCCGCTGGGCCCTCTCCCGCCCAGTCCTCCTGGCCCGACGGGGCCGTCGGAGGCCACGTGTTCTCTCCGCCCCGGCCCGGTCCTGCCGCGGGGCCCCGTCGTGAGGCCGAGCCCGCGGGGCCTCGGTGCCGCCTCGACTGCAGCAGGCGCCGCGCTCTCCCCGCCCCCGCCGCCCTCCCGCCTTCTTGGCGGCGAGCAAGCCGTCTCAGGCCACAGTTGGTGGGGCCCCTCCCTGGTCCCCGGCGGCGGGCGTGCGGACCAAGCGGGAGCGGTCGCGTGAAGGCTTCCAGCTTCAGGAAGGATGGTCTGGCGGCAGGTAGTGGGACAGGGGCTTCAGGCAGCGTGCGGAGGGTGGCCTGTCCGAGCAGGTGGCATTGGTAAGTCAAGAGACGAGGAACTTCTGGAGAAGGGGCAGCCGCGGGGAAGGCGCAGGTAGGAGCAGGACAGGCCAGACCGGGAAGAACAGCTGCTTTGCGGTGAGGACCGAGTGTGTTTAAGGGTGCCGCCAGCAGGCCACCACGAGGGGCCCTGGGGGTGGGGTGGGGAGGGCTCTAAGACAACTGGGGGACAGGGCGTTGAGAGCTTTGGCTTGTGTGTGGACCCTAGAGGGGCTGTGTGTGAGAGGTTAACCCGCATCACAGTGAGGTGCTGTCACTACTGTCTTTTACGAGAGACAAAGAACTGATTTCGGCCCAAAGAACTGATCAACTTGCTGCAGGCCCCTGGGCCGAGCCTGGATTTGTACCTAGCAGTGGGGCTCTGATCACTCCTATGTGTCGTCTCAGGGTGTGTAGAAACAAATCCGCAGAATGGGATGCACTGAGTTTTAACGTGGGCAAAACGTGACTGTGGGCACCCGGATGCTCACCACAGGCTCCGCGGTGTCAGGTGTGCTGTAACTGGGCAACCTCTCTGTTTAGGTCCGGTGCCCCTTCGCACAGACAGTTCAGTGGTGGTGGCGCCTATCCCCACGTCCCACTCTCTTCCCCCTTACCCGGAGTGCCTAAGCCTGTTTTTGCTACAGTCGACGGACAAGAAAAGTTTGAAACCAAAGTCACCACGCTGGACAATGGGCTTCGCGTAGCCTCCCAGAACAAATTTGGACAATTTTGTACGGTAGGAAGTAAGTACTGTTGGTGGTGTTGTGGGTCATCCTGCTTGTTTTCATGCCCACATACTTCCGTTGATCGTTGTGCTTAAACACATTGTAAGTTGTGTTCTGTGTGGAAAAGTGTGATACAGGCCCTAAAAACCAAGTACGTGAAGCACTGAGGCGCCATGGTGGTGATGGGTTTTTCCCCTTTCTACCTTCCTAGAGTTCTAACACTTTTCTACCACAAATACAAAGCATACAACTCCATACAACTGTACACAGTGCAGCTGTGGATATGTAGCCCAGGTAGCGGACACACTGTCACCCTCATGTAATTAGGTCGGCCTGTCTGATCATGTTCAGTGTTAAAAGTTTTTTTTCATTATAACGTTTGGCTTAACCTCTCAATTTTCTCTTTATTGCTAGTTCTTATTAATTCAGGATCAAGATATGAAGCAAAATATCTTAGCGGAATTGCTCACTTTTTGGAAAAATTGGCATTTTCGGTCAGTGTCTAATTTGTAATTTTTGTAACTGTATTTGAGAAGAGCCTACCAAGTTTTATTGTTTCTAAAACAGTTGTTTTATAAGTGACAAAATTGCTAAGATAATCCTGCTAAAAGATATTTAGATTAAAAGATAATCTTATTTCAGATGTTTTAAAAATAAAAGTAAATTTTTTCCTTAAAAATTGCATATTAGAGTTGGTTTTGGATTGCATACTTAGGTGTACTTATTTATTTTCACTAGTCAACTGATCGATTTGAGAGCAAAGATGAAATTCTACTTACATTGGAAAAGCACGGGGGTATTTGTGACTGCCAGACATCAAGGTACGCCAGCTTACTTTGCATCCATGGGGAGCTGTGGTTCTTATCCTTGGTCTGAGTCCGACTGAAACCCATGCCCTGAAGAGGCTGTGGAGGTTAGCAGTGAAGAATGGGCCTGGGCTGGGTCGGGTGGAGAATTTGATGGGCAAAGCATGTAGACAGCGACGCTAAGAGCAGAGAACATGCTGGAGGGCCAGGCAGCCCCCAGAGACTCCAGCTGGGTACTAGGGACACAGCAGAGGGCTGCACAACAGGTCATGGTTGCGAGAGCCAGACACTGAAGACTGGTGGGAGCACTGGGATGAACGAACAACTAACCTGATCTGGAGTCAGGAGAGGAACAACTATAGCAAACTTGACCTTGGACTGGTCTTGAGTTTGTCAGACCAGCTGAGGGGAGGAGGCGGCTCAGATTCTGGGAACAGCATAAGGAGAGACTCAGCCAGGGAGAGGCAGTGGTCTTCTTGTGGACAGGGAGAGGTCCAGAATGTAGCCAGCGTATACATGTAGGGGCCTGTGGATAGTGCAGGTGGTGTTGGTCTGCCATATGTGGCTCTGTCCGTAGCCACATGCGGCCAGGTATACTGCATGTGCACCAGGTGCACCAGACAGTTGGGGCCACAGATAGGAAGCACATGATGACCCCCCCCCCCCCATGGCAGGTATCCTGTGCTTGGGACGTCTCAGAACTGGCTCTTGTCCATCCTGCCTGGGCGTCTGCTTTCACTCCAGCGCATGCTGGAAGTTATGCTGTGAGATGGGACATACCAAGTGTGTGCTGGTCTTCAGTGTAGAATGGGGAATGGCCCCTGCTGGTGTCTCCTGCTGTGACCTTTGTGCCTGCTGTCATTGCTGCTTTCCAGGGACACGACCATGTATGCTGTGTCTGCTGATTCTAAAGGCCTGGACACAGTGGTTGGTTTGCTGGCTGACGTGGTCCTACACCCCAGGCTCACAGGTGTGCCCTGGGCTGCTGCATGAGAGGGCTGGGGGCTGGGCTGTTGGGAGGCACGTGGAAACCCTGCCCCTGAAGTTGAGCACTGTGTGCAGCCCTTGGGGTCGATTACCAGTGAGTTGGCCCGGTTCCCTTGGAAATAACTCTGATGGTTGGAAAGGCCTTTATGTTTAATACATTGACAAAAGTCTGTGTCTTCTGATGTTTTTAGTTAAATTGGGTCTTTCATTTTTTTTTTCTAAGTTTTTATTCATTTAAGTACTCTGTACCACACCCAACATGGGGCTCAAACAACCCCAAGATCAAAAGTTGCATGCTCCTCTGAGTGAGCCAGCCAGGTGGCCCTGGGTCTTTGACTTCTGAAGGACATTTCAGACTGTATCTACTTATTTATTTACTTTTTTTTTTTAAGATTTTATTTATCTATTCCTGAGAAAGAAGAGAGATTGAGACACAGGCAGAGGGAGAAGCAGGCTCCCTGCAAGGGAGCCTGATGCGGGACTCGATCCCAGGACCCCGGGATCATGCCCCTACCTGAAGGTAGACGCTCAACCGCTGAGCCACCCAGGCGTCCCTTCAGACTGTATTTAAACAGTTGGGCTGGTGTGCTGCCAGAAGCTTCTATGTCCCTGTCTCCATCCCTTTCCTTGGCCTGGTAGTGGCAGGACTTTGAATTCTATGCTTGAAGTGGGCCAGAGTGGGCTATGCTGACTATTGCCACCACCGTGGCTGTACTCTGGTCACGTTAGCCTGGCCATGTGGTTCAGGGCCTTAGTGCTGAGTTAAGATCTTTCCAGTACATACTCCAGGTAGCTGTTGAGGTGGCAGTTGTGATGCTGGACTGTGCCTCTTGTAAGCACCTTCCCGCATCCCAAGTGACTTTATCCTCACAGTGGCCCTTTGGGGCATACAGGTCAGGGGCCTGAGTGCCTCTCATGGGAGGGAAACTGGGGCTCAGAGTAGGTCCAGGTGGCTGCCTCAGGGCCTAGCTGGACAAGAGGCCCACCTCCCCACATGGTGGTACCCTCCTCGCTGACACAGGTGCCCCTAGGTCTACCCCAGATGAAGGCCAAGGAGACTGCCAGTGTTCTCCAGACAGGGACACTTGGCCCAGCCTGGCAGCCTAGGCCCTGCACCATCTCTCTGCTGGCTGGTGTGGTCTGAGCCTTGTCTGGGTTCTTTGTAGACGAAGAAATTGAGATGACACGAATGGCTGTCCAATTTGAGCTGGAGGACCTTAACATGCGACCTGACCCAGAACCACTTCTCACGGAGATGATTCATGAGGTACTGGAAAACTCTTAAACATTCTCCCCTACCTCCGTGTCAGCGGCCCTGAAGCTGCTCACAGGTTATAGGTGTGGACAGAAGCTTCATTTCCATGCCTGCTTCTCGTGCAAGTTTCTCACGTTCTCATTTTTTTTTTTTTTTAATATTCATGAGAGACACACAGAGAGACAGAGACACAGGCAGAGGAAGAAGCAGGCTCCCTACAGGGAGCCTGATGTGGGACTTGATCCCAGGACCCCGGGACCACGACCTGAGCCGAATGAAGGCAGACACTCAACCCCTGAGCGACCCAGGCGTCCCTGACATTCTCATATTTATAGTAACAAGATCTTTTTTTTTTTTTAAGATTTTATTTATTTATTCATAGAGACACAGGCAGAGACACAGGCAGAGGGAGAAGCAGGCTCCATGCAGGGAGCCCGACGCGGGACTCGATCCCGGGTCTCCAGGATCACACCCCGGGCTGCAGGCGGCGCTAAACCGCTGCGCCACCGGGGCTGCCCTAGTAACAAGATCTTAATCTGTTTCCACAACGATCTTTTTACTTGATGTGGGTTTTTTTTTTTTTTTTTAATCTTTTTTGGAGAGATAGACCTTATTGCTTTTATAAACACACAGAACTACTGCCAAACTAGTGAAGCTAAGCAGCTGTGGGTTTTTGCTGCCACAGCTAAGGTCATAGTACCTCAAGGGAGGAGACTTGGCCATGGCCTCTCTGTCATCTATTTCTCCCTCTTTTTATTAGGCTGCTTATCGGGAAAACACAGTTGGCCTCCACCGTTTCTGCCCCACAGAAAACATAGCAAAGATTGATCGAGAAGTGCTTCATTCCTACCTGAGAAACTATTACACCCCTGACCGCATGGTGCTGGCTGGGGTTGGGGTGGAGCACGAGCACCTGGTGGAATGTGCCAGAAAGTACCTCCTGGGAACCCAGCCGGCCTGGGGATGTGAGAAGGCTGTGGATGTCGACAGATCAGTAGCGCAGTACACTGGGGGTGTTGTCAAGGTAAAGCAGTTTCTGGACTGTTTTTGGTTTTTGGGGTTTTCTTAAGTATCTGTTTTTGTGTGTTCTCAGCTTTATCCTGCAGGTGTTAGAATTAGCTATGCTTTTGTGGCTTTACCATAACACGTCGTGCCAGAGTAGGACATGTTTCTTGCTTAAACCCAAGTGCGTGTTAGGAGTGAATTTAGCTTCACTGGAAGGCTAAAGGATCATTCTTGCCTCTAGAGGGAGTTTATGGATGTTGATCTAGGATTTCTATAGAACCATGGTGGGGTTTTTTTGCCTATTTTTTTATTTTAAAGTAGGCTTCACACCCATGTGGAGCCCACCGTGGGGCTTGAAATGACAACCCTGAGATCAAGATTGGATACTCCACCTCTGAGCCACCAGATGCCCCTGGAGCTGTTTTTAAATTCATGTGACCTGAGAGGTTTTTGAGGCCTGCTTATTTTTCATGTGGAAACACTCTTCACTCTCTTTGGTTACAGCTGGAAAGAGACATGTCCAACGTCAGCCTTGGCCCTGCCCCATTCCCCGAGCTCACACACATCATGATAGGACTGGAGAGCTGTTCCTTTTTGGTAAGTCCTAGCCGGGTCCCACCACATCTTGGAACTGGGGGTTACCTCCCGGCCAAGTTCTGCCCTCCCATGTCCCGCAGGAGGAAGATTTCATCCCCTTTGCCGTACTGAACATGATGATGGGAGGCGGTGGCTCCTTCTCAGCTGGCGGACCTGGCAAAGGCATGTTTACCAGGCTCTATCTCAATGTGCTCAACAGGTAGGTTGGATTCCTCTCACTTGGCTGTCCCAGGGTCGCCAGGCCTGGCTGAGGGTGCTTTTGGGCTGTGACACCACCTTCCAGGTGTCCCTTTGTCCACGCTTCCTACAGGCACCACTGGATGTACAATGCAACCTCCTACCACCATAGCTATGAGGACACGGGCCTTCTGTGCGTCCATGCCAGCGCTGACCCCAGACAGGTGAGGGCCAGCCCCGGAGCTAGCAGCTTCTACTTCCTGTGCAGGTCATGTCTCAGTATACAGAGCTGGTCTCTGAGAGCAGGGAGGTTGTTGCCACGGTTGGAAAAGATAGGCTATCAGGCCCAGATCACACTCTTCATCTGTACCTTCTTTCTTAAAGGTTCGAGAAATGGTAGAAATCCTCACAAAGGAATTTATTTTAATGGCTGGAACTGTGGATGTGGTAAGTATGGCATAGAGCTGTCTGCAAATGTCCCCACAGTGCGGGCAGGTTAGAGAACATAATGTGGGGGTGGGTGGCAGCAGGTCCATCCTCTGTGCCCCCAGCACCAACATCCCAGCCAGAGCAGTGCAGCCCCCTGGGTGGCTGGGGCCTACAGCTGAGCTCCTCCCCTCCTCCCTTGTCAGCATGGAGAACAGTTGTTGCCCTGCCAGCACCGGGTGTGTTTGCACCTTCCTGGCCCTGCATCCTCCTCCAGCTTCCTGGAAGGAATAGTGCAGAGCGGTTTTGTGTGTCCTTTTCAGCCACCCTGCAGAACCATGTGAATTAGAGGCATGCCACATGGATCAGTAGGCCACTCAGGGTAGTTCTTGAGCTCTCCTCTAATTCCCATTTTGTGTTTTGTTCTGCTTTTTTGTTTTTATTTTGTTTTGTCTTTAAAGGTTTTATTTCAAAGTAATCTCTCTCCCCAGCATGGGGCTGGAACTCACGCTCCCAAGACGGAGAGCCATCTGCTCTGTGGACTGAGCCCGCTGGGTGTCCCGAACTCCATTTTATGTTTTAATCTAAGTCTTTGTTTCCTTGTTGTTTTTTTTTTTTGGCATAGTTTTGATCACCTTACGCATTTAGAGATCTTGTTTCTTCCTGGACTGGTGCTGGCATGAATAAGCAGGTTCTGTATGCACGCACATAGAAGGCCCCAGAAAAAGAGCCCCAGTGTGTGGGCTGAGTGCCTCTTGGGGTTGACGCACAGCCTTCACCTGTAGATCTTCTTTCCTATTCAGTTCATGCTTTTTGCAATAGTCCCATATTCCCTTTTTAGTCAGAGAAAGAAGGGTAGTTTATTTCTGTATTTTACTTTAATTTTCAAGTTTTTATTTATTTGAGAAAGAATGAGCTGGAGGAGAAAGGGAAGGAGGAGAGGGATAGGGAGAAGCAGATTCCCCATTGAGCAGGGAGCCCCATGCAGGACTCCATCCCAGGACCCTGAGATCATGACCTGAGCTGAAGGCAGGCACTTAGCCATCTGAGCCACCTAGGCGCCCAAGAAGCATTGTTTAAAAAAAGATATATTTCAAAAAAAATTTTTTTTAAGATTTAAAAATCTGGGGGTAGGGGGGCTCCATTAGCGGCCCACTGGGAAGAAGTACTTCCCACTAACATGAAGCTAATTTGAGGTATGTTTTAAGTATTTGCCTGGAGTTAGAAAAATGGAAAGGACTTGTCTGAAATCAGGAGTCCTCATGCATAGACAATGACATGAAACCTCAGCAGCTGCTTCATCTCTAGCGTGTGTGCTCTGCTCGCGCCTGGCAGCTCCTGAAGGCAGGGCACCATCATCTCTTACCCAGCTGCGTTTCTGTGCCTTCTGGTTTCCAGCTGACCTTTGTGAATGGAACTCACCAGAGTCATGGATTTCAGTTTCAGACTTGGTCAGAGAGGCTCAAGGCCCAGACTTAGTATTAGTAGATCAAGTTGGTCCCCTCAGAGTTTCCCTAGAGGACACAGGGAACATAGTTAACCTGGGCGCCATGCCTGGGGTCTGTGTGGTCTGTGCCCCCCCACCCCGGTCTTCACCCACCCCCACTCCCACCGTTGAATTTGTCTTCCTTGTGCCTTGCCCATGATTGGGCAATGGTATGTGAACTGCTGCGAACTGAACCATGTGACTTAGTGGTTGAATCCCAGGTGGAGCTGGAGCGGGCCAAGACACAGCTGATGTCCATGCTCATGATGAACCTGGAGTCCAGGCCTGTGATCTTTGAGGACGTAGGGAGGCAGGTCCTGGCGACCCATTCCAGAAAGCTGCCCCACGAGTTGTGTGCGCTCATCCGTGAGTACTGTGCTGCTGTGCCCAGACCGGGCTCCCCCTTTCCCTCCCAGGACACAGCCATGGCCCTGGTTAGGTGTGGCTCCCACACTCTTGAGCCCTCGTCCTGGACCGGCTCTGCCTTGTTCACTGAGGGCAGACCCCTGTGACCCTAGCTTTTTTCCCCTCGTGAAGCGGCCTTTATCACTGCTCCAGGTTTCTTTCTTTTTTTATTTTTTTCAGATTTTATTTATTCATGAGAGACACAGAGAGAGAGAGAGAGAAACAGGCAGAGGGAGAAGCAGGGGGGGGAGAGAGAGAGAGAGAGAGAGAAACAGGCAGAGGGAGAAGCAGGCTCCACGCAGGGAGTCCAACATGGGACTCGATCGTGGGTCTCCAGGATCAGATCATGGGCTGAAGGCAGCGCTAAACCACTGAGCCACACGGGGTGCCCCTGCTCCAGGTTTCTAAGCAGATTCGATGAGATAATGGACATAAACAGGCCTCATGTGGTGGTGCCGTCTGTGACGCTGTGGCAGGTGTCCATGGCCTCCTGTGAGTGACCTACAGGAAGTCCCTGAGTTCTCTGTCAAAATTTTACTTACTTGTGACTCTTGGGGGACAGGTTTATCTCTGCTGCATCAGCTCTTCAAAGGGTCTGTGACCCCACAAGGGTTAGGATAGTTCTGTGGTGACATTTGTTAACTCGTGGCCACTCCAGCACTCGCTCTGTCCATAGATGGATCCTTACCCAGCCCCTTGGGGAGCCCCTCAGACCATGGAGCATGGCAGCACCCGATCTCCCTAAGGCCTCATTTTCTGTAGCAAAATCAAGCTACCTGTCATTGTGTTCCCAGGGTGTGCTTTTCATGCCCAGGCAGCTGTGCTTCCCGGGTCCCTCCTCAGAAGGCCAGTCTGCGTGTGTGGCCACTCCTCTATGAAGCATGGGGAGGGGAGTGTTGTTTCCTTCCTTGCAGACTCTCCATGGGGGTAGTTCTGTAGACAAGGAGCTTTTCTGTTTTAGATGCATCAACCTCTCTGGGTGGGCACATGTTTCTGCATTTGAAAATGATTCTAAACCATTGGTACTTCCCTGTTTACCAAGAAAATCTCCTGTTACTTCACCCTGACTCACAGTACAGTCTACACATGGCTGAATCTGGATCCCCTGACGTCCGCAGCCCTGCCTCGGACCCCTGGGTCTGTAGTGACCACAGCCACACCAGGAGACAGAGTGAGTGCAGGAGTCAGGCGTTCCTCTGAGGTCTTTTTGTTCCCTGTGCCAGGCAGCGTGAAGCCAGAAGACATCCGGAGAGTTGCCTCTCAGATGCTTCGCAGGAAGCCTGCAGTGGCCGCCCTGGGTGATCTGAGCCACCTGCCAGCCTACGAGCACATCCAGGCGGCGCTGTCCAGCAGAGATGGGCGCCTGCCCAGGACCTACCGGCTCTTCCGCTAGAGGCTGGCCAAGATCTGGCCTGGCTGTGGGCTGTGGACTCAGCGTGTGTTCACACATGTCTCTTTGGGTGTGAGTTTCAGCAAAGATTCATAAACGGTGCAAACCATGGGACTTTTCTCTTAAACTCAAGCAAATTTAACGTTGCTGAGTATAGCTCAGTTTCTGATTCTTTTTTTTTTTATACATTTCTTTTTTTTTTTTTAAGATTTTATTTATTTATTCATAGACACAGAGAGAGAGAGAGAGAGAGAGAGAGAGAGGCAGGCTCCATGCAGGGAGCCTGACGCGGGACTCGATCCCGGGCCTCCAGGATCACACCCCAGGCTGCAGGCGGCGCCAAACCGCTGCGCCACCAGGGCTGCCCGAGTTTCTGATTCTTGGCTATCAAATAGGCCACTTGGTGGAATAAAGGTTTGCTTTCACAGCAGCTAGAAACCGGTGGAGCCCAAGAAGGTTCAAGGCTAACTGCTGTAGGCAAGCAGGTTAATGTTCTTAACCTGTGCTCTGTGCTCCTGGAGACAAGCAGTCACGAGGTGGTCAGTGCCAGCCTGTCTCCCCACAGAGGCTGCTGGCCTGTCCACCCTTCCCAGCCTCCCTGGGCCCCCGGGGAAGGGTAGGAGGACCTGGTTTGCTTCATGGAGTGTTTTCTCAGCACAGTGTTTGCCTTCACGCTCAACCAGCAACGTCCCTGAAACAGGGCCAGGAGCAAGCGAGATCTTTCCCTGGGGGTCATCCAGGTGGACCCAATATTGTGAGGCCCTTCATCCTTTAATTGTAAGATGTGTTCCGATTGCAGATGTGTCTGAATGCACAGGATGGGAGATGGGATTTCTTAGATCCGTTGGGAGAGCAGAACTGGGAGCATGCTAGGAGGTGGAGCATTCGGTGGCCGTGGGAGGAGTGCCATGGGACATTGGGTGGCTTTGTGGTTCTCAAACATGAATGCACACAGAGCCCACGTGGGCCACCTATGGTGGCTGCAGGGCCGCTGGTGGCCCCAGCACTTGGCAGTGGGGCTGTGCAGCATGTGGCTGCAGTGCCTGTGGGAGAAAGCCTCCTGCAGCCTCAGCCACCCAGGCAGGAGGGCAGGGCTGTTTTGAGGAAATCAACACATAACCGTTACTTCAGTTATTTAATCCACTACTCTGCCGGAGTCCATCATCCTAGTTTGATGCCTTTCCAGCATCAATGCCAGCGCTGGCAACTGTTTTGGGGACACCAGGCTCTCCGTACCTGCTGGGATGGGGCCTGAGGGAGACAAGCCTGGCTCAGATGGCAGGTGGGCAGCAGTGTGGACTATTTGTTTCTGTGGTTACCCCGGCGGGGATGGGATGGGTACAGCATCTCGGGGATAGAGGTCAGGAGCTTAGCCTTGTGGCAGGCAAGCTATAAACTGGGGCCAGAGCTCAGGAAGACACGAGCCCCGGATTGGGGGTTGAGGGGGTAGCCAAAGCACCAGCACCACTGTACTTGAGCCCCTGACCAGTCTGGTGATACCCAGACCCAGGGGTCTGTTTGGAAGTTGGCACCAACCCACATGGCCTCCTTCCCCACTGGTTCCTTCCCTGACTCCATTAGGCCACCCCTGCTCACCCAGCCAAGCCCCCCTCCCCATTCTCAGCCCCAGGGCTATCCAGCTGCAGGCCCAACAGGTGCCCAAGGGAGGCCTGGCACAAGCAGAGCCTCATGTAGGCGATGAGAGCCGGGTTGTAAAAACCACCCTTGTCTCCTATTTCTCAATTCTTTCTGAAACTGGTTTTCAGAGACTGGCCTACTTTGTCTTCATTCATCCAAATTTTAATATGAATTTTCAAGTGAAACCTGTTCATCTAAATTCTCCTGGCTGCTCCTAAGTGAGTGTCCTGACTTGAGACCTGTGGCCTCTCGGGTATGTCATGATTCTTGAAGACAATGAAGCCCCAGCTCAAGCCAGACTCCACACCAGCACCACCCCATTACTTTCCATCCAGTAGGGCAGAGACAGCGCCTGGGAAAATGCATAACCGCTGCCCCATCTCCAGGCCTTTCCCCACAAAAATCTGTAACAGACATTTTCAGTTTGTGACTCAGAACTCAACGGCACATTTCTTTGAACAAAATTTTATACAATCTGAAGTTTCTTAAAGTCTGATGACTCCCATGAATGGATTCTCCCCTCTGTCCAGAGACTGGGCATCTGGCTCCTAGTTTTGGAAGCGAGCACTAATAAAGTGGGTATAGTCTCCTTAGGAAGTGACTTCATTTCCTTGTGGTTCACTCAGGTCTGGGGTATCCCCTTCTCTCTGAAAAGCTCTTTCCAGCCAGCCCCTTGACTGGGGAGGTGGCCAAGTGTGGAGCAGATCACAGTGGGGAGCCGCAGTGTACACATTTCCTGCCTTTGAACTGGACACCTTTGTTTTTCTGAGAACATGAGAACAGGCTGAGTGTACAGATAATTTCTAGGACTCAATCTTTCGCCAGAAAGAATTTAAGATTTAACATGGATTTATTTAAAAATATAAAATATGGAAAAATAAATAAAAGACCAGATTGCCCCTTGGTTTTCCCACATTCACAGCCTGTCTCTAAGAGCCACTGTGGGCAATGATAAGCTCAGCCCTTGAAAGAAGAGATCTGGAATGTGGCGGGGACACTCTAGCTTCCCCTGCTTCCTCAGCCCGGGAAATGCGCTACTTAACGTTCATGCTATTTGAGGCTGGCAATATGTAAAATGGTCTGAAATCACCAAAACCAGGATCGGAGAGGGAGGTGGTTTCATGGCTGGAGGGGCCAGGCCATCCCTCCAAGACAGGTGGCCCTAAAACAGGCCAGGCCTCATCCAGCAGACTGGACCATGTTCCCTCCTTGGAAGTCAGTAGGCTTTGGCCTGACTCCCTGGGCCTGGGTTTGGTCCTGGTGTACTAGGTGGGAGGAGGCCCCTGTTGCTCCCTCGCTTAGGGACCCAGCCCCCTGTGCTCAGATGGGGTCAATTCGAGTGCTGCAGACATGGGCTGGGGGGGGGGGGTGTGGGCAGAGGGTGCTCCAGGCCATGTCCCACCCAAATGTCTGCTCCGAGGGACCAAGGGTGCAGCGTGGCCCGTGCATCCCATGTGTGTGCTGCCCGCGGGGTAAAGGACATGCCGTTAGTGAGTGGGGCTGGTTTGTCTCGGGCATTGCCACGCTGCTCTTCAGCCACCTCTCAGGTTCTTGGAAGGAAAGCATGTGAACCTCGAGCGGTCAGTCGTCGGCTGCCTGGATAGGGGGAAAGTCCCCGACAACCGCCTCTTCCATCTTTTTAGGGGCTTTTGGTCAGATAACCTTGCGTGGAGGCAATAGTGGTCCTCGAGCAGACCTCAAGACACAGTACAAATCGTACTCGAGTGCTGATTCTTCAGTGCTTGCTGTCTCTGGATTTCTTTGGAAATCCGTCTTTTGATTCCTATCAAGTACAGCTCTCGGTCAAACTTGCCAGCAGCTAGCGGGATGCTGTGGAAGAAGGGGCGTCAGCCAGGCAGGCCCGGCTGGTGGCTCAGCCACCCGTTCCCCGCGGGCCTTGGGGACCGGCCGCGAGCAGCAGGACTCCCCCCAACCGCAGGGCTGCCACCTGTGTGACAGCTGCTTAAGAGCAATCCTGGACCCACCTGGGGTGCCGCCCGTTCCCAACCCCCAGGCCCCGAGGCCAGGACATAGGAGGACATGTGTCGAGGGTATTGTACTGACTTGTCTCTCCCCGGCCTCACTTTGACCCGGAACAGGCCGTACACGGGGCGGTGGTCAGACGTCTTGATGCCAGGGCAGGAGGAATACCTGACTGGACAGATGTCACCCTTGTGGCGGCTTCTGTACATGACCCGGTCCTGCAGGAAAGACCCCATACACAGGAGCCCCAATGCCACACAGCTTGGCCTGCGTCTGTCACCTCGGCCTTGCTCGCACAGTCCCCAGGCAAATCCAGCTGGAGCCCATGCCCGGAGCCCCTCACCAGAGCCCGTTGCACCCACAGGTGTCCAGGCAGCAGGTGAAGCCTGGCTGTGCTGCAGGTGGCATCTGCTAACGCCCAGGCCCGTGAGGAGGCTCCAGCCCTGTGCCCCAGAGCCAGGTGCAGGTGCCCAGCCTGGAGCTGCGGGTCCCGTGGGGGCCCCTCCCTTCGCCCGTGCAGCCAGCAGCTCCAACCAGTGATGGCGTGGGGCATGTGCCCCACTGTCCCGGGCCCAGCAGACCACCCTCAAAAGGGCCTGTTGGGAGGGCACTGAACCCAACCCCAGCAGTCTCAGAGAGGTGTGGTCACTAGCCCAGGTCAGGCACCGAACTCAGGGGTCCAGTCTGGCTCAGGGGCCCATGTCTGGCTGTACCCCAACAGGCCCTGTGGCTTGTGGGTGCTGCCCTCACACCCAGGCCTTGGCCACAGAGCAGGGCCACACGGGGAGGACAGGCCAGCACCAGGCGCGTGCTCACCGTGTAGGATGGGGTCCTTTGCTTGGAGGTGGTGTCGTAGGAGTCCTTACCAATGTCGAACTTGTAGGATGGAAGAAAATGGATGTCTGGCTCCTGGAAGCCCTTAAAGATGGACCCTGGCACAGTCACAGCCTCTCATCAGCCCCCTCGCTGCCCCTCCTTGGGGATGGGAAGGCTGCACCTCGCCCCCGAGACCTCACCTTTCTTCATTTCCTGGGTGAGCTGGTCATGCTGGAGCAGAGCAGACACCTTCTCTACCAGGTCCTGCTTCAGGATGGCCTCCACGGCCACGCGCCCACCACTCAGACGGAAGTTGAAGTCTCCAAACCAGAACACCCCATCGAACCGGGTAGTGACATCCGCTGCAAAAGGAGAATGCCCATGAACCCAGCCCTCCCCGTGCTCACCATGCCTTAGCGACAGGGACTGGTCTGGTCTGTGTCCCGCTCCAGCTCCCTGAGCCACAAGCAGGGACTCCCCAGGGCAAGGGGGGAGCGTGCACCACGGCCTCCTGGGCCCACAGTCGCATTCACCATCTCTTGTTTCAAACAGCAGCAAACACCGGGGACGGCACGGCCCTCACACTCACAGGAGCCCACCCTTCCCTTGCACACTGCCTCCACCAGGGCACCGTCCCCGAGGGGCAGCCAGGAGGCAGGAGGGCCCTGTTGGAGGGGCTAGTGGGAAGGACGCAGACCCAGCTCGGGAGGCTGGGCTCCTCGTGGAAGGGTCACAGCTTGTGAGGAACCCACTGCCAGGCCGTGTTCAGAGCTAGTGACTTTCTAGACTTTTCTGACCTTGATTCTCAAAAGCTCTCCAAGTTTACTCACACTCAACTACTTGGAGAATAAGGACATGGACATGGGCACATGGACAGGGCCTCACCGGCATCAGAGCGGTAGGGGCTGGTGTCAGGCACACTCTTGGGCAGGGCCAGGCCCTGGATGGTTCTGCTATAGTCCAGCAGCCTCTCGCTCACCTTCCCGTCTCCAGCTGTGAGAACAGAGCATTAGGGGGTGCTCTCCGGTGGGGCTTCTGGACATGAGGGAGCCCCTGCCCACCAGATGTGCTCGGCAGGGGTCCCATACCCTCCTCCTCCCTGTAGCAGGGCCAAGTGCCATGAGACAACATGGTCCCAGGTGGCGGGCCCCCTGGCTTCCAGGCCTCTCCTGGCGGAGACAGGGGAGCAGAGTCCCTGATGCCCGGGACTTACAGGTGAAATGGGATGTGATGAAGAGAAAAGAGGTGCCGAAGAAGGTGAAGCTGACGCCCAGGGCCCCCTTGGTCTTGATGTGAGATACCATGCGCGTGGTCACCGTGGAGCTCTCCACCTCTGTGGGACAAAGGGGTGGGCTGACTGTGGCCCGGAGGCTGGGTGGGGTGCCCAGGGTGCTGGCGCAGGGCAGGGCAGCCCGCATACCTGAGCAGAACCAGATGAGGTCCCTGCGGATGAGCACGGACATGTAGAGTGCCCCATGGGCTACTGAGTACAGCGTGACGTAGCGGGGACCCAGCGTCTCCTGCAGGCGTGTCTCCCACTCCCGCCTGTGGAAGTGGGGACAGCTGGGGAAGGGGCCGGAGCCTCCCAGCCCCGCAGCGAAGAGAGCCCGGCCATCTGGCCTTGTCCTGCAGGGCCAGTGGCGTCCAGACAAGCATATGAGGGCTCCTGGGCCACCTTGTCCATCTTCAGTGCAGGCCCTGCAGCCTGAGTGTCACCCCCCACAGGGCTCTTGGGCCACAGCAGCTTCAGCCCCAAAGGCCACCTCAGAGCCATTCACAGGGCCTCGGGGGGCTGACTGGGGCAGGGGTGCCCTACCTGTCGGAGCAGCCCTCCTGGACCCCGATGACATACAGGTCCTGGGCGTAGTCAGCCTCAGCAGGCAGCAGGAGCTCATCCAGGTTTGGGGGCAGCTCCTGCAGAGGACCGTGCCTAGTGGGGCTCCCACTGGGACTGTGGTCCCAACCTCCCCCGCAGGACGCATCCAGGGGTGCTCAGGCCTGGGCTGGCATCTGTGCCCCTCCCTCGCCATGCGGCCCGTGCCCCCAGATATGCCCGGACGGGGCACGGTGCTCCCAGATGTGAGCGCTCCTCCACCCTGCGGCCGGGTGCACGTGCACTGGGCTGGCCTCCAAGCCCTCAGGGCCCTGGACGAAGAGCGCCATCCCACGCATGGGCACGGCATCCGAGGGACAGCTGTGCCGCCAGCCTATGCACCTGCCTCCTTCAGCCAGAGGAACAGTCACTTCTCTCTCCTTCTGGGGGCTGTGTCGTCAGGGCTCCTGGTTACTCAGCCAGACCTCGTCCCCTCCCCAGGGTCTGTCCCCAGGGCCAGCCTGGGGCACTACTGTGTGGAATGAAGGGCCTTCTGTGCTGTTGTTCCCAAGCACGGTGGCCCGTGTGGGCAGCAGAAGGCACTCGAGACGCCACCACGGCAACCACTGCCCCACTGGGCGCTAGGATCGCCCACCAGGCAGGAAGTCCACACCCAGCCCCAGAAATTAGAGCACCCCATGTGCAGGGCATGGCACCCACCAACCCAAGGACGGTCCTTGCAGTGATGAGGGAGTACTAGGGAGACACAGCTGAGCTGCAGAAAAAGCCAACGACCCAGCATCCAGGGGCCCCTAAATCAAGAGCTGGAGATAATGTGCAGACCTCTGGGCTGATGGCTGTCAGGACACAAGGCGCCTGTCACACCAGAGCGGCTGGAGGCCACCACTGTCCCCTCCTCACAGAAGCTGCCCAGTGACCCCGAGGCGACAACTACCAGACCAGGCCGTGCAGGCTCACTGATGGTCACAGTTGGCCCCGCAGTGGGGAGTAGGCAGTGGGGAGGTCACATGGGAGTAGGGGCTCTTGGGAGTCTCTGTCCCCTTCTCTCCATCTGCCGCGAGCCTACAGCTGACCCCAAACAAACGTACACATAAGTCATTGGTCTCTTCCCCATCAGGCCGTGGGTGAGGCAGGTACCTTCCAGCCAAGGGGCTTCTCTCGGGGTGACCCAGGCATTAGGGAGGCCGGGCAGATGGTGCACAGCCTGGAGGCCCCAAGAGAGGATCTGAGTGGGAGCGGGGCACATACCTTCTGACCTTGCATGTTCCAGGTGGCCACGAAGAGGGCCAGGTTGCGGTCTGGGAAGTACCGGGCCAGCTCCTCCGCCCCCATCAGGGCCCCACTTGCCAGGAGACTCCCCTCGAGGTAGCTCCTGCAGAGAGAGGGCAGGTCCAGAGGGGACCAGGTGCAGGGACACACCGGGGCACACCTGCCAGCCTCAGGCCCCTCACAACGTGGAACCCTGGTTTGGGGAGCTTTCCCAGAGCTGGGGTTTCCTGAGGCCCTGCGGGTGGCATGCGGCATAGCCACAGTTCACTGTCCTCCTGGAAACCCACTGCATTCACAGCCCTACAAACACCAGCACGAGTTCAACTTTTTCGTCACCTCCTGTGACAAAGGACATGAAGGTGACGTCTGGGCTCTTCTAATGGGGCCTGTAGGCCTGGCCCTAGCCCGAAGCACCCTCTGCCAGGGGCTCGCCTCTCCCTCCACGTGGCATCGGGGACCAGAAAGCTTCAGGGGCATGTTCACCCTCATGACAGTGGACGCTCAGGACACACTTCAAGGGTTGAGCAGCACAGTGCATGCAGGGTCACAGCCTTGGCCGTGGAGCACCTGCCACTCTGCCCGCCCCCGCCAACGCGGCCTACAGGGCTCCGGGACGGGCCACCTGTCCGTCAGAGCCCTCGAGAAACCAGCCCAATGTCCATTAGCAGACCCGGAGTACTTTCCATGCCTGCTGACTCTTCATGCCAATTCGCTAAGAAAACCTACACTTTACTCTTGCAAGTAGGAACCGTGTCCTTTGAAGGAGATCATATCAAGGGCATGGCTGCATGGTCTGGCTGAAGCAGAATGCTGTTCTAGGAGGTCCCACACCCTCCGTCCTAGGCCCTGCTGGCTCAGCCTCACGCCAGGGACTCGAGGGCACCTTGTCCTCTCGGGACCAGTCTGTCTGCAGGGTAAGCAGGACGCAGCCGAGAGCGCAGTGCTGCAGACTCCGTCCCAGGCCCTGCAGCCTGTGTGCCCCATACCCCCCCGCAGCAGGCAGCCCTCCTGGCATAGGGGCCACTGCTCCACCCTCAGCCAGGTCCCACCCTGGTTGTGGACAGTCCCTGAGCTGAGAGCCCTTTCATGCTTTCTGCTGGCCAGGGCAAGAAAGCCAGGACCTTGTGACCTGGGAGGAGTACGTACGACGCCACCTCAGTGTCCCTGAGGAAGAGTTAGCACCACTTGGCCATGGATGCTGCTGTACAGGGGCCCGTGCCCTCCCCTCCCACCTTACATAGCGGGAGACAGCCACTCTCTAGTGCTTTACAGGACCGTGTGCTCACACCCATTCCGGAGCCCACCAAGGGCTAGAAAGGTAGGTCGGCGATATCCCCATCAACCTGCTGTTTGCTGCTTGTCTCGACACAGTGACTCGAGGACCCAATTCTGAACGTGATTCTCATTCCAAGGAATGAGCGGGCTATGGGCACAAGTCCCATGCAGCGCACCCAGGGCAGGATCACTGCCCGTGCACCGGGAGGCCTCGCCATCTACAAGCAGCTGTGACTCCCTCTGCCTCCTGACCCTCAGAACCTGTGCAGGGAACCCCCCAGCAATGGCCTTGCAGAAGTGACCAGTTAAGAAGCGACATGAGAGCCTCCCAGGTTTAGGGCAGGCACTGGGTCCAATGACCAGTGCCCCTAAGAGGAGACGCAGGCATGGTGGGCAGCCGTGTGAGGGCAGAGGCTGAGGGACGTGGCCACAAGCCAAAGGATACGGGGGCCCAGAAGCTGGAAGAGCCAGGAAGGACCCTCCCCTGGAGCCTCTGAGGGAGCATGACCCTGCGACATCGTGGTATCTGACGTGAAGGCTCCAGATCTGGGAGACAATACAGTCCTGTTGTCCTGAGGCTTGTGGCCATTTGGTTCCAGATGCCCAGACACCAGTGCACTGACCATCCCAGCTTCCCCGGTGCCCTGTCCAGCTGGGCTGGTGCTGGTCTGGATGGCGGAGGGCAGCAGGTGAGGGAAGTGGGGCCAGGGCTATACCTGGGACCTTGGGGGCCATGTTGGGGAGTGGGTGGCACAGAGACCCCCAATTTAGGGCCACGGCCCCAGCTGGGAGCAGAGGCCAGGGCCGACCAGTAGGAGGGGCCAGAGCTGTGAGCGGGCTGGTCCGGCTCAGGACCACGCAGGGAGGCCTTTTCAAGCTGTAGCTGGGCACCTCGTTGTGCACCCCACAACCATGGTCCCCAGAGACCAGACGCAAGGGCTTGGGCGTGCTGGGCACAGAGGGATGTCGGACACCTGGTGTGTGAGTGAGGCCAGAGGCACATGGGAGAATCCTGAGTGAAGGGAGGACCGCAGGGGAGGGTTCTTCTGAAGCTAAATAAAGTCAATGTGCTAGTTGACAAGGTGGCTACTGAAGTCCCACAAAGGCTGGACACCAAGCATCCTCTGTGTGCATGGGGCCAGTGGGGTGTTCAGCAAACAGTCCCAGAGCCTCAGAGGGATCGGGAGAGACTGGAAGCAAAGTGCAGCCAATCCGGCCCTGCCTGCCATCCTGCCGCCAGCAAGTGGGCCCCAGGGCCCCCCTATCCCACCGTGAGGTCAGTGCGGTCACAGCCCGGGCTGCTTGCCAGCCAGGGGCTCCAAGGGCTCCTCCTCCGCAGCCACATGGGGAAGTGGGAGCACCACTCACGGTGACAGCCCCACAGCCGCACAAATGGTGGCACAGATTCACGCGCTGAGCCCTGGCCCCACTTCATGACCTGACAGCGCAAGAACAAATGACACACGGCACTGTGCACAGGTCACGTCCACATCTGAACCATGGTTCACAGGCATGTGCGCCCCAAGTGCTGCTGAAGCATGGGGAAAGTTCTGGAAGGGGTGCCCCTCTGGAAAGGAGCTGGGAGGTGGGCACTTGGCCTGCCCGTCTCTGTGCCGCCCCATTCTAGGAGAATACCCTCCCATGCTGCTTGTGGAGGTCCACACACGCTAAAGCAAAGGCCACGGTGATGCCCCCAACCCCCGGAGCCCCTACCTGCTCCGGACGTCCTTGGCGCGGATGGGCGCCAGGAGGCTGAAGGAGGATCTGGCCTCACAGACGAGGGGGCTAGGGGGCCAGCCAGGGCCCAGGCTGCTGTGGGCACGGAACAGTCTGCTCTGTAGGTGGGGCTTGCCATCAGCTGGACCCGAGTCCACTCTGTGTGTGGGCCGCAGGGACTCGGGGGCCACCTTGGGGTCCACAGGAGGCAGCCTGATGCTGGTCCCGGCCACGGCCCCGTCCCGGTGCAGGAGGTCCAGGGAAGTGCTGATCATTCCAGATATACAGTGGCCCCATGAGGGGCTGCCACCTGCGCTGTCCTGGGCCCGGCGGGATGTGGGGATCTCCTGCAGGGAGGTACTCAAGCAGGGTGGGGACCCAGGGGGGCCGGGAGGCCTGGGGACCTCGTCCTGCAAGGAGCCCCTGGAGCCACCGGCCCCACTGCCCGCCGCCAGATCCTCCGGGCTGGTACGAAAACGCCGCCGCCTCCACGCTTTCTCATCCAGTGACAGAGCCCGCTCCAGCCTGGGCTGCGGCGGGGGCTTTGGGGTGAAGGGCTTTGCCTTAGCTTCTGGGTCCTCGTTGCTGATTTGTGCTGGAAAGGTCAGAGGGAGCACTGGGGTCCTCTCAGGATCCTGACCGTGGTTGATAGGCGGGGGCCCCAGGTTGGGGGCGACGTCTTTGCCTGTGCTTGGGAGCTGTCCCTTGAGCATCCTGTCCTCAGGCTGCGGGGCAGAAGCCTCTGAAGGGCCCAGGCACGCCAGCTTGCCAGTTTGGACGGCATAGCCTGGGGCCAGAGCTCACAGGTAGGAGCTGACCGGCCCAGCAGGGACCCGGCTCCTGCTGGGGCTTCCGGTGAAGCCCAGGCTCAGAAGTCGCTGGGCAGGCTCCGAGGAGAGAAGGCGCAGGGTCTCCCGTTGGGGCCTGGGGCGCACCGGTAGGGGCAGGGCCAGCTGCTGCATGGCCAGGAACCCTGAAATCCTGCAGTCCACACAAGAACCTAAAGTAGAACAGTGCTATTAGCCTCCTACAGCCTTGGCCACGATGCCACGTGACTGCTCCTGCCCAAGCCCCACTGCAGGGTGACAGGGACAGGCCAGCAGCAGGCTAGCAAGTACACAATCAGACGCTCGGCCTGTGTCTTCCTCCTGGGAGGTGGGTGCAAGCTGGCACCTCTCAGGATGGGCCTGCTCCTCTGTGGGGCGTCAGGGGCGACCGCAACCCCCCAAGGTCAAGGCCAGTTCGTGCAGCCTCGAGGGGTCTGGTCCCTGCGCCCTCACTCACTTGGGGGCCCATCACCATCACTTGATCCCACAGGCCCCGCCCAAGAGGGGCCCCTTTGGCCGGTCGGCGGCCCCGCTGCCGCCAAAGGCCCCCCCTCAGCGCCCGTGAGCCCGGGCGGCCGCCGCAGGTCCCCTTGGGGTCCCCAGGGAAACCACCGTGGCGCAGGGGGCCCGCCCCCAGCCCGTGCTCCGGCCCAGGGGTCACCCCGCGCTCCGGACGGTGCCCCCGCCCCGCCCAGGGGTCACCCCGCGCTCCAGACCGAGCCCCCGCCCAGGAGCCGCCCCGCGCCCCGCACCTCTGCCCAGAGCTACCCCGCGCTCCTGCCGAGACGCCCCGCGTCCACCTCAGCGCCGCCCGCTCCCCGACCTTGCGGGCCCGGCCGCTGCTCCCGGGCAACGGGCGTCCGGGCTCGGTCCCTGCAGCGGCCCCTGGCGGCCGGAGGACCCGGCGCGCCCGCGAGCGCAGAGACCCCGCCCCCCACCCGCGGCTTCCCAGGCTCGAGGGGGCGAGGCACGCGGCGAACCGCCGGGCCGCAGCTCGGCTGCGGCCTTGGCTGGGGTCCCCAGGGGACCTACCAGCTACCAGCACCCAGCACGGAGAGGCGGCTCCTGCGCCCCCCACCCCAAGAGGACCCACAGACAAATGTAAACAAGAGGTGATAGCGCCTGCGAGCGCAAAATACTTTATTTACCAATTTGCAGTGTAACAATTTGCACTTAGGAAAATAACAGCTCCCGCCGGGCCGGAAGGGAGCTTCTTGAACCAAAAGTCGGTGGAAGTCGGCGCAGACAACGGTGGGCAGGCCAGATGGGGGGCTGCCGAGGGTGCCGGGAAGGTCTGGGGGCCCAGGACCCCCACTGCGCACCAAGGGACGCAAGGATGCTGCCCCTTCAACCCGGACTCTCTCAAAGTGACAGGAACAGATGTATTGAGCCTGCCCGTAGGCGACACACGAGAAACCTTCAGTGGCCTTTCCTGGATGACCCAGGGACCCGGGGAAATGGGGAGGCCTGCACGAATTCCACGTTTTTACCATTTCTGTACTCAGATTTAAAACACCAAGCAAACTACGTTCCCCAGCAGAACCTACAGAAATTATTTCCTAATGATTCTTATAAATATTTAAATCTTTTCTGCAGTCTCTTCAGACCTAACAAGAATGTGAGTAATTTCAGGAACAGTCGATGAAGCCGTAAAGCTTGGAGTCCAGGGGGAGGGCTCTCCCTTCTGGTTTCCTGTGACTGCAGTAGCACGCTGCCTGCAGAAGATGCTGAGGTGGGTAGAACAGAGGCAGAGCCTTAGATGCAGAGCACGAGTCAAGAAGTATTTTCCACCCCTCTCTTCAAGATGTCACCACCCCCTGAGAAAGCAAGGCAAGTGGATCGCACCGTGAGGACCAGTCGTGACTCTGGCACAGGCAGCGTGGCCATCCCTAGCGGTTCCCCGAGGAACCTAATCCCACTACTCACATACGGAAAAAACCCAAATCAGATTTGTTGTGGTGACAGTTTTAGTACCGGTGGGTTAACATGGACTGGTCCTGGGTGGGAAAGACAGGGTCGCCCCTCGTGCACGGGCAAAGCCAGTCCCCCTGGGTTGTGTGGGACACAGACAGAAGAAGCTGGAAACGTCTTTGCTACCGGATGGAGATGCACTTCAGCGATTCGGGCCTCCCTCAAAAGCTAACCGAATTCTTACTAAACCAAGTCCACATTTCCTTGAGGGCTTTGATGCAGAAAGGACCTCCCAGGGCCACAGGCGGGCAGCGGAGCCTCCTCTGGGCCCAAGGCTCGCTGTTCACTGTGCATGGTTAGGTTCTCAGAGACACCCGGGTTCCTCAAGAGCGAAGTCCTTCCTGTAACAAAAATGCCTCCAGCCCCACCCAGCATGACACTCTTCCACAACTGAGCCTGTCTGACCCTTAAGTCACTGCTAGGTAAAAAATGACAGAGCCAGAGAGCTCCCGTCCCAGCCAGCGTCCTTCTGGAGCTGCACCTGACTTGGGCCATCCTTCAGGGACAGAAGCGGTGGAGGAAGAGCAACTATGTCACGTGGAGACACAGCTGCCCATCCAGGAACACAGGGATGCTGCAGGTGGTCTGTTGAAGTTCTTGGTGGAGCATCATAAGGATTTCAGGCTTCAGGATACGGCTCCAGGATGGGGACTCTCCTAGCTCAACACTGGGTACTTCCTCTGGCCAGTCCTCCCCATCCTTGAGCCTCCCGAGGTGGCAGAGGCCTGGAAAGACAAGTCAGAGTGCTGACTCCCACTCACCCAGCCCCCAAGGCCCGTGGCACCTTCGAACACCCGCCACTCGGGTGTGCGGGACCATTTACACCAACACGCAGCCCCGGTAATGGACCAAGGCAGGACCAGGTCAGGGGGTCTCTTTAAAGGGGTCTGCAGTTCTGTCAGGTGGTGAGAGGGGAGCTGACCCCAGGGGCCGACCCCCAGGGAGGAGAGGCCATGGGCCTCTCCTGTGCTCCCTCGAACATCTTAGCTGGAACAAACATCAAAGAATTTCTGTAAAGCACAAACCACAAGGCAGAGATAACAGAAGAAAACTGCATCGTGGAGCAGAAAAGCAGATGTGTGGCAGCTGGGTGGTACCCTGGGACGGGATACAGTAGCCCTGGATCAGGGTGGCGGGGGCCAAGAGCCTGGTGCAGAGGGAGCAGGCTGGCCACCCCGGGCAGTGAGGGCAGGGGCTGCACCAGGACACGTGGGGTCAGCTGAGAGTTTACACCCTGAATGCCAGGACGACCCCTACACCACAACCTTCCCTCTCCCTGGCTCTCCCCAGGCTGGCTGACGGTCTGTACACTACGGACAAGAACAGGGAGGGGAGGGGAATGAAAGGAAACATTTAAGAACATTCCTCAGTGAAGAATGGGCTGCCGGGTGAAGGGTGGCCAAGGGCCACATGGGAGGAGGGAGGGCAGTGTGCAGTACACCGGCAGAAAAGTGCGGGGCCCCAGCACGGCTTATGCCAGAGCAGGGTCTGCAGGTCAGCGGGTGCAGTGGGGGCAGGCCTGCCGCCGGTGTGGGGATGGGGGCAGGGATGCAGGGGGCACTGACCTGTGCAAACGGAGCATGGCTGTAGAAGGGCACGGCCGGCCCGGGGACGCCCCCTGTGGGGGCGTGGTCGCTGGGAGCCTAGAAGCACAGAGAACCCACATGAGCGCAACGACCTCACTGGGTGCTGTGCTCCTCGGTGCACACAGACACTACTCCTGGGGAGCCACTGACAGTACTTCTAGGTAAGCCACAGAAGCAGGTCTAAGACGCTTCTCGCAACACTGGATTTAATTACTTCATGTTTCAAAGAAAAATAGTAAACATAAAGCAGCATGCAGAGTAAAATGCCTCAGAAACCAGAACATGCAAAAAAGTAAGGAGTGCACAACACCAAGACATCATGTTAGTGTCTATTTTAAGTGGTTAGTAAACATTTTCGATTACTTCAGACCTAAAAAATCCAGCTATAAAATCCAGTGTTTTCATGTGCAAATAAAAAGGTCAGAAGACGCCTTCTATCAAGCCAATGGAAAAGCTTCAATGCATGATACACATAAAAGATGAAGTATTCCTTTATCTCCCGCCCAGGCTGGCCAGAGGACAGCCTCCCTGCCGCCCTCTGCCAGGCCACTGAGACCAGGAATCCCTCCTGCCCCCATGGGCATCTGAAACCCACTCATACACGGTGAGGCTATGCCTGAGGCCGGCCATTTGGAAAGAAATCAATCCAGAAAGAACACAATTACAAACTGCATTCGTTTACTAGGAAAATCTTGGGGTCCACACGATCGCCAGTGTATCAGGATAGCTCACGACCTCCTCTGAGGACATGGGGAGAAAGGAACACTGCATCCTCTGGCGTGCAGTGGATGGGGGGCAGGGGCAGTAGGTCGCGTTAGTGACAAGGGCACGACGGCCAGCCAGCACAGCGCTCTCAAAGGGAACACAAAGGCGACCCAGTTCAACTCGTGTTCAGTGAGAATTGCCAGCCACAGGTACCTGATAAAAATGCTGGCTTACTTCACGTGATAATGAACTCATTGAACTACAGCGTGAAAGCTACAAAACAGCAAGAACACACACAAAACAGACAAATAAAAAATCAACATGCATGTTGCTGCTCCAAGCTGTCAGTTTAACCCCAAAGAGCTTCAGGATGCCATTAGAATCAGGGCAGTCCAAACGGGAGAAAAGCCAGAGTTAGCGTAAAACACCTATTTGAATGGACAGTTTTTATGAAGAAATAACCACTAGCTGGGGGGACTACAGTGGTCCTGCTGTGCTGAGTGGAGCCTGGGGCATATGTGCTCCAACCCTGCTCGACCTGGGGCTCCCGAGAGGTTCTGCGCAGACAAGTGGGACTGTCTGTGTCATGTTCCCACGACACCCTGCAGGTTCTTAAAAGCTGCTAACCTGCCTTCTACTCAACACTTGCTTTCAAAAGAAGCCATTGGACAGTACACGTGAGCCATGTGCCAGCCGGGCTTCGGGTCAGGGAGCCTCCTGCAGGGGTGCCTTACCTCCCCTCCTTGGGAGCTGTCCTCGCGGGCAGGTGGGAGCTCAGGACCGGGGAGTGCCGCCGCCGAGCTAAACACCTGCCAGAGGAAGGAGACATGCAGCCCTCCATATGGGATGCTCCGCCCCACCTAAGGCGCCCCTTTGAGCACTGGCAGGACCCACGGGCTCCAGGGCTGATGGCCAATCTCCAGGGCACACGGACGCTGGGCCCTGCCCGCAATGGCCTTGTCATCCCATCTCAGAGCAGGAGACAGGCTTTGAGGAGTTCTGTGACCCCGTCAATGTCAGGCAGCTAATTAACAGGGAGCCAGGCTTGAAATCCACTCTGTCCACCTCATATACCATACTCTGAATGATCCTATTTTACATGCAAATTCTAAAAAATTTTAAAAAACTTTACAACCATGATTTCAGGAAGACCGAGTTAGCTACCCTGCACACGTGGTTACTCTCCGCATCTCTAGTAGCCGTTCATTCAAGGAGAGAGACTTCCAACAGAAACAGGCTGAGTGTGGGCCCCAGGTATACGGTGGGCCTGACCACCAAGTTGGCAAAGGTCAGGGCCAGCCTGCCCCCGTGGGGGAGTGAGGCAAACCCTCACCGTCACCCTGCACGTCCTGCAGCCCCACTCACCTGGGGCTCTGAGGCAGGTTCTGGGTTGGCCGAACCCCCTGCGGCACCCTCTGCGGGCGGGGCTTCCTCTGCGTCTGTGAAGGGGACAGTGCGGGAGACTGTCAGTCCCACAGGAAGGCTTTCCCATGGTGCACTCACTCACGGGGACAGAGAAGCGAGTACACCCCTCTTACAGGGAGATTAAAGCCAGAGGCTCACAGAAAAGGGGTCAGAGGTCAGAAGGCCCCGTACCACCTACCTGCATTTGGTCCAAACAAGTGAGGAGGAATCGGGAGCGGGGCAAGAGGAGCAAAAAACTCTGCAGGAGCAGGAGCTGCCTCGCTCCGCTGAGGGCCCCCTGGGTTTAAAACGTCCACGTAGCGTGCTCTGGCTCCAGCTGCTTCAGGAGAAGCGGCAGGTTCAGGTTGGTGCACCCCACACCCCCGCCTCCCCATGGTCCCACCTTCCCCCAGTGGAAGAGCGAGCGGGGATGCAGCTATCCACACAGCACTGCCCACCCCACGCCCCGAAGCTACCGGTGCTGCACTGCCCACCATCTGCGCCGCCCAACATCAGCATGGAGTCTGCTGAGCTGGGCCCTCCCACTCCGGAAGAGGAGAGCTCTCCCTGGGACTCGCCCAAGGGAAACCAGGATCCCTCTGCAGACAGATGGCCTGCCATCTGACGCCGACTTACAGACCCTAAGCCCTGGCATCACCGGAGGACCAGCAGGTTCTCAAATAAACTCTAACCTCTAGCTTGACTGTGTTACCTGCTTTCCTAGAAAACATGTTCACAGAGGCCCTCGGGGGCCCTCCAGGACCAGGGGGCCCAGCAAGCGGAACCTTGGGGAGCGAGGCTGGTGGGGGGGGCGGAGCCTTCTTCTGTGGAGGGAGAGCATCTCAGGGAGTCATGTGAGGACCCGAAGCCCCAGAACAGCTGGGGCAGTCCCCCCAGCCAAGCAAACCCTGGGAATTCCGACTCACCTCCTCCTCCGGCTCATTTACATCCACCCACCGGTTCTTCTTTTCATCCCAGACGATCTGCCACGGTTGTGAAAAGTAGAGACAGACGTCAGGAGACACAGCTCAGGGGACGCAGAGCCTGCTCCCTCCACACAGCCCACCCTCCCGGAGATGCCACCCAGGCCTGCTTGGCTGTGGAGACACTACACACCAGCACTGGCAACGTTCCTCAGGCTGCACTCCATCATACTCACCGATTTGTTCTTGTCGTCTGGCAAATAAGCTTCTGTCCTTTTTTTCCCCGGGAGCCAACGGAAGAACCAGGATTCACTACTCTAAATGTAAAAACCATAAGAACCACCTTGAGGACACGGTGCTCGGTGACAGAAGCCCATCACTGAAGGACGGATTCTACTGTCAGGACGCCCCAGAGGAGTCGGGCCCATGGACACAGAGCAAGAGGGGACGATGTGCAACAGGGACTGAGGTTCAGTCTGGAAAGGGGAGTCCTGGACACAGGCACAGACGGCAGCTGCATAGCAGCTGGGGTCTAACAGCATAGAACCATGACCTTAAAAATGACTAAAATGCTAAGTTTTATGTTACGTGTATTTTGCCACAATTAAAACCTCTGAACACTGAGCCTTTTAGAGCTTTTCCTGTCTAAATGCCAACGAGTGGCAGATTCTGGCATTGTTCTGGACTAAGCAGTGGCGAGCAGGCTGGGAATGTCCTGTGGGACCTCCTCAACACAGTCTGTCACCCTGCGTCCTATGCTGGGAAGATTTAGGTGTCAGGGACGCTTACCTTATTCTTCATATGCTATACTTCAGTTTATCTAAAATATGGAGAAACAAGGAAGCAGCAGGTGTGTGTGTTCTCAAACCCGCCACTCTGAGCTCCGCGGTGGAGGCGACACAGTCTGCACGCTCACAACGGGTCAGAGCGTCATATTTTAGCCCAGGCCCATGCACACTCTGAATTAAACTTGTGTTTCCTTAACGATGCTGGCCATTAAGGGACACCTGGGCAGCCTAGTGGGTTGAGCATCTGACTCTTGGTTTCGGCTTAGGCCGAGATCTGAGCTGTGGGATTGAAACCCAAGTCGGGCCCTGTAGAGAGTCTGCTTGGGTCTCCCTCTGCTCCTCCCCCGAGTGCCTGCTCTCACTGTTTCTAAAATGGATACATCTTGAAAAAACAACAACAAAAAAAACCCACCAAAAACCACTAACCATTAAAAAAAATTCAATATGCTGAACTGCAAGAAAATTAAGAATGTGTCCTACATAAGCTAACATTGTGAGTAAAAAGGTGGTCTGCAGACTGAGGGAAGATCCTGGTGACGCACACATCTCACAGAGGACTCGTGGCCAGGACATGAAAGCGGGTGAGACACAAGCCAACACTACAAAGGAAAACACACAGGTGGTAACGGCACATGACAAAGGTGCTGGGCAAGGAAGCAAAGCGAGAGCATTAGGAAGCACCATGAGCCCCTGCTGAGAGGCTGCTGTGGAAAGGCCTGACAACCCAGTGCGCATGGGGAACAAGGATTGCCCTGCTGGTGATGAGGAATGACTGGGCCCCTCCGGCTCTGCTGGGGGGAAGGTCACCCAGTACAACCGTCCAGGAAAACGGCCTGGAGGCACCTCCCTGAGAGAAATGAGCGCTTTCGCCAACAGAAGACAGAGAACGCTCACATGGGTTTCACGTAATGACCCCAAACTGAAAAACCGCAAAGGTCCATTACTGGAAAAAAGGACGAACAAAATTATAGCACCTGCATAAAACAGATGCTATTATACAATGACTTAAAAATCAACCACTGTTATAGGAAGTTCTGGTATAGGAGAAACTAATGGTGACAAAAGTCAGAGAAGGCCATCTGTTAGGGGTGGGCCTTCACAGGCCCTGGATACACAGAGCCTTCTGGGAGGCTGGCCCTGTTCCAGCTATGCTCTGGGTGGTGGTTATATGGGGACAGACACACAAACACATATTAAGCTGTGCACACCTCCCTGTCCGCATAGCACGCTTCCAATGCCTTTGTCCCACTGCCAGTGTAGGAGGAAAGTTGTCTGTGGGAGCTGAGCCCCCTCCCCAGGCGCCCCCACCCTGCTAGAGGTGGGCTCTGTGTCACCTTCTTAGGCTCCTTGGCCTCTTTCCTGGCTGCTTGTGTAGGTCTCTTCACTTCGGGAGCGGACGTCAGTGGCGGCTGCAGAGCACCTGAGCTGGCACACTCCCACCCTGGAGGGACCTCAGAGTCCTGGGACATCCTGGAGGGGCCCTGTCCCAAGACAAGAGGGGACAGGTTCACCTGGGGCACTTCCCCAGGACCCTTTTTCTTTTTAAAAAAAAAAATATTTAATTTATTCATGCCCAGGACCCTTTAAAGCATCACCAAGGGGCCATATCACTAGCGACAAGAGCAGAGTGAGGAGAGGGCAGGAGGCAGCTGCCACTGCCTCCGGACCTGCTCTTACAAGCAACCTGGTCAAGGCACGTGGCAGAACTCAAAACGTGCCAAGGCACGTGGCAGGGGGACCATGGAGTCCAGGAGGCACCCATGGGCTGGAAGAAGGGGTGTGCATGTGAGCACCAACGGGCCGCTGGGCAGAGAGGGCAGGAGACGTTTTAAAACACAAGATTCTTTTTTTTTTTTTTCTTTAAAATACACATGGCTGAGGGAAGACTGTCTTTTTTATAAACTCTTTTTTTTACGTGAAAATAAAGCATTTTCATGGTAGAACACATAAGGAAAGTTTAAAGTACAGCAAGTGCCTGTGACAGCGTGGCCACAAAGGCCTGGGTTTGTGGGAAGAAGGCTGCGGGACCCACTGCGCAGAAAACCAGGTGTCCCTCTCCGCTGGGGCCAGAGCAGCAGACCCAGTATGTCTACCCAACACGTCTAAGAAACTCGGTGATTTCAGGACAACCAGTGAGTTTCCGGGATTCTACTGCAGAGAAAGGGGTGCAGAACCTGGGAGGCCTCTACGTTTTAGAGAAGGGACTGTACACCAAGTGATCATCCTCCTCAGCAGTTTCCACCGACCATTCACACTGTGAGGGTTCGAGCTACCTTACAAGTGCTCTCCTGCTGAGGAGCAACTTCAAAGATAATCTTGTTCACACCATTCTCCCCCTACTCACAACTGGAGAACAAGTTTGGGCTCCTGATCAACGCAACTTATGGAAAACAAAGAGCTTAGGGGAAAAAAGTGGGAGGGTACCAGATTAGCAAATTTTCCACCAAAACCCTCTTCTCTCAGCTCCAGAAGTGAGTTTCTACCAAGCGCCTCTGGTGGCAACACCCCTGTCAAGAGAAGAGAGAACTGCCATAGTCTCTATGCTGACACAGCACAGAGACCACAGCACATGGCAGACGGACGCGCTCGCGATACAGCAGTGCTCCGAGCCCAAAACCAGAGATGTTCCCGAAATAGCTTCCTTTTGAAAGCCAGGCCAATGTTTTGCTTTATTCGTGGGCGCACAGGCAGGCAGGTGCCCACCGGCACAAGAACCATATCAATTGTGGAGGAGGCTTTGGCCTGGGCACAGCTCAAGGCCAGCTTGCCACAGCTGCATGCCCACTTACCCTCCTTACTCTAACACGCAGCCACATCACAAAACAAATGAGCACTGACATCCATGAGCCACCCAGCCTACCACTTCCAGGATCCTCAGCATGCCCTGGCTAGGGAACTTGTCTCAAGTCCAAATGACTCATGGCTTTTCCACCAATCCCCTCCTTGAATGCCAAACCCACTATAGTTCTGCTCTCGGGGTGGCATTAAGCAGGCCTACCTGGGTCCTGGGTCCTGGCCTCCTGCTCACTTCCCTGCAGAGGTGGCACACCAGGTGGCAGGCCAGGCCCCAGGTACGGAGCCACAGGGTCAGGCCCAGAGGGCTCTGGAAAGCCAAGGGCAGCCCCTTGGGGTCCACAGCCAGGCCCCAGCTCAACAGGGCCCTCAGGTGGCAGCACCGGGAACAGTGGCACCCTGGCAGGGACGGCTGACTGGCTGGCAGGGAGCGTTGACGGAGCTGCAGCAAGAGAGCAGAGAACAGAAGCCTGCCGTCACTGGTGCTAACTCCAGTCACTTGAAGAAGCTAACCGGTGGTGGCCAAAAGTTTATCACAACTTTTTGTGTGGCCCCGTTTCTTTTGTTATGGGCCCAGGGAGCAAATCGTCAAGACAGAAAGTGCTGATGATGCCAGGGCATCAGTGATTTGGAGAAAAGCAGAACACAAACTTTTAAGATCAAGAGGAGGATGTCATTAAATGTTACATGGGGCCCAGGCTTTAAGACTCAGCAAGACCCCAATGCAGCCTGGGGAAGAGCTGCCTGCAACAGAGCTCAGTGTTCGTGGATCCCTCCCCACCACCTTCCTTCTCCTCCGCCAGGGCTCAGTAGGTCACCCACCCAGCGAGACAGATGTCTAAGGCCGTAGGACCTGACAGGCTCACGAAGGGCGCCAACCCCAGGGAGAGAGGAGGCTGACGTGCTGGGAAGACCCATCCCATCCACTCTCCTGGAAGCAAAACGACAACGTTCCACATTGGGAAGCACCTGCTGCGTGGGGGAGGTGGGCAGGTGCGCTGCTTCCCCGGTGTTAGGGGGCTCACCTGAAGGCAGCAGCCGCACACCCTGGCCAAAGTGCTCAGCGCTGGACAAGGGCGGCGCCAGTAGCGGATTGCTGGTGCCCGGGCCCCCTGGCTGGGCAAGCGCTGGGCCATCGTAGTGCCCTGCCTCGGAGCTCGGTGTGCTGGGGCAGCGCTGGGGGAAGGTCCCATCCTGACTCCACACTGTGGCACCCTCCTAAGGGAGAGACATGGCGGGCATTTCCAACACCATGGCACCCGGCCCCACTGACCCGCTGCCCACTGTGCCTTCCCTCTCCTGGGGGTTTAAGTATCCTGATGACTGTGCACACTCCTAAAATCATACTGTTCACAGCTAACGCATTGGTGTGAAAACAGTAGGGGCCCGAGTCACACTTGTCAGGATGTCTCTGACCTCCTGGTCCCGAGACTGAACATGTGCTTCACACCTTGACCTGCTTGTCCACGCGGTGCAGCTGGGCCAGCCAGGCAGGCTCAACAAAGGACTCCTCCTCCGGCTTCTCTCTCAGCTGTGGGTCAAAGAGCCGCAGCTGGGACGCAATCTGGACACACACAGGGAGGAAAGGGCCCCGTCACTTACCAGGAGTGACAACGAAGGCTGTTTCCAAAACCTACCATTACCTGGAACAAAAGCATCTGTGGGGCTCAGCAAGATTGTCCTCACCACCTAGGAAGGCTTCTGAAGCATGCGGGGGACCTGCCCTGAAACCTCCACACACTGCCGAGTCATTAGACAGGGAGCCCAGCAGCCTGTGTGCCACCAGCACCCGGACCCTCCGGAGAGGAGTTTGCTGCCACTGCTGTCGACTACACAGACTTAGCTTTACCGACCAACTGATCAAAATGCTGAACAGACCCAGACCTGCACACACTCTGATGGGCTATGGGGGGGTGGGGTGGGGGGAGAGGGGACAGTGAGGGATATGGGTACAATGAAACCAGGTGGCCTTGAGTAAACAGTTGCTGATGCCGTAAGGACTCGCTAATTATTCTATTTTCATAGACATCTAAAGCTTCCTATTCTCCAGTGTCATGAGTATATCTCCCAGGATGAAGCTCCTGGAGGGAGGGGAACATAGGTGTCCCCATGCACATGGGGCACCACCCACCCCATCCTGTTTGCACCTCACCCACACCTTGCACAGTGTCCATTTTATAGAGCAAGAAACTGAGGCTGGCCCTGGAGCAGCCAAGACCCCAACCCAGGCTACTGGACTCTAGAAACTCACACTCTTAACTGTTAGATTAAACTGCCCCACGGAGGGGATCCCTGGGTGGCTCAGTGGTTTAGTGCCTGCCTTCAGCCCAGGGCGTGATCCTGGAGTCCCGGGATCGAGTCTCGTGTTGGGTTGCCTGCATGGAGCCTGCTTCTCCCTCTGCCTGTGTCTCTGACCTCCCCCCGACCCCCGCCATGAATAAATAGATAAAAATCTTTAAAAAACAAAAAACTGCCCCATGGCAAGCTTCCCAGAGACGGGGTCCTTCTTCTTTCAAAGCTTATAGCCCAGCGTCTATACCAGGTGAGGCCTCTGAAGACTTCCTACACGACTTCCTGACGTGCACATGGGAAGATGCCACTGGAAGGATGCTGGAGAAGACGTTACCTGAGCCAGCTGGCTGATGAGCACGGGCGAGTACTTGTGGGGCTGCAGCAGGATGCTCTTGGCAATGACCTCGCAGTAGTGGAAGGCCTGTGTGGCCAGCCCCATCTCAGCCAGGCGGCACGAGTAGATGAACTTGAACACCTGGGACCAGGGAGTGCAGTACAGTCGTCCCACTGCGCCTCCCCAGCCCCCTAAGCTGGAGCTACTCCAATGCCTCATGCCCCTTGTGCTCCCCACGGCTGCCCAACAGCACTGAACCCCAGTCCTGGAAGGATTTTAGATGTAAGTCAACAACTAAACTTCTTAGAAACTCACTTCTTTTCTTCAGCACACTTACCAGGCTAGTCACACAGGATTCCTCACCCTGTGCACCCAGGCCAGCCAGAGTGGCAAGATGGCTGTCCCCACTGACACCCCACTACACAGCATCTACACCCACACGACCCCAGGTCAAAAATACTCTCCTTGTGACAGTAAAAAAGGCAGACAGTTAAGTACCAAAAACCAAATACTCTAGGAACTTTTTAAATGCAAAGAAAAATCCTCAATTCCATAGGGTTTGCTTCTCAAGCATTACAGATCAAATGTCTCAACATTTCCAAAAACACTTTATCGCCTTCTGTGTAAGAGCTCAAAAGCCCTCAACGACCAAAGACTTGTTAGCACTGACCACCCCCTCGTTAAAAGCAGAGTAGCTCCAGCTTACCTGGAAATTGGGGAAGGAGCAGGTCTGTGCCCCAAGAGACTGGGCATATTCATAGGCTTCTGTCCTCTGAATAGCTTCATTGGTTGCAAACTTTGAAAACGGCAAACTGTTGAGCAAATAAATAATTTTAATGTATGAGCCAGTTACCCAGAAGCACATCCTGCCACGTGACTGACACGGTGTGATCAAGATGGGAGACCATGGCTGCCGGGTCTGCGAGAGCCGTTTCTGGGTTAGCTGATGGAGGACTGCTTCCTTTCTAAAGGAAAACAGATACTAGGACGTTCCTCACCTGTGGTTCGATCCAATTAAGACGAGTTTTGTGGTTTTCTTTGTATAAACTCCCAATCCGACCTGGGCCATGAGGTAGCAAAAGTGTGCAGCATCTAAGAGACCTTTTGAAGCTGAGGAGACATAAAGCAGGCCGAGACTCAGTGGCTGTGAGTTCTCCCAGAAATCTCCACAAGTGGACAGGAACACCAGAGGAGCTAGCCGAATGATGCACCACCACCTCTGTGCCTACATGCAAACTCAACCTACCCAGAGTGTCACCCATGGTGGCCATCGCCCTGGACTCCACATCCACATTGCTGCTCAGGTTGGACAAAACCATAGCAAGATGTGGCCTCCAATCTCCCCACTTCTCATCTCCGCAACACTGAGGTCAGAAAAAAGCATAACAAAGTCAACCCTTATCCTTGGAAGAGCGTGTCACTATCCTCTTGTAATAGGGGAACTTGAGGAGCCTAACAGGAGAAAGCACTGGGTTTGCAGCCTACAAAGTGCCTCTCATAGGAGCGCACTTCACAGGGAGCCCTGCACACTGACCGTGGATGCGGCAGGCATCCGCCCTGACATCAGCTGGTACACTGTCTGCAGAGGGTCATTGATGGGAAGACTGTTGGCGAACCTAGGTGGATACAGAGAGAGAGCTAAGTCAGCCCTGTTTAAAAGACCAAGAAAAACCAGTCTGGCTTCATCCTGGCCCTCTGGAAACCATCTTGTGCCTCACCCAAGCAAAGCATACAAGTCCCAGTATTTCAACAAAAGAACTAAGAAAGACTAAAGAGGGGATCCCTGGGTGGCTCAGTGGTTTAGAGCCTGCCTTCACACCCAGGGCGTGATCCTGGGGTCCCGGGATCGAGTCCCACATCGGGCTCCCTGCATGGAGCCTGCTTCTCCCTCTGCCTGTGTCTCTGCCTCTCTCTCTGTCTCTCGTGAATAAATAAATAAAATCTTTAAAAAATAATTTTAAAAGACTGAAAAATACAGAAAACTGCAGTTAATAAAATTTTTTATTTATTATTTTTTTAAAGATTTATTTATTTATTCATTCATCAGACACAGAAAGAGAGTGAGAGAGGCAGAGACACAGGCAGAGGGAGAAGCAGGCTCCCTGCAGGGAGCCTGACGTGGGACTTGATCCCGTGTCTCCAGGATCACACTCTGGGCTAAAGGTGGTGCTAAACCACTGAGCCACTTAGGCTGCCCTAATAAAATTTTTTAAACCACCCTTCTCCGTACAGCCGCAGGGAAGAGGGCCCAGCAGGCCTGCACCAGTGTAACAGCAGCACAATACAGAGGACACTCCCCAGATTGTGACAAGGGCTGCAGGTCACTGTGCTTCCAAGAGCTGACCAGGCAGCGCCACTGGACCAGCCTGATGTGTCCAGAAACAACCTATACCTTAATGTCCTCTACCTGGTCATGACGCGGGCGTGTGTCCGGCTATCCATCTTACTTGCAAGTAACAGAGCATGACCCCATAAGGCATTCTTCATCGCAGACTCTAAAGCATCCTGCAAAATATTTTAGTGGTTACCTGAGTTATCAGAACAATTTCTGGGACATAAACGAGCAGAAACAACAGCACGTGCTGTTACGTGCTGTCGGGAAGGCAGGGGAGAGGGGCCACGGGGCCCATGAAGAAGGCGTGAGTCAAAGGCCCACCAACACAACACAAAGACATCCGCCTCTCACAACTTGCCCTCATTGTGAAGTCCCTGCAATAGGTCTGTGCATGCATACACTAGTTTGTGATCTGTTAGCAGCCAGCAGACGGAACATTCACACTAACGAGAAACAAGGACGACGGAGCAGCAGTACTGCTGCCTCCCAACTGTCCTTTCTGTTGTGACAGATGCCACAGGCATGCATCCCCCGTTCCAGGACACACAAGGCCTCCACAAACCACATCTCACACAGACAGCTTTTAGTAACGTGGCTTCCCTACACCCAGAATCCTCTGGGGTAGCCCTGCGAGGACTGCTTCTTCAAGGACAGGGACGTGTCGCAGTAGAGGAAAATGTTAAGCAAACCTGGCAGATTCTCCGATTTCAATCCGTCGTAAAACGTTGTGAAGATTATTTATCAGATACGAGCTTTTGGAGTTTATCATGACATCCAAGTACCAAGAACTCTAGCCGCCAGAGCGGGGCGGGGGGGGGGGCTTCCCCCTGGGCCCTTGAGCGGCTCCCACCCGACCCCTGCCTTGCTGAGAGATGGTGAGCGCACGCCTAACTGTGTGAGAACAGTCTGACTCCTGTCCCGAGCCCAGGTCTGTCCCTGAGACACACACACAGCAGGGGTGCGGCTCAAGTCCCTGAACACTGCACCTGCAAGTCTCCGACCCTGGCGCCCCTGGAAAGACAGCCTCTGCAGTCGAGGGCGGACACCTTGGACCCAGACACACTTCATAGAATGAGCCCACCAGCGCCGGGTCGCAGTCAAGGTGCTGATGCTCCCGAGAACAGGACCGTGCACACCAGGGCCCGCCCATGGACCCTGCGGGTTTGAGGCCTGCTCACCTTCTTGCGGCCATATAGCAGCAGTTCCCGGAACCTCTCGGTCTCCTTCTCAAGAGCACTGCTGCTGGCTGCCTGGCTGTCAGTGAGAAACGAGAGCTGGGCCTCCCCAGACTCCTCCTCCTCCACTTGCTCCACAGCCTCGTTAGTAAAATCAATCAGGTTGGCCTCGTTGGGTGACTTCCCAGGAAGCCACACAGTTTTGTGGTCTTGTAACAAAAGCTCCGCAAGGTCTGTTCCCACCACAGTCTGTAAGGGCCGCAAACAAAAGTGCTTCACTACACACAGAATTCAGGTCAGGTGAGGCCCCCAATAGGACTCCTCTGATGAGCATGTTAAACTGCCACGGACACAAGCCACCACTTGTGATGTGGCCAGGAGCAGGATGGACAGATCAGACGACCTGAGAGGCTGACAAAGTGGACCCAAACCTCCCTTCACCCCAAACCACATGCTCTCAAATTCCACTTCCCCCCAATCACAGGTGGGATACTCTTCCTGAGTAAGCCCCTGGACAGTGACCCTCCTTACCGCACAGTCTGCCGCAGAAACTGCTCAAGACAGCCCAACAAGAAACTTACCCCATTCTGTCTGCACAAGAGAACGATAAAATTCCAAAGAAGACTTGCAGACTCTTTGTCAATTAAATTTTCATTCTGCAAACATTTTGTAGCTTTATTCTGTGCAAAATTAATAACATCCACCTTATGGGTATCATCTCTGAAAAAAGAACAGACACTCAATGAACAGCAACAACTGCATCTGTGAGGCCAAGCACAGCAGCCACCCCCTCACCAACGTCGTGGTATGCTTCGACGGGGAACATACTTGCCAAGCGGTCCTGGGAACGAGCGCAGCTCCTCCTGCTCCGGCGTGTGCTGCAGCAAGGTCTGAGGTGGAACGGGTGGGGGCAGAGAGAGAGAGAGAAGCTCACGGGGGTCAGGTGCGTCTCAACACCAGCCCATGTCTGCCGGCTACACCTCCCTCACTGGGTGCAGGCACAACTGCTTTACAACCATTATTTTCAAACTCAGCAATAAGAACCATCTCTCCTCTCCAACTCTGAGGCAGGGCCCTAATACATGCGCAGAAGAGGGCTGCCAGGGCCGCAGGACAGGGTGCCCCACACCAGCCTCCAGCGCCCCAGCAGCAGACAGTCACCCCACTTGCCACCAGATCATGAAGCTCTTCTAGCTGTGGCCAAGAGCCACCACCAAGATGGACACAAGCAGGGTCCTCCCCACTCAACCAGAAATGCAAATAAAGACACAATAAAGATACAATAAAATGAAGTCAAACGTGACACCGGACGCAGGTACCCAATGCTTAGAGGAGAGGGAGATGACCCAGCACAACAAAACCCATAAACCCAAGATTCACGGTAAAAAACATTTCCCAAGGTCACCACTTCAGGGGCAGTCCTGCGATGCAGAATCTCTACTCGTGCAATTACCTCCATGCTGTGAATCTCAACCAGCGCAGGCTGTCCTTCGGAAGGCAGATTTGGGATCACTTTAATGAGCTGCCCCCCAGGACCGAACCTGGCACAGACATGAGGCACGGAGAACTTCTCCGGGGAAGTTGGTCTTGATGGAGCTACGTTTAAACAAAGTGAGAAAGAAACCGTCGGTTTGTCACTTTTTAATGCTTCTGAACTGGACCAATGGTACAGATTCTCCAGGTGTGCACACAGCTGGAATCATAGGTTGGATCATTATGACAATCAGATTTCAACTGCAAACTTAAACTAAATATCCCATTAAAAAGGAGAACTTAGGCATGTGTCAGAAGAATGTTTCAGTTGTAAAAAACGAGAACCGTTCTCTCCTAAAAAATACTTTAAAACAGCCCTGTGCACCAAGCATGTGCTCCTCAGAAGCAGCGTCTGGCCACCTGGCTAGAACCTCCACACCTCCAGCTCTCCTTCACAGGCCGGCTCCTGGCAGTTAGTAGCACGGGGCACTGAGAACGACGATGATGGCAGGATGCCTGAAGTCAAAGGAGATCTTCCCTAGAACACACCCTGCAGGAAGTGACATATACTTCTGCACTTCCCCAAGGAAAAGCATTTGATGGAACATCTTAGAGATAAGCTGAAAATGTGGCACAAGCGACAAGTCCACACACAGGAGTTTCCTTCACCAACTGCTGACCCAAGTGGCACCCGAGAACTCGGCAGGTAACCTTGTCATCAGAGCCACGCTAACATGGGCACCATGGACAGGCCGAGCAGTGCTTGGGTCTTGAGCCTGAGGGAGGTGGCCAGCCCCTATGACAAGCTCTGGGACCCCCAGCAGTCCTGACTGTGCACAGAAGACCAGGCTGGTGCCGATTCCCACACAAGCTGAAATCCACGTCAACACCCCAAGCTTATGAGGCTGCCTCAGCAGTGACTCAACATCCCCGCATACCTATAGGAGCCTAGGGTCCCCACCACACATATACCTTGCTCCGTGGCAGGCCAGCCACCTTCAGCAGGGTAGCTGTACTCTGGGAAGCCCTGCGCACTGCCAAAATTGCTGCCATAGGCGCCGTAGGCATAATCGCCAGGCAAGGAGCCGGGGGGAGGCGGGGCCTCGTAGGAAGCAGCAGTCACACCATGATTTCTGTAAACCTGACTCTGAGAAAACATGCAACAAACCAGAAAAATCAACTCCTGGGAGTGCGGGGCACTCAAGAGTGCTGTCAAGACAGGGGAGGGCGAGAAGGCCCCCACCTGACGGGAGTGGGAGCTGAAGCTGCTGCGCAGACTCTGGGCCGAGCGCTCGCTGTGCACGCTGCGCCTGTCCACGTCTTCCCCGTAAGGGTCCCTGTGGGGCTCGGGGTCATCGTCAAAACTGCCAGTGAAGCGAGGGTCATATCTCCAGGGGTCATCATACCTCTCGGTCCTGGAGGAGGCAGCAACAGAGGTGAGGAAAGGGGAGGGTGGGTCGGTGACTCCAGGACGACAGCCCTTTGCTGCACAACAGTAAGGCCCACCATGTCGTCACCCCCTCACCAGCCTCATGACCTTAGAAGCCCAGTTAGAGCCCACCCTCAGGAGAGTGGCCGTACCCCAAGCCCAAGTTCAGATCTCTGCTTTCAGATTTAGAGAAACACCCTTCACAGGCACGCTGCATGCGGCCACGCCTCTCCCAGGCCCAAGAAGAGGAGGAGCTGACTCCCAGGGCCTGTCCAACAGCCCACTCGGGAACTGCCAGGAGGGCCTGGCTCACCCTTCTCTCTCAGACAGTGACCCCAGCGTCAGTTGCTCACCAGGATCCCAAACACAACTGTAGCCCTCAGGTGAAGGACAGACACGAGGGCAGAGACGCAGGAGCAACCCTCCGTATCGAAGTGTGCTGTACCAACCTGTCGCCATAAGCATAGCTTTCTTTCCTGTACGGATCGTATTCAGCATCATACCAATACCTCCGGTCACAGGTGCGGGGATCCCGGAATCTGGAACCATAGTGGTACCGCTCCCAGCGACCTGGGTCTGTAAGCAGGGGGTTTATGGTTTATTACAACAGGCAAAGGAAGACACTCCTCTGGCCTTCGCTAGAGAAACCACACCACCCCAGGACTGAGGAACGTCTGTCTCCAGGCTCTTAGAGGAACAAATTTTCCTCCCCAAAATCAGCATAACCTTGGAAAGTATTAACTGTGAGACAGAGGACCCCAGGAAGTGTCCTGCCTGTACGTGTAACACCTAATAGCCATTGGCTGTTCTCTCGACACTCAATTAAAAATAACAAAAAAACCTGCTAGAAGACATCTTTGTTTAATTTTGTTCGTAGTCACTACCTTTTAACACTTAATCCCATGACTACAAATTCTCCCTGTAGGTCTCCTCTCAGCCCAGAAAGTTATAAGAAATACTCCAAAACTAAACAATTAAGAAAAAAGACATTAATATCATAAATCAGATGCACCACTTTTGGCAGGTATGAGCAGAATTTATACCTAAAGTGATACAAATGTACAAGGGAGAGGCCTGAGGGAAGTGGCAGATGGGGTGGCCGTGCTGAGACAACCAGAGGCTGTGGGCCCAGGACCCTCCCCTGCATTAGGTGGCAGGGACCAGCAGGGCCGCTCAGAGGATGTGCTGACATGTACATGCTGCCCAATAGGACAGCATCAAGGCCAACAGGCTGCACCAGGTGCAGTGAGGCCATCTGATGTCTGCACCACACAACTTTGGGGCTCCCGACCACAGGAAGCCATAGGAGGCCACTGGCACACCTGATGTGGCCAGTGTGATCCAGAAGCTGGTTTCCCACTATACTTATTTTAATCAACTTTAGTAGTCACATAGGGACAAGGCCGCTCTGGGACTACTCACAATTACGCTGTGCTAGAAAATCAAAAGAAACTACTAACGTGATAAAGAGACATTAACATTAGAATTAAAACATACTTTCCTAATGAAAAATAGCAATACAATTATTTCCAGGCACAGCTCATTTTCAACTACTTTGGCTCTCAGGTGAAAAACATAGAGACTAAAAAACAGTAAGGCCTCCTGAGAAACAACCACAGAGTGCAGCTGAGCACCTGGCTGTGCCAGTGGTTGGCCATCTAAAGCCCTGAATGCCTGGGATGCCTGGGTGGCTCATGGTTGAGCATCTGCCTTTGTCTTAGGGCGTGATCCTGGGTCCGGGATCCCTACAGGGAGCCTGCTTCTCCCTCTGCCTATGTCTCTGCATCTCTCTCTGTCTCTCTCATGAATAAATAAAATCTTTAAAAATAATAATAATAGGGCAGCCCGGGTGGCTCAGCGGTTTGGCGCCGCCTTCAGCCCAGGGTGTGATCCTGGAGACCCGGGATCGAGTCCCATGTTGGGCTCCCTGCATGGAGCCTGCTTCTCCCTCTGCCTGTGTCTCTGCTATTCTCTGTGTCTCCCGTGAATAAATAAAAAAAATAAATAAGTAAAAAAATAATAAAGCCCTGAACATACCTCCATAATCATACTGGCTGGAGTAACAATCTGCATAGCGGTCACTTTGACTGCTCCATCCACTTTTGGAACTGTAGTAACCTTCGGGGTACCCCTGCCTGAAAGCAGACACAACACTGTTAAAAACAACTCAGCTCCTCCCATTAGGATGGGACATTAGTCAGTATAATGGGCTGCCAGAGCATCAGGCACTCAGTGAAACACCCTGATTGTGAAAAAACTCAAAAGAAGATTGGAAACAGTAACAAGGATATGATGGGACCCTCTCCCACAGAGCCCAAAAAAAAACCTCATCTCAGAAGTACCTATTTAAGTGCCGTGCAGTGTGAAAGAGCGGGCTGCCCTCTGCGTGCTCAGCGCCGTGTCCTGCATGGCCAGGCTCAAACAGGTTCTCGACTTTCTGATACCATGCTTAACAGGAGCAAAACGCATTGAGCTGTCAAACTCATCCTAATACCAACTTCGATACCCACTACATAGACCACATGCTGTGTCCTCTGGATGCATAAGGGTGGGCACACTGGCATAGGGCAGCAGCTGGCTCAGCCCTTGGCGTTGGCCTCTTAAACGTGACTGGTGTGAGACCTGAACCACAACTGATGGAGGCCAGCCTCACAGACCAAGCTACAAGGCGGACCCTCAGCACAGAGAAAGGAGAACTTAGGAAGGTTAAGTGTCAGACCTTCTAAGGTAATAAAACTTTTTTTCTCCAACAGTGGTGGGTAGGGGGAGAGAGGGAGAGAGAAAATGTCAAGCAGAATCCACGCCCAGCATGGGGGGCTCAATCTCACAACCCTGAGATCAAGACCTGAGTTGAAATCAAGTGTTGGATGCTTAACTAACTAAGGCGCCTCTGGGGCAGTTGGTTTTTAGAAGAGCTTACTAGCATTTTTGTTTCTTAATAACAAGTTTTATACAATATTTGATTTTTTAAAATATGACTTTTCTCATGCCCCTTCAGAAATGTCTCACTCAGCTAAGCTTGGGGGCTCAGTTGAAAGCAGAGCCCTTTGACAGGAGCCCTTGTGAGGAGATGGCCTGTGAGCAGCACCCACTGCCCTGGGCTCAGCTATAAGAGCAAGGCATCTTCCAAGTGTTTTGGAAGAGAACCCTGAGACCCCACCCATCTGCAGAGTTGGGGCCCCTGAACACACCAGTGGTGGTCTCAGAACAATGATGTGACACAGTGCACAACCAAGAGCATGCCACCTCCTTGCTGCCCTCACCAACTAAGCCCATTCATCCATCAGCAAAGACACAGTCACAAAAACAAAGTATGTTCCTACCTCAGCAGTTCCTGCAGGGACGTGATCGCACCAGACGTGAGTACACACACAAGCATGCACACACGTGCATATAAGAGCACACATCCCCCAACCAAAGCAGGGCAGGAAGAAGGACAGGCTGCTCTCCAGAGCTGTTGCAAATGAGCAGTGAAGACAGCAGGAGGATAGAAACACTGTAAGCCCAGGGACAGAACTACCCCCATGTACCCCGGCCTAGCTTCTTGTTGAGTGACTTTTCAACAGCATGTGGCCACCTTTGGCCTCTTGGAATTGACTGCTACATTAATTTGCAGGTGGGCAAGCAGAAAGAAAACTGGAACAGCAAGATGCGCCCCAGCTTTGCCCCTCCCCCACCTTGTCCCTTCTGAGTTCCAGAAAACACCTGCCCGTTGTTTTCCCTGAATCAGAATACCTATTTTAACTTCAAACCTCACATTCCAGGTGGTACACAGGGACTAAACCCTCAAGAACTTTCTTACACAAAGGTCTTAGAAAATTGGGCCACATGTAGATCAGCGATACACAGAGAGGCCAGCTGACCAGGCAGGCAAAGGCTCACAGAGACAGTGCCTTGTCTCCAGCAAAGCTATCAGAGACTCGAGGACCAGCAGTAGGACCCCACAATTCTGAAAGGCAATTCACATACAAAGTCTTCATTGATGATCAAACTTTCTCTGTTATGAATCTGAGAAACCACATACTCTTATAACAAAAACTACACCTCTGACTTGTCATTTTTCCAACCTGATGAGCAAGTACAGGTGAAGGCCCTGGAAGGCAGGCAACGATGCACATGGGAACAGGTTACACACCCTGCTGCTCCGCTGGAGCACCACCTACATCTCTGAGTGGGAAGACCGTGACCTGCTTCATTTCCTAGTTGACTGAAGGTACCATGCCAGGGCTCTTTCAAAATCCCCCATCCAGGGCCGCCTGGGTGGCAGTCAGTTGCATCTGACTCTTGGTTTTGGCTCAGGTCATGATCTCAGGGTCCTGGAATCGGCCCCGCGTTGGGCTCCCTCTGCTCAGTGGAGAGTCTGCTTGCTCCTCTCTCTTTGCCCTTCCTCACACTCGTGTGTGAGGGTGCGCACTCTCTCTCCCAAATAAATAAATTTTAAAAGATTTCATTTATTGATAGAGTATGAACGAGAGAGAGGAGCACGAGCCCAGGTAAGGGCAGAGGGAGAGAAAGCAGCAGACTCCCCGCTGAGCACAGACCACCCCCGTCCATAAGGCCAGATCTCAGAACCCCGGGACCATGACCTGAGCCAAAGGCAGACACTAAACCGACTGAGCCACCCAGGTGCCCCTCAATAAAGAAAATCTTAAAAAATAAAAATAAAAGTAAAAAATAAAAAAACCTCCCTCCTCTATAATCGCAAAACCAGGACAAGCTTGGTCAGCAAAAGAGAGCAGTAGCTCAGGAGTGTGCAGGGGCCTTCTGGCACAGGAGGCCATGCTAGGAAAGGGATGTGGGCAGGTGTCCTGGCCCATGACTGCCTGGCCTAAGAATCAGGCATCTCTGTAATTAGCAGTAAGGAAGAGTCTGTGTAAGGGCAAAGCCGCCATGGTCTAAGGGCCCTAAACACCCAGTCAGCAAAATGCCAGAGTTGTGTGTGGGCTTCAGCACTGGATGGCCAGTTGGCCCAGAGAAGACCCCACCAAGGCTCTAGGCTGACGCAGTGCGGGCTGATAACGCAGCATGGCTGTAGGGGAAGGCTCTGACCAATTTCAAAGTGCTCCTGTGCTCTGTCCGCGCTGATCAAACATAAACACGGAAGAGATAGGTTGGTGTAATTCTTTACAATACAAAATATCATCTTTTCCAGATCAGGAAGTTACTACCATAGACAGCAACGCAAACACCAATCACCTGGCAGGTGGCCGGTCTGAGCAGTGACTTGCTCGGGAGCTGGGTCGCTCAGGCTCGGGGTAGCGGTAGCTGTCAGCATAAGCAGGCGCCACGCTATCGTAGGACCTGTACCTGGGCTCATACAGGCCGTAGATGTCCTGCTGGAAGAAGGGTGTGTGCAACATTAGAAACCAACAGACACAACTCATCCAGCAGCTGGTGCTAGCTCTGCATGGCACCGATGGCCTTCTAGGAGGAGCACAGGATGTGGGGCTTCCTTCAGGCAAAACAGGAAACCTACAATTTGAAATCCACAGCCGTAGGCAGGCAGCAGGATCTTCCTCAAAGGGACTGCCCTGGTCTGCTCAGGAGATGGCCAATATGTCAGCAGGTGGCCCCTATGGAGCCATGGAGACTCTACAGGGCTCTGCCGAGCTTCTATTCCCTCATGTCTCGAATGTGGAGATGCTATGACTCCACAAGCTTGTGTTGTTTCAGACACCATCTCACATAAGCAAAATAACCAGGGTTTCTTCTCAATGGGTCCTGGAGCTACAGGTAGCCTCATAGAGAGGACTGTATTTTATCCTCACAAGGCTTTTGGCCCTGTTATGGACCCATGAATGACTACAGCTCTATCTCTAAAAAGTGGCCATGTGAAGAACCAAAGCAGAGATGAGGTGGTCTAGGCAGGAGACAGAATCAGTCCTTTGGTCTGAGCCAGACTCTCTGCCATCACCTGGCAAAAGAGGAGAAATCACGTAAAACGGACTTATTCTTGACCCCTCCTGGAGACCATGGCGACAAGGCCAAAGGGCAGAAGGAAACGGGCTTCCACAGAAGTGTGCTGGACTCTGGCTGGAGTTCCCAGGATGCACAAGTAGTTGCTGCACAAAGGATCCAAAGCAGGTACACTGCTCCCTTCATGCTCTATTGGCCCTTCCTGGGCTCTGGGCAGATCAGAAATCAATTTCCATGTATGGAAATAGGAGTCCTTGGGGCCCCTTCCAGGATCTAGAATTCACGAGTCTCAGTGATCAGTTGTACACTATTTGTACATTCCCAAAGATGCTCAAAGCCTGTGAAGGAGACCCAAGCCTCCTATCGCTGGGGGCTGCCACCCAGCCTGGGCCCCAGCAACCCTGCACACCCAGTCACCTCTAACCTCGAGGCCCCCAGAATGACCATGGCTCCTGCCTGCGCCCCCTTGTAGGACAGTGCTTTTCAAACTTCTGGTCCACACTCCTTTGAACTCAGCTAACCCTGGGTGATGCTGGGCAGGGACTAGAGCTGATAAGAAGCAAATAGTGATCCAATGTGTATACTTGAACCACACGGTTTCAAACTAGGGGACTGAACAGAACTGGATTTCAACATTCGTGCACTTGTGCCCTGAAGGGCAAGGCTTCTGCAGCCCCGAGGCTGGTGTCTGGTGCCCCCAGACACCCCGTTGGGACTGCTCTGCCAGAGTTTATGGAATTTCATCCCCCTTGGCTGTTATGCTAGGATTAAAACCTAAGTTTTTTTCTCTAAATGTTTTTATTCTCAAGGAAGAACTTCAAAGACTATAGTTTCCTGTTACTGGTCAGGTAGACTTTTCACATCAAAACCACACCGAAGCTTCAAGGGGCTATCCCACCTTCCCGAAGTGTGCAACCCACAGCTCTAGTTCTGCAGAGAAGACCCTGGTGGGACAGGAAACAGAGGGCTTCTCAGTCAGAGAAGCTGGGGCATGCTGTGTTAAAAAATTAATCGAGTATTCTATGAGATTCAATACACAAGCGTGCAGAGTCAATTCCAAGAGATGGGCTGCACTTGGCAGAGCAAGCTCTGTGACCAGGGCCACTTTCCTCATGCAGTAGCATGTGGAACTGGCACTCTGCACAGTGGTGGCACTAGAGATTACTTCTGAATTGAGCAACAAAAGCCTGCTATGGAGCACAACTCGAGAGAAAGAAACTGCTGGTCACAGGATTCAAGTCTGAGAGCTTGACCGTACCTGGTAATAGAGGGAGACCGTGCCAGGATCCGGCGGGTAGGGCGATGGGTAATGGGACTGGTAGCCATCGTACAGGGGTCTGTAATAATAATAAGATGCCAAGTCTGGAGGCGGTGGCTGCAGCCAGTGCTGGTCCGACCGCACAGCTGCCTGGCTCGAGCTGGTGGACACAACAGATGCGCTGGAGGACCGAGGTGGCCGCGGTGGTGGCAACTGCTGACCCGTGTCAGCCGGAGCTGGACTTGCAGGTGGTGGGACCGAGTTTTGGGGCTGTCCCTGTATGGGTGGACTTCCTGGGTTTGAAGGTTCTGAACATGCTGCTTTGGGCCCTTGTGGGGGAGGCGGTGCGGGCTCCTGCTGGGCTCTCTCTAGGCCACACTGGTCCTGAGCATCTTTTGTCACCTGTTGGTAGAAATAGTCTGGGTTATGTGGCCCAGGCCCTGGTTGTCTAGGATGACTGCTGACAGTGTGTGGACAAGCAGAGCTGTCAGAATGGGACGGGCTATACATTCTTAGAGGATTTTCCAAAGTCCTATTAGGCGCAAAGTCTAGGGCTCCGGCAGTTTCTTCCCGATTACTGGAGTGATCTGCCTTATTACCAGCAGGTACTGAGGTAGCATTTGCAGGTGGCACTAACATCATGCCTATGCTTCCAGCAGGGCTACTGACCAACTCAGGAAGAACATTCTCCACATTATGAATCTTTTGGTTTTCTGGAAGCAAGTTCTTTGGAACTGGATGAGGTGGTGGCTGAACCAGCAAATTAGCAGGTTGATTAGAAACTATTTCCAAAGTGCCAGGAACTTGTGGAAAACTACTTTGCATGAGACTGCTGGGCAGAGGCGAGCGGGTGAGAGAGCCAGCCGTGATCCCAGACACAGGAGCGCTGTCTCCAGAGTCACCCCCCACAGCCCGGCTGCTTGTGGAGGGTTTATCCCCAATCAAAGCATCTCTCCAGGGCTGATTCTTCTCATTAGGACTTGATAAGGACACAGAAAAGTTAATGGGCTGAGCCAAATTATAGCTTTGATCAGGCTGGGCGATCAAGACTGGTTGATTCTGCAAAGATTCAGTGGGTGGTGAGGATAACAGACTGGCATAGCCAGAACTTGCCTGTGACGGGAGGGCCTCCTCTTCTCCCATCTTGGGAGGATTCTCGAGGTTCTCAGAAGCACCGATGCTGTCCCCACTCTGCAGAGGGAGGCCGGAGCCTGGCTGCCGGGCCTGCGGAGCAGACACGCCCTCATCTGGAGGCTGAATCACTTCAGATGGCTGTGGTTTCACAGGCACATGCAACGCAGGAGCAGCTGGGGCTAGAAGGACGTTGCCTCCAAAATCTGGCAGCTCGTTCTGCGCCCACAACGTCGTCACTGGGCTCTCACACTTCACAGCTCCCTGGGCTCTAGCCAAAGGCCTTTTCTCAGCTGCCAGAAGCACAGTTTCCAAGGGTGGTCCAGTGGTGTGCACGAGCCCAGGCCCGGCCTCCACAGGTACAGTAAAGGGCGGAGAACAGGCCTGGAGTGTGAACAGGGTCTCTATGTTGTCTGGCGGCTGCTCCAGGTTGCCAGGGGAGGTGTCAGGTGGGGCAGCAGTGGGTCTGCGCTGCTTCTGGTAGACAGCGGTTCCTCTCACCTCACCCACCACATTGGCCCGATCGGCCTCAACTGGTTTTACTCCAACTAAGTGGGATTTCACTGGTTCAAATGAACTATTTGCACTTGTCTGAAATATCCCAGTGGGTTTTGGGGGGCTGGGGGTTGAGGGCTGAGACAGGCTGCTGTGGTGATTCTGGCTCATGGTGGTCCCGTTTGTCTCACCTCCCACAGGAGAAGAATCTATTTGCTTAAAAAAACTTCCCGAAGACTCATCTTCAGGTTTTCCAACTTCTTGCTGAATGAAAGTACCTACCAATTCTTGGGGCCTGGCTGCACTCGAAGGATTCCTGTGGCTCTTGCTGCTGTAACTGGATGACAGGCTATCAGATCGTACAGGGTGCGGTGCTGAATCCGGTGCCTCGAGATTTGGGCCCCCGCCTCCAGCAAGGCCCACAACACTGAGCCTGGGGATGGCTGGCCTGGGAAGGGGCCCATATCTGACCTGATCACTCAGGGTGGAAGGGTCCAAGCTCAGGGGCTCACTTGGCAGGACTTCCTGATTCTGAATGAATTCAAGGTCCTCCACGTTCTCAGATTGTGAGCTACTGGCAGCGTGCGTACCTGCATTGGCTGTGCTGCCCCACAGGGTGACGGCAGCATTTGCTGTGGTGGGTCTATCAGGCTGGGCACCTGCAGACTGAGAAAAATAAGGTTGTGGATGCCCTCCTGGCTGCGTGGCCTCACTGCTGGAACCTTTGGGAAAGGCCTGGTAAATGCTACCTGCTCCCATATGGGCAGGAGCATGACCGAGTGCAGGACTGGGGGAGAAGCCATCGAAGTCACACTGACCAGCAGAGCCTATTTTTTCAGATGAGAGGTTCTCCTCATTTTCTGCCTCCCCACCTTGGAAAAACATAGAGAGAGCTCCCGAGTCCACTTCTGGCAGGGCCCGGCTGGTCCCAGCCCCCGGGGGATAGTGCAAATGGCTTTCTGGGCTATTTCCCTGAGTGAGGGGATTAATGAGAGCAAGGTCTGGCAACTGCTCTTTATTCACTCCTGGACTTGGCCTGAGCTCCTGGCTCACCCGAGTATTCCCAGCTTGAGAATTTTGCCTGAATGCATTTTCAGGATCAAAGTTACTTGTTGAGTGGTTTCCACTTTGCAGGTAGGCTGCCTCGTTGCTTCCGTCACTGGCTAAGGGCCCTGGCAAAGGCATCAGTGGGTTGAGCTGCTCGTGGCCAGGACCATGGTGCGGGTTGGACGGAGCAGGGAAATGAGGAACACTGGAGGCATGGGGCACCGCATTCTGAACAGGTCCTTCTGGGCGGGGCCAGTAGTGCTGACCTGAGGGTTGTGGACTGCTCTGCCCTGGCCCCCACTGGCCTGGCGTCGGCTGATGAGGCTGAGGGATGAAAGGGGGCGGTGCTAACGCCGGAGCATCATCGTGCGGGTTCTGCGTACTCAGGGGCCTATCAGGCCCAGGCAGGTTTATGGGTGGATGCCCCCCGTGGGAACCGTCAGGACCCACTCCTGGAATGTACTGAGGACACGGCAGAGTCTGAACTTCGGGTTCTGAGCTGGGAGCACCGTCGGCACTCCGGTTCAACTCTGACTCCAATGGTGCTGAAGGGGTCAACACACTGGAAAACAGACCACCATCTGCTCTGGGCTGTGACACAGGTCCTTGGGGAGTATCCCCAGCATTTGTGTGAGGCACAGGCAGACCAGGGCGCTGAGGGAACGCTGCTGGGGCCGGGCCTTGCAAAATGGGCAGGCTGCTTTTGGATGAACTGCCCAACGATGTGCTTTGTAGCGCCTGTCTACTAAAAGCAAATGGATCCGTCACCGGCTGCAGTGGGCAAGTTATTGGAGTCACGGGTGTGTTATTATTTGCCTGTCTCCTATATGGTCTGTTGGACCAGAACATGCTCTGAGGAGTCCCAGCTGGAGGTGGCCCAATCACGCCTGATGGGGCTGCCTGGGGTGGTGGCTGCATGACTGATCTTTTGCACAATTAGATCCACTTACAGAAAGAAGCAGGATATAGGGTTTCCTTAATTTGAACTGAAAAAGAAAAAGAAGAAATCAGCATAAAATCCATATATTCAAACTCCCAACTAGAATTAGGGAAACTAAAAAAACAGAGAAAGCCTGGAAACTTAAGAGTTTGCGTGTCCAGTCCTGAGGCCCGCCGCTCCTGTTCCCATCCCCTCCTAGCCAGAGGAGGAGCGGGTGAGCGCACAGGCAAGCACACGGACACCAGCCCAGGACACAATCACAGGCTATGTGGGAGCTCACTGACCAACTTCAGACTTCACACAAGTCACTACCTTCTCTGGGGTTGTTTCAGAGCCCTGCTGAATACCCACCTGGAATGCCTGATGCCTCTGTGATGCCCCCACCACATGGACACAGATGAAGCACAACCTAACTGCTGGTCTGATTTACTTCCAGCTACACTGATCTCTCCTGTAAATTATCACCAGATCCAGAAACAGCCAACTCCTCTCTTAAGATTACATATCATACTTCTCATACAAGTTAATGTTCAATCCTGAAATGAAAACGAAAGTTTAAAATTTCCATTTCCAGTGTAACGAAATAGCATTACAAAGTACAGAGTAAAGAAGTTGCAAAATCGGAAATACATAGAAATACCTCTTATGACCCCTTGTAAAATATCTTATTTTCTGCACTGTGACTGGTTGAACGCCACTAGCAGGTGCCCCTGACTGCTAGAGCTACAACAACTATACTCGGAATGAAAACCCCAAGTAAACTTAAAGCAACTTTAAAGCTGACCAAATGGGGACCTCTGGGTGGCTCAGTGGTTGAACATCTGCCTTTGGCTCAGGTCATGATCCCGGGGTCCTGGGATTGAGTCCCCCATCGGGCTCCCCACAGGGAGCCTGCCTCTCCCTCTGCCTATGTTTCTGCCTCTCTCTGTGTGTCTCATGAATAAATAAAATCTTAAAAAAAAAAAAAAGAGTCCTGACCAAATTACTTGATTCAAAGATTTTCAATAATAGAATGCCAACAAACTTTAGAAACAACAAAGGGGCAAAAATCATCTTTACAGTGTCTTTTGTTGCTGGTCCTAGGGGTGGGTTTATCTAAATAAGATACATTAAGTATAATCTTAAATAGTTAACCTGTACTTCTAAGACAAGAACCCAGGTACTGTCTCTTTACAAAGTTCTTTTCTACGTGGAACTTCTTCCTCCAGTACCATCCTCACAAACAAACAGGGTTAAGTCTAGCCAATCACAGGGAAAAGTAAACACCAGAGGGAGAAATCATAGAAGGACTCCAGAGTTTAACCCACACATTTCTGCAGATGTACGATGTTTTTGCTGTTGGAAATCTGATAATCAGATACAAGAACACATTTATGAATGTGTTTTTAAGTAAAGCTACTTACAAAAGAAAGCTTCTATGCCTCTCTGGAAACCCAGGTGCTTGGAATCTATTAATTCACTACCATTACTGCCCACACATGCTCTGTCCTAAGCTAACAGGGAACCCCTTCTGATGGATGAGCATTTCAAAACTCACTCAAACTTAATGGACCATATTAGGAATTGCATCGGAGATCTCACCAGGTTACAAACTGCCATTTCAAAACAAAAGAATGTTTACAGCTCAGCTGGACTGACAGTAGAACAAGCAGAGCCTCCTCTTATCTGTGAAACTGAGGCACCCAGGACGTCCTCCAAGACACAACTTCCTCCTGTAAGGCTTCAGCAGAGGACCCTCAACCATCTTAAACACATTGAAAAAAGAAAAACCCCACATGGCAGAGGTCCAGGGGGTGTGACAAGAGAGCAGGGCTGGGTGTCCAGCTGAATGGCCCCAGGGAACACCACTTGTCTTTCTGGGACCCAGCCTCTTCATCTGTGAAGTGAAAGAAGCAATATGACCATTTCTAAGGTTCCTTCTGGGTTTCATCTTACAAAATTCTATTCACAGTAGGTTCTGGGATGCCTTAATCAACTGCTGCTTTTTAACAGGGAAATGTTATCAAAGAGTAAATTTCACAGGTTTATACTTAAATGTTTTCCTTGAAGAAACTTTCTTTAAAAACTATTTTCTCAGGGATCCCTGGGTGATTCGGCAGCTTAGCACCGCCTTCAGCTAGGGCGTGATCTTGGGAGTCCCAGGATCGAGTCCCACATCGGGTTCCCTGCACGGAGCCTGCTTCTTCCTCTGCCTGTGTCTCATGAATAAAAAAAGAAGGAAAAACCTTTAAACAAAACTATTTTCTCAACTCCTAGACTAAGAACCAGCTTTTAGGCAAATGCTATTACTTCCCTATAAAGTAAAATCCCCTACTCTCCCTCTCCCATAATTGAGAGCTTTTTGGCAATATGTCAATTTCATTCAGAACAATCTTGAACAGGAACATTATTCTTTTGTTCCTTTCCTCAATTCATAAACAGAAAAACTGCCTAATATTTCTCTCCTGACCCTAGGAGCTTAATTCCAGCCCGGAAGTCATCCTGTATCCCCGATCATTTAACAAAAAACAAAAACAAAAGCATTATTTTAGAGAAACCAGTTGTGTTTCTTAAAGATGCATTACTCATAAACGTAGCCCTTCAAGTAGACTGCCTTGTATCTCTGTGAAATGCTTAAGCACAATCTATTTCCAATACACAGTCCTGACTGGAGAACTGAAACATTCAAGCTATGAGCGTATAAAACCAACAGGAGCACCAGAAAGCACCCAAGAATCTATCTACCCTTTGCCTACAATCTCCCTCACAGTGACCGTGAGTGTGACGTCCCTGTCAGACTATGGGACACTTCACCCAAAGACACCATAAACTCCAGCTTTCCTAAATACACAAACACATTTACATGTTAAACAACAAGAAAGGGGAGTCTAAACACTGCTAAAAGTGACAAAAGATCCTAAGGGATGCACTGACAGTCAGGGAAGAGCTTTACAGAAGCAAGAAGGCTTCATTACAATCCACACTCTACCCTTAGGAAAGTTCTGCATAGGATTTTGGGACTTACTGCTATTTAGGGTGAAGGAATCACAGGAACAAGAAAGCCGCACTATTGTGCCTCTTGCCTTATCTTTGCAAGATGACACCACCCAGAACCCTAAGAAGAGGCATGGAAGAAAACAAACACAAAACTGCAGGGAGCCTGGCTGTGCTGAAACTTGCAAAAGTATCTCTGGAGGAGCAACTGTCTGTGACCTGGTTTGCTCCTTGCCCTACCTGGAGTGGGAATAGTGGCTCTGGCGAAGAACACCTGCACACATGTATCTAACACAGAATCTTAAGCAGATCATGCCCAATCCCTAAGCCATGTAAAAGTGTTTACAGGTGAAGCAGCAAAAACTGATTTCAAATAGCTGTGCTGTGCCCAGACGCTGGACTGTGATACTTCTGCCACGAGAAACCTACCGAGTTCATTACTCTCGCTCTAGCCCTTAATGTAAAGCAAGTGGCCGACCTCCGCTGCAGCATCTCGGTCACTCCGCCACGAAATTACCAACAGACAACAACAATGCGACTCTCTCAGCAGCTCGGCTCAGAACAAATCTCCCAACCAACGGGACTAAACTACTTCCGAAGCTTCCGAGCAAAGGACACGCACAACTGTGAGGCAAATTTCGTACACGTTTGTGCTCTTTGAAAAGTTGCACATCTGGTCTATCCTCCACCCCTTCCAACACAACCCTCCATCCAGGCCGCCGGGGCTGAGCCCGACGGGCACCTGCCACATAGTCGGCCATGCCTGCGGGGTCCACGTCGGTCAGTCTGGTCCCCACCCGCAGGTCCCCACCGGCCCCCGGGCCCCGGGCCGACCCCTGGCGGCCCCCGGAGACGCGCCGTCCACCCGGGGCTGGGCCCGGCCCGGCCGCTCCCCCCCCGCCCGACCCTAACCCTCACCGGCGCGCCACAGGGCGCCCGAGGCTCCCTCCCGGCCCCTCCGCGACCCCTGGGCCAACCCCTCAGGAGCCGCGGGTGGAAGCCGGCCCGGCTGTGGCGACGAGCAGAGACCCGGCAGCCGCAGCAGCCATCTTGGCACATCCGGCTCCGGCCGCCGCGCCGCCGACGTGTCCGACCACGACGTCAGCGCGCGCCACGCCTGCCCACCACGCCCATCGGCCCCGCCCATCGCAGCTGCCTCGTGACGCTACGCCCGGTACGCTAGCTCCGCCCCCTCCCCCGCCGACCATCCATTCGTCCGCCCCGTTGACCCGGCCCCCCGCTTGCGACCAATCTCTCGGCGTTCATCCCTTCGTCCCGCCCCCTTGGCCTCGCCCCTCAGCCCCGCCCCCCCGTGACCCGCCCTTCGCCCACCTTTCGGGCGGGGCGCGCGGCGGGCTACCCGGAGACGTCCCCTTCACGCCAGCTCTTTCTCTCAGTCTTTCCTTGTCTTAGGATGGGAGAAGAGTCGGGGCTCTTCAGTCAGACCCAAGTGAGGGTCTAGTCTTGATCGACCGAAGCCAGCGGGCGCACCCACAGAGATCGGCTACTCGGCGACGCCGAGAACCCGAGCGGCGCCCTGGCGCAGGCGCGACCCTCCCATTCTGCCGTTGGACTTCCTCCAAGGCTGGAGACGGGCGGAAGGCGACTGCGCATGCGCCGGCCGCCGCGGCGGACTGCGCCTGTGCACCGCGCGGCGGCTTTCCAGTTGCCTGGTTACGGCCAGCTGCGGTTCAGGGTTCCGGTTCTGCCGGGAAGTTTGTTCGGTCCGCGCCCGGCCCTCGGGAAACAGACTCCTGGGAGCCGTCCAGGGGGCAGGCCCCGGCCCGGGCTACGCTGCCCCGCCCCCTCCCCGGCGCGGCCGCTACCGCCGCGCACGCCCCGCCGCGTCCGTCGATGCCCCGGGTCCCCAAGCCGCGGGGACGAAAGCCAGGGCTGCGTGCGGCCTTCCGCAGCCGTTGAGCGGGTACCGGGACAGGCGGGCCGCCGCGCTCAGCCTCCTGCTCCTTCCCGGGGAGGGTCTTCGGGACTGGGGTGCTGCCGTGTATACCCGCATTTCCCCCTGAGAAAGGGAGGTTCAGAAGGTGGGGAAGCTTCCAGCCAGCAGGGCCGGCCCACTCACCTGCACCCCTGCCTGGCAAGGCGCGACCTGCCCCCACGTGCCCCAGCTCCTTCCGGGGTGGGGGGAGCGTCCGATTGCATAGCCCCGCGAGGCCAAGCTCCCAGCAGCGGAGCTGCTCACCTGTGGGACGCGAGCCTGGGCAGAAGGAAGGAGTGTGGCTCAGCCACCTGTTTGCTCTGACGCTGGCAGGGAGCAGCCACGCTGTCAGGGGGTGCGGGAGGAGGTTCAGCCCATCTGACGTGGCCACTCTGCTAAACTAACATTTGCCTTGCAGAAATCAAGGTCCCAACCTATTTCAACACAGTGAGAGATCGTGTACTGGAACTCGGCCCCGGACCCTGCCGCCCTTGATTCACTTCCTCCTGCGGTCACTTTGTCCCAACAATCCGCTCCACAGAGACAGAAGTCACTGTGAACCCCCCTGAAAGAAGGAAGCAGAGGCAAAGGTGCAGGGGCCCATCCCCACCTCCCCACTGCTAGGCCTCTGGAATGGAGGCCCTTGGGTCCTTGGCTGTTCGGAGCCTGGTGTGCAGGAGAAGGGTCTAGGCCCCCAGCAGAGCCAGAGGTGGTGGAGGCTGGGCTCTGAGTCGCAGGTCCTCCACTTTAAGCTTCTTTGCCCTCCCTGACCATCGTGGCCTCATCAGCCTAGAGTCCAGGCGGGGTGAGCACCTAAACAACATGCTGTTGATGCATGCACCAGAACAGCAGGCATGAGCTTGACTGTCCTGGGCCAGTCAGGGGCAAATGGGCATAGGGTGACTGGCTGAAGAGCACATGAGGCCTGTGCAGGGGGCGAAGGGTGCACTGCTACGACAGCTGCTGCTGTGCCTGAGGAGTCGTCCATCCCTTTACCTGCAGCGTGTCCCTCTCCTTTCTCTTTGTCCTCCCTGGCTGGTGGAGGCTGCATACAAATGCCACCACCTCCCTGAAACCCACCTACAGGGGCTAGAGTCAGCCTCTTTCCTGAGGGCAAAGTTATTAGTTGCTCATGCAAAGCTCCGTAACCAGAGCTGTAGTCCTGTGACCCAGAGCACCCAGACACAGGGCTACGTACTTCCAGGACAATGGACAGAGGCTGTGCCAGGGAGCCGGGCTGTCCTTTCCAGCATTACGGCAGTCTGTCACGCTGCATTTTCAACAGCACAATCGTCAGCCCCTCCCAGTAGCCTGCACTGTCCAAAGATGGCTGCCACTGGGCACCTGCAAGGGAGGCCGGGCTGAGCAGAGGTGGGATCTTAGCAGCATTAGAGGCCAGAGTGCCAAGAATGTCAACTAGCCCACTGATAGCTTTCTTTTTAAAAAAAAAGATTCATTTATTTATGAGAGACACAGAAAAAGAGAAAGAGAGAGGCAGGGACACAGGCAGAGAGGAAAAAAAGGCTCCATGCAAGGAGTCCAACATGGGACTCAATCCCGGGACTCCAGGATCACACCCTGGGCCCAAGGCAGGCACCAAGCTGCTGAGCCACCCAGGGATCCCCTTCACTGGTAGCTTTCTATTGCATGTTGAAATGGTAATATTTGGGGTATATTGAGTTAAATATACTATTAAAATTTATTTCATCTGTTTCCCTTTTTTTTTTTTTTTTTTTTTTTTTTTTCTTTTTTAATTTTTATTTATTTATGATAGTCACAGAGAGAGAGAGGCAGAGACACAGGCAGAGGGAGAAGCAGGCTCCATGCACCGGGAGCCCGATGTGGGACTCGATCCCGGGTCTCCAGGATCACGCCCTGGGCCAAAGGCAGGCGCCAAACCGCTGCGCCACGCAGGGATCCCTGTTTCCCTTTTTTAATGGAGCTCATCAGAAGTTTAAAATTCCATACATGCTGGGCATATTGCCATTGGACAGCGCTGGCCTAGACAGCACATGGAGGGAGGGGGTCGGGGACCCCAGGCAGGGGCCCCAGCCTGGGGCTATAACTCCCTAGATTGTGGATCTGACAACTGACCGTTTCGGTGACTGGAGAAGGAGCCCTCGGAGGGGTGGCCGCAGTCTCAGTGTCTGAGCCTCTGCCCCTTGCTTCCCCAGGGCATAAAGTAGCTGCAGTTGAGGGGTCTGCACGTGGATGTTTATAGGACAGTCCTGCTCCACACTGGGCACTCCCCTGAGTCAAGCCTTCAGCCCTGGGTGCTGAGACTGGGGGTGTCGGAGGGCGCTTGCTTGATTCAGCCTGGAGAGAGCAAGGTGTGCCTCCATGCAACAGGACTGGCTGAGTTGTCCAGGGAAAAAGTGCATTGGGGCCTCAGAGATGGAAAAAGCTGGGAGGGAGGGCTTCTGGAAGAGGAAGGAGGCCATACAGCTGAGGAGGTCCAAATGGAGCTGAGGGGCTCAGCTCCTTCAGGAGAGGGCAGGTCAGGGGGGGCAGAGAGAGTGAGGTGTTCAAGCCTGTCCCGTGGCCCCTGTGCATCGGGCTCCCATGGTGTGGAGAGTTGTCGGTGGTGTGTGACCAGGCTGAATGTAAGGAGAGGGAGGTGCCTCCGTGGGGGCAGCTGGGGTACAATCCAGCCCCCTGGGGCGCCTTTCAAGAGAAAATCCACACCTGGGCTGAGCTTGAAGAATGTCCCCACCATCAGCGTCCTCATTAGCTCTCATCTCCAGCATGCAAACATGCGTGGCACCTGCAAGCCTCAGATAATTATTTTTTTCCTTAATCATTGAGCCAAGTACTAAACATGTAAGGTGACACATAAGTAAGAGGAGTGTCCTAGAAGCACGGGAGGGATGCCATTTCCATGTGAGTCAGGCCACAGAGAATCAGAGCCACATGAGAAAGTGAATTGTGTCCCATTAGCTGCCGCCGGGCCGAGACCTCTTTCACAAAACTGTACAGTCATTTGCTGAGCCCCTACTGCGCGCCAGGCACCACTAGGAGCTGGAACTGTGGCTGTGGGACTGCTAGGCCGGCCCCTGCCCCAGGGATCATGCACTCTGAGCAGCTGCCAATGCACCCAGTGGGGGTGGGGGGGGCATGGGAGCACCTACAAGATGTGGATCCCACCTGCGGGTGACAGAGTAGAGCCCGGGATGGAGGAAAACGAGCATTTGTGGCTGAAGCAAGCAGAAGCTTGTGTAGGAGCAGCAAGGGGCGGAAATCCTTAGGTGGGTGGTGGCATCAGGCGGTTATGCATTGCCCAGGGCTCTGCAGGCCCTGCACTAGATTTCTGAGGGCAAGGAAGCTCTTGGGAGCTCCCACCAGGAATGACATGGTCAGTTTGGCCTTCCTCTGGCTCTGGCAGGGTGCTAACAAGACCTGGGAGTCCAAGAGGGTGCCCCAGGGGAACAGTCAGGCTGCTAGACCAGACTGGCCGGGAGAGCTGAGTCTCGGTGACTTAGATGCCAGCGGCATCTGCAGCCACCCCCCACCACCACCACATCAGCCGAAGTAACAGGAGGGCGTGAGCCCTGAGCATGGACTCGGAGGCCTGGGGGCTTGCGGATTGAGAAGGCAGAAAGGCCACGGTGGAGCACCAAGTGCCAGGCTGGCTGCAGCACTGACTCCTGGGCGTCCGAGTTCCGGTCTGGAAAGTGTGTGACCGAACCACAGAGGCTCCTCGAGTGGTTGTGAGAACGTGGACCAGGGAGCCATACCACCCTGGCTCAAATGGGTGCACCTGGGGAAGCGGCCTGTCTCTTTGAGCCTCAGCCTCCCCGTCTGTAAAACGGGACAATAACACCAATAACACGGTGACTGGGCGACCTTGAGACAGTTGTGAGCTGCAGGTGTGAATGATGGAAATCCCCGCGGGAGCACCTGCTGGCCGAGGGGACACTGGCGGGAACCTGCCAGCAGGGGGCGGCAGAGAGCCGCCTCCCATTGGAGGCAGGGTCTGGGGACCTCGGGCCTCAGAGGCTCCTGCAAGATCTGGGCCTTCCTGCAGGATCAAAGATTCGGGCTTCCCCCCAAACACCCCCAGACTGGGACCCTTTCCAGGGGGAGTATTTCCGGACTCCTTACACCCTTGGACAGCAGGCGTTGTTCTGTTCACACAACAGGTGCTCCGTAGAT